ATTCCCTTATTCTTTCTAAGAGGGATTCCCTAGGTAAGGGTTTGAAGGGCGGTGTCCCGCTCCTTTAGGGTCCCCTCACATAAAGTTTATAATCTTATAAATATTCTTTAAGAGGTTCTTTCTAAAATAACTAAGTCTTTTATACTATAGCTCCTACTAACTTTTAGTAGTATAGAAGTATTACTTAACTAGAGTTTACTCTTACTAATTTATTAGTTTTTTTTTAAAAGTTAAAAAGGCCTTCTTTAAAAGGGCTATAGAAACAGAGGAAATAATAGATATACTATTATATATTTTAATATATATAATAGGAGTTCTATTTTAGGATAAAAGAGCAAACTATAGTAATTAAATACTAAACTAATAACTAAATTAGAAGAGTATTTTTAAGTAAAACTTTTTTTCTATTTTTTCCTTCTATTAGAGCCTTCCTTATATAACTTCCCTAAAGGTAACCTCCTCTAACCTTAATTTACCTTTTTTTAGAAAAAGGTTTTATAGATCTAAAAAGTTATAGCTAGTTAGTTATATAAACTAATATATAGAAATTAAGAAGCTATTTTTAGGATAATAACTTGCCTTTTATATTAATTAAGAAGTAGGTAATTTTATCTACTTCCTCTTTATCTAATAGGTAGGAAAATAATACTTCTAAGCTAGTAATATTTTTAGCTTAATAAGCTCTCTTTTTAAATATTCTTCTAACTTTTCTTATCTTTTTAATAATAGAATTAATTACCTTTCTTAAATCTTCTAGAGAATCTTTTTTTAGCTCTTAAGGCTTCTTAGAAAATTTCTTATTAGATCTCTAGACTTATCTTAGCTTATTAGTATTTAATTACTAGTAAGTATTACCTTAGAATAGAGATCTAATTACCTTTTAGGCCTTTTAAAGGTCTTGATATTCCTTAATTCTATATTTTCCTTTATATAGGAAATAGGTAAGGTTAAATGCAGCTATTACAATCTCTAAGGAATTGTCCTTAGCCTCTTATAACTCTAGAATTAAAAGAATCTGTTTATAATCTCCTTTAAGAAGTAGTTAAGCTATAATAGCATTCTTAGTTGCCTTAAATCTTAGTAGAAGAGCTAAGAGGAGGATCCTAGCTTTCTTATAGGGGTCTTTATAGTAAGCCTCCTTTAGATTAACTTCTACAATTCTTTTAGCTATCTAACTAATTTTACTCTAGGCTAATCTAACTAAATTATTATCTGTTATTCTAAAATTAATAAGTTCCTAAACTATAACTATTATATAAGTAGTTAGAACCTTACTATACTTTAAAAGTAGAAAGATCTATATCTTAGTAGTATAGGGTAAAGCTAAATTAGCTTAGAGCTTATCTATATTATCTAAACTAATCCTTTATTTTAGTTTATATCTATATTTTATATTACTCTTACTAAAGCTTAAATCTTATACTATAATTCCTAGTTAGTCTTTCTTTAGCTATATAGTAATCTTTCCTTTATTAACTATTATTATTAACTTAATAGTATTAAAGATACCTTTCCTTTCTAGATTATCCTTTTAAAGATTAAACTATCTCTTCTAGTTCTCCCTTCCTAGAATTAGAATCCTAGCTTAGGAGGTTATATTCTTATTATCCTCTATCTTTATAAAATAAAAAAATTTCTTTTATTTAGCTTAGTCCTACTAAGGCTTTTAGTAGTAGAGAAGGAGAAGGTATATTAGTATAGGCTTTAATAAATAGGCCTTAACTATTTTATAGCTTTAAACCCTTATTCTTTTAGATTTTCTTCCTAGCTTATCTATATACTAATCCTTAGTATCTCTTATAGGGTAGTATAGGAGGATCTAAAATCCTCTTTCCCCTTTTTATATATTAGTATAAGGTAAGAAATACCTTTACTACTTTAAGGTTAAAGTTCTTTCCTTTAGTTTAGTAAAACCTAGGCTTATAACCTATTAAATTATCTAACTAAAAATCCAAATCTAGAGGCTAAGGAGGTAATAGGATATAGTAGTAAAGAGTAAGATAAGAGACTCTAATTTTAAACTAATTTATTATAAGGTATATAGCACTTAAAGTAGGAACTAACTAAGTATATTAATTAAATTAATTATCTTAAGAACTAAATATTAAGAATAAGTATATGCCTTTAGCCTTAGTATCCTAATTACTTAACTAGGGAATTACCTTAGAGTAGATTCTACTCTAAGGTCTCTTCCCTTTCTAAACCTATTAGGTCTTAATAGATAAGGCTTCTAGGTAGTTAGTCGGTCGGAGTAGGATAAGGGTTAGATAAGGCTTCCGGTTAGTCTATTAGTTAGTACTAGTTTTATACTTTTACCTATAAGTACCTAGGTACTTGCTAAAAACAGCGATTAACGGCGTATTAATTCCTAGCTTTCTTTCTATTTTACCTAGTATTTACCTCTCGACGGCTTATAGAGCATTTTCGTAATACTCGCGGATTTCGTTAGATATATTCCTTCTGCTTCCCTCTAGTAGTTTAAAGAATCGTAGAAGTAGAGATATATACGTTAGGACGATAGGTCTTCTAAGTCTGTGCTCTTATCGCGTTCTTAGTATATATACTTATACTAGAGGTTTGGGGGCTTAGAGCTCACTTATACTACAAGCGCGGAAGGGGCGAATCTACACTCTTACTAGTAGTCGTAAGTAAGCCGCCTTATAGTGTTAGTAAGGCCTAAAAGCAACGTGTATACGTACGCTATCTATAAACTAAAAACAGCAGGGTAGGTAGGCGGACAACGAGTAGTAGTGCCTACGCGCGTAAAGGGCGTATAGATACAAACTAGCTACTAGTAGACATAGTGCTACGTTATAGAAGAGAGCTTCTATAAAAGAGAGGTGTATGTACGAGCCTTTAAATAATGGACCACACGGTAGCCTACTTAATCTGGCCGATTTAAAGCCCCTAGATCTTTAAGTAGGGGCATGAATCTGCAGTGTGTTAAGCAGCAATCTTCCGTGCTCGTTTTGAAGATCATGTACATAATTGGGCCCACTTGCACGGTAGGCTGCGCAATGCGTCTTTCATTATTCGCAAATATTCTACTTACGGCTGTGAGGGTTACTACGCTAATGCATGTTGTGTGTGGGTAGCAGCACTGCGTTTACTAATAGGGATGCATTTGCGGAGCTCGTACTCCGTCTTGTCGAAAAGGTCTAGGAGCTTCGCCCCGCGTCTGAAAGAGCTAAAGCGTCTATAGAGAGCCTCGTAGCTCTAGAGCTTCTAACGCGTAAGTTGCTTCTTCACATATCTTCTAAAGCTCAAACGTAGGGAGCGGAATTTGATCTACACATCATCACCACAATAGTCCTTTTGCCCTGCCGTGGTGATGAGCATATCTGACGAAAATAATCTACAAGACGAAAAACGAAGGCCTCGAGACCGCAGATAAACGGTAGAACCTTACTAATAGGCACTATTCGCAGGAAATTTCCAAGTTCAAGCACGAGTTTTCATCCAAATGGGAATCGAGGGTGTTGCGCGCACCCGGTTCCAAACCTCGTCCACAGTCGTTGGTCCACTAGTTAACATCCTCACAGCCGTTATAAAGGCCACCGCGACCGCTTCAGCTTCATCCGAAGAGTAACAATCTTGGAGACACCGGAGACTCAAATACAGCTCCGTAGGATGTGTAGACTTGGTCAAAAGATCAAAGTCGTAGGTCAGTGCATGCTCTACTTTCGCCTCTCCGATATGGAGATAACCTTCATCTCCGACTGCCATACTAGGCGTAGTGACCACGCCCTGATGTTGCATAAAGCTGCTGTGTTAATATCGAATCTCGCGTGAAGACCAATCGGTGCATTTGGCAGCGATAGTGCTCGAACCCAGGTGCGAGTGTGGAGTAGAGTCCAACATCTGTTGCTGGACGAGATCGACCAGTTCAGTGGATGTTATCGAATAGTGAAGCTGAGTTCGTAGCGGAATCTCGCTTACGTATGGACCAATAACCCTGTTACTGCCGGGAATCTCTTCGTCTCGTCCATATACGAGGCATAGAGATATTATGTCGGTACGATTGGCGAGGACGCTAAGCACTAGGGCCTATGCGCTCTATACTAGGGTGGACATGGAGGCGCTGTTCGGACCGCCTGCTAATCGCTGTAGATAGACAGCTCGTGAGATACAATGTTCCGCTGAGCTGTATACATGCGTATTACTGGCTGCTGTCGGCGAGTCTCTCAGCCTTCGCAGACTTGTAGGCGACGAGCCGCGCAAGACTTCTCTCCAGTAGCTCAGGGTCTCGTGAGATGGCTTCAAAAGCCTGTTGATAAGATAATTCGTGAAACTTGGTCTTGGGTCGATGCGTCGATTAAGATAAATGTTCATTAGATCTTCCATTAGATGGCCAAACGACATGCCATCGAAGATGGCATGATTAATGTGAAGGATAATCTAGACGGTATCCTGCTGGTGTCTCGTAGCTGTGCGAACCGCAACTAATAGGGGATGTTGGACAAAGTCGTGCTTGAATGATACTTCATCCATAGCGTCAGCTTCTGATAGCGAATAGACTCGACGCTTCCACTCCGTTTTAGCAGGCGGTATAACGAGCTGCAGGGGTCGTTTTTTGGGTTGTTGGATAAATGAGAGTCGCAACGCTTCAGTGCTTTCTATCCATAGATATAGCGCTCGAAAAAGGTCTTCGGTGTTGACCGCCGCCCGCATAGTCATGTCGAATTTGTATAGCAGGCCTCGCTCCGTGCCTGACCCGCGAGCAAGATATTCCGCTTGGAAATCCGTGACTGCTAGGAGATCCTCGCCCTGTCGCCGCGATTGAACTTCCTTACTGTTAGTTGACGAGGTCGTATCTGGCTTTGGAATCTGTTTGCAAAGATCGAGTAGAGTCTCGCCGGACATGACTTTAATGGTGGTCAAGCGCAACCCAGCCAATCTAGCGTCTCGAACAAGCATCATCGCAGACAACGAATCGCCCCCAAGGGCTGTCCAACGGCTCGAAGGCGATATCCTCTCTTCCGAGACCTTGAGAATGCTGCTGCCAAGAGATCGCAACGTCCCGAAACTGTCTCGCTCAGCGTCTGAGTGCCAGTCATGGCCGTTTTGTTCCAGTCGCTCTTCTGTTGCGTGAGCGCCATTATCCGATGCTTGGACCTGCTGCTCAAGAGCTTCGTATTGTCGTTTCAGGTTTCGTCTGTCAAGCTTTCCCGTGGCAGTCTTGGGCATTCTGCGGACCACAATTGCCTTCGTGGGGATCATCTAGAGTGGAACGTTTCTCTGCAGACGATCTGTAATTGCTTAATGAAGCCAACTCTCTTCCGCTTGGTCTTCGAAGGTAATGTCGTCCTCCGTCGCCTGATTTGAGCGAAGCGATATAAATGCGACCAGTCTCCGGCGTTACTTGCTTTTAACCTGATCGACGACAACTTGCTGAATATTCTGGCCCAACGCTATCATAATGTGATGCTCGATCTCGGCCGCTTCAACACGTTGACCGTTAACCTTGAGCTGCCTGTCTTTGCGACCAAACAAGAAAATCTCGCTAGTCTCCTGATACTGAACTAAGTCACCCGTCTTATACCACCTACGTCCATCAAAGCCTGCACTAAATTGCGCTGCCTATCGGGGAGCTGATATGAACGCAGCTGCTGTCTTGGCCGGCTCTTCCAGATATCCTTGTGTAACGCTGTGACCTTTAAGGACGAGCTCGCCCATTGCTCCGACAGGCATTAGTCGATCGTCATCCCGCGGGTCGACGATCCAATAGCTCATCGGACTATCAGCACCGATACTTCTATAGTTTGCTGTTAAAGATAACAGTGTCGCGGTACTATTGGTGCTATACGCCTCACTCTGACCGTATCCGTTCCGTAACTTGACCCTCCCCGAAGCCAGCCACCTCTCTACTAGCGAACGCTGGATTGGCTCGCCAGCTAAGACGACTTCTCGAATTAACGGCACTTGGTCCGGATCTAGAACCTTCAGCACCGACGGTGTCAGACGCACGAAATCGGGCTTTAGTCGCCTGATAGCTCTAGTGAGATCGTTTGTACGCTTATCGGGAGCAGGAAAACAGACCGTGCCACCGGTAACGAGGGTATGTAGTATGTCGAGAATAGACACGATGTAGCTAAATGCCGAATACTAAAAGACTCGCGTCGACTTAGTAATGCTAAGCCGATAAGGCTCACTACAAGTTGTAACCCAGGCGTCRTGCTGGACTAGTATGGCTTTAGGAATGCCGGAACTTCTAGAGGTGAAGATGTAAAAGGTAGGGTCTTCGTGAGACACGGTTGGTGTATGTTCATTGACAGAAAAGGCCTGTGGTTGAGATGCAGTATCGACAATCGAAAATTTTCCGCTTCCGTCGTCTACGATGACGGTCGAAAGTAGTTTGCATGCCAAAGCGGTGTGATTCCTCGTAGTAATGATTTGGGTAGCATTTGTCTTCTCCATCTGGATCTTCAAGCGCTCAGGTGGAAGGGAGAGATCAAGTAACAGAAATGCGGCTCCGGCCTTGAGGGTTCCTAAGATTGTCATAGCAGTCGATTTTAACTTGTCCATAAGGATGCCAACGACACATCCGCGTTCTACACCGGCTTGACAAAGAAGCTGTGCGAGAACATTGGCTTGTTTCTCGAGCTCGCCTCGAGATAATTGACCATCCTAGGCATCTATCGCTAGTTTGTCTACATTACGAGAAGCCATTTGTGAGATGCAATCTTAGATAGTGCGGAAGTCCAGACTCTGTACTTTGGAGTTCCACCGAGATATGAACTCTCGATCGTCGGCGGTTAGAAGATCAAGATCTTCGAGCTTTGCGTCATGTTTGGATTGCCATATATAACTAGTGTACTTCAAGAAATGCTGGATATAGGAGTTAACATAGAAGGTGTCGATGGAGTTGGAGTTCGACTAGGCTGTAACTCGAATAGACGTGTTGTTGTCGACTCCTGCTTCACGTTAGTAGAACAGCTGTAATGGGATGCTACTCTCGTTAATCGGGTCGAAGGATCTGTTATGGAAGAAGTCTCCATCTTGTAAGACGTGCACCAGAATATTAGGAGCATTAATGGCAGTGTTCAAGAGCATCCGATTTTTCTGGACCGAATGAACAGCTTTAGCGACGTCCGTGCCTAGCTCCGCTTTTAATCTGTGGACGACATGCTGGGGTTGATGCTGAACATTGGCAAAGCGGGTGGTCATGAAGCACACCGAGTCGTCCCCTGTGTATGCCCATATCAAGGCTGCGAAAGCAAGATTCAGGCATGTTTCGAAATCACTATTAGCCCAGTCCTGTGAAGGGGGGCCCAATTCGGTGGTTAGTGGCCGTGATGTCCATAATCTAGACTTGGCACTTTCCGAACCGTCTCGCTGAGGAGGAAACAAAGATAGGTCTGCCATGATAAGGTAGCGACGCAGGTGACTTGATCCCAGAAAGCCGGGAGTTATGAGCTGGGGCTCTTCTGGTTTATAAAATCGTAAGCATCGAACGACTACACGCGTTAATGCCCCGCAAAGCTACAGGTTCATGATTGTCTCGATTAATGGCCTGCACTATGTTAGCATAACCTCCACCGAGAAACGAGTCTTGGACGAAAGCGGCAAATGGACATCGAAGTGCAGTTCGGCAAATCGTCATAAGTTGTAGATCGCCGGTCGAGTTTAGAGCTAGCGCCGATCAAATGGCGGATCACCGTGATGATGGATCTGCTTCTAATGTCGATCACTGATGCTTAATGGCAACTTTTCTCTACAACAAGCGTCGAGCCGTACAACCCTTTAATGAGCTCACCCTACTCGGGAGATGTTGAATTGGCTGTCTGTTCTGCAAACAATAGTCTTGCAATGTTTGTGTGGAAAGCACCAACGCTGTCACGCAGCTCTCCCAAATTCATTAAAACCATATGTGGTCTCGCCATCTTCTCGGACATCTTCTTTTACGGGCTGCTGCCCCCAATCCTTCCCAACATCCTCAGGGACCGTGTGCATGTCAGGCCTGACCAAGGTAACGCCAGGTATTGACAATCCCTGCATAAGGCAATGTCTAACGAAGACCCGTAGTACAGCTCTGGACCAGTCTGATGCTTGCAATCTACAGCATTGCAATTGTCATTAGTTCACGTACGCTGGCCTCTTTGATGATTTGCACAATCCTCCGCTAACACCTTGAACTGACAGCCATGGCGGGACACTTCTCGGATGCTGGGAAGCGTCGCAAGCCCCTGTTTTTGTGCGCACTACTCTTCCAAGCTGTCGGAGTYGCTCTGCTGACTGTTGGATCTTCGCTTGCCTGGTGGATCAGCGGCGTGATACTTGCCGGTGTATCCTCTGGCGTCACCTGGACTTCGAGTCTCGCGCTGGCGATTGACGTGACTGCGCCAGAAAATATGGCGGAGGGTCTCTCTTTCGTCAGCATCAGCCTTCAGTGTGGCTTATTCTTGGGCACAGTCCTTAGTGGCGTGGTGTATCAAAAAGGGGGATACTACGCCATCTGGGCCATGTATTATGCATTGATCGCACTCGATGCAGTCTTGCGCCTCGTAATGGTGGAGCCGCAAAGGTCACATGCCGCACTCATGGCAATCGAAAGCTTGGATAACGACGTTGGCGAGACACCGWCGACGCCAGAACGTGTTCGGAGCCTACCACCATCGCTGGTGGTGTGGAGAAGTCCAAGATTTTTGGCCACCATAGTCGGGACGGTTCTTAATGCAACACTACTGACTTCGTTCGACGGCGCTTTGACTATCCATCTACAAGATCTGTTCAGCTATACACCTCTAGAAGCTGGCCTTACGTATATCGCGCTGCTGGTCCCAATTTTCCTGGCCCCTCTGATTGGACGAATGGCGGACCGTCATGGATCTCGTCTAGTTCTCACCACCAATCTGACTCTGGGCACCATTCCACTAGTATGTCTGCGATACGTGAGCTACGACTCGATCCGGCAACAGGTCCTGGTGTGTGCGCTTTTGTTCCTAGTCGGCTTGACCTGCGCAGGTAGAATAGGCATATATACGTCCGAGACCAACCATGCGGTGAAGGAGTTTGCGCGAGATCGACCGAAGCTGCTCGACGCGCATCGTGCAATCGCGAGCGCACAAGGTGTCTGGACTGCAGCATACGCTGCCGGTTGCGCGCTCGGGCCGGTGTATGGAGGACTGATTCAAGGCAGGACCGGGTGGTCCACGGAAACATGGGCGGTTGCTTTGTTGGGTGTATGTGCTTCTTTTCTTGCCTTCCTTTTCACCGGCGGCTGGCTTGGCAGGGTAGTCCAGTAGCGAATGTTTGTGCAGATGATCCGTTTGGACCGATGAGCGCTCGCTCCAAGTCACTCGATTGTACTCGTAGTGCAGGTAGGTGCAGAACTGATGAGAAACACGTCTTCTCCTTGCTTGTGGCTTCTTTCTCGCTGCAGTTGAGGTTATTAATGGGGACTACGATGCATCGATGAGACGCTGGCTAGTGGTACCTCCACTGGGCGTCACACACTAAAATTTGACGAAACAAAAACTAAACAAGTTCATTGCTCGATGAGACGCTGGCTAGAAGGGCTGACTGATGCCCACACTACCAAAATACAATAGGCGACATCAGCCCAGTATCTGAAAATGTGGCGATGCTCTGGAGCGCAAGTCGAGGAATAGCAAGTTCCTATTAATGAACAGCAAAATTGTCCAGGGATTCATCTCCACCGTTTTGCCGCAATCTAAACCGTTTTGGAGGAGATGGGACAGTTCGAGCTGACAGTAGATGTAGAGATGAGAATCACATGAAGGGAATCGTTGCGGCTGTTGATCGGTTCGAGTTGGCGTTCTTCGCGTAGAAATATTTGTCGACTGGATTCCATTGGCAACAGTGTTCCGTGAACAGTCAACCATCTGCCCAGCAAAAGTTCCACTGAGCTCACTGACCTGAGGTCAATCATGGTTGCGGTCCGATTGGGGAAGACGCCAAGCAGTAAGCCCCAAAAGCTCATGACCGTTTTGGGCAGTCTCTAGACAGAGTATCTTTAATTTTCCTTGCCTTTTTCGGCCCTCTCTAGCCACAAGACCCGAGCCCTTACCATCTTTTGATTCCCCATTCGGAAGACTCTAGACGCTCTTGTCGATCTGGAGATAGAGCTTGTTTCCATTATGAACGAATTCGCATTCTTTGGCTGGATGCAACTGGAATGCACACTCTCTAGATGGATGCGCACTCTCTAAACAGATGCGCACTCTCTGAATGGATGCGCATTCTTGAACTAGATGCGCGCTATGAGAACGAATGCACACTTTCTGAACGAATGCAGACTCTGTGAACAAATGCGCACTCTCTGAATAGGTGCGCACTCGCGAAATAGATGCGCATTCTCTAACCAAGTGCGCATTTTCTAATCAAGTACGCATTCTCTGAACATGTGCGCATTCTCTGATCTTGTGCGCACGAATTCCTAACTGTCTGCACTGTCAACACGTTGATCCAGACCACGCTGCTGGCGCTCGCTACGACCCAAGTCTTTGCCTCTGCAATCATGCCACGTGCTTCGTTCCGTGTGTACTGCAGCGACATGCGTTCGTAACTTGCGGCCCCGGTAGCACAATCGGCGCTGGAACATGCAGCAGAATTTTTACGATTAACGCAAACGGCGTCATTACCTGCAAGGACGTGGCACTGTTCTGCAAGGCGGACCAGTTGTTTTCGTTATGCACGGGGGTGCTAATGTGTTCTTACAACCCCCAGGTTTAATCGGGGACATCGTCCATTTGTTCGGCAGAATGACGTCGATTGAGTGGTGTCTAGTAAGATGTCTGTAGCTTGTTTGATGCAGTAAATGAAAAACATGTCACTTTCAGGACGTGTTGGAGTGCGGGCTCCTCCATTTCATGGAGGACGTATAGTAAGCAAGTGGTCAATATACGACGCAGGCTGCTCTGAAATGTGCAAGGCATGTCAAAATTTCACAGGGTGAAGTAGTATTCTAGGCAAACACACATTTCCATGGAGTCTTGCGAACTGGAAGATGGTTAGCTAGCGCAAATACCAGTCCGAGCGAGATTGCAACCTCACCTCAGTCGACCCGGGGCCTTCCCTAGCTACGCCCATCCATCGATCATATAGTTCCGAGGGTGATTGGGCGTTCCAAAACCAAGTTGAGCCCAGAAAGACTTCCTCATGACCCACCACCGATGTATTTGACCCCCCAACTCTGCCATTGACGCCTGCGTTGAAAATCTGTTGAAGATCATTGGATTGCCATCGCTTGTCGAAGAACATTGGGTGTGGTACTGATATGGCCTTCAAGCCGTGGTGGAACGCAAGGGTGGGTGGCCACATTTCAGACATCATAGCCCTTCCAGCTATGTTTTCGTTCGCCATCATTTGTAGAAGTCGGCGAGATAGCCGCATGTTGGTTCCAACCGTTCCGATACGGGGCTGGACCTCCTCAAGCTGGTAGTTGACGACATAGTCTTTATGAGGCCAAGCAGTGTCCTCGCAATCGAACATGGGAAACAAAGTAATCAGGTCGGATTCTTGTCCAAGATCTTCCGGCTGAGATTGCTGTGGTAGCCATGGCGTAGGGCTAGGGAAGGCATTGCCAGATAACTTGATCGATCTGGTGAAGTTCTCCCAGGTCCCATGGTAAGTTGGAATGTAGAAGCGCGAGTTGCGCTCCCAAGCCCCTTCATGAGACTGCTGGTTTGCCCAAGCTGTCAATGATGGGAACAACTCGTTGTATGTTCCAGTATAGCGTACGTCCATCTCCCAGTTCCAGAAGAAGTCATATTCCGGATGTCTATCCGCGAACATCTGAAGAGCCATGAACGCGTGGTAATAGAATCTGAACAAACGTCAGTGTTTCGGATTGCATCTCGATGCTAGGCAGCCTACTCGTACTCCCCAACAGCTGGGTACGCTGACTGACAATCTGCATAGCTCCATAGCTCTGTAATGTTCAAAAACTCAGCAGGAACATGCAGCAGCTTGATAGCTTCAAGAGATTCTGCAGCCATCGTTGACAAGTCTTCTTCGGTTCTGACGTGAAGCAGAATGTGAACAGAATAGGAGCTTCCTAGAAGTGACATTTCTGTTACCATGGCCTTCACGTTGCGTATATCATCGGGCGTCCAGCTGAACTTATCCCAGGCGCGCAGCACGATCGCACTCCGATACCTTGGTGCTGGATCCTCCAAAATATCGATGCTTTGTTCTTCTGTTTGACTGGCACAAAGAGAACTATACCGAGCTCGATATGTCATGCAGTCGTGTAGTTCGGTATGGATCGCGGAAGAGTCACCCAAAGACGCAGGTGGAAACGCTGACACATGGTAAGTAGGAGTCACAGATGAAGCAAGATCATGATGGAATAAACATACTTGAGCAATGGGTAACACAAGTTGAAGAATTCGGTTGTCGTCCAGATTCAGCGTCTCGGATGTAGCAGAAATCAGCCTCACGCCAACGTAGCCGGCTCCAGCCAAAGAGCGAAAGATCTGGAAACTTGATCCAGTTCGGGGTGTACCTAGCATCTCGAAGGCCAGCCGATAGGATGAGAATTGTTAAAACTGCGACGAGCACTGCCACACAGGTGCATGCAAGACTGTGGCGGCCGCAAAGCCTCCTGCTGAGTTGTCTGCGCATGTACTCAAGGGATGTCGCCAGAATCCCGAGCGACGAAACCAACATTTGTTAGGCGCCAGTTTTGTGGCCCCAAGATGAAGCGCCAAACGCCGCATGGCCGAATGATATAGCATCACTAGATGCCACTTTATAGCGTAGGTACATGCAAGTCGCGCTGCATGGAAATCCTTGGAGGGGGAAAAAGGTTCGGCGCCGTTGCATGACTATGCATTTGCCATGCCGTAGTTGAAAGCTAGTGAATTCTTTCGCCTCACATCGTATGAAGACACTAGTCTGACGCATATTTGGTCAGCCAATGTCGTTGCATCATTCCACCCACGAGGACTACGAGGTATGTGATACTACTGCCGCGCCGCCCCCCGCCCGATGCGATATGGGATCTACCATGTACATCAGCCGCTCTCAAACTTACACTACTCTCTGCCGAAGGAAGACGCCAAGAGCTCCTTGGAATTCATTGTCGCGTTGCTGTGCCTCATGGACTATGTATTACTTAGGTGAATGACAGTCCAACGCGGGCTTCAAAGCACCGAGATGCCTCGCTCGATCATCGACATGGAAGAATCACACCTTTTTCGCAATGCTCTACAAGTTGCAGAACACGTCCAGAAGCGCCCCACTGCACGTCTGCTATCGCACTCGGACGACATCCAGCGGCTATTCACAACAATCAGCCAGCTCCACCGCTCAGCCAGTACAGACTTCTCGCCAAACTCTCGGAGAATCAGTGAAGTCTCAGCAACCCTGGCTTTATTTCAAGATCGAGCCTGCGATCCCGCCATGTGAGCGCAGAGAGTGCGTTGGAAGCAGCTGGTGCGCTTGCGTTGCCTCTTGCGAATGTCATATCGCAGCATTTGAATAGTGCATAAGCAGGTTGGATCAACGAGTTAGCCGGTCTGCGTGTCCACCACCTTCTTACATCAACCCTAGCCCTAACCCTAACCCTAACACACCACCTTCAGCCGATCTTGTCGTTCCAAACGTCCACCTTGCCTGCCCGCGGCGACGCCTAGGACCGGATTCTTCTATCATGCTACTGCCACTCGCTATCGAAGGACTTCGATACGTACGAAAGTAGCCAAGGCTGGAAATCAAAGCATGAAATACTGTCGCAGAAGCTATTCAGCGGACGGGATCCGAGACATTGTGATCGATGTACATGATGCAGTCCTGAAATCGATGTAATTAAACTTGCTTTGATATGAAGACAAGTTGCTTATGCCACCCTCTATTATCTTATCCCAAATGTGCATTTGCATCTAGGATGCTTGTCAAATGCCTCTACTACTCGTTAGTATATACACACGGGAGTTGGGAATTACACTCAGATGCTACCAAGGGCAGGTTCGCCATCATTTGCGGGGCCAAGAAATCGCTCGGAGCTAGCAAGTCAATACAGCGCAGCAGCTACTTGGCGTGATACGAGTTGAAGGGACCGTGACCATCAACRTTCAAATTTGTGGCATGTGATCAATGATGCAGGACAACTTGTGCGGCGACATTTGAAGCCTACAGGCATCGAAAGCCCCTTGTCTATTGCCAAAGGAAATTGACACGTCTCATAGTCAATAATAATTCGCAAGGTCCTTTCATACGAACTATTGTGCTAGTCGATCTTTGCTCCTATAGCTGGCCGTAGATTTGGTCCGTACAGCATCTTACTACTCCGGAAACTCGGTCCGCTCCTTTGTTGTAAGTACGGTCGGTACATTACATCGTCTCATACAGAAATGGTATACTTCACCAACTGCAGGGTGCTGTTAGGCAGGAAGTCGGGACGAATAGMTGCAACGACCTTTAGCGGTAGTAACACTCTGCAGCTCGAAACCGGCTCGCAGATGCGAAAGTGTGAGATGCAAGTCCTGAGAAGGGCTCCCCTTTATTTCGTTTCAAAGGCGGGTGGGTCTAGGCAACATTCACAATTCATCGCCGTCTCGAGGGCAGCTCTTGGTTGAAGCGACAAGGCTGCAGCCCGTAGGTGTATAGTTCGGTAACATGGTCGCCCTTCGAAGTGAGGAGTGGACATAGATTGCAGCGTTGACAAGGCGATGCAACGACATACGCTGAATGTTTGATGTCGCGGTCAGTGATGCCGAGGCTTCACATTGCTCGTTCTCGCATTCGCCGAGTAATAACAATTTATCGTTGTCTGCTGCAATCCGAGCAAGCCAAAGAGAGGGTCCCAAATTCTGACGCCTGATCGAGCGGGGGTAAGGTCATGATATAGATGGTACGTTCTAGAAACGTGAGTACCGCGCAAGTGGAACGAGCGCACGTTGGTTTAAGCCTATATGCTTTCTTGTCCGAGCTGGCCAATCACGGAAGATGACGAGCCAAGATAGAGTTTCATCGTGTTTGTTTCACTCAAAGGATCATCTGTCACCTCGGTATGACGCCAGGGGCTACCTAGACCTTTCCTCTTTCGTCTTCGTCTGCGAAGTGGCAAGCCTGGGACCCTTGAGACATGGCCGTTCGACATTTACATATAATCGTGCTATTGTCTCGTGTCATCATGTTCTTGGATAGTCAACCTTCATACAACATTCACTATGTCTACCGATCGACGACCAACAGATTCCATGAAGTCTACCTGGCGAGACGATAAGTCTCAATGGGGCTTCTTCCACCACTTTCTCAACAACCTTGATGCCTTTCACTCAGTACCAGGCAAGGACCCGCCGATCCACGCAAAGACTGACAAGATACCATACCTGACTGAATGGTCATGTCACATCTGGATCCTTACCCATGCGGTATGGCCGATGGTTCTACAGCAACTCTACATTTCCCTCACTGGCTACGACCTTCATCCTATTGCGGTCTACCTCCTCTACACAATCGGAATGCAAATCAACTCAATCCATCAACTTCGAATCCTTGGACGGCTCGGTTACCGATATGGATATCTGGACGGCGACAAGCACGCTCGTGATGAGGTGCCAGATGTGGGCGTGAAGAAGGTCTTCTCCTCGCTGCAGTTGACCACCTCCATTCGTCCAATGTTGACGATGWTCTTCGCCTATCGGCGCCGTGGAGGACTCCAGCTGAGCTGGTGGCTACCGGTCGAGCTTGCCTTGTACTCGGTCGTCTTGGACGGATTCTTCTACCTATACCATCGATCATGTCACGAGCTGGACGGTCTGTGGCAATATCACCGCACACACCACCTGACCAAACACCCCAACCCACTGCTCTCATCCTACGCGGACCACGAGCAAGAGTTTCTGGAAATTGCTCTCATTCCATTCCTCACGTGGGCTACGTTGAAGTATGTCTTCCAGCTTCCGATGGGTTTCCATGATTGGTGGATCTGCCACGAATACATCATTTTCGCTGAGGCGTTTGGACACAGCGGTCTGAGGATCTACTCAACAACACCCGGTGCATCATCTCCGTTCCTGAAGGCGACTGGGTGTGAGCTGGTCATCGAGGATCACGATTTGCACCATCGCAAGGGATGGAGGAAGAGCAGCAACTATGGAAAGCAGACACGGGTTTGGGACAAGCTTTTCGGCACCGCTGGAAAGCGTATTGAAATTTTGGATGAGCAGGTGGACATGAGCATGACTTTCAACATGCCGCTTTTGTAAAGGAGGTTTGATTTGGAATACCCACTATCGTACAGGAGCTTTGAACCGGAATACCCATATTTCATAGGAAATGTGAAACTCGCTATCGAATAGCTTTTGTTTGACTATCCACGAACTTTCAATTTTCACGTGGTGTCCTATCATGAGGTTAACATAGCAAAGATCGCGGCGGCGACTTGGCGCCAGGGCCGCGCATTCTGATGCAAGTCTTTCACGTGTTAAGCATTGATCAAGTGACTTCACCTATGCAAATCCCAGATTCTACCTGATCTACTGTCGAAATCGTAAGCAAAGCGTGACATTACGAGGTCGCCCACAGTATGTATGAAGCTACTTTCCGCAGAAAATGCTCGCGGTGAATACAGGGTAAGGAGAGAGTTGTAGTGAGGGAGATGTGTGAGGTGCAACACATTGYAAAGGGTAAGTAAGGTGATGGCTGAGATCTGCCCGCGTTCGATCACATGACAACTCCAAACAAACATTCTTCCCACATGCGAGACTGCATAGCCAGACAAAGCTAGATACAGCTCTCCCTGGTAGCAAGTGGGAACTCTGCTTTCCTGAGCAGTCCTGGCCACCCAAAGTCGAGAGGCTGTGTCGAGATCATCAGACCCACCTCTGGCAACGCTGACCGGTTTTGAGAAAGGCTTTCTAGTCATACCCCGTCGTGGTCATTCCTCCACTCCGGCGCCAAAGTCTTGGTCTACCTGGAATGTCGTGAGACCTGCTTGAGCATAGTCTCGTTCTTTCGTCGAGCGTATGCTGCAAGATAGGCGTTTGGAGGACCTGCTTATGATTCATGCTGCAGTGCTACTCGCTCTGGCTTCTCCGGTACTTCTCTCCTACTGCGTCAATGCTTGATCAACTGTATGTGACCTGTACTCAATCTTCTCCCTTCTTTCGGTGCTCGCTCACTCACGCCACCGTGATCTGCTTGCCCCGAATCGAACGACGACCCCGGTGCTTGCAAATATTGATATCGGTGATTGCACTACCGGCTGGAAGTAGCCTGACCTTAAAGTGACAGCTCATGGGAGTGAGTTGGAAAGTCCTGATACCGAAAAGCGCACCAAGACCCAGGTCGGATTCTCAGCATCGAGATCCAGAGGAAATGGATATCAGGAAGTTCAAGTCCCTTTCTGCACGACATCCATAACGCCCTCCAACTCCTCCACCGTACTCCGATGCTTCACCTTCCTCCCTCCCGTCCCTAAAACCTCCCCATCCCCATTAACCTTCTCATCACCAACATTCCTCTCCACATGCAAGACCGGCACATCAAACTCATACAACGCCTTCCACTTCTCCATGTCTCTCGCTTTGATATCCACTTCCTTGTATTCAAAAGGCCGTTTGTCCCAGACTTTAGACATGACGACTTTGAGGTCTTCACAGAGGGAACATTGAGAGTGAGTGAAGAGTGTGAGGCGAAGGGGGAGTTTTGAGAATAGGCGAAGTGTAGGACGCATCTTTCCGCCTTGGAAAATGTGGGATGAATTGTGATGTTGACGAAGTTGACGTTGACTGAACAGGTGAAGTCAAAGCATTTTGTGGCTGAAAAGCTCGGACCATGCCATTCATCCCTAAGAGAAATGATTCGGACAGCCACTTTCACATCGTTGGTCACGGCGAGATCAGCAGCACTTTACAGCAAATTGAAACCCAATGCATCGTACAGCATCTACCATATAATACATTTCATTCCATTTGATCTACCCCTTTAACCTCCTCTCCTCACACCCGACACAACAAACCACCTCGCCACCACCTCTCTCCTCCCTCAAGAAATACCTCCCATCATGAAACCCTCCTCCACACTCTTCACACCTAAAACAAGCCTCATGCCAGTCCGCCCCAGCAGCCTTCACAACCACTTCCATAATCCCCTTCTTGCAACCCCTACACTTCACCGCCGTTCTCTTCTCAAAACATCCCACACACCAAGCAAACCCTTCCCTCTCCACAAATGGCATCTTGCTATCAAAAGGATCTCCGCATTCTGCACAAAAGAAGTGCCCAGGATGGTATGTCGCACCACACGCTGAGATGACCTCTCCGCTTTCAATGGGAGTCTTGCATGATTTGCATCGAGGGGAGAAATGTTCGTGGTAATCTAGATGGCAGAAGAAGCGGACATCGCCCTGCTCGGCTTCGCGGTCGCGATTTGCCTGGTCAGGTTCTGGGTAAAAGGCGACACACTCAAGGTTGGTGCCACAAGTATGGCAAACGAAGCAGCCGGGGTGGAAGCGGTTTCCGGCAGCACTGAGAATGCGGCCGGCGATTGGAAGCGCACAATGCGTGCACAGCGCACCTGTGGGGATAGAGCGGAGGGAGGGCGTGTAGTGTGGTGTGCTGCGATGAGATGGTAGCCCGATGGCGGTGGCGGCATGATGAGGAACAGGACGGGCTGGAGATGGAAGAGGGCGTTGAGGAATACTGTTGTTACTGTGGGTTGGTGAGGTTGAGGGAGATGTAGGAGCATCGTCATCGCCAGGAAGGTTGATGGTTGGTATTGAAGGTGAATCGCCGGGTAGGTTGATGGTCGGGATTGTGGGGTGGTCATCTGGGAAGTTGATGGTCGGTACTGCAGACGCATCATCAGGAAAGTTAATGGTCGGTATGCTCGACTGTTCATCCGGCAGGTTGATGGTCGGGACCGGTGGGTGATGATCATTAGGTAGGTTGATGCTCGGAATAGAATGAATTGGAGATGCTTGTCGTGGTGTGCTCGGAAGCTCCCTGACCGCACTCCTCCCCTCTTCCAACACAATCTCTTTCTTCTTCTCAAAACTGACAATGGGACGCCCGGGCTTATCACTGACCAGAGTCGGACGTGGCAGATTTGGAGAGTAGTCGGTCCTCCTCTTCCCTGTAGCAGCACGAATATCATCCCCTCTCACCTCCTTGCCATCCTTCATACGCACTTCCTCAACAACATCATCATCAACACTCCTACGAGTGGGAGTAGCATTTTTTGGAGCAGTTTCATCCTCCTCCCTTCCTGGCGGTTGTGGGGGTGGAGTAGGCGGTAATGACTGATTGGAGACATACCACGGGTTGCGGCTCTGAGTTGGTGGGTTGCGCTGAATCTCGACCCGATCATGCCTCAAGACGGGGATGGGAGCATGAGGGAGGGATTGGAGTGTTGGCGCCGAGTTGGCACGTTCCAGCTTGGAGGAATCGAATTGAGCCCTCACTCTGGCAAAGGGATTCTTGCGGACTGATGAAGACATGGTGGGTGGTAGAGAGGGAATGGCAGGCAATTCCACCCGCGGAGCCTGCTGCACTCGCACAGGCTCTCTCACCGGCGATGGAGGGGAAATTTCGGCCTCTTCGCACGGATCCTCCCAAATCTTATCCTGCGGACTCATAAACATCTTCTTCTCCCCACTCAACACGCGCACACTGCCCGAGCTGCTGCGACGATGCGCAACAGCGATATCCTTGGCGACGGCGTCGGCGAGTGGGCCGTATGATTTGGATGTTCTGTCCGATGACATGCGTCGTTTGACACTTTCCACCGGCGTACTGCTCCGTTGGGGATTGTAGCTCGCTCTTCTTGAACCTTCCTCATCGGTGGAGGAAGAACTGGCGGATCTGTCCTCCTCGGCGCTGCTGTGACTGCGTTGATAGCTTCCCCTCCGCAGATGTTTGCTGTACTTGTCCAGATCCGGATTCGCAAACGATGCCTTGGCCGCCTGCTCGGGATAGCGATGTTTCCACACCAGTTCCGCAGCCTCGTCTCTCGCCGCCGAGTGGACTTTCCTCTCTTCCTCCAAATCCATATCTTCCAATGCCATTCTCAAGCTTTTGGCCTCTTGCTTTTCCATCCATCGCATTCCATTCTCCATGTATGCCGATCGACGTTGGGTGCTCTTTTCGCTCACTTCTTCTTCGGTTTCTTCTTTTGGTTCTTCATCGTCGGGTCCCTCCTCTCGAATGGTCGGCGTCGGAGCGCGTGCGAGTGGACGGCCGGCAAACGGACTGCGCGGTGGCACGCGTGTCGTGACGTCGTCTCGCGTTATTGTGGTCGGCGGTGTCGCGACCGCCGACGCGCTTGCTCTCTTCACACTGCGACTCGATACCGGTGCTGGACGAGACCCCGCCGGTCGCTGTGGTCGATCCCGCCGGAGATCTTTCAAATAGCTCGCTGTACGCGTAGGAGATGGTGAGCTCTCCATCGTTGTTGATTCGCATCAAAAGTGTCAATCACTAACCCATTTGTGCCCCCGACATGTAGCTTGGTCCCGGCGTCGGCACGGGATCCCTGATGTACATCATTGCTGAGGCTGGAGGCGCGACCACGGCGGTTGCCAAGGGAATGACTTTGTGGAATGTGAAAAATGCGCCAACGTTGAACAAACATACAGCCACTCCAACGGGGGTGGAAGGAGAGGGAGAGATATAGATATGCTTGTCAATACGTTGTTGCTCTGTTTGACTCGTTGCTCCACTGCCCCGTGGCTCGATAGCATCGCGGAGCCGGGATCGTGCATGTTGGCGGAGAATTTCCAGGGTCAAAATAGAGACCCGAGCGGTTGGCGCAGGGACGGGTGGGGCGATGCCGGGATCGATGTTAGTGGGGTCGACTTCACTTCGTCACACATCCTCCTTCAAGGAAAATGGCCATCGCCGTTTTGAGCGCCATCGCCGTTGGGAGGAGAAAACAGACATGACATCAGAGACGCCGCCAATGGCAAGCAAAGACCGCCGCGGACCTCAAGAGTCTGCTCTCACATGAGCAGATTCCATGACACGCCCTTGGGATCGGAAAGGTGCATATCCGCAACACGAACACCCTTCCTCACGACGCACCTAGCCCATCACTTCACCAAGTTACGGCATCAGTGCGAACCAGGGAAGAGGGATCTTGACCTCAGCTCAAGCGAACCAAATGGCATGTGCATGTGCAGCTCGTTCACTCCAGGCAATGCCCGTCATTCAGAAGCCATGTCTACGACGTGCTCCACATTCATCATGTCAACCCCGAGAAGGTGTGAGTGTTTCATCCACCTGTGTATCTCGATCTCGTCACAGAAACGGGTCAATGGTTCGTGAGGAAGGGAGATCTTCCTGCAATCTTCGCGTTCCCGCTGCATCGGGTCACGGCTCGGTGCATGACCGCCAAAGACACTGATCCAGAAGAAACGAGAGCTTCGTACCGCACACCAAATTGGACGGCCTCAAGTGTGAAAGCTCCGTTCTGGAGTGCGAAGGCCAGCTGCGGGACAGAAGGTCTCATACGACACCAATCCCGCCTGGGACGGACATGGCCTGCCAACCTGATGCCATCGGATAGTCACATTGATTTTCCAGGTGTGTCACAACGTTCATCCTGCAAATTGGATCGAAGTAGTCCATAACAAGACCGCGCCTACCAGAGGTTCGGGATCCTGTGTATCTTGCCACTTGTGGAACTGAACATGCGCAACTCCTCCTTTCGCCAACTTGGTCAAGCATCAATTTCCGTTTCGTGAACGTACATGAACTGGATAAAGAGTCTCTTCGGGAAAGGATGTTGCGCACGGTTGGGAGCGGGTAAGTGCAAGCATTCTTTCGATCGCTTCAGGTAATCCACCTTACTTCATATCATGCGCCATTCGCGCAATCTGCACGAAGTTTGCTACCTTCGCACGGGACGAGCACAGCCCGCATGAAGCGAGGACAGACCCGAATCCCGCCAGGCGGCTCATCTCGCTAGCACTAGATTTCCACCCACTTTCCATCAGTTCCTTTGTTCCCCCTCTCTCCTTGTCACCAAATCTCAAACATCTACGATCCCACTTCGAACATCCAATTTCGTCAAGCGTATGTTTGAGCAATTCGAGATTTGTCGTGCGAAGAGCCAGTCCAACTCTCGCTAGATATCTTCATGGCCAATTCCTCGCAACAGCAGCCGATCAGCACTTTCCAGTATTTCTGGAAGCCTCTACGCGAATTCCAATTGCCAGGCCCAAACGGTCAGCATCTCTGTTTCGTCACCCTGTTCTTGGGCCATGGAATCGGGTGGAGGACGAAGTGTGGCCGAAACGACCCCTACATCCCGGATTCGTTCACCCTATTGCCATAAGGTACTCCCTTTTGACTCAGGCTTTTGTTGGGCACGCAGAACATTGTTGTATTGCAAATCTGGAGCTGATCTACTTCCGTGGTATTGCAGTGCTCTATGAAACGAGTGAGCGCGATTACGCTGCGACTTGCTGTTGATGATGTATGTGCTATCGAGTGGGCAGACCGCCAAGGAGGAGTGGCGATGCAGAGTGCTCCTGACTGAGAGGTGAAGGAATGATGTCCTGTTGTTAAAGAGGACTTCATGGTTTCGAGAATGAAGAAGTGAAAATACTGGTTTTCAACACTCAGCGACCGCTCGTGCAAGACTGTCACATGCCAAACCTTGAGATGCATCCTTGTATTTCTCGTTAGACTAAAATCTATCTAGACACACTAATGACAGAATGTCAAGCTGCGAGGTCAAATGGGCTCCAGCTCGACACTCACATGCCAAACTCCAGGTCTTGTTGACGTGTCTATGCTCACGATCTCGATTCTGGGATCCAGAGATTCAAACGATCGTACCAAGTGTCGAATCAGTGGATGTCGATATACGAAAAGCTTATGGCATGTCTTAGGCTTCTGCTTCATAGTCTCACACTATTGCCGGGTAACATTCCATAGAACAGCAAAATTTTGACTATTCTAGAGTGGTGAATGTCAGCCGCGACTGGATGCCAGAAATTGCAAGAATTACCAGAAATGGTTGTAGACAGCGAGTATGGATAGTACTTGTGTTACAGAACAGTCACTTCTTCCGTCCATGTTTCACCCGCACCAATTCAATCCACCCGAGAAAGTTGCAAGGAAAGAAGCCAAGAAGCTCTCCACTTTTGATGACTGTTCGCCGATCACATCACCTTTTCTGGACTCGGCAACAAGGAACGTCGACATTGACACGACCACTTTACGAACCGGAACAGAAGACAAAATGCCAATCCAAGTGCTCCCGGCAGAAGATGCCGACATGACCAGAGTCTTTGAGATTGCGAGTCGGGCTTTTGCCGTGACGAAAGATAAAGGTATGTTTTTTACACCCATGTCATACGATTTATTACAGCACGATTAACAACTTTTGTTCAGTCTGGCCGGTACTATGGCCTGAAGGCAGCGATGTGGAAGCAGGTGGTATGTGCTTTCAGCCCATCGATGATTAGGGACAGCAAGCCTGATGAGTATCTTTACAGGCGCACGCATGACCAAGACCAAGAACTCCGATCCCAACACGACATATATCAAAGCAGTCGACGATGAAACAGGCGAGATTCTGGGAATGGCGAAATGTGCGAAATTCTCCTCCTAATTATGAATTGCCTTCTGACTTCCTGGTAGGGAACATCTGGACGAAGGAAAACATTGCTCTCAGCGACAAAGCAGAAGGCTTGATGGGAGAATATTCCAGCGCCGAGGATAGAGTATACACCACTCCCTCCCTCCATCCACCTTTAAAGATTTCTCCCTCTGACTTGCTCGCAGGAATTTGCCAAAGCCTTGATCCCAAGATTCGTTGCTGACCGCAATGAAGCAAAAGTTCGCACTTCAGGAAATCTTGTGTCCCTCGACATCCTCACTGTCGATCCAGCACATCAGAGAAAGAAAGTCGGTGACGCTCTTGTACGGTGGGGAACTCAACGTGCCGATGAGTTGGGTTTCGAGGCGGTCGTTGAAAGTAGTCCCTTTGGAAAGGGTTTGTATGAGAAGCATGGATTCGTGTGGGTCAAGGATGTGGTTGTCGAGGCGCCAGAGTTTCCAGAGAGGCAGAAGGGGTGGTATGCTTGGTTGGTGAGACCTAAGCAGAACGTCGCCCAGTAGATAGACTCCCAGGAATGAGAGTTGTTGCACTTGGATCTTTTTCCATCAAGGACGTTGTGGCTTCTTGTAGTTAAATTCGAGCATACGCGTCGTCGAAGGAGAGGACTAAGTCCTAGATAATGTCACATATCTCCCCTGGAAGCGTTTCCATGCCGGCCATCAGCGTCTCGGCGATCAGTGCAAGTGAAGTCATCTTGCGTGCTGATCGTGGAGATCAACGCCTGGAGTAGGAGTGTTGTCGTAGCGTTGGTGATATCGGATTGGGTGTGGTACCTTAATGTTGTCGGACGAAGCTACAGACAGCTTGCTACTGGTTTTCAGTGAAAAGAGACAGACCTGTGCAAGCCATGCAATGCCCTCATCAGAGGCGCAAATATCAAAAACCAGATTATACAGATGACGAAGGAATGACAGGTGACAAACAGGCAGCGTCGCCACATGCTCATCCGATCCACTCTTCCACTGAGACCATCGAGAGAGATACCTGCGAATAGCTTTCACACCTTGACAATTGACATCTCATCCTACTGCACTCGACAGTCATCCTGCAGCACAACCCTCGTCTCGTTAACATTCCCATCCAAAGGCCCCACTACTGGCAGTCCATTCGCAAGACGTTGCTCGCGAATCCGTAGACTCAGCTGAGCAAACAAGGCGCGCTATGAGAGATGTATCAGCATCATTTCACATTCATGGTAATGCGTAGCTTGCGAACAGCTGCGCTTAGTGCAAGAAAGTCGGGACAGCGCCCGCATTTCCAAGCTGGCCGAGAAGAAGTTGCAGTAGCTGTGCATGTGGAAGCTGCGAAATGCCTGTAAGAATGTGGTGGAGAAAGGAGCCGGGTTATACTCTGACTTACACTGATGTACGCCTCTTCACTTCCACTCTCGCGCTCAACATTGTTGGCCTGCATGATGCGGTATGAATCATGCATGCGACGTCGACTGCTGAGACCGTTGGGAGCGACGTAGTCCTCGCCGTCGTCTTCGTCAACGTCCATGGCAGCTTGCTCTGTCGCCTCGATTAGCACTCCACTCACTCTTCTCTTCTCTCCTCACATGGACGGCTCTCACCTTCTGCCGTTACAGTCGGCTCACTTCCACTCGTCCTCCTCCTTACAGTCCGCCTTCCGATCCTCATTGGCCACGCGATTGAGCTAAAGCTTTCCGGGTCGTGTGCTTCCGTACCTTGACCCAGCCTCGCACGTTCCCTGGCCCTCGCATCCGCCCCAAAGATCTTGATGGTATGGTCAATTCCAGAAACAGCCAACATGCACTCATAAGGATGACCCTGAATCACATTCACAACCTCTCCGTCACCTTCCAGCACATTCACCAGCTCGCTTGTCTTGCGATCCCAGATGAAGAAGTTTCCATCATCCGACCCCGAAACGACGTACTCATCATCCGGGCCAAAGTAGTTGACGTCTTTGACCGTCCGCACGTTGCAGTGCCCACGGTATTGCCGAGTTGGAGCGGAGCAAGGTGTMGATGCTTCTACATGAGAGCGAAGGTTGCGACGTGAAAAGGCAGAGCCGTAGATGGAGCGGGGGCCACGTCCAATGTTGGGAACGCCGTCCTCTTCGGAAGGCGAAGAGCTGTCGTCGGACTGATTATCATCATCTTCGTCGTCGTCGTCGTCGTCGTTGTCGTCGTCCATATGAATTTCGTCGTCATGCTCATCGTCGAGATCGTCGACCTCATCGACCTCATCGTCATCATCCTCGTCCTCATCATCGGCGACTGCTTGAGCCAAGGAGGCAATGTCTTCCGCATTAGCGCCGTCCACGACACGGCCATCAGCATCGACAATTTCCACGCCTGACATCTGCTCTTCCTCCTCATCCTCCTCCTGCTCGCCGAGAAGACCAAGTCTTTCTTCCCCAGTCTGCGTCTCCCTACCCGATCCACCAAAAGCTCGGTCCACGAAACCATGGCTGAGACCTCCTGCAACACGAAAGAGGACTCCTCGCGCTACTTTCCTCGCCCAGAATCGTTGAGCAGTCTGCCGATCCTGGGTCGTGATATAGCCACCACCCTCGGCCTCCACAATACCCGCCGAGAGATCCGCAAAAGGTATCTTGACAGCTGCAGAAAAAGCCTGCACTGCTTCTTGCTCGGTGAAGATGACCTGATTCGCATCGACTTCAAATTGATTGATGTCAAGATTGACAATCGGCTCCTCGGTTGCCAGACTGTGCAGATATGGGATGAGGTACTCATCAATCGCCTCTACTGTTGCATCGGCCTCTGGTATTGGCAGCCTCAATCCACTTTTCGTCGTACATTGCTCCGGCCGCGTGAAACCCTCAATCAGTCTCCCAATTCCAGATTCCAGCCATAGAAGGATCGCCTTGATAAAGTCGTAGCCGAAGCGCTCCTTGTCTGTGAGTTCAAGATCGCTGTTCCTGGTTTCAATCTCGGCGAATTGTGCCATCATCGGACTCGTACCAGAAGGAGACGGCGTTTGTATCCTCCCTCCAAGCACCCTTGAAAGTGTGCCAGCGGCTTGTACGAACCTGCGACAGCTCTCGCGATTCCGTCGAAGCGTTTGTTGAACATACACCTGCTCCGGATCGGGATCCAGCGGGTATCCCCAATCGCGCATGAGTTGATCCATGTCTGATAGAATACTTGCAGCTTGCCCTATACATGTGGTGAAGCGCGCTGTGGGATCTGAGGCGCTTTCGTCTGATCCGAACATCGAAGCACGAATCTTGATCACTACCTTTGCAGTCCGCTGGGCGTCCCTCTGCCGGGATGAGAGTGATTGCTGTTCGGATGCATTTGAAGACAGCGGAATGTCTTCGCTCTGGCCGTTCTGATAACGAATGCGCAGTGCATCTTGTCGTGTGCGGGCACCTTCACTGCCATTCGCTTGTCGTTTCCGCTTGCGACGTTGATCCACGGCCACAGTCTCGTCCTTCTTTGCTGGATTGTCACGCACAAGATCAAAGGAGTAGATGTGGTCTCCGCCTGTAACTGTCAGCACAATCTTCGAAGACGGACCATCACGACTTACTCCAGCTCACAATCATCTCATCAGGTCTGGCATCACTAATCTTCAGTGCAGTAATGTGTCCATTCTCAGAACGCTTCATCTTCTGCTGGCCTTTCGGAGCAAACTTCCTCACGCATTGAGTGGCCTGGCTTAGCAAATCCTGTTCTTCAGGAGACATCTGATCGATAGGTGACAACGGTCGGCCCGCCTCTTTCAGCAGATCTCTTCCAGTCATACGTCGGTCATGTAGAAACGCGTGGAGATGGGAGCCGCCCAGTGCGATATAATGTGGTTGGCTGGCGGAACAAGAAATTGTATTGAGATCCAACCCGTAACGCTTGTATGATATGAGTGGTGGCGGCAAAGACACCTCCTGAGTGGTGAAGCGGCCACCTCGAGGTCTTGGATATGCAGAAGAAGGCTGCCGCATATCCCACTGCCGCACTTCGCCGTCCTCGGAGCAGGTCAAGAAAAGATGTGGCGAGCTTTCTGTGACAATCCTCTTGACCCGGTCTCCATGACTTCGGTATACCCTACAGTTGGTGTTGCCGTCGGTGAGATAGCGCACACCGTTGTATAAACTGTCCCTTCCCCTCCTTCTGCCTTCTGATGCCATCCGCGAAGCACGAGAAGCCTCCGTAGCCTGTCCCATGTGATTGATATCAAAGACCCGCACTTCTCCATCGCCAGCAGCAGTGATCACCACACTGTCATTGCTGTGAGGCATGAACTTCACGCTGAATATGTTTTGAGTGTGTCCCGTGGCAACGGTGGCGCTTAGCTGGAACTGACGGGAATCGTCGTTGGGTTGGTATCGGTGGATGTTCAGATGCTGATCGTCACTGCCACTCGCCAGCAAATCGCCTCCCTTGGACCATGCCAGAGCATTTACACACCCGGAGTGGCCACCCAGCTCGTGGGTGATGTCCAGCTCATCAATCAGATTGCGACTGCTGTAGAGCGGGCGGTAGCTTCGTGATGTCCGTCCCAATCCTGGCGATAGCTCTCGCGCGTATAGCTTGGAGATGAGGGAGTCCTTCATGATTGTGATGAAGTGGATTGGATGTTCGTGCATGTACTATCGTCAATCGGTGGCTGTCAATCGGGCGCTTTGGTCATGTCTGACCCTAGTGCAATCACAGCTTCTAGCATGACAGTGCTGCTGTTCAGCCGGAGAATCTAGYAGATGGACCGATCTTGATGTTCAAGGGTTGTAGAGAGTGCAGATGCTTGACGTCTTGAGATCACGGCGGCTCGGATGCACGGGCCGACGATTTGCACATGAAAGAGACGGGAGCGTCGAACGGAGTGCGACTTTACTGACCTCTGAAGCAGCATAGATACTATGCATAAGTGGGCACATGGTATCCGCATTTCAAGAGTACTTCAATCCACCAGAACTCATGTTGCAATGGTCTAGCACATTCACCATCAATAAGAGCATCATGCACATCAGAAGACCCTCTTTCGAAAGTTAGAGGAGCAGCTGGTTTGTACCTCACTCTGCAGAGCTGTGCGTGGAACATTCACTCTCGATTCATGGTGAGTCTAATTGCTTTTTGTCACATTTCAACACTACTCCAAGCTTCATCTCATACAAAAGTGGAGTGCGACTCTCCTCCCTTCAATTCCAACAGGAGAGAGATACAAAGCCAATGACTGGAACAATGACGGGACTTGATCTACAATCTCATTTTATTCATTACACATTCAAGCCTCGGCAAGCTTGAGCAGACCCTTGAGGTCAATCGATTTGGGACGCTCAATTGGAAGACCAAGCGCGCGGTCCCAGATGAGCTGGGCAAGTGGTCCCAGACCTCTGCTGACACCGAAGGTGGCGGTGTRGTAGAGGGTGTTGTGGAAGCCGTAGTGGTGGAAGAGGACACCAGAACTGCTGTCAACGTTGGGGAAGGGATTCTTAGTCTTTCCGTGCTCGGTCAAGACACCAGGAGCGATCTCACTGTTCTTCTTCACCAGCTGGAAGACTGGGTCAGAGGCAATCTCTTTCCGGCTGGAGGCAAAGTCCATCAGAGCCTCGAAACGAGGATCGGGCTTGCGCAGGACGGCGTGTCCATATCCAGGAACAACGCGTCCGGACTTGAGGGTGTTCCACAGGTAGTCCTTGACGTCCTGGTCGCTGAACTTCTCACCTACATGCTCCTGCATCTGCAAGATCCATCGGAGCACCTCCTGGGCTGCGAGGCCGTGGAGCGGGCCGGCGAGACCCTGGAGACCGGCAGAGTATGAGAGGAAAGGATCGCTCAAGGCGGATCCGACCAGGTGAGTTGCGTGGGCGGAGACGTTTCCACCCTCGTGGTCACCGTGGAGGGCGAGGTAGAGACGGAGCAGATCCTGGAAATTCTCGTTCTCCTTGCCCGACTTGCCGAGCATGGCAGCAAAGTTGTAAGACCAATCCTGGTTGACGTCGACCTCGGCTGGGAGGGCACCACCACCACAGTATGCGTTCTGGTGGATCTTGGCGGCAATGGTGGGGAGCTTAGCGAGCAAGCTGATGGAGTCATCAAAGGTAGGCTCCCAGTAGTCGGCCTTGTTGATGCCACGCTCGTATGCCTTTGCGAAGACACTCTCGTAGTTGAGGGCGGAGACAGCACAGGCGAACTGGGTCATAGGGTGGAGGTCCTTGGGGAAGTCGTCCAGCATCTTGTTGACGAATTGAGGCAGCTGAGCCTTCTCGGCAAGCTCCTTGCTGAAGGTGCGGACCTGGTTGGTGCTGGGGACCTGGCCAGTAAGCAGCAGCCAGAACATGGCCTCGGGCAGCATCTCAGTACCGCTGGTGCCCTTTGGCAGCTCCTTTTGGCAATCCTTGATCGTTTTGCCGTGGAAGCGGATTCCCTCGTTGGCGTCGAGGACTGAGCCTTCCCAGACCATGGCCTTGAGTCCTCGCATGCCACCAAGTGTGTTCTCAATCTTCACCTCTCCGATAACCTTGGAAGAATGAGCCTTGACCTTCTTCAACAGCTCTCTCTTTTCTGGAATGATGGACTTGAGCGTCTCCTTGAGATCTGGCTCGGCGGTGGCATAGCTACGAGAGGCGTTGTAGGCGACGGGGCTGCTCTGGGCGAACTATATAGCTTGTCAGTACATCGTGAGCTATGGACAAGACCATGTTCACCTTGGACGCCCGCAGGGCACGGGTAGCTGATCGTGCGGACAAAGCCATGGCGACGAGCTGCGTGGAAATTGTAAGTAGTATGGGTTATGTGCAGAGCGTGTGGAGCAGTGCAGTGGTGAGAAAGGTCGGTTCTTGAGCTCCAAATATTCTTTCGGTTCGTCTCCAGTGCTCTCATCCGAATGGCCGTTGCAATCCGCGAGCTGCACGAATTATGCCCTGCCTAGCCGAGGTAGAATGACGATCCTGTTGCGATACCGGGCAAGAGCTTTGGGCTTCATCACCATGACCACTTTCACTATTTCCGTCTGAGCGACCACGGCCGGTAAATTCTGTATTGCGTTGGGGTGTTGACGATACATCTCCATAGGCGCACTCATTCATCATTTGGCAAGGAAAGGATGGAAAGATAGCTGAGAGCACAACCCATATCAATCCCATTCCCTCCATCTGATTCAGCTCCAAAAGCTATACAACACCACAGTCAGCATGTTTCGGACTGCTTCTCGAGCGCTTCGACAGCAACGGCGTTGTCTATATCGACCCGTGGCTTCTCAATTGGCCCCCAAAGTTTCCTCATTAGGTTCAATTCACATGGCCTCTTCGCTCTCCGCAGTGAGCCCGCCGCTGCCTTCGACAAACCCGACCGACTCCTTCCAACTGCTGAAAGAGTCAGAAAAGCCAGACGCAGAGCAAGAAATATTCGATGAGCAAGTAAGGCAGGTCAAGGAATGGTGGGCGAGTCCCAGATACAAAGGTATCAAACGACCCTACCAGCCAGAGCAGGTGGTCAGTAAGAGAGGGACACTACAACAGGTTTATCCTTCCAGCTTGACAGCAAGGAAGCTCTTCAATCTGCTGGAAGAGCGAAATGCTGAGGGAAAGCCGGTACACACCAGTAAGTATACACCCAGCATGATCAAGTCTCGGCACGCTGATTTAAGGTGATTTCAGTGGGAGCTATTGACCCAATCCAAATGACACAACAAGCTGCACACCAAGAGATCCTGTATGTCTCAGGCTGGGCATGTTCTTCCGTCCTCACGAGCACAAACGAAGTCAGCCCTGACTTTGGCGACTACCCATACAACACCGTTCCAAACCAGGTCCAACGATTGTTCAAAGCGCAGCAACTCCACGACCGCAGACATTACGATGCAAGAATGAAGCTCAGCGCCGAAGAGCGGAAAAAGACACCATATATCGACTATCTCCGACCGATCGTCGCGGATGGCGACACCGGTCACGGAGGACTGAGCGCTGTATTGAAGCTGGCCAAGCTCTTTGCTGAAAATGGAGCCGCAGCTGTACACTTCGAGGACCAGCTCCATGGAGGGAAGAAATGTGGCCATCTTGCGGGCAAGGTTCTGGTCCCCGTTGGCGACCACATCAGCCGACTTGTCGCAGCACGCTTCCAGTGGGACCTGATGGGTTGTGAGAATCTCGTCATCGCTCGCACGGATAGTGAGAGTGGAAAGCTCATTAGTTYGGCTGTTGATGCCAGGGACCACGAGTTCATCTTGGGAGTGACGGAAGATATTGAGCCACTGGCAGAGACGATGCAAGTCATGGAGATGAACGGCGCATCTGGTCCCGAGATTGATGCATTTGAAGCCAAGTGGGTGAAGAGTCACAAGTTGGTGACTTTCGATGAGGCCGCCGAAGCCCACATCAAGGCTGCGGGTAAAGATGCCAATGCGTACCTCAAGCAGGTCAAGGAGAACAGGAACATGCCTCTCTACCAGCGGAGGAAGACGGCGGCGGAGGTCGCAGGCAGCCCTGTCCTCTTCAACTGGGATACTCCCCGTACTCGTGAAGGATTCTACCACTACCGAGCAGGTCTCGCAGCAGCAACKAAGCGAGCCATTGCATTCGGACCATACGCAGACCTTCTCTGGCTAGAGACTGGCKACCCAAGTGTTGAAAAGGCCGCTGGATTCGCAAAGGAGATTCGTGAGGTGCTCCCCGAAAAGAAGCTGGTCTACAACCTTTCACCCAGCTTCAACTGGTCGGCTCATGGATTCAGCGATGCGGATCTCAAGAACTTTATCTGGGATCTGGCGAAGCATGGATTTGTTCTCCAACTAATCTCTCTCGCCGGTCTTCACAGCACCGCCACGATCTCCAACGAGCTGGCCAAGGCATACAAGACTGAGGGTATGAAGGCGTATGTAGAGATTGTGCAGAGAAGGGAGAAGGAGACCGGATGTGATGTATTGACACATCAAAAGTGGAGTGGAGCGAACTACATTGACGGCATCATCGGCTCGATCCAGGCGGGCAGCAGTGGTAGCAAGAGTATGGGAGATGGTAATACCGAGGGTAGCTTCTAGAGGATGCGGTGTATGTGTTGTGATATAGATGCCAGAGTCATGGTCTACATTATCTACAAGTTTGTTTCAAGCCAGTTATGCTCGCGATAGAGTTGGCATGGAGAGGGCTCCGTGGGATTTACATGTGACGTTGCTGGAGATCAGCCGTCATCTATAAAGTATTCCAGTTTCACAACTCATACATACTTTCTACCCCTCCGTCCTGTCCTCAGTCTCAGTTCACCACACTTCATGCTGGAAATACGGAAGCATTCACCATGAGTGTCAAAGACTTGAGTCCGGCACAATGCGTGCTGTTGGCAGTCCACCTGGCTTCCGAGTCCAACATCCAAGCTCTGCACTCCTTCACGCCCTCTCGCCTCGATGCCCTCGATCCCGAGCTGGTCTTGCGGATTGTCCTCACCTTTCTCCCCGAAGCCGTCGATCCCCGAGAGTACACGGGTTATATTGGAGAAGTGGCATCGCGGCTGTACCTCGACGTGGAGCGGCAAGAGGTGGCCGTGGACACAACACCCGTTCAGGACATCTCGGAGCAGATTGCGCGGAAGCGCGTCAAGAAACTACATTTACTCCCCATCCAACCCGCGACATATCCTTCACACGCGCCGAAAGACCTCCTCACCCATTTTCTGTGCCATCGAGCCCTCCGAATCGACTCCGAAACTGGTCTGCTCAATCTGGTGCCCTCGCTGATTGAACCATTCCTCAATCGCAATGATTACATTCGCAGCTGGTACATCTCCGTCGTACTTCCCCTCCTCCGCTTAGAAGTGGAATACTACCCGGACGATGCCTCTCTGGCCATTCCGCTGAGCGAGTTCGATGCGCTCGAGGCTCCACAAGGCATGCGGTTCTTGTTGAATAGGGCGGCGGATCCCACCCGAGAACCCACGGAAACAGAGCGGCAGAACATTGCGCGAGATATCAAGACTCTGGTTGGACCGTGGATGTATGGCTGCACAGATCGCAAACGGAGAAAGCTGGGCCACGGAGAGCAACAGCCACCCGAATCCAGCAAATCTGTTGGCAACACCGCACGGAGACTTTCAAAGATAGAGCTGAATGGTATCAAAGCATCGGATGCCACTGGACACGATTGGGAGGACATGTTCCAATGGATGGTGRGCAGATCGGTCGAAAACTTTGATCTCGTGGCCCACGCCATTGAAGACTGGGACGGGCCCAGCGACGTCGATCTGGGAGGTTATGATCGTGGAGGTATATCCTACCTCGATGAAGACGTGCAGCAAAAGTTGGAACTACAATACGCCCAGGCTATATTCGCAAGCTGTTACGCTGCACAGGCGAATACCAAAGAGACGGTACAGCACGCGYACAGCGTTCTGGCTCGTCTTGCAGAACTTCTCGATTTCGTTCCTCCACCCGACTTGGCCACCAGCGTGGGCTCGCTTCCTCGCATTGAGCGCCACGCTGCCAAATTGGACGAGTCTCGGACGGCCGCGGATATCATGCCTGCAGCGCTCTTGCGTCCTGAGCATCCTTTGACTACACCAAGACTCGCAACCTACATGCTGCTTCAAATGATGGTCTACAGTGCATATCAGTTCTCCGGGCTGGGCTATCCTTTATCGCTCGTCAGCGTTGCCAAGCTTCTGTTCTACGCAACAGCAGAGGAGCAGATGGAAGTGTTGCGAACAATCCTTCGAGCACAATCCAAGTCTGGTGTACGAAAGGACGATTCTCAATGGGTGGCAGACCGTGCCAAATTACAATGGCTATGGAACTGGGGTATTGACGACAGCGAAGACAACCATCACGTTGGTGCCGGAGCGCTCGGCAAGATCCAAAGAGATGATTTCGAGGACGAACTGCTGAAGCTATTCATTGAAACGAGCTGTAAGTTTGCCATTCACATTTTTGATCGTTTCTTTGTTCTACCCGTAACCATCTTTCAAATGTCTTCGATGAAATCTCTGCCGAGATCGTCGACGCCCTTGCGGAGCTCAGACTCAGATTTTGAGCTTCGGTCTGTCTGAAGAAGAAGGTCGTAGCTGCTATCGCACATACATCAAGCTGACATGGTGGTGGTATAAAGGCTACAACCTTGCGATCAGGCTGTACATTACCGAGAAGCCGCACGAAACAGCATCCCACCCTCGGGTCGAGAGCATTGTCATAGACAAAGCAATGGAGGCTTATGACAGCGCAAGTAATGGGAACAGGACGAGAGGTGGCATGAAGAAAGCCAACGACATGTGAGTGTTGTTCGTGATGAGAGAAAGACCAATGCTGACGATGTTCACACAGCATCACCGCCTTCCGGTCTCACTTTCCAGACAGTGTGCGCATCAAGCAAGCGAGTGCACTGATTTCAGCGACACACGCCCTATCCTTTTATTCACTGACATTACAACACGGCGTACCTTTCCAGCCCGTAAGCATTCGTGCCAGCCATGACCCCATCTCGCTCATCAGCAAGCTGCTCGAGCAGAATCCTCGAAGCTACACGAAGCTCGATGATCTTGTGGACATTGGACGAAACCTGGTCTCTGCCGGCTTGGTGCACGACGAGGACATTGACAGTACGCAAGGGAAAGCAGTTGACATGGACGCCAATGAAATATCTCGACGCCAGAAAGACGCCGAGAGGCGGGTCACATTCATGGCAGTTGAGGCGTCTCTCAGAGAAAACGATTTTGAGACATCATATTCCTACATTGTCAATAGATTGACACCTTCCGGCGCTGATGTGGAGGCACCTAGACCGCAGAAGCAGCACATCAAGCAAACTAGTCGCGGGACTAACAGTATTACCGACGACGACATCTCCTGGCGTGCCGCTTTTCTTGCTGGTCGTTATCGCCCGAACGCAAGCACGCCACCTACACTACGCCGGTTAGAACAGCGAACAGAACTCCTTTCTCTAGCTCTTCTTCTAGCTCCAACCTCCGCTTTGACCGAGATCCTTGCAGCGTGGCGTAGATGTGAAGAGGAGACAACATCGCTACATCTCGCACAGCAACAAGCAGAAAAGGAATTCGACGATCGCGCAGATAAGCGTTTGAGTGGAGGTGGCTCCAGCGCACTCCCTGGCAATTTCACAGTACAGGGTGAGCAGCCGGAGCTTGTTCTGAATCAAAAACGACGAGAAATGGGCCGCATGGGAGCAGACGGAGATACACCGCTGAGTATGTTCGATCTTACTCGTAACGCAGCAAAAGCATTCAGCAAGAATGCCTTCCCGCTGCACGGAGAAGCGACGCGGACGTCAGGCGAACTCGATCGGTCGATGACGGGTAGCGCGGCAAGTTTTGGGAGTGAGGGTGCTCCGGTCAGGAAGAGAGACTACGTCGCCAATGCAGTGAGCGGTGGTCTTGCATCAGGACTTGGATGGGTGTTGGGTGCTACTCCTGTCCAGCAGACACCGCCACGGTCTCCTTGATGGATACATTCTTGCAGAATCGTTACTTTCTTGATAAGGACATTGATGTATGATGGCCTGGCTATCAGGCGCATGTCGAATCCCAACGAATATCTTCGGCGAGGCGTCTGCTCCAATGAGCGTGGCGCTGTACAATCATCTTGTTTCCAGTGCGTGAGTTTTCAGGACCTTGACTTTTATACTTGATACTGATACGCCACTGTAGGCATGCCGACAGTCTTTATGCGATGTCGGTCTTTTGCCATGCTAGGATGTCCTCCGCTCTTTGGTTCTCTCGAGACAATGAAATCGGCTGCTGTTGGAGATGGGCTCAACCCTCAAGTGTATGGATGGAAAGAGCTGAGTAGCCGCGATTTCTTTCTACCGCTAAAGTGCAGACCATGGCGGCCTGGCTTTCCGAGAAGGCGATTCCTTGCACCATGTTGATTTGGCTATGGCGCGAAACAAGACGTAAGGCTGTTCAGGGAGTATCRGCTCCGGTCAGTGCACCATGATCATATCCCTCTTGTTGCCACAAAGGATACTGCACATCAAGCAAGCAGGTCGCAAACATGCTGTCCATGTATTAACCAAGCTGGACCCATCACGTTAGAGTCAAAGTGCGCGCCGGCTTCCAGTCTCGATTCCTATACACCATTAGCAACAACTCATACACAATCATATCCTACACAGTGAATTCCATGGACTATGGCGACTCTCCCTCCAACACCCGAACCCTGGCGCTCAGCAGCCAGATGTCGAGGATCCCGAGCTTTGACTTTGGAGCAAACAATCTCTACGTCACCCGTCCTAGACATTCACTCTCGGTTCCCAAAGCGGCTGAGTGATCGCGCTAGTGGATCTCCCCACTACACCTCGAACGCTTCGCTGACTTTCTCTTGTCAACAACACCCACGACCACCGCTACTACTACCACCACCAAATCTGCTCGTCGGCCTTCGCAATGGCGCGCACACCGGGTACTGATCAGCCACGTCGTGGTGATTCATCATCACCATCGCCTCTTATTCGAGTCGAGCCAGCGGTGTTCCAACCTCTTCCTCAAATCTCAGCCAAACCCGGGAATCGACGCACAGTCGTCAAAGATTGGCGCTCAATTGGCGAAGAAGACCTGTCTTACAGATGCGAAGTTTGTGAGAGCTGGATCGAGGGATCAAGTATCCAGTGCAGACAATGCAAAGCGCGCATCTGTCCCGAGTGTTTGAACGTGAGTACCACCCTTTCACCGCGCGACTCCGACATCAAACTGACATTCCTGCGCTTGCTAGATTGGTGGCAAGAGCTCTCCGCGCTGCAGAGCCATGGCGCGGGACTACGAGCAGAAAGGATGCTGGTGTGGCATCGATGGCAACTTCAACATGGAGTTCGCGACCACAAGTTCTGCTGAACAAATCAACAAGCGAAAGCGCGAGTCCGTGAATCCATACGAGTACAATCACGAAGGCTTCTCCAACGCAAAGCTCGGCATTAATGCGCGATATTCCACGGCCGCTATGCCCGAGTTCCTGCCGTTCAGCCAGCCATTGTCCAAGAAGTTCAAGCTCACAAAAGAGTCAGCGACGCCATATGAGCACCTGGACAAGACCACCACTGTGGTCATTGGCAGCGGCATTGTCGGTCTGCTCATCACATACCAGCTGGCCACAGAGGCCAAGCTCACCGACACAGATCTCCGAATCATCGTACTCGACATTAACCGGAAATCGTGCACTCTGTCAAGCCAGCAGTGCGTTGGTCTCCTCTCGGTTGACGCAATGGACGAGAGATGGGCACCTCTGGGCCACGACTTTCTCCGGCGCTGGCAGGAGCTTGAGGTGATGAGGGATCCCAACACCGATCTCGACGCGCAACAAGATCCGCGCATCAACACTCAGACGACAGCAGCCTGGTTGAAGGAGCGCTGCCAGGATCTTGGTGTGGAGTTCTGCTTCGGGATTCAAGCTTACGGTGCAACTGAGGATCGCCATGGTCGGATTTCGAGTGTTGAGATTGGCATGATTGGGGTCGGTCGTCCCACAGAAAGTATCCCATGCTCTAATCTGGTCGTGGCCGCTGGACCGTTTACGCCGCAAGTCTACGCCAGACTTTTTCTAAACTCTCAGCTCTGTCTCGAGAACAATGTTCAGCGAGTCCAGAAGCTCCAGCTGGAAAAAGTTCGCATGCGCGGGAAGGGCGATAACATCCTCGCCACCGGCATGAAGGCACGAGAGTACGACGGAGATATGACGATCGTCATCAACGCCAATGAGCATACTGGTGATGTGTACATGACCGAGAAACATGACGGTAACAATGTTCTCGGAGTTGCAGACGCCCTGAAACACAACAAAGGCACTGCACTCTCTTTGTTGCAACTGGCTGCAAAGCACGTTGTATCCTCTCAAGACGGGGATGGGATCAATGAAAGCCACCTCGTCGACAAGTCTCGCTCCACAGTCAGCACGGGAACTTTCGGCTGTCCCGTCATCGGCGCAGTGCCTAAAGGGCCAAAGACGCCTGGAGACTCCGCGGGGGTGTTCCTAGCCTATGGCTTTGGGATGTTCGGCACTACGGTGGCACCTATCGTAGGAGAGATCATCACAGCACTAGTCTGTGGTAAGGCTGCGTCAATCTCGCTATTGGACTTTCAAATCCTCACAGTCCCGCAAGTTGCCAAGCTCAACGCCCAACGCAAGGCTGCAGCGAACAAGGCTGCGAAAGTCAAGGCAAAGGCTGACGCAAAGGCAAAGGCTCAAGCCAGCAGAGTCGCAAAGAAGAACGGGTCAAAGGGAGAAGCCAAAGCACACCCTGCTGCTCTTCTCAAGCCTAAGGACGAGAAGAAAGGAAAGGAGCAGGTTGCTGTCGCGGCAAATCCTAGGCCGTTAAGAAACAGCAAGACTATGGTCAGCAGTGTGCCGAAGATCACRGAGCTCAAGAAACCTGCGCTCAAGGAGAAACAGAACGCTGGCCAGGCCGCTGCTTTGAAGGATGGAAATCGTAAAGGCGCGCGCAGGACACCATCGAGTGCTGCAATCAAGGCCAAGTCGACAAGCAAGGTTGCAGAGCAGCCATCGCTCCCGGACTCCAGCAAGCAAAAGTACACTCGCAATCCACGATCCGGTTCCACCGCCGAGGCAGCACCGGCCAAGCAAACAACACCCAAGCCCACCAAAGCCAAGGCACGAACTACCACCGAGGACACACGACCCAAGGTGAAGATTCGAATCGCTTCTTCAGCCACTAGTGGGTCACAGGCCAAGAAGACTGTCGAACCCGCCGAAGGCAAGACCAAGCGGAAGACGAGATCTTCTCATCCTGATGCCACAGTTGACAGCAAGGAGATCGTGTCGGGACCTGCGCCTCCGAGGCGTAAATCTAGGATGCCGAGTAATGGACCTGGCGCAGCGGAGGACGAGGAAGCAGAGAAGGAGGAGGAGGAGAAGGGAAAGGAAGCTATCGCTGGTGCGCAGAAGGGAAACGGAAAGGGGAAGCAGAAGGGCCGCAAGTAGGCTACTCGATTGGACGATTGAGACTGGCATTGAGATGATAGGGGAAGCACGACGCGGCGACTAGCGCCGTAGGACAAAAGGATGTCAAGATGAAAGGCAATGCTTAGAAGCAGGCACACTCGTCGACCGTATATCTCGCTGAGAATAGAGGTGCGATCGAGTTTGGCGTTTTTGATCCGGCGCGATTAGAGGAAATGCAAGACATACACCTCCACAACCTTATTATCCCCCTCTCACATCGATCACCATGAACAATCTGTCATGATATATAATAGTCACGCTAGGAGAAAAGCACGGTTTACTTCAGGGTATCGTGAACGCAGCCTTGAACAAAAACCCACCAATCCCAGCAATCTAACCACCAACTCCTTGCTATAAACCAGCAATTCATTATCCTGTACTCCTCTCCATCCATCTATTTATCTTCGTCTCTCGGATCTCAATCCAGTGTATAATACATTCTTTTACTATAGCTGGCCTACTGTCTGGCAGCATAATTGTTGTTGTCGACTATCATCATCCATAAGTCATTAAGCATGGGAAGATCTCATGTCAGGCCATGTTAAATCAATCAATACGGCAGCGCCGAGGGAGGAGCAGGACGCGTCGGAGTCATAGTAGCAAGGGTATCCGATATCATACTCTGAATATCCTCCATTCCGTCCGTCTCCATTTTCTGAGCCAACTCTCCCCATTGAACTTCGTCGAGGCCATTGCCAAAGTCCCCAGTATCCATATCCCAGTACTGAGGCGTGTATGCGTCAGGCAGCTGGTTCATTACGTTGTTGTCCGAAGTACCAGGGAATGGGTAAGTAGCGTTATTTGGGTCAAAGTACGGATGGGCATAGGGGTTTTGTGACTGCATGGGTTCGGCATAAGTGTACCCCATCTGCGGCTGTTGTGGCGCTGTCCAGCCAGGTACCGCAGGGTTTGGGACAAACGCCGGAAGTGAGCTGTATTGAATGTTGTCGGTAAGCGGCTGTTGCTGATGATATTGCTCTTGAGTGAGCGTCTGCATGGTGGGTATGGAGTCTGGACTGCGGTGTTGCATGCTATGTGACGAGGAATGACTAGGTCGGAAGGGCGTCTGCGAGGATTTGGTGTCATCTCGATGCGAGTATGGCACTGGTGGCAGCTCTTCGATACTTCTTCGAGATGTTTGATTGGCATGTCTCAACGGCAGTTGCCGCTCGGGCGGTGTTGTGATTGACTTTGTGCTAGCAGTAGCTGGACTCGCTGCCCAAGAGCAGGTAGGTGCATCCTGGAGGAGGGAATTTGGGGATGTCTCATCGGGAGGTGACAGCGCTGATATGGAGACATCGCCATCTTTCTCGTAGATCTTCATGATCGCGCCGATGAATTTTGCGTATAGTTGCATAGCCGAGGAGACACCAGGCCAGCGCTCCGATGCGAACCGGATACAGTCCATTGCCACATCAAGGTGGGCTGAGACTTCTTCTCGCGCATGCTTCCTCCTTACCTCCACATACGACAGTGACCAGAGCATGGTGTTGATGGCCATGAACAGTGACTGCGTGAAGATCCATGTCAAGTCGACGTTCCTTTGTTGAATCTGCTCGCGTTGCATGTAAATGTTGAATTGGCACGCTTCGAAGCATTTCATGGCAGCGCGGAGCGATGGTCGTGGCACCTGCGGAGATGGTCTGTACAGGAAGACAATCATGGTGTTGTAGCGGCCAATGAACCATGTTTTGTCCAGTCCATGTCCTCCATCCTGGGACGGCGCTGCTTCTGTCCAGGCGGAGAGCTTGGCGTCCATACGTATAAACCACGGGTCACTGTCGTCTTTCGGAGTCGGTCGCTTCCGTTGATACAGCTTCCGCCTGATTTCGAGCTGCAGCAGACGCATCTTGAAAAAGTGGATTGCAATCCACTTTTTCAGGGTTCTGGGAGCGGTGGGATCGATTCCTTGCGGAGTAATGTACTTGTCATCGCAAGTCTCAAACCAGCCCACGTCCAGGTGGTCAAGACCTGTGGCGAGCATCGCAGGACGGCCAAGGGAATGCGAAAGGCCATATTCCATCACCATGACGCACCAAAACACCCTCCGCCGCATGTCTATTTCCAAAAAGTCCACCTTGCCATCTGCGTAGCCTCGGGTGATGGTCTTTTCCTCGTGGAGGCCCAACGCCTGCACTAGTCGAACGGCAATGCCTACGACATAGTAGATGGCTGTCCGGGTTGGAGTCAACAGCGAGTACTYGGCCATCAACGCAAAGCACTGCAAGGTCTTCAAATCCATGGGTCGCACCACCGGCTCGAGACGTTTGAGAGCAGCAAGGTAGTAGCTGTCAGCCAGACCGGCATAGTTGGCGTCCATCTTTTGCATGCTGATTGCGATGACCATGTTACAGACGAAGTGCTGGTATGATGATGCGTGGTCCGGGGTGTTGAAGACGGCATCAACGTCCCGATCCAGTGCGGGCTCGTACAGAGCGGGATACATGGATTGCACCTTCAGTTTGTAGATGGTGAGTAGATGCTCCACCAACGGCCGGCTGGGAAGAGCATTGGCCGGGACGTTGCTAATCAGCGGATAGACCTTGGAGGTGGGTTTGTCCTGTTCTTCATGGTACAGCTGTTTGATCTGCATGGCACGCTGCTCGGGCACAATCTCCTTGATACTCGCAGCGTCGGTGAACTGCTTGGCCAGTTGCATGACGAGGCGCGTTATGGCAATGCCACTCGACGGACCGAGAAACTTGGACTCCTTTGCATCCTGCATGCGCACCGTTGCCGCCCGCATCATCCCTTCCTGGTCCTCGCCTCCATCATCATTCTCCGTCCGCGCCAACTCCTCTTCGGCGTCTCGCACTGCGTGCTGCAGCCATACGACGTAGTTGCGATTGACAYTGTGTCCTCGGGTGGCGTCGTAGTATTCACACGTGGAGTTTGTCCTTTCACACGGCGTACAGCGGGGCAAGACCGGATCGCAGCGAGTCTTGCGCTGTCTACACCGTGCGCATGCCGTCAATGTGTGGGCGACGTGGCTGGAGGAGGAGGAAGAGGAGGCTTCGTCGTCCCGATCCCGGTCCCTTTTGGGCCCGCTGTGGGTGTTCGTGGGCGGCGGCTGTACAGCCATTGCGGCTGTGGATCGCGATGTCACGCACGCTCCATGGGGTATATAGAACTAACCTCTACCGCATGCAGTAGAAGGTAGATGCGGGTGGAAAGGAATGAGCTCCGACGGGCAAGATAGCAGGGAACTGGCCAGAGTACTACACGATGCAAGATTATAAGAGTCATCGACCAACAACGCGACTATGGAAGCAAAAAGACTGGCCCCAGTCACTCCCGGCCGGAAAGAACGATGAGTTGCTGTTCAACTTGTCGGAGGTCCTTCGACTGGTCCAACGTATTTGATTGAAAGATCAGTAAGCGACCCGCCCAATTCATGTGCATACCTACCCGTGCATACCCGACTAGGGTAACTTACGCCCCACCCGTCTTGTTCCCTTTGTGCTTTGTGCGGGGCCCGCAATGATGATGAGCGGATAATTGTCCCGTCACATGCTCGAGCAGGCATTCCTTTGCAGAGTGGAGTGGACTCTGGAGAAGTAGGTAGGAGGAGGTGAAGTTTTGAAGGAGGTGAAGTGCCATCAGCCCATTTCGCCATCGACGATTGACCGTCTCATCTTGATGAGCAGAGGCTTACTTGACTGGTGTACCCTCTGGCGCAATCCTCGTCCAGCAAAGACCGACCTCTTGATTCTACCTTATCTTTCCGCTACGTACTCACACACATGGACGCCTTCAAGCCGAATGCAAACCTTGCAGGAGCTCGCTCGGAGCGGGCCCAACGGCGCGGCATCGGATCTTCTTACCTAAGGTACGTCTCGGACCGCAGACGCATCACTAACCTACTACCCAACTGACCTCACACCAATCCGAGGCTTTCGTTTTGCATTACCTTCCTACCTAGGATCACGCATGGCGCAAGCGCGAACCTCCGCCGATACGATATAGCTAGAGTCTAGATCTGTTGATTGCTGCACCTCTTCCAATCCGCCGCAGGTCCGCCGTGACTTCGTTGTGTCAGGATTTCTCACACCTGCCATCAAACACGCTCGGTTGTCGTAGCGGCGGCAGACTACCAACTAAGTTACTCAGCATACCACGGGTCGTACTGTCAAGTCTGATTTCCGGCGCTCCTGTAAGATCGCTTGGCGTTGCGGGTGGCCATTAGGTGTGTATGAAGAGATTTAGATACAGGCTTGGCCCCAACGTCGTATGATCCATGCATTCGCATCGATTGGGCGGTATATATGCAGTTCGGCTGCTCAAAGCTGTGCTGTGCTGCTATGCCAAGGTGTAGACTTGTTGCGCCTCGTGCTAATGATGCCTCTAGTCATCGATGCGGCATCTCTGATGCCGCTCGACACCCCGGTTCTCAAGGTCTCACGGCAAGTACTTGTATTCTTCCTGCAAATCCAGCATCAGCATTAACATTCCTCAGGCCCGTCGCCGCTTGTGCCAGATGTCGAAGTGCGAAGATCAAATGTGAYGGGAAACTACCAGCATGTACTTCATGCGAAAGAAGTGGCAGGGCAGCCGAGTGCACCAGTACCAACGATCAATTTGCCAGAGGCAAAGAGCGAAGCTATGTCYTGACCTTAGAGACCAAGCTGGAGAGACTACAGGCCAGATTGGAGGAAGCGCGGGCGAGGAAGCCTTCGGTCGTGGACCCCGACGAGGACATGACTCCCACGCGGCGCCAGTCTCAGCAGATCCAAGATCTGTCCCGGTTGACGGGGAGCAGGACGACACGTCGGAGAGAGACGACCGCCATTGATGATCTCGTTTCCGACTTTGGCTTCCTCTCGGTCAACGCCACCGCAAGAGACTTTTATGGATTCACTAGCGCCATGTCCTACGCACGACTCATATTGTGGGCATGTTCAAAGGATCCCTTGCCAGACGGCATCCATGCCACCCTGCCTCCTCGACATGTCGCCAACAGCTACATACAGAACTACCTGAACAACGTCTACATCCTCCTTCCAGTCTTTGACGAAGCATCATTCYATGCATCCGTGAACAACGTGTACTCACGAGGCTCGGATCAAGCAGAGCCCAATGACCAGTGGATCGTCAGACTTGTACTTGCCATCGCGTGCGCGTCCATGTCGGAACAGCGGGGCGACAACCTCCATATGGAAGCGATTGGCCACATCTGTGCAGCATTGAAGCATTCCGAGGATGTGTTCCATCCAGGCGCCATCAGTAGTATTCAGGCGCTTGTACTTATGGCAGAGTTTGCAATGCTCAATCCACACTACTTCGACTCCTGGGGTCTCATCGGAGCGGCATCCAGAGCAATGGTCGATCTCGGTCTTCATCAGGACCCTCCAAAAGGCACGCTGATGCCCAAAGCGAAACTCGCATTGCGGCGCAGGGTTTACTACTGCGTTTATGCATTAGATCGATCAACCTCGCTGGTGCAAGCCCGTGCATTTTCCTTCTCGGACGACAGTGCCAAGGTCAAGATACCTTTTCAAAGAGGACCATCGTCAGCTCCAACCACGCCACTCCCGACACCGACGCCGAAGCTGTGGTCGCAATCGTATGATCATGCCTTGGACCTGATCAAACTGCGAAGACTCCAATCGACCTGGTACACAGTCATGTTCCAATCTGGACGCACGAGGTGGGACGAGCCATACAAATATATTTGGAAAGTGTGCGACGACATGCACAAATGGTTTGACGCGCTGCCCGCTTCTACCTCGTCCAATATGCGCGCGTTCTTCGAGTTGGACCTGCTCTACTCATACGTCTACGTATTAGCGCCCTCTCCTCGGGTTCCGGTCATCAGCCCATACGCGCGGAAGCTGGTCTTTGAGTACTGCATTCTATACGTGAACACTATCCTGACGTTGGTGTCCGATCCCTCCTATGCCTCACCACTTACCTTTTATGACGCGATGAGGGTGTATATGACTGGAGGGCAATTTCTGGACCTCTTGAAGCTCAATATGGACGACGTTCTAGGACATGCCCCTGCGCCACCCGAGACCAGGCAGGGCACAACGCCACCGCTACCAATTCCTCATGTGACTCTTCCACCGGGCGATTCTGCGATACGTTTCAACACCATTCGAAGTATCACGTGCATCAAGCAGATCACGGAGGCTCTATCACGCTTTGGAATTCGATGGGGTTTCATGAGGTAGGTCAGAGTGCTCTTCACGTAAACGCATTCACTAACAAATGCAACAGCTGGAGTCAGCGATATCAAAGTGAGGCATCCAGTACCCTGGAAGATCTCAATGATCGACTTCGCAAGATTGATGCTGAGAGTAGGCCGAGTACATGGCAACACCAAGGCTCCAAGAGTTCTTTCGGCAGCGGCCATGGCGGCGTCACATCTTACGATCCATCACAAGGCAGCAGCATGAGTACCTCCTCCGGCCATTCGCCCTATCAGCAAGTTCAATCCTCCGGAATGCCGATGCAAGGCCGTCGCCAGCAGTCTATTTCGGTCCATCGAAGCCCTGATGCCGGTCATAGTAGTCCACCGCAATATCCTTTCCCGGATCAGCGCTCTACACAAGCTCAGTACATCAATTTCCAACCGAACCAGCGTCAATACCAGCAAGACATGCAACCACAGTACGCCGCCAATGGCCAACATGCACAGCAAAGTTTCCCACCATTCCAACCACCGGTTTTCGGCAATTTCAACTTCAACGAAACTCCTCACGTCCCTAAACCTGCTCCATTCACCTCTCCACAAGCCAACGCCCAGACCTATGCCGCACCTCGGACCAACCACCCGACGCAGCAGTTTGCGGAATGGTCAGGCTATGGAGGACCAGGTGGCACGCCGGATATGTTGGATGAAGAAAACGCGATACCGCCCAATTCGAATCCATGGAACACAAATGTCTAATCAGGCGCAGCGAACTATTCTGGGAGTCTCCAACAGCACTCTCTTTATGGTGAATGCGTAATAAGTATACAGAGCCAATCTTCGACGGTGGAGACTATCGGGCCTGTGCTATCATCATCGCCGGTCATGAGATGATTTGAGCATCGTCCTAATTATTACGCCTAGGTGTAGTGAGGAAGCTGTTCCGCATCTGCCTGCTCATGCTTCCCGACACCTTCCGCAATGACTCTCTTGTGAGATTGTGGTGGAGCGAACCTCGACTTTAGCGGCTCCCAGCTCTCAGCATTATAGTCTTCCTGGACCTTCCTACACTGCTTCAAACCCCACTCCGTCACACCGACCATCAGACACGACTCAAACATGAACGCCATACTACCCTCTCCAACCTTTGCGGGTTTGAGCTCAGCATTGCTCGCCTTTTCATGTGTAGTGGCATCCGGTCCGTGAGCACTCATGACATTGTGCAGGGATGCACCAGCGGGTTGGAAACCACCGCCTGTCTTTGCATCGTATTGACCACCGATGAGACCCATGAATTCGCTCATCGTGTTGCGATGGTACCAAGGCGGACGGAAGGTATCTTCCGCAACAAGCCAACGGGGAGGAAAGATGACAAAGTCTGCAATCGCAGTTCMTGCGTGGTCGGATTGTGCTGTCAAGACTGTGAAGATGCTGGGGTCTGGATGATCGTAGGAGATGCTTCCGATGGTGTTGAAGCGTCCGAGGTCGTATTTGAAGGGATAGTATGTTCCGTGCCATGCGACCACATCAAAAGGTGTGTGGTTTTGCTTTGCGGTGAAGAGAGTGCCAGAGAACTTGGCGAAGAGGGTGTGCTCCGTTTCGACATCCTCGATGAAGGAAGCTACAGGCGCTTGGAAGTCCCGTGCATTCGCCAGTCCATTAGAGCCGATTGGCCCTAGCTCTGGCAAGGAGAAGTGTCCCTGATAAAGTTCCAGAGCATACCCACGAACTGGGCCCTCTGGGAGGGTGACGCGATGTCTGATCCCTCGGGGGATAACACATATCTCATTTGGCCGCACCAGCAGACTGCCCAGCTCGGTTTGAATGTCCAGTACCCCATGCTGAAGCACAATGAGAAGATCTCCATCAGCACTGTAGAATGCATGCTTCTCGTCCATATCCTTCCCTGCCGCAAAGATGAGGATTCCCAATCCGCTCTTCATCGTGGGATCTCCTGCACCTGCTACTAGACGCAGACTGTGCACCCAATCGACCGTCTCGTCCATATCAAAGGGATCCCATCTGAGTTGATTGGGAATCTGATGCCATTGTGCCGATCGCAGACCGCCTGGGTTGAGGTCGTATGATTCTGTTTCCCGTGGCTCGAATGGTGAGTGCGCACTGGCTGGTAGGATGCGGTACAGCCATGATTGAAGGTTTTCGTGTCGTGGTGCGGTGAAGGCGGTGCCGGAGAGCTTCTCATTGTACAGTCCATATGGACATTTCTGAGGATTATTCGATCCGACGGGCAATGCACCCGCTATTGCTTCAGTTTCGTGGTATGAGCCGAAGCCATTCTGATATCGGTACTTTTCTGCTGTCTTGAACTCCGTCACGGGCATGATGACGATGGTGATGAAAGGGATGACAATGGAGTGGGGAGAGAAGTGGCTTCGTGTGAATGAATGATGTAGATATATTTCACTTCCTGAACGCGTCTTCGGCTTTGAGGCACTTTACTGCTTGTGATCATCATGACTTGGGTTGAAAGCCAGCTGCGGTACGTCCAACAGTGTGGAACGTGATCTGGAGGGGTAGCAATTGGGTAGCGGAAAGGTGCCTGCCCCGCAAGTAGCCGATCCCACGGAAAGGTTCCGCTCGGCTCAAGCCATTGGTTGACCCACCGTGACGGGACGCACGACGATGGAGATCAACATCAACATGTGAAGGCCGCGGGAAGCTTCACTTACCTCCCAGAACCGACGGTGATCTCATCTCTTGCAAGAAGATCACAGTACCACCAGCGACACCATGGCTCCCCTCAAGAGCTGGCTCGAGATCGATCCCAAAAGCCACTTCTCACTCCACAATATCCCGTTTGGCATCATTTCATCATCAGCATCGTCTCAGCCGCGTGTAGCAGTAGCTATTGGAAGCTATGCATTGGACTTGCACGCCTTTGCTCAAGGCAACGGCTTCTCCAAGCTATCGACCATTCAACCGCATCAATCCGTGTTCTCACAATCAACCCTCAATGCCTTTGCTGCACTGGGCCGTCCCATCCACAGAGTAGTGCGGGAATACATTCAGACCGTTCTACTTGAGAATGGTCCTTTCCAAGATGTTTTGCAGAAGAATGAACAGCTTCATAAAGCAGCCTTGCTCCCTCTCGAGCAATGCAAGATGCATCTGCCAATGCAGATCGGCGATTACACAGTAGGTTGAATGCTTGGAATCCGTGATCATTCTAACTTCCTGCAGGACTTCTATGCAGGTTTGAACCACGCATACAACGTCGGAGTCCTTTTCCGCGGCCCACAGAACGCTCTCCAACCCAATTACAAGCATCTTCCAGTCGGCTACCATGGTCGGGCAAGCTCTGTTGTGGTATCTGGCACTCCAATCCGCAGACCTACAGGACAGATTCTAGCAGATCCAGCAGCCGATCCAAAAGTCCCGATCCTCAGCCCATGCAGGAAGTTGGACATTGAACTCGAGCTAGGTTGCTTTGTGTGTAAGCCTTCAAGTCTTGGGGATCAAGTGAAGATCGAAGACGCACCAGATCATCTTTTCGGCGTTGTTCTCATGAACGATTGGTCTGCAYGCGATATTCAAGCTTGGGAATACGTGCCACTGGGACCTTTCAACAGCAAAAACTTCGGAACGACCATTTCAGCCTGGGTCGTCCTCATGGACGCGCTAGAACCTTTCACCACGTACGGCATAGAAAACGACACGCAAGTCCTACCATATTTGGACGAGGCAGGTCGTAAATCACACTACGCGATCGATCTGTCATTCTCTTTGACTCCAGAATCTGGCAAACCGACGACTTTGGCAAAGACATCGGCCACACATCTACTCTTCTCATTCCCTCAAATGTTGGCCCACCACACAGTTGGGGGATGTCCCTTCAATGTTGGTGACCTCTTGGGCTCAGGTACGATCAGTGGTAAGACCAAGTCAGAAAGGGGCGCTCTCCTTGAACAGACCGAAKGCGGGAAGGAAAGTGTCGAACTGGAGGGCGGAGAGAAGAGAACTTTCTTGGAAGATGGCGATACTGTCACACTTACAGGATCCTGCGGAGGAGAAGATGGTGCCATAGTTGGGTTTGGCGAGTGTCAGGGACGTATTGTTCCGGCATTAGATCTGTGAAAGTAGAATGATGCAGTCACTTGGGCTTGGCCGTCCTGACGACTCTGGCAACAACAGAAACGCAGCCTGGGAATCGAGCCTATTGTTGAACATGATAGTCATCGAAGCATACTTCTCGAACCCGCTTCGAGCGGGGATATTTGCCAAGAGATGTTTAGCGCCATAGAGGTGAATGTCGGGGCGGCGCAATTCCGCGGTCCTGAGACGGGACGAGTAGCTCCCAACTTCGCTCCACAGTGCTCCATCCCTATGAAAACTCAGTGTCGTTTCTGAGCCTTGCAAGCGCCGCTCTAGGCATGCCTTTATCGCATCGCCATGGGCCGTCTTCGCGATACATCAGGGCTGGTCGGAGAACTGTTGGATTGGCTGCGATCGCAAGTGTCCGCTCGCTGCCGCAACTCGAAATCACATCGAATTCACCAAACTTGCAAAGGGGCAACTACAGCGCTCCTCATGCGCTACAATTCCGAAGAACCACATATCTGCTGCACAGCTTAGACGGTCCCGTTGCGGCTCTACGTAGCCGTGCAGGTCGTCCCCGCACAGCGATGGACGTGAGTCTGGCAGGCGAATCCGCCAATGAATCGAGAGCTTTTACTTGGAGCGGAAACAAACCCATGAGGTACCAAGTTGGTGGTACACTTGGAAATGCTTCGCGTACCTTGCGCCTGAATGGTGGAGATCATGGGCCACACGAGCTATATGATCGAGTTCCGCCCGTGGACTATATCATTCTCAACGTCTTGCCATTTTGATTGACAATCTCGTGAACTTCGACATTGACGGGAACAGCAGCATGGCAGACACTCAACCCCAGAGCATCACCGGTCTTCTGTTTGCGCCGCAAGTCTTCCCCTTCTTCCTGCTTGCAGTCATATTCGCAGCGATCAAGATCATCGACCGCACCGATGTTCCCAAAATCAAAGGCCTTCCAGAGGTTCCCGGAGTCCCCATCTTCGGAAATCTGAGACAACTCGGCGACAATCATGCCGTCAAAGCACGAGAAATGGCGAAGAAGTATGGACCTGTCTTCCAGGTACGAATGGGAAACCGCAGGATTGTCTTTGCAAACACATTTGACAGTGTGAGGAATCTCTGGATCACGAACCAGTCCGCGTTGATCAGTAGACCGAAGCTACACACTTTCCACACCGTGGTAAGCTCTAGCGAAGGCTTCACTATCGGAACGAGTCCATGGGATGAGAGTTGCAAGGCTAGACGAAAGGCTGCTGCTACTGCTCTCAACCGACCTGCTGTGCAGACTTACATGCCCATTATCGACTACGAATCCCTCAAGACGATTCGAGAATTGCTCCAGGACAGCCAGAATGGCAAGCTGGATGTTGATCCAAATGCRTACTTTCAACGATATGCCCTTTCCACCTCACTTACTCTCAACTACGGCATCAAGTTTGAGGGCAACATTGGCGATAACATGCTACGAGAGATTGTCCATGTTGAGCGCGAGATCTCCAACTTCCGCAGTACTGCTTCGAATTGGGCTGGTGAGTAGTTTGACACCTTGCGCAATCAAACCCGCAATATGTAGTCGCACAGACATCTGCTAACATAGTCCATAGACTACATCCCCATGCTACGTCTTCTCCCAGGTGGAAGCGACAAGCCTTTAGAATACAAGACTCGCCGCTCAGCATACATGAACTATCTCCTCCAGACCCTCAAAAAGCGCATCGCAGAGGGAACCGACAAACCCTGCATCAGCGGCAATGTCCTCAAAGACCCAGAAGCCAAGCTCAACGACGCAGAAGTAATGTCAATCGGTATGACCATGGTATCCGCAGGCCTGGATACCGTCCCAGGAAATCTCATCATGTGCATCGCCTACCTCTCCTCTCCTCACGGCCAAGAAATCCAAGCCCGAGCCCTCAAAGAGATCAACGAACAGTACCCAGACAACGACAGCTGGGAGCGATGTTTACATGAGGAGAAATGCGAGTACATTACAGCTTTGGTAAAAGAGACTCTACGATACTGGTCCGTGATTCCAATCTGTCTCCCTCGAACCTCCACCRAGGATATCAAATGGGGAGACGCAACAATCCCCGCTGGCACATCTTTCTACATGAACGCTTACGGAGCAAACTACGATGAATCGCACTTTTCCTCCCCATTTGACTTCAACCCGGATCGATACCTCGCAGGTAAGTCTTTCCAAGCTTCACCACTAAACACATCATCAAGCAATTCAAATACTTATCATCATCCAAAACAGACAAAACAATCGACGATGCAGCGGCAACGCGAGGAACGCCTCACTACGGCTACGGAGCCGGTAGTAGAATGTGCATTGGCTCACATCTCGCAAATCGAGAATTATACACCGCATTCCTACGCATGATCACTGCGTTCGAAATCCTGCCACCAGCGAACAAGAACGAGGCACCGATTTTGGATTGCATGGGTTGCAATAAGTTGCCCAATGGATTGACAATGGATCCCAAACCCTTCAAGATCGGTCTCAAAGTTCGCGATCCCAAGACTTTGGAGAAATGGATCAAAGAGGCGGAGGAAAGATCCAAGGATTTGTAGTCACGAGAAGTTCTTAGTAGTGAGACAGATAGTGGATCAAAACCTGATATCATTCAAAACTCCCACGAGCCATCTAAAAGACCCCACCCAATGTATGACCAGCATACTTTTTGCACTCACATCTACAACCCAAAAAAACGCCGCTGAAATGCACATCCCTCCTCCCAACTCCCATCAATCCATTCATCCACCCACTTCAACGCCGACTAATCTTCCTCCGACCAGCACCARCAGCGCCAGCACCAGCTTTACTCCTCGAAACAGCAGGTTCCGGCTCCTCATAACACTCCCTACAATCCTTCTCAATCTTCACCGTCTGCCAGATTTCGCCTTTGCCACAGTACTTTTGCATCATGGCTCCCTGGGTGCAGAAGTTGGCAAAGACGGTCTTGACGTGGCCGCAAGGGTGCGAGTGGGCGTAGAATTTGCACATGGTTTGTTGTTGGATGGTGGTGGTCTTGGTGAGTGATTGTGAGGATTCTGATGCTCATGATTAGTCAAGTTGTGGTGCTTGGTGGAATTGCAATCTTACTGAATGTTCAGCGGCTTGTTTGGTGAGGATGAGTGAGGGAGTGTAATGATGGGAGAAGTGATGATTGAGAAAGTTGGCGTTCTTGCTGCAAGCTGTGTATTTTGTATCTTGTGGAAGGAACGAGCTGTGAGATCGAGTTTTGCTGTGATGTTGGAAGATTGTTGAGGCTTGTGATGCTCGACTGAGTAAGTGAATGTAGCTGATGATGAAAAGATGAAGACTGTTAGATAACCCTACTCTTATAGAACATCAACACCCATCTCCTGCAACCCGTCGATGCGGTAGGGTCTTGCAATCTACAAGTCCTCGCTTTTGTCACCCACCTTGAAACAGTCTGGTCCCGTTGTACTGATTGTTATAAAAGTTGACACATACAGTACCTGCGTCTGCCATACAGTGCGGCAATCGGACCGCAAGACATGGAGTCGCCAACATTCGGGCCGGCCAGTCATAGCGGAGGTCTCTGGAYGACAGAACGCGTTCTGTGCGAGCGGATCGAAGCTTGGGATGATGGACAAACATATCTATAGGTCCGGGAACCTACATTAGTATCGAGTCCGCAACGTGAGAGCTTGTTCCTGGACCAGCAATGCCCCTGGCATGGAGGCGGCTGGCTACCTATTTGACCGTAGGGCTGAAGTTGACAAATTTGAACCAACAAATTGTTGTCCTTCCTGTGCGGTATGCAAGCAGACATCCCCAACTGCTCACTTGCGGAAACTGTAAGGAATGCAAMACATTGCAGACAGGTGTGTGTACTACGGTTGAGACGTCATGTCGGTCGAAGCTGGACTATGGTGGTACTTTTGTCAGTGATGAAGATTCAAAGGGCCAATCAAACCGTCTTGGAGAGTGCCGGCCCAACGTGTGTGCAACGGATGCAAATCGAGAGACTCGAAACACACATCCATGCACGGAGCTGGCTCCCGGTCAGGTGACCTTCATGCTCAAGCGGGCAAGACGAAGACCGGGGCAAGACGAAGATTCGAATCTGGGTCTGTTGTGGAAAATAGCTCCGTGTGGCATGGAGTCTGTGGTCACGTGATTCACACGCAGCTTCACCGCCTCTCGGCCGCTTGCGCCTGCATGGCTAGGGCCTGGTCTTATGCACCCTAACATATTCTCCGGCCACATTCTAGCATTAGCAATTGTGCTAAACAACGCAAGACGATGCGCCTGATGCCTGGACGAGGCTGGATCGGAGGTGGTTTGCTCAAAGTAGGCTCGGCGTGACACTGCTTCGAGCCAAATGTCGATGATGAAGTCAATGGTTTGCGCGGCTCTGGCAGTTACACGCATCCGAGCGCGCCAGTTCCGAGGCATGGGGACAAGCCATGTCATGCATGTTGTTGCTGGGGAATGCGAGCCGGGTAGCGGCGACGATGCGGTGAGCAGGAGCGGCGGCGAATGTTGTTGTCGTCGTCGGCGTGTGCTGCAATGCAAGATGGAGCAGCGAGTCAAGAGGACGCTCGCTCTTTCCAACCAGACAGTCCAATGACAGCGGCAGTAATGCGTGGGCGACGAGGGAACAGGTCGTAGCTGCGCGCCGAACAGCTCGTGCATGAGACATGCGACATGCGACAGGCGACAGGCGACGAGGAGATGGGATTGGGTTGGTGGTAGCTTTGCGTTGCGTGCCGAGAGCTTGCCTGCCTGCAGCGATGTGGAGACAGTGGAGAGTTCTTCCGAGATCGAATTGACTTTTGCCAGCGCACAACAAGACACATCACGTTCGAGGATGCTGATCCGGCCAGCAAACGCGACGTCGACGTCAGGCTTCGGCTATGTTCATGGTCTACACGGCACGGCGACGGCGACGGTGGCCAGCGGTGCCACGTCTGCGCGGATTTGTCCGTCGGTCGCGATTTGTGTGCATGTCTAGACCCACTTCCCTGGCTGTCAGCGGCCTGCAAGGTCAGTAGATGCATTCTACATGCAGCAGGCTACTGTACCTCGATTSCAATGCGCCAGTCCACTACTCCCCTGCCCGGCCCTGCCCTGCCCTGTCCTGCCTCTCTCATCTCCGTATTCCAATCCTTCGCTCGTCACTTGCTTGCTGCTGCGCTGCGCTGTTCTGCTTGGCTGGCGTTGGGCGGGATTTCCACATTGCGTTGTCCATTTGCTGGGGGCGAGGGTGTTGGGTGCAAAGGCTTCTCTCTTCTCGCGTTTTCCCTCCCCATCCATCTCCGACCGATCGACCTCTCACAAGGCATTCTATTTGCGGCGCATTGGAGGACGCGAACGCACAAGCCGGGGTTGTGCGCTGAAATTCATCTCGAGTCCAAGTCCAAGGCTCACCAAGCTGATCATTCACCTACACACCCGCGCAGAAACAACGAGGCTGGTCTTTTCCACGCGACAGCATGCGAAGGAATCCCAGCCACTGCTATATTTCGAGGCCTACGACGACGAGACGCTTGCTGACGTCGCGAGATCTTGTACCGTGACGCCGGGTCCTTTAAAAACATTCCCAGGCCCGTTCGAGCGCGCAATTGGTGCATTGCAAACATTTCAGGACGAATGAGAACACGCCCCGTCTTTAGTTTCCAAAGTCTCTACGCTACGCGCACAACAGGTAACTTCCACCCTCTCGCATTCTTGTCCGCACTGCCACCATCACACACTCTAATCATGGTCTTCACGCAGTTTCGTAGCGCCGACTGCCGCCGGTCGGATCGGACGCTGGCAGCCAACGCCAGTGAGCTGTACAGCCATCTTGTTACTACTCAACGTGGCTACGTATTGCCTCCATCGTGCCATTGGATACAACCATTACCACAATCTTACCTTTGAGTCGCCGGGCATTGCCGTCTACGGACTCGCGATTCGACCGTGACGTCTTTGCAGTTGCAATCACTCATATCGAGTCGTCTCGACACTCAATCCGGTCGCCTCCGATTTCAGTCTCGATATTGAGTTTGTCTGAAGCGCTGTTCGTTTCTGGTCCGTCGAATTGTCCCTCAAGGTATGCTGCGTCGACGTTGATTCCTGGTCACAAGTCATCATTCTTTGACACTGCAGTCTCATCATAGCGTTACCTCGACACAATTCGGCTGAGTTCATTGACGATTCAGCACACTCTGGTACTTCGCCATCATCGCCGCTCAACTGGATGGACCACCCTTGACGATAGTCGAWGGCCGTGTCTCAAATCGAGGAGAAGATCCTTGGTCGCCTTGCCGAAGAGACCGCACCGAACAATGCACTTCTCTCGGCATCACTCTATCAGGTCCTTGGATTGTCAATACTGCTGTCGAGAAAACTATACCGCGCTCGCAAATTGCGAAAGCTCGACAACACCCGAGATACAAAGTCGCTGCAGCTCTATCACCACATCATCTGGCTTGCACGGGAAGGACTATCCATCACAGAGGTCYACATCCTGCCTTACTGCCAGAATGGAGAGCATGGGCCAGAGTGTAGGGTCATGGCTGCCAAGCTGCGAGCTTCACTATATCACGTCTTCTGCCTCTTCCACAATCACCCGCCGATCAATTCGAGGTCTCCCCAGTCAGGCAGTCCGTCATCGAGCACGAAGGCGAGCAAGGATGTAAATGGCACGCAAGTAAAGGGATCTTCGCCTAGAAAGGGTGATGAAGCTGGCGAGAGTCGAAGGCGCCCTGGTAAGGCGGCTTTACGCGACGCGATACCATCGATGGTGTCGGAAGCCTCATATGTCACCAACCCGTACGCTTCAGGACAAACACCTCCTCCTGGCCTGTTCTTGCCCGCCGAAGCCAGACGAACTCCCACACGTCCACCTGGTCTCCCGAAAATCAATATTGCAGCCTCGCAGGCAGCAGCGACGTTCCTGCTTCCGCCGCTCAACTTCTTGCCGATGGTTAGGGAGCACTTCACCACAGCACAACATCTTGCTAGCAATCTGTTGTCGCCCACCCACGCACTTCGACTTTCGGTGGCCCTCGAACATGCCGCATTCTTGTGGGACTGCGCCAAAGAATATGAGCGAGCGCGCAAGCTTGCACGACGTGCAATACGAGAAGTGTACAGCTCATCCGATGGTCTGGACGATGACGAGTTTGCGGATGCCTCTGCGCTCGTACAAGCGCTCAGTGGTATCGTGAAACGAGGGTCAAACGAATCGACACCTGTCAAACCAGAAGACACCCCCGCTCCGCAACCTGTCGCAGCTAAAACCGTCCATCGTGTCCCTCGGAAACCAGTGCCTCCACCTCCAGAGACGAAACCAAAGCAGCATACGATTGATCGTACAATATCGGTCAGCCCAGAGGCCAACCGACGCAAGGGTACCAGAACAGCAGCGCAAACCCAGCAGATCCCCGTTCGAGCAAGTACGCGTACGCCTGAGCGTCTCAGTACCGTTCCCGAAGTGGGAGAGTCCACCGACGAAGCAGCACGAAGCGTGACCCACGCAACGTTCAGTGCTCCAGCATCTCACCAGGGGACAGTCAGCCCACCTACATCCCGACAACCAACAGTTTCGCCACCCATCACCCGCCTCAGCAGTCGTGGAAGTCGACGCGAACATCGAAGCGGGCGTACCTCCTCCACCGCATCAGCTTCCGATAAAGCCACCAAACGCAAGATTGTCGAGCAAGCAGAACAAGATCTCATCAGACGGCAAAGTCAGAGTAATCGCAGCGGCTCACGTTCCACAGACACCAAAGTCCGCCGACGGAAGAGTAGTGAAAAGCGAAGCGAAGCCAGCAATGGTACTGCACGCCATCAGGAAGATTCCGATGTGAAAAGGAGACGAAGCGGGAGCAATGCCAGTGGTGGCTCACAACCACATAGCCGGCAAGCAACGCCACCTGAAGGGTACGTCCGCAAACCCAGCAGCAATAATAGTCCTTCCCACAAGCGACCAAAGCAATAGCCCTAACGGGTGTCGAGAGGATGAACAGACTTTCCACCAAGCGATCCGGTAACAAAGGAGTCAACCAAACGAAACGCGCACGTCGTAAAGAAGCTCGTCAAAAAGCGGCGGCGGCGGCGGCCAGTATCGCATCGGATGAATCACTGGCCACGCAAATTAAAATATCGCCAGTTTCGGATAAACAACATCATCCTCTACCACCCACACCTGCGCCACTCGTACCGCCACATTCTCGACTTCCACCCACTCGACCTCTTCCATCTCCACCCACTCATCAGATCCCAGCTACAGTCCAAACAGAGATTCGAACCTCTCCCTCTCGACCTCTCCCACCTCTCCCAAATGGGAAGCTTCCGGCCCCAACCCTTCAATATAGTAGATCTCCCGAGAAGCGCACATCCGTCCCCCCTAGCTACACTCGGTCTCCGCCGCGAGTAACAGAGCAAGCAAAGTACTCGACCACACGGACTGCTCGGGAGGCTCCATCACGACGTACCACGGTCTCGGAGAGGAAATCTCCGCCCGTTGACGAACGACGAGATGCAATACTCAGGACACTGGAGATAATCTCGGCGGTTTCAAGAGGTTTTGTCACTACTCGACACAGCAGTAGCCGGGCTGGCAGAATGAGAGTCGTTTGACTTGTGAGATCAATAGAGTGTGAACAAATACTACATATTAATGATGCATTCTGTGCGTTCGAAATGTTATTCTCGGCACTTCCCTAAGATTTCGTGTGGCGGACGAGCTGGCGGAGTGACGTTCCATCTGGGTTGCGACGCAATCAGAGATTGGACCCGTGTATCATGTCAATCGAGAACGGAATGACACGACTTCATGCAATCTGGGATACGTGTGCAATCAGTGCTCATAGGTGGAGTTTCGTAGATGAGGCAGGTCTAGGTACGGTGCAACAATGACACACAGGGCAGCCTCCCTCCGGCATCAACGATGAGTAGCTTCTATCCTCAGGTTACCCTCTTGGAAACGAACCCATGTACTCGCTTACAGCAATATGGCCGCCCATCCAAACACAGCTGCCGCAGCACCAGCAAGTGCTGGATATCGCATTCCAGCCTCACCTTTGGGGTCACTGGTTGTTGGTTCGATGGTAACAGTGGCGGGCGCGTCGGGTGTCAAGGTGGTCTTGTCATCTGGGGTGAACGTGATAACGGAGGTGAGCGGAAGGTCGCCCGATGTCAAAGGTAGATCGCTCGTCAAAGGAAGATCACTCGTCAAAGGGACATCGACTGGTAGCAGCGGGTTAACCGTGACAGTGGCTGGCACGTCAGGCTTCAGAGTTGTAAGCTCGTTTGGGATGAACGTCAGGATAGAAGTAAGCGGAAGGCCGGTCGTTGGCGGTTCGATCGTGATCGTGGCGGGCTTGTCTGCCTTCAAAGTCGTTGAGGCAGTTGGGGTGAAGGTGATCGTGGAAGGCTCAGCCCCAGTACGTTGCGGCTGAGTCACTGTGATGACGGTTGTCGTGGGCAAGGCTCCCGGGACGGTGGCGGTGACGATCTGGTTCGTCGGCTGCATTCCCGTCAAGGTCGTGGTGTATGTCGTTGCTGGAATGACAGTGACCTGCGATTGCGTCGGGCCTTGCTGTCCCAATGTAACTGTTGAGGCCGGCCGAGTCACTGTAACCACTGTACTTGTAGGTGCAGAGATTGTGGTTGTGATGACCCCCAGGTCCCGCGCACCAGTCGATGTCGTCGTGTACGTAGTTGCGGGGATGACAGTCGCCGGCGGCGGCAGCGTAGTTGTGAGTGAGGAGAGGACCGTGGAGCCGGACAGCCCAGTCACAACGACAACAATCGTTTGGTTATCAGGAACGCCCGTGTTGGTTGTCAAGCAGCTGGTCGAATTCTGGGGAGCTGGTGAGACCACAGTCGTGACAGTATGGAGCTTCGTGGTGGGCGAAAGCGTCGTCTGGACGTTGGTCACCACATTTGTGTGCGTTATCGGCACATTCTTGACGATAGGAACCACTGTTGCGATTGTTCGTGGAGCGGTCGAATGCTCAACGATAGTGACGTTCCTTGTGACCGTGGCGGTTGGCAAACTGAAGTCTCCCGTCACCGTAGTCGTGGTGACATAGCTGATCGACGAGTTCTGCGCTGGCAAGGTTGTGAGCGTACCGTTTCTGGGAACGGTGACGGTGAGAGTTGGCCCGGTCGCTGCGCTCGATTGGCTGGGAAGGTAGATTGTGGTCGTCACATTTTGTCCATTTTGACGCACTGCTGTGCTTGATGGAGCCGGACCGAAGCGGGTGACTGTGACGGTGCTGATATTGACAGGGATTGCAGTCGTAGTCGTGATGATGGCAGTCTGAGGAATCACAACCGCGGATGTCAGCTGGGAGACGATCGTCCGGAGAATCGTTGACACGATGGACGACCCTCCTTGCATAGAAGTAGTTGTAGCCGATGTGAGCGGGTTCACAGTCGATGCACCTCCCTGGACGGAGGCAGTCATAGTTGATGCTGCCGGGATCGTAGTTGTGAGAGTAACTGTTGCCGTGGATGGAGACATCAACGCTGGTTGTCCTTTCGACGCGCCCGGGACTTGAACTTGAGTAACGACAGTCGTCGTGATTGTCACCACACCGCCAGCACCGCCGACCTATGGCGACTGTGGCGGAGGTGATCCATTGACAGATCCGGAGCCAGATCCGCCGCCAGAAGAAGCTGAGCTTGTGCCCGAGCCGGGAGCAGAATTAGGGGCAGCACCTGAACTTGAGCCGCCACCAGAACCAGCGCCAGAGCCTGATCCATTGCCAGTACCAGATCCATTGCCAGAACCTGATCCGCTGCCAGAACCTGATCCGCTGCCGGAGCCTGATCCATTGCCAGAGCCTGATCCGCTGCCAGAGCCTGATCCGCTACCAGAGCCCGAACCGCTACCAGAGCCCGAACCGCTGCCAGAGCCTGATCCGCTTCCAGAGCCTGATCCGCTTCCAGAGCCCGAACCGCTACCAGACCCAGCTCCAGAGGCACTGCTAGAGCCTGAACCAGAGCCGCTGCCTGAACCTGATCCACTGCCAGCACCAGAGCCTGATCCGCTACCAGAGCCCGAGCCGGAACCACCTGAGGAGGGAGATGATGTTGATGTGCACACGTCGAGGTTGGCACACGCAACGACCGTCTTGTTGGCGAATTCCACAGAGAAACTTCGGCCTTTCACAGCGGCAGGGCCCGAGATGAGGGCAAGGTAGTTGTCAACATAGCTGTGTGGGTCAGCAGAAGTCTTCTTTGATACACGGGGAGACACTCACTTGGCGGAGTACGCAGTGCCTTGAATTGTGCCATGCTTTCCCGACAGATCTCCCACTTCACAAGAAGCCAGGTCCCTGGAGTCGCAGCCAGTGCCGCCATTGTTGTATGGATCGAGATGGCCACCAGCCGAGGAGCAATTGCCGTTTATGACGTTGTTCTGGTTGACGTAGTATACTGGAAGATGCACGAGATCAGTATCGCTGTCGGATGACAATAGACATTGTTGTACTCACGGAAAGGGCCGCCGCTGCTTGGTAAGTTTGATAGGCTGATCTGAACTGTCACGCCGTCGCCGCCCTGGCCAGGTCCGAACTGGACGTTTCCGATTGATAGCTGGGCACAGAACTGAGGATATGTGTTGTTTTTAGTCGCAGGTGCTTGACTGGCAAGCACAAAGGGAAGGGCTGCCGTGAGAATGGCGATGGAGAAATGCATATTTGAAGGTCTGAGGGGTGTTCAGGCAATCTCCGAGAGGTAAGATGAATTTGATAGCTGAGATGGCGATGTAGTTGAATGTTTGTTGAGAGGATGAAGATGGGGGAGATGAGACGGGAAGATTGGAATGAATGGAAGGAAAGGGAAAATGCAGGCGTTCGCTCGCGTTTGAGCTTGCGGAAGCTGCATCCGCAAGACAACCAGCAGGTGCATGCCATGCGATCGTGGAGGGCACTGGCGACGAAGATTTGCGATTGCCAGGGTCAGAGCGTCCTACTCTCCTTCCCCTTTGCTCTCCGTCGTCAAGGACATATACTTTGGTAAGTACTAGAGGGTATCTTCACTAGGTGAATCCCGCTGTGCTGAGCGAGAGCGCTTTTGCTCTTCGTTTATTACGCTCTTAGCTATGACAGTGAGACGCTTTGATGCATCTTGGGTCGTGTGCTCATCAGTATGCCACGTCTGGAACTGACGTCTCCAATCTCATTCTAGTCTTCGCCGAGAACAGGATCTGAATACCCTTAGAGCAGCACGCGTCGGTACTGGGGGCTGTTTCCAATAGGGTCGAGAGACCATCTCCTCACGTTCCATGGAGAGTAGCTGAGCGCGGCAGCATCTTCCATCGAGAACGAGATGTGTATACCCTCGAAATCATACGTTGAGCTGGGCTGCGAGGCCACATTGGAACAGTCCTACGCTTCTGTTAGAAGTGTGATGGTTCCATCATCGCATCGAGCACTGGCCAGCCCGTCAAACTCACTGCGGACCATTGTCGTCGCCAACGTCGTGCTATAGCCACTGCTACAAAATCCCAAGCCTGCGGTTTGTATGCGCGACAGAGACGGTCTCTCTTTCCGCCCTGCTGGAATCGATGCGTGCTGTGGAGACGGGAGCTTCCAGTCTTGCCGAGTACGAGCCTATACGAGATAGCAATTCAATCAAAGGTTATCGGAAAAATTTCCAACATCAACATCGACTTACCTCACCTCCTCACACATCCTCAAAATGCCCAAAGTCGGAAAGCCAAAGTCGAAGCGGATACCAGTGCGTCTCCGACACAAGATCGAAAAATCGTCCGCAGCCAAACAGCGCAAGCAGCGCAAGGATGGCAAGAAGAATCCACAATGGACGAGTCGACTGAAGAAGGACCCTGGCATTCCCAACCTGTTCCCTTTCAAGGACAAGATTCTGGCCGAAGTGGAGGAGTCGAAGCGACGCAAGGAGGAGGAACTGGTGCGCCGGCGCCAAATTGCCAAGGCACAGCGCGAGGGCAGGACACTGGCGGAGGTTGCGGGCGAGGAGGCTGCTGCGAAGGGACAACAAGATGGCGACGACGAGCTTATGGATCCGATGGACGACGGGGAGGATGTAGACGCCGACGGAGACGAGGCAATGGATGATGACAGCTCAAATCCCATGGCTGCTTTAGTGGCATCCGCACAGGCGAGAGCAATGGAGCAATCGGCAGATGCGGATGAAGAGGAGGATGAGGACGAAGACGAAGAGGCAGACGATAATGATCTGCTTTCCAAGGGACCGACAAAACAGAAGCCAGCTACGAGAAAAGCGCCGGTCGCACCCGTTCGCAAGACGCTGCCCAAGCAGGCACTCGAAGACCCCGTCAAGGCCGTCACAACTCTCGTTACACGTCTCCAAGCTCGAACAACCGAACCAAACCCAGCGATAAAGGTTGTAGTAGACTACTACGCCATCCCTGCACTACCCGAGCTCCCACCCACCGAACCAGCAGCGCCTGTAACTTCAAAGAAGCCGGCAGGGAAATCGCCCGCAGACCGCGCTCTGGAGAATTGGACAACGCGTTTCCTGGTCGAGGTGGCCCGTAAACGAGGTCGCCTCGGAAAGGGTGGCATTCCCAACCTCAATGCTGCCGCTCTCACCGTACTGGGAGACATCAACGAGGGCAGACTTGTGATACCTGCTGCTCCGAAAGAGGTGAGGAAGAATGTCAGCGCGGGTGACTCCACGGTCACAATTGTTGAGACCATGGCCGAGCCATTCCGGATCGAGGGACTGTTTGGTGATAGCTATGGCAAGTGAGGAAAGGCTCAAAATGAATGTCGTGGTGGACTTGTTCCATCGACGATTGCTCAAAAATGATCAAGAGACCGTGTCATTGCTATCGTTGGCGGCCCAGGCGCAGTGACGTTATTTCGATTGACTGGATTCGACGAGCCTGCATGGTGTAGACGGATTGAGGTGGTGGAGAGGCAGCAAGGTATCGTTGTGCGGAACTTACCTGTGACTGGGAATGTATTGCCCGTTCCCACTACGGATCCCATTGGGATCGCCTCCGCGGTCTTCTAGACAGTCAGGCTGTTGTAGGCAAGAAAATTGTTCTTGTCCGTGAGGGAAATATGGGATAGGCGTAAGGCACAAGGGACGGATTAGCAAAAGCGCTCAAAGCGCTCGCCTCCCGAACGTGATGAAATGAAATGATTCTTCAACTTTTCCGCATGCGTCTCACAGGTATGCGTATTTGGCATTTACACCATTATCGGCCCACCGATAACATGAGTCCATCACGACTGAAGACATCTTGAAACATGTCGTCGCTTACAGCCCGGGGAAGCCTTCTATGCAATTCTCCTCCCTCCGCAAAGACGCTCGCGATTGGGCGGAGATTTCTAAGCAGATCCGTTTGCGCCTGCAGCACCGTTGAACAGTTCAGCCTGACTCCATCTGGCCTTCGCAGCAGCCACATATTCCTCCCTCCCAGCGCCAACCTCCTCGACCACCTTCAAGCCCCTCTCGGCTAGATCCAGCGTCGTGGAAGGAAGAGAGACAGTATCGACCAGGTCCTTCGTACTCGCTCCCTTCTCAGCCTTCAATACGTGGCGTACTCGTGCAGCGGCGTGCACATGCGCGGCGCTATCGCTGTGTTTCGAAAGCCACGTTTCATTGGCTTCCGAGACCGATGTCCCTTGGAATGAAAGAGTGGGGTTGGAAGAGAATAGCTCCTTGATGACAGCTTGAGTCTGTTCAGACAAAGGAGCGGCAAGCGAGTCAATCGCAAGCTTGAATCGTGCGCTCAGCTCGTGGACCTTTGGATGTGAGGGCTCTAGGGCGTGAATAGCGAGCAAGCAGCGGAGCGCAGGGAGATATTTTCCTGAGATATGGTCAGCACATACAAACGAGAGCAGATCACAACGTTCAAACTCACCTCTCCGAATGTGCACTTCGAACCCAGCTGCTTGTGCATCAATGTTCTTCGGACTCAGCTCCAACAGCGGTCCTACAAATTTGAGCGCCTCCTCCAAGGGTTTCTCAACCTTCAACAGTGCCAGTCCAAGGGGATCCAGATCCTCCTTCTTCTTCTCCTCGCCTTCGTCAGCGGCTTTCGGGGTAGGTGCAGCGGCCTTCTTGGCTTTCTTCTCGGCCTCCGCACGCTCGGCCTCCTTCTTCGCCTTCTTCGCTGCCTTCTTTCGGTCTGTCTCGGTCTGCCCAGCCTCCGAGCCTTTTGTCAGGTCGGGGGTGTCGTGAAGCTTGATGTAGATCTCGACCGCCGCCAGCGCTGCACGGGAAAAGAACGGGTGCTCCCGTAGCTTGTCCTCCCATCGAATCATATCGATGTATGCCCTTACCATTCCTTTCCGGAGTGAGAAAGTGTGAAAGTCAAACTGGTCCTCGTACCAGACTTCAAAAATGTCGTAGACGGAGATGAATCTCTTCAACGCAAGCGCCAAGTTCCCTTGACGGTAGTATGCAAGACCATCTTCGGTAACATACCACACGCACTGCATATCAAGCAAGTCACCTAGAGGACCACCCACCGCCTCCTTTCTTGTGAAAAGACCCATGGTGTTGACGCCTGCTTCGTGGTCATYGGCGCGAAGCTGGTATTTCGCACACTTGGTATTGATGTATCGATCTTTGAGGTCCATTTCTCGTGCCGCATTCATAGCCTTGGAGGCGCCGGAGATGTCGCCGCTGTGCTTGAGTATGCGCGCACGAGTCATGTGGTAGGTGTAGTCCGTCTTGCTGGGGTTAATCTCAATGGCCTTCTCAATGTACTTGGAAGCTTTTGGTAGGTCCTGAGAGATGGGATAGTTGTAGTGTTGTGCGAGGAAGTAGTTGACGCTTAGTGGCCAGTTCATATTCGCTTTGCTGTCCCCGTTTGTCTTGTGTGAGCCATCCGCGCTGCCGTTGGGTTCTTCCCTCTCTGCACCGCCGTTTGCCTGAGGATCCTCAGTGCTGTAGCCCTCTACCAGCTCCTGGAAAACAGCACGCTTCGCTGGATCAGAATACAGCTGCTTGACATTTGCAAATGTGCTGGGTACACCCTTGGCGAACATTCGACGAAGGTAGACATCTGCGTGCTTTCGGAAAAGCTCGCCGTGGAGGAAGTCCAGAGGTATCCGTCTTGCAGCATCGATACGTGTGCTCTTATCCGCATAGCTCTGGTAAAGCTCACGCAGAGTTTCCTGGTCTTCTGCTTTCTGCCTGTCCAATCCCAGCGCCGACTCCAATCCCTGATAATAGGCCCGCTTCTCCGCGTTCCGCGCGAGCAATGCGCGGTACGCCTTTTCTGCCTCCGTGCTCTTCCCCAATTTAAGCAGCAATTCTGCCTTCATCTCCATCACTGCCGTGCGATCCATGCTCGTTTTGTACACGCCCTCTAGGTGTGTCAGCGCCCGTTCGTGCTCGCCAGCTTCCTGGATGATGGTATTGCGGTAGAGAGATGCCTCGCTGTGCTCCAGGTCGGTCTTCGGGGGTGGCTGCTTCAGCGTATCTTCGTACTTGACCAAAACATCTTCTGCGCTAGCCAAGTCGCCGTTCAAGTGCAGCGCGACGRCCAATGCGGTCCAGTTCTGACGACTGTTCGGACGCGATGTAAGTATCACTCTTCGAGTTGTGGCAAACCCAGCATAGTCGCGCATCTGCACCTGCAACAGGGCCAGATCCCGCTGAATCTGCTGTGAATCCGGGTCCAGGCGCAAAGCGAAACGATAGGCTTTGATGGCTTCCTCGTAGTTCTTCACGCTTCGCCATAGCAGACCATACACATGCCATGCAATGTGCGACTTCATTGCATTTTTCAATGCCAGCTTGCACAGCTCGAATGCCTCGTCCTTGCGGCCCACGGTGTTGAGAATCAACGCCTTCATTGCCTGAGTGTTACCATGGTTGGGGTGTTTGCGAAGAATCTGCTCGGCCGCCTTGAGACCCTTCTTGTATGCTTTAGATTCGTAGTTCTGCACCAAATGCCGGAAGAGAGATGCTTCCTTCGTGGGAAGTTCGTATGCGGACGCCATGGGGGCGGGTGGGGTTTGGAGGTGATTGACCGCACGGAATGGACTGGTCGGACCGGGGACCTATGATGAAAAGGGAAGGGAGCGCACCAAGGTGGACCAAATGAGTGTGAAGCGGATGTAAGGTTGATAAATTTACCTGGTCCGAGATGCAGTGATGTCGCATGTGCTTCACACTTGAACTAGCGCAAAATAATGTGGGGCCGGAAAGCGCTTCGACTTTATTGCAACTGCCTTTCCATTTCATCTACGTACCTTGCCGCATACACCATCACGATATCCGACAAGTTGCGGTGCCACGTGATGGAAATGACAGTATATTTGTCTGGCGAGAGTAATGGTGATAGTACAGGTACTTGAGCACATTTTTTCGTTCTTTTCGTTCTCTTGCGCGCTGATCTTCTACGGAGGATAGCGAGGTCACAAGCAAGTGAGTAATGTTCGAGGACTGTTATTACACAGGAGTCGAACGTTCAGTTCCTTCGTTTATCGGCTAATTTCAGACTTCGACTTGCGACTTTATAATTCCAAGCGCCTATACTACGAAGCTTTAAGAAATCGCCTGTATGGCCTCAGTCATCTACGATAGTACATGAAAGTTTCGACACAGGGGTCTCGATGCTTGGGATAAGAACGCATCACCTCCTACTCCACCCTGTCCGCCTCCTGCCTCGACCCCTTCATCTCCTCCATCTCCTTCATCCCCTCCATCTCCTCCATCTCGTCTTCCGAAGGGCTAAGGTCGGGAAAACATTTCCACTTCCTCCACTCCGCATCCGGGCATATGCCTGATCCCCACACAAGACCGACAGCACCCATAATTACCAATGACACAACTGCCCCGACCTCCAGAATCTCTGGGTCGCGCAGGATGGTCCACCCATACCTCCCATCCAAGATCCGCTCGATCCACATTCCCATTCGTTCTCTTTGGCACGGCCAGACCGATTCGTCCCAGAATTCTGCCGCTGAGACACAAGTATTGGGCACGAACTGCGGGATGATGGGGATATTTCCAACAAGCGGAACCGGGAGTTTAAGTCCWGAGTGCATGAGGAAGTTGAAGAAGTAGGTGCTGCACATGAAGAAAGTGTAGCGATCGGCAAGGCGGAAGGGGAGCTTGGGCTCGATGCACCAACCGTAGATAAATATGAAGGCTTGTACTAGGTAGTAGGAGTACTTCCAGATCCAGATCAGGAGGTGGGCGAGTGGTGTGTTGAAGTCGGGGTCTGGCATGGTTGGTGCGGTTGTGCTTGTAATTGGTCTGACGCTGGAATTTTGGGCGCTGGGTTACGATTGAGATGAAGCTGTGGTGTCAGCTATGAGAGGGAATGATCAGGGCTGGCCTTGGTAGGTGGAAGAATAGACATGTCGACAGACTTGTCRTGATAGGTGGCAGTGGAAGTATGGCAGAGGAAGTGTGCTGACCATTTTAACGTAGTGTAAGGTGATCAAGCTTCTACGTGCCTTGGTTGCGCGAAACCTAAGGTAAGAACACTTGGCTTCCTCGCGCTCAAAGAGCCTTAATGACAGCATAGCATCGTCTGCTGTGCAACAGTGCCCACTCATATGAAAGGATCGCTACCTGGGATAAGTGTAATACCTTTCTGGCTATTCGAGCTTGCCCAGCGTCGAAGCGATGCCATGCCAGTTACCTGTGAGTCGCAGTCCAACTTGCCGTTTACTCACCCGATCGTTGTCCGCTACACTTATCCACCCGTCTATTACGTCTGAGGAGATATTGGCGATGCCCCTGTTCGTCACTCTCTAGATATTGCCCTCGACCAAGGTGCTTCGATGTGCTTCGGTTAGCTAAGAAAGAATCAGCCGACGAGAGTGTAATGTAGGTCCGATGGCACCGAACAGAGACGATGCTAGAAGAACTCACGTTTAAAGCCTTCTTCCAGATGCTTATTGAAACAAGGATAGGACTGAGACAGAAATCTTCAGATGCTCTGGAAGCTCTGTAGAAGAGCTCCATATCTGCAGTTTCAGAGGGGACATCTAGATGTCTGAAAAAGACACTTCCAGATATGCGGTCAGGTCCATCACCACTTTCTTTCGAGCCGGAATCTGGAGCATTGTTCATCAGTTTTACACCAAGGGTAATAAAGCAATACACTTTTGGATGATTTGACAATTGCGAGTGAGGATCCAGTCTCAAAGCTTCGATCCAACACATTCTCCCCTTTGCGACAGGAATATGGAGATGATCCGGATCCTCTTCTTGTACATGTTGCTGTCAGACGTACGGACAGGGTTAGGGTTGGGGTAGGTGTGTGACGATCACATTACTGGACCAATTTAAAGTTCTGACCTCGCGTCGCGCTACCGGGCAACAACGCGTCAACCTAATCTAAGAATTGATGCTTGACATCTTGGACATCGACACCTTTCAATCACTCCTTGAACAGCCAAACAAACACCACAATGACACAAGACGACGAAGCATCTCAATCCGGATACGAAGAGGGCCTCGCTGGAGGACCAGGGGCTCCCACGCCGCTATGGAGCTTGGAGGTACGGACGAGACGGCTCGGTGGCGACATGACCAGACACTAATTCCAGAGCAGGGCATTTCTGGCATCACAAAGCGCGACATTCAGCTGTTTGTAGATGGCGGATACAACACTATCGAGAGTGTGGCCTATACGTAGGTGCAGAGCAACTCCGAGAAGTAGCATCCATGGGACTGACAGCAATCGACAGTCCGAAGAAGGCACTGGAGACTCTCAAAGGCGTGTCGGAGCAAAAGGCTACCAAGCTCCTGACTGAGGGTAAAATACAATGGCGTTTCTTGTGTATCAATGTGCTGACTCCTTTCAGCCTCCAAGCTTGTGCCTATGGGGTTTACAACTGCCACGGAGATGCACGCGCGAAGATCCGAACTGATTTCCATAACTACCGGCTCGAAACAGCTTGACACCCTACTCGCCGGTGGAATCGAAACCGGCAGTGTGACGGAGCTCTTTGGAGAGTTCAGAACGGGGAAGAGTCAAATTTGCCACACACTTGCTGTTACATGTCAACTACCATTCGACATGGGTGGTGGCGAGGGTAAATGTCTCTACATCGACACTGAAGGAACTTTCAGACCGGTCCGTCTCCTGTCGGTAGCCACGAGGTACGGTCTGAATGGCGAAGAAGTTCTGGACAATGTTGCGTACGCGCGCGCATACAATTCGGACCACCAACTTCAACTACTGAACCAGGCCGCGACGATGATGACAGAAACTCGGTTCTCCCTCCTCATCGTCGACAGCGCTACCTCGCTCTACCGTACAGACTTCATGGGTCGTGGAGAGCTCTCCAACCGGCAAACACATCTCGCCAAGTTCATGCGTATTCTGCAGCGACTTGCCGACGAGTTTGGTATCGCCGTGGTCATTACCAACCAAGTTGTTGCACAGGTGGATGGAGGTCCATCGGCTATGTTCAATCCCGATCCGAAGAAACCTATCGGAGGAAACATCATTGCCCACGCCTCGACTACGCGATTGTCACTGAAAAAAGGCAGAGGCGAAACGAGAATATGCAAGATTTACGATTCGCCATGTTTGCCTGAATCAGATTGCATGTTTGCAATTACTGAGGAGGGCATCAACGACCCGGCTCCTAAAGATCTGGAGAAGGACTGAAATGTTGATGAGGAGCACAGCGCGTCGGCGGCACGCTTACATATGGAGTTCTTGGTTTGCATTTTGTCTTTGAAAGCGTGGCGTTTCATGGATTGTTGTGGGGGGATATGCCCTCTCTTGAGGAGGCTGGCAATGAGATGGACGAGTAGCAATAGTGAACATCACCTTGTGCACATGTGTCCTGTGCAGATAATGCAGACTTTCAATCAAAGACATCTGTATGCTGGAAATGTTTCGTCTCTTACCTGTACTCACTAAGCATCCTTGCCTAGCTCCTTCGACTGACGCTAGCCGTTTGAAGCAGCTCGCGTCTCAAGATTCAAGAAACAATCGACGACCAACTTCCACAACTCTCACACGCGGAACCGCCACTTCTGGCATCGTGCTGTTAATTCAATGGCTACAGTACTGATACCGCCGTCGTTCTTCCAGGAGACGCGCATCTCTCCGACACCTTGCTCGCCCTCTAGCATCCTGCACATCAACGCCGCGGGTAATGCATCGACAGCAGTTGGCCGCAAGCGCGCGTTCGACGAAATCAGCGGGCTGGACGAGGAGAGCTATGCGCGAAAACATCTGGCTACCGAGGGCTCCATCTTCTTCCGCTCCGCAGACAAAACACCGCGAAGTTTTCTCTGGCGCGTGCTGAACAACCGACAACTGCTGGAGGTGCAATGCGTGGACTTGGTGCAGCCCACCAGCGCAAAAGGTGCGAGCGACAGCTGGCTGACATTCCACATCACGCTGCCCGCGCCCATTGTGCCAGGTGGTGTGGTGCTGGCAGACGCGACGGAGAAGGATGCGCTAGAGCTGTTTGTTGTCACGAGTGTTGGAGGAAAAAGCGAGCTATACACCATCACCTTGAGGAGGGATCTACTGCTACGGGAGACGGTGCCGGTCGATTTTGACGGAAAGACATGTGTACGGGCATTCACGCCGAGCCGATTCAACTACAGCAAACCATACCGCCTTACTGCTWCCAGCAATCTGGAGCTGTTCGTTTCGCTGCATGATGGAGGGCTGGTGAGGTTGCAGAGATCTGCGAGTGAGAGCGGTAGCCAGTGGAGGGAGACCACCTTTAGCGAGGGTGGCTGGCTTGACTATCTGCCATTCCGAAGCGCACCGTCTGTCGACTACCATGGAGGGAAGGTCAGTGCCAATGCGATCGCCGCGATGGCCATCAGTCCGGATGGGGTCTTTGTCTGGACCGTCAGTCTGGATCATACGCTCAAGGCGTGGGACACGCGCACAGGCAAAGTTGTCGTCGAGACAGACCTGTTGGGAGAGAATCTCACGCTCGAGGAGAAGAAGAAACAGGCCAATACACCCATGGGCGCCGAGCAGGGCACTCTTCTCCAAGTTGGACCGCCAGCGATGGACACAAGTCTTTTCGATTACTCTTTGATTGTCCATTCGCCAAGAGACCACCAATTCAAGATCTATGGCATCAAAAATGACACATCCCAGGAGGGCAGCATCCCGCAATTTCTCGACATGCAGCCAGGTCGCAAGCTGATACCACCCATCGACGAGCTGCTGAATACCAACATTTGGCACCTGGAGCAGTTCTACGTCAAAGCCAATCCAGACTGGCAGAGGTCGCAGTTGTGGTTGCGAGCGAGGAGCGGTGCGATCTGCAAGACGTTTACCTTGACATTTGACCTGCTCGACCGCCTGGGCTCACCAATCGATCTCACAGACAACTTCGCGTCCAGATGGAGCGTGGTGGATTCATCATCACTCACCACCGACAAGCTGAGACAATTGCCTGAGTTTCAGGGTTTAGAGGCTATCACCGACAGTACGACTACCCCTAGTGAAAAGTGGCTTGGTTTCCTCTTCTTTCCTGGCCGTTACAGCCCTGCTTCGCTTGAGACTGCGCTGTACATCTATCGCAAAGGCCGCAATCTTCCAGTCACTTCCAGCAGCAAAGGTCTAAAAGCTACAGAGGATCCTTTGAAAGAACGTATCACGAACGCTGTGGCGGCGAAGATTCTGCTACGCCGTCTGCCAAATGAACAGCCCGACTACGAACGATATCAGCACGATTTGCAAGCGCAATGGGTAACGTTCTTCTCGCTGCTCTCGCACCTGCACAATCGCCGACATGAGTCTATTGGATCTGCGTTTGATGCAGCGCATGACCTTGCGTGGACAGTGTGTGCTGACTTCGTCGCGCCAGTGCGAACAAGCAGCAGGTATGACCTTTTGAGCCACAACGCTGAGCTGTGCATGAGTGACGGACTGGAGAAATTGGATCCGACCATGGATGCATTGATTTGGGGAAGCGGCGACGACATTCTCATAACACAAATCCTCGCAGTCGCTAAGAAGTTCAGAAACTGCCTCTCGCCGACGGCACAAGAGAATTTGAGGATGACTGCCACTGTCAATGCTATTGATCGCAGCGAGGACGTTCCGACAGAAGAGGGTCTGCAGCTCCTATACGATCGCTGCGGCTTCGCCAACGAGGTCAGTGACGAAGATTTCGAGGCATTGGAGCTGGCGGCGTCACAGTTTCACGGCCTGGGTACGCTGAGTGACGATTCGTTCCTTGCAGTGCTGGAGGTGCTCGACCAAGCGCCCGCACCACATGGCCCACATGCGAATCTCACTCTCGGTCGTTACGGAAAGGATGTCAACATTGCCATCGCCAAGGAGAGTATCCAGCAGATGCAGTCCGCGCTTCTGGATGTTCTAGCCCTGATTGTATTTATGACATATGAGCTTGATGAGGACGGTCTCTCGCCAGAGTTTCGAGCCAAGGACTTGTACGAAGCATTCATGCTGAGGATCAAGGTCACTGAGCTGCGTCTCTGGCTTGTTAGGAACGTACGCCAGGAGCCTGTGCGCGCGAGTACGAAACCTTCGGACATGATCTCGATGAGCATCTACGAAAGTCTGTTCGCCGGCGATTGGACTGTCATTGCCCGTAAGAAAAATCAGTCAGATGGCTTATCAAGCTTGTTGACGTCTTGGGCCTTACATTGGACCTTTGGCATCGACATTAACAAGCAGTGGAGCGAGATCACAACATGGGCTATGGCAGATCTGCTTCGACACAAGGAGATCGAGCTCGCGGCAGACTTTGTCAAGTTCTTGCCGGAGAACGATTCTGCTTGGGCAACATACCTCGAAGCCCGCCTTCACCTCGCACTGGGAGAATATGCGCAGGCGAACCTGGCATTCATCGATGCTTCGCACGACATGTCGAATGTCCCAAACGCGAATGTCAATCTGAAAGGCGAGCTTCTCACTCCGGAAGACCTGCTTCTCATCGGCAAAGGTCCATCCCCGTACTTCCGACACGTTCTATCGCTGTTTGAACAGCTGAAGGTGTACTCATACACTGCGGACTTTGCATCCCTCGCACTGCAATACTTGCCATCGCGGAAGGACATTGTCCGCCACTTTGACGAGTTGGACATGCGCAAGAGCAAGACAGACAGTCCGCCCATTGAGACCGTAAGGAACTCTGGGCACGAGATCAAACTCATGCAGCAGCAACAAACCCGTGACGACATTCTTGGGCGCCTGTTTAACGCACTGGTGCAGACTGGGAGGTATGAACAGGCATACGCTGCTCTGGTGGAGATGATGGATCCCATGGTGAAGCGCTCCAATCTGAGGATCCTCGTCAAGGCATGTACAAAACGTAACGACTCCGCAGGCGCAAGCGTGCTCCTCAATTTGAATATCGAGGGGGATTTGTTGAGATATGCGGACTCTATTCTGCTCGAGCTGGCTAGAGACGCAATGGGCAAACACCCTGCTATCACCTCCAGTGCAGCACCGGCTTACCATCAGATCCTCTTCTCGTTCCGTACATCGAACGGGGATTTCCGCGGTGCTGCTGCCATATTGTACGAACATCTCGAGCGTTTGAGGAATAGCAAAGGCGCGATGGCGCAGATCATCCAGGATCCTGAAGATGAGACGCTAGTGAGAGTCTACGCCTTGCTGATCAATACCATTGCGTGCTGCGGTGAGCAGGAGGCATGGTTACTGGCAGATCCTATCGAGGGCGTGCATCCCGAAGGAAGAAAGAGGAAGCTCGTCAGATTGGAGGATGTTCGGAGGGAATACATGGCTGAGTTGGACAGGAGAAACGATCTGGCCATGGGGAGATTCGCAATCACGGGCGATGATGATGATATGGTTTTCTAGCTGCGGATGACTGCTATAGTAATGATACCCTGCCCCACTGGAGCTTTCGCTTCGCGTCGACCAGCGTGTCTCCCAGCTTCTAAAAATACGTGTGATGTCAGGTCAGTCTCCAAGTGAAAGACCATCTGATTCTGCCTGATCAGAGCATCGCCTCAGGCCAACACCCAGTAATTCATACAAATGCAATGCTTCTGCGCATGCAACAACCACACGGGCATCTCCCTAGTTTTATCATGCGGCAAATCCTCCATCTCCGCTCCACATCTCCTGCAAATCCTCAGCTTCATTCCCTGTTTCAACACCACCTTACGAATGACATCGTAGCGAGTTTCCCCGACAGCTCTCGGCTTACTACGATCTAATTGCAGATGATTTGTATTCCAGAAGAACAGTTCGCTGATATCCGTCGTTTCGCTGAGTTTAGGCAACATTGTATCCATCAATGAATTGAGAGCAGGTTCCAGTTCCACAGGAATGGCACCGTCAACGATCATGGCAATCTCTATCTCAGAGCGACGGTCCGCGTGGAGAGTAGCGGGATTATACGCATTACGAATCGCCGTGTCGAATTCTCCGAGCATGATTTCCACTTGATGGAGCTTGACGGGTAATTTGGCCATTTGTTCAAACATTGCTGTGAGATCCATACGAGCGGCGACGGAGTGGGCGCGTGGTGCGACCTGGTGGCTGACTTGAATATACTTGCCAATCCAGCTGACTTGTAGGCGTAGGAGCGCGCGGGAAAAGGAGCATAGTAGGAGGTGAATTGCTGGACTGGCCGATTTGGCCATGAGATCCTCGAATGCCTGCTTTGCAGTCTTGGATGGATCCTTTTGGAGAGTGCGTTTGACTTCGTGTAGAGTATCGACAATGTAGATGATGAGGTCGATGGACCAGCGGACTAAGGTTCGAAGAGAATGGACCGCTTCCGTGGACACTCGGCTCACATCTTTAACGCTCACAGTGTGTACTATTGCTGTTGAAATGTGCCGTAGGTTGAGAACGGCGAAAGCGTATTGACCAGCAAGACTACGCACTCCAGTGGTGTGATCCGTACCCAAGGCCAGTTGGACACTCAGCACGCGTGGGACGACTGGCTCCTTAACTACGGTCATTTGCTGCCTGCCGTTTTCATGCTGTTCATGTCAGCTCATCCTTCAATCGGAAGACAGCCTCTACGCACCATCGATATGTCTGGACTTTTGTTCACCATTTTGAATGTCGTCTTTACCACCGTTGAGCGCAGCTCCGGGCTTGCCTCGATGGGCAACAAGGCCAAAGACTCATCATTGGATATACTGTTGTAGCAGAGGAAGGCATACTGGCGCGCAACACACACCGCAGCTGCTTCAATGAATGGCCTGTTGTCGCCGATGTCGTCTTCCATGACTTGCCAGCCGTGAGTGAACGCCATTGTACGAGCAGCAAGTTTTCCGTCTGCATTCACAACAGYAACACCACTGCTGTCCGCGGACATGGCAACGTGATTGTTGTGAGGTCCGGCGAGATGATCGAAGCCTGAGCTGGGCAAGTTTGAAGCGGTGCTGGTGTCCCCAAAAGGACCTATAACATCCATGGTGACTCTTTCACGCATCTCAACAGTGCCATCGCTTGCACCAAACGCTATGATGGTGTCGAACATCTGTGAGCGGACAGATAGGATGACTTTGTTGGTCATGATGTCGGGACTTCTTTTCAGCACCGTAATGGGATTCTGCACGGCTTTCGAATCCATGCCGGTCAGTTTCTTGAAACTAGTGTGTAGCGATGGCATGGAAGACTCGACCCGCCACTGCGCGATGACACTGAAAGAGCCTTGAGATTGAGCGGCGTCAACAAGAAAGGATGTCTGTGTGAAGACGGCAAGCACTGTCGGCAGAGTTGGTGGAGACTGAGTTGCTTCAGGCGCTGTCGGGATGAGGCGTAAGTGCGTGAGTCTGGCGCCGTCTGCATGCTGTGGCATTGCATTGTGCGAAGCTGTCAGGCGATGAACCTCGAGGGTAGGAGTGACCAGTGTGTAAGTCTGGCCTGGTCCTCGGCTGTGTTGGGTAGCATTCCATTCAATCGTGACTCTGTACAGACGGATTCGACAGGAATTGTCATATGTGACAGCGAACAGGTCCGCACCTTCCTCACCTAGCGCTGCATGTGAGATTGATTCATCGGAAGAGCGGATAGTTTCTAAGAATATGCTCGTCGACAACCAGCCCTGACCCTCATTCTGATACTGGAGAGTGAGTTCGGTGGATCGACTGATGTGCAGCATGGCATGGCGTCMGGTAGCAGGGTGATGAGCTTTGATAGAGTGCTGTTCTCGCTGCTGCAAGTGTGCCTCCCAGCGGTCGTTAATCTTGTTTGCTGGGTGAATATAAGGGCCCTTTCGACATCAGCGAGCGAAGGTGATGACAAGAGAAGCGCATCTCACCGTGAATTCAGCTGGCCACAAACACAGCCAATGCATGCCTACGACCGCGTCCAGCTCATTCTTGGGCTGAATCTCTCGCGTGGGATCTCGTTCTGCAGGAACCATCCTGCCTAACGCACCAGCCAAGCTTCGCATGTGAACCATGCCTGCGCTATCAACGATGGCAAGATCGATTCCAATGCCGCTGAATTGCACATGCACGAATGTTCGTCCCTGGGGAGCCTCAACTGGACACTTGGAAGGCTCGCTGATGGCCCACTGCTTCCTCTTCATATCACGGACAAGCGTGTAGAAGGAGACCTTGGACCCATCGGCTGATATATGAGCAATGATTCCGGTGTTGCCCCATGCGAGCTTGCTACGTTTTCGTTACCACAGACATCCGGAGAGTGGGAGCATTTACGGGGTCGACTCACGCACAGCACCCGCGGCTTTGCATCTCTGCGATTCGTAATATGAGACTCGCTGGAAGTGGAGCAGGAGGCATCCCGACGTTCAGTCCATCGGCAGCATCGCCAAAGAGATCCTCCATGGTGGGATCCATCATGGCCGCTTCGACCATGGCTGGCTCTCCAATGTCGTTGGAATCCATCGCCTATCCGGTATTTCCGAATGACGCGAAGTTTTCTTCATTCCACCAAGCTATGGCAGGGTCCATGAAAGAGGTCAGAGCCGATCGAGACCAAAATGGGTCGGCTGAGGGGTGTTTATATTTCTGGTTCTGCTGCGAAGTCTGTCGATGCTGCCAAGAATACAGCGACTCAGCGGCGTAGACCGGAATACCGTTGAGAGTGCTCGAAACGCTGCCAAACAATGCAGTAGCGCCGCTAGATATGCTTCTTTCTGTGGCAAGCTCGCAGATTTTCCTTCTGGATGGTATTCGATGCTGCGTGGATAATCGGACAAGCTTTCAATGGAAAGAGGTGTCGCTGGGTTTGTTTTGATTGACCACGGGACTATCCCGCGCTGCCGATCTTGAGATCCAACCACTCCTCCTCATGCCGAGACGATTCTTGAAGTCCTGACGCCGCTCCATTCACCGTATAACCTCCGGATCCACCCCGTACTATTGTCACAAAACTACTGAGAAAAGGATGTCATTGTTATAATTAAATCCGCATTTCTACGACCAAACTGGATATCGATTGCGCCTCACGAACGTACCTGCCGACCATGTCGTCTTCCACCTCTTCCGACGCGCCGCTGTCTGCAGCGCCCTCCTCGCCTCTATCTAGCCCTCCTTCCTCGAGGAGCTCGAGCCCGCTGTCCGAGCGTCTCGACTCCCCCTCTCCTCCGCCTTCGGACGATGCTATGCTGCGCGCCCGCCGAAACTACCCGTCACCCCCGGCTTCACAACAAACCTCGACCAGTGGCTCTCCAATACCTGATGGTATGGACTCGAGCGCCTCCGCCGGTAAAGATGGCCAGCCGCCAGCGAAACGAAGGAGAATATCGACAAAGGAGCGCACTACAGAGCACTTAGACCTACACAAGATCCGACCTGGCGATGAGCTGGACGATGAACAGAAAGAACAGCTCGAACGCGTCATGCACGTCCTACACAGACGACAGAAGATTGTTGTCATCGCCGGCGCTGGCATATCAGTCTCTGCAGGCAGTATGTTCTCCCTCTGCCCAATATTGACGCGTCGACCCGGTTACTAACAACACGCGCAGTTCCTGATTTTCGCTCCTCCGGTGGCCTTTTCCGTAGTCTCAAAGAAGAATACAACCTCAAAGGCTCCGGAAAGAACTTATTCGACGCGTCGGTCTACAGAGACGACAACAGCACGTCATCATTCCATGATATGGTCAGTACCATGTCAAAGCTGACGAAGGGAGCCAAACCGACTGCATTTCACCACATGCTCGCCACCATTGCACAGGAAGATCGTTTGCTCCGATTGTACTCACAAAATGTGGACGGCATCGACACGTCTCTGGAGCCTCTCAGAACATGCACTCCGCTGGCCAAAGAAGAGGGAAAATGGCCTCGCACTGTTCAACTTCATGGCGGTCTAGAAAAGATGGTCTGCTCCAAATGCCACGAACTTTCAGACTTGGACCCCGAACTCTTCGATGGCCCCGTCGCTCCGCTATGCCCAAGGTGTGAGGAGATTAACGATATCCGAACAAACCATGAAGGCAAGCGCAGTCACGGAATTGGACGACTACGACCGCGCATGGTCCTCTACAACGAACACAACCCGGATGATGAAGCGATCGGCACCGTGACCAAGGAAGACCTTCGAAAACGACCTGATGCTGTGATTGTGGTTGGAACCACACTGAAAGTACCAGGTGTGAGAAGGATCGTGCGCGAGATGTGTGCCACAGTCCGCGACCGCAGAGGCGGAGTGACAATCTGGATCAATAACGACGCACCGCCGGTTTCCAAAGATCTCGAGGACTGCTGGGACATTGTCGTGAAAGGCACGAGTGACGAGATCGCAAAGTATGCCGCCATGCGTCGTTGGGACGATCCGGTGCTGTCTGAAGACTATACCGAGGTCAGCGATGAGAGCGCGAGAAAGGTGACCGCGCAAGCACTGCACGTCCGCCTTCCGTCCAAGTCTCCTCCACATGCTGCTTGGCAGTCTTTACCTTCCGAAAGGCACTTGAACAACAGCTTCAAGCCACCACTACCTACAGATACACCGCCGCGAAAGATCATGGAGCATGGACCGTCCGATTGGAGTCCTATGGTCACCCCGAGAAGGTCCATCATTCCCAGCATCGAGCATGATTCCTTCGTCACCGAGGATAGTATCACGGTTGCGCACACCGATACCATTCCAGTTGCTATGGGATTGCTCACGCCATCAAAATCGCAGCGCAATTCGCCTGACAAAAAGGTCCAGCCGATCTCGATCAACGATAAACTTAAGAATTTTACCAAATCGAAGTCAGCGGCGACCAAAGCAAAGGGCAGCAAGAAGGCGGTTCCGGCGAAGAAGTCGAACGTCAAATTTGTCAAGCCTCCACTCTCGCAGGTCAAGGCGAAGGCGAATGCAAAGTCCAAGACAAAACCAAAGTCGCAACAAGCTCCCGCGGCAAAGCCACTTACCAATTCATTCAAGTCCAGCAAGTCAGCATCGACCGCGGCGAGGTTATCTAAGAGTGATCCTCAAAGTCCGAGCAAGCTGCGACAAGTTTCGAACATGTCTTCATCCTCTCCGATGGAGGCGGTTTCACCGCAGGATGCGAGGAATAACACATCGCCAGCCACGTCGTTGGAGGAGTTTGCCAATGAGAAATCAATCACAGGGAGGAAGAGAATGCGGATTGAGACGCTAGTGCACTGAATGTTGAGAGAGATGTCGCGGATACAATGACAGACATGAACGRGTGGCGCTTTGCTTGAGTACGCATCTAGCATTGTAGGGATGATGGCTTTCTGAAAGGAGAACGGCATAGCACAGCACGGCGCACGATATAAGTGTATGGATCAACGCATCGCAATTGAGACACTTCCGTACCGCAAGCATATCCACTGAGAAGATGTCCTTGTTCGATAGTACACTCGAATTGCATCTTGACAACTATCGTGATCTTCATCAATCATTTAATTCATCTCTGATCGTGGCAGTTTCTCATAACATCATGAATTCCAGGCTGCGGGTAAAGGCGCCCTCTCGGCAACAGGAAGCTCCCTCCCTTCTGAATCCCTCGTCTTCAAATTAACAACTCTCGCCGGCGGCTCATTCTCCTTGGCCTGTATTCTCCTTCCCCCAGCAAGACTACTCCCTTCAGCACGTAATCTCTCCTCCTCTCGTAATTGTCTCTTCCGATCACTTTCCACCAACCCAGCATTCTCATCCGCGAATTCATCCTCGTCATCTTCGTCATCGTCGTCGTCAACGTCGTCTAGGAGTTCCCCATCAGCGGTCTCGTGGTCGGGAGGCGCGATCCATTCTTTGGGGACCACGCAGGGCATTGCGAGACCTATGCTTGCTGCGCGGTTGAGCCATGAGGGTGCTGGTTTGGAAGTCAAGGCTACGCAGAGTGCGGAGGTGAAGTGGTTGCCTTGAAATGGAAAGCAAGGGTCAGCGATGTCTAGTAGGAAGGTGTATCTGATCTGCTTACAATTATGTTGGAGAAGGTTATAGGAGGGACCCAAGAAGGAATCCGAGACCTGTGTAACAGAGGGATGAATTAGCCGACATGTATCTTTTGCTGTAACAATGCTTTCGAACATTCGAAATATACTTGGTACGCACCTCTTTAACAATCCTCTCAATCTCCTCCTCATTCTGAAAAGTAAACCCCTGCAGTATGTCCGCTCGGAAAGTCCCACCAGGCGGTTCAAACCTCGGACTGGTCCAATACACCCCCGTTACATTCTTCTTGTTGTGTCCTCCATACGCGTATTCCCTCCCATTGATCACCACGCCCGAATGCAGCAGACTTCCACCTATTGTCCAGAGAATCGAACTCAATCTCCCTGGGGGGAGGAGGTCATACACATTGATAATGACTTCCGTCTTGGGTTGTGCTGTGGATGTGCGGCTGGAGGTTGAAAGTGTAGAGGATTTGCGAGAGTGTCGAGAAGGTTTGGTGCTGGGTGGTTTGGCCATGATGGTGGATCTGTCTGCGGTGTGATGTATGGGGGTGCTTCTTTGTGCGTGCCTCGGTTGGACGTATGTACGCCGGTTCGATATGGATGTCGGAGAGAAGTGGGTCGCGTTTGGAGCTTCTCCACGCGTGTGATCGTCAGGGTTGTGAGTTTAATCCGACCTTCAGCTGAGCATCAGTTTGACTTTGGGACTTTAGATGTCTGGAACTCGTTGTGCYGCTAGATATAATAGGCACATGGCAAGAGATCATACGGCTTAGGAATTCCATGTCAGCAGGCCTCAAACGACGCGAAACGCATCTCAGACTTGTGGTCGTAGCCACCACCTGACCTCCACCAATCATCCAACCAACCAGTTCTGGCAGGCCTGCATAGAATGACAGCAACCCCATCCAATTCCCATTCCGACTTGTATCGCGTATGAGACCAATCCTGTAAGAGAGGAAATGGAGAGTGATAAACGGCCTCGTGTAGGCGGAAAGCGACTGTTCCATGAACAGCAACATGATACTGTCCGTATCCTCTTCACCAGAACAATCTATCTTAACCATACCGATGCGTGCGTGATAATGAATTTCCGCCCAAGGATCACAAAACAACGTAATCAACGCTTCAAAGACCGACCTCCCGTGAACATGCAGAATCGCTTTGAAATGAGTAGCAATCAAAAAAACCATCCAACACCACCCGCTAAATCGCCACACGTCGCTAAAATCAATGCTCCATTCTCGTAGTCAACCCCCGCGCTGAGTCCTTCGATTGGCGCTCCGAATAATTCGCCCTTGACTGGCCGAATTGGAGCCCAATCCCCAGACCGACAAGTGAGGTTGGTTCATGCCACATCCGCAGCATCGAGATTCCTCAATACTTCTTCTTCGCAGCAGCGCTCTTGCTAAGAGCCAGAAGCTTCTTCTTTCGTTCGGCCTTTTCCCTCCTGAGACGTTCCTCCTCCTCCATAGCCTCCTGGTCCTCCCGTTTCGCAGCTCGGAGTGCCATCGTTTCCTCGGCTTCGACATCGTCCAGTCCAGCTTCCATCATAGACGAAGCATCCGACTCATAGTCTTCTTCTTCATCTTCAGCGCCACTCAGGTCGGACCAGCTGGCATATCCACCGTACTTGTCCTGTGCCATACCCTTCTTCGCCACTGGTTTTGGGGCCTGCTCTCCAGGCACCGATTTTCTCATCGTACCTCTGTAAGCAATCTCGGGCACAGGTTTCACGGGCTTTTTCATCGTGCCTTTGTATGCGATCTCCGGTGCCTTCTTTGACAAGCCAGGCTTAACATCGTTTGGAGTGTTGCTCCGACTCCGGTCTGGAAGTTGCCCCGCCTTCGCAGCCTTCGCACCGGGTTTCCCATTTGCTTTCACGGCCTGCTGTGCTCGCTCACGTTCCTTCTCCCGCTCTCGCTTGGTCATCTTCTCCACGGTTTTGTGCTTGATCATACTAGAACCAGCGGCTTTGGCTACTTCTTCAGCAGCCTTGGCCTTTGCCATGATTGCGGCGAAGCCTCGTTTCGGTTTGGAAGAACTGTCTGCGGTTGGTGCGGTGGGTGTGGTGGTACTTGCAGTCACTGTTGGTTGTTTGGCAGCAGGTTTCGGAGCAGGTGCCGGAGCGGATAGAGGTTTCGCTGGCTGGATCGAGCCCGAAGGTCTCGCTGTACCACGATAGGCTGTGGGTTGAGCCATCGCAGAAGACGTAGGCTTAGGTGCAGCCGTGATGGAAGGAGCAGGTTTGGCAGCAGGATGCGCACCGCCTTGTGAGGTTGGCCTTACGGGAACCCTGACTTCCGTTCGCACAGTCTTGGGTTGTGGAGGTCCGGGTTGATCATCTGGTTTTCGCTTCACTCCGGCAGCCAAATTGGTAGCAGCAGGACGAGCAGTGGAAGGTGGAATCGGCGGTCGTGTGCTGCCTGGAGTTCCAGGCGCGGAGTTGGTCGCCCCGCTCGTCTTCGGTTGCGGTGCCTTTGGCTGGCCACCGCCGATGGAGGAAAGAAGGGATTGAAATGACTGTGTATTGCGGTCAGTATCAGCAGAGTTCCGTGGTCACCCGGACGCCGATAAGACTGACCGTCATGATGTCTGTGAATCACTGTCTACCCTGCGGTGGGTTGTGATGTAATGAGTGTCTCCCAGCAGCGGCGTCGCTATCTGGAAGTTTTCGGTGGAGCGATGAGAATGCACATGACCAGAATATGCGCGGTGGTGTCCAGAAGAGTGTCGTGGCAATGATAAGGTTGCTCGTTAGCTGGTTGCGGTCGAGAGAAGACGTAAGGTCGGCGCTTACTAAGCCCCTTACATTCGCACAAACTACGAATTCAACACCGCGAACTTCCTTTCGAACATCAGAAGCTTCAGTCCGCTGCACCAACCCGCAGCTTAAATCGATTGATTCTCTCGTTCTCTCCATAACCACCCAGTGAGTGCGAACTTCAATCAAGTCCCGCAACTCCCATCTGACCACCACCGCAGAAACAGCAAAAATGAAGCACATCGCAGCTTACATGCTCCTCACCCTTGGTGGCAACACCTCTCCTTCCGCCTCGGACGTCAAGGAGRTCCTCAGCTCCGTCGGTATTGAGGCTGACGAGGAGCGCCTCACCCAGCTCCTCTCCGAGCTCGAGGGCAAGGACATCAACGAGGTACGCGAAATTCAATGCGCCTGAACATACGTCACTCGAATCTAACATTTCTACAGCTGATCTCCGAGGGTTCCGCCAAGCTTGCATCCGTCCCATCTGGTGGTGCCGCCCCAGCTGCTGGCGGTGCTGCCCCCGCCGCTGGTGGTGCCACTGAGGCTGCTCCAGAGGCCGCCAAGGAGGAGGAGAAGGAGGAGTCTGACGAGGACATGGGCTTCGGTCTCTTCGACTAAGCGCATCGCGTTCACGAAGGAAATGAAGATCATTGGAAGATGTGCAGGCCGACATGAAAGCACTGCGAAATCGTGGAGGAGTTCAGGACGAAGGAAATGTTCAAGAATGCCGTACAGGTTGTGTGAAAGACTTGTCGTCGGCTGGACAGGCAGATGTCATATGTACTTCTGCGAGAAATGAAGCCAGAGCCTCCTCCCGGCCAATACCCAAACGCGCACTCCTTGTGTTAATGTGATGTTGTGAAGTTTGAAGATCGCTGGATGTAGTCTGTGTATGGCACGTCATGCCGGATTGAGCAGGGCATGCCAAATGAAGCACTTGTCGGCCATTCATGAAATACGTAACTTATAGTCAACCAATATTATTGAGGTCTGTCTTCCTATGAACTTTTGTGTGAACGTTCCAACGATGATCCGAGACTCGAAGGCAGAAATTCTGGTCACCCGTCCCACATGCTTTGCTCCGAACGCGCCGGCTTGGCACAATCACAAATTCCACACGACGACTTGCAACTTCCGCCATCTTCAGCGACATCACCAGACCGCCCATACTAACACAAGATGGCTGACACTGAATACGTGAGTCGTATCATACACCATTGTCCTCCTGAACAGATATACTGACAGTTTCGTAGAACGCCGAGGAGGCCGCCGGTATGCGCACACTACCCACCTACGAGCGCTCCTTCGAGGACTTCGTCGAGGCATAAAACCCTGTGGACGGGCCACAAAGGGGCGCTGGAAGAAGGAAACATGGACTGATGATATATTGGTGAACAGAGCTGAAGAGAAAGAGAGCGTTCCGCAAGTTCTCTTACCGCGGCATTGACCTGGACGAGTGAGTAGCAGCCGGCACATGTATATCACATTCCCCGCGCGCGAAAGTGCTGACCATTTCACCTCTTCAGGCTCTTGGACCTCTCCTCCGAGCAGCTCCGCGATGTCGTCCACGCCCGCGCTCGCCGTCGGTTCAACCGTGGCCTGAAGCGCAAGCCCATGGGTCTGATCAAGAAGCTCCGCAAGGCCAAGCAGGAGGCCAAGCCCAACGAGAAGCCCGACACCGTCCGCACCCACCTCCGTGACATGATCATTGTCCCAGAGATGATTGGTTCCGTCGTTGGTGTCTACTCTGGAAAGGAGTTCAACCAGGTCGAGATCAAGCCTGAAATGGTTGGCCACTACCTCGCCGAGTTCTCCATCTCTTAGTACGTTCCATCTCGATGACAGCAGGACTCTGAGCAGTCGCTAATTTCTTGAACAGCAAGCCAGTCAAGCACGGTCGTCCCGGTATCGGTGCCACCCACTCTTCGCGTTTTATCCCGTTGAAGTAGAGGTTTGCTTGGAGGTTATGGGAGTTTGGGGTGCTGCATCAGTTGCTGTTCAAAACACAGTTATGGATGCATTCATGACATGATAGTCGAGAAATGAATCCAAAAAACTTCACGCCACTTGTTGCATCCGTTCATTCTTCCTGTCCGATCACTAGATTAAAAGCCGCAACCTATCGTCCACGTCAGCAATCGCACGCTTTACTCGACCAAGCCAAAGCTGCGCGTCGCCAGCGGCAATGTCAGTGACTAGAACGCGATGGGAATAGCCAAGAAGTGTCATGTCTGATGTGTCTCCAGGAGCTCACATGTAGCGAATACTTTTACCGATCTATCATTTTGCACTAACCTCTACTGATACCCCAGATAAGCAGCAATAACACCACCCCAGCTCCCAGGACTGCTCTCCTGCGTAGCAACAACGGTACCATTCGACCCCCCAATCGTGATCAGATTCTGAATACTTTTCGTGTTGAGATTATACAACTCCACTGCTCTCCCCCTAGCCAAACCATCCAATTCCACAGAATTGATCTGACAAGTCCCATTCGGGCCCGCACAAGCTCCATAATTCGGTCCATTGAAAAACGCCCAGATCCCCTGTCCATACAACGGCAGCGTCTGCGTTTCCTCGCCGAGAATGCGGAGGGCCCATTGCATGTAACACTGCGAGATGTTGGATGCTCGACACCCGGAGAAGTCTGGGTCGTTCCAGGTGGCGTTGGGTGTCCAAGGGAGAGGAGCGCGGGGAAGAGGTTGCCAGTATGGCGTCTCGACTTGCATTAAGCTGGCAAAGACATTGCGGGCGTTGTGGAATTGATAGGCGTAGAGCGTGTGGTGTTCGGAACCAGTTCCAATAAGCCAGGTGGCTTGTGTGGCCTCGACATACATTCCTCTTCCAGTGCCGATTTGCTGGACGTACTCGGCATCGAGATCGTGGTCTGCGGTCCACAACCAGGCGTTTTCGATATATGTCGATGAGGTCTCCTTGAGATGGAGAACCATGAATGCTGCTTTGCAAGGGTCGGAGATGGTTTGACATGCGGTTTCGAGAAGGGAGTCTGCTGCTCCACCGATTCGGTAGTGGGTGTTGTGGAAGGAGACATCTCCCTGGTTCTCGCCGGCCATGTTGACTTCCACCATGATAGCGCCTGGGAGAATGTCCGCTACAGTGAAGAGCATGTCGGAGAACTCGGCCACGCCGACCTCGCCGGGCTTTCCGACTTGTATCATAGGACGAGGATCGCTGTCATCCTTGAATTTATCTCCAGAAGCAGTAATGGTAGACCAGACCTCACCGACAATACGACTGCCCGGTGGGACATAGATTGTGTCTGTGACGAGGTAGATACCGTGAGGAAAGTAAGTGATCTTGCAGTCGGCATTGGATATAAGAGCTTGCTGAATGGCAGCAGTGTCGTCCGTTACGCCATCACCTGTGTCTAGTCAGCAATGCAATGCATGCGAACTTGAAACAGCATCTAGACGCATCGGAGTGAGATTCACAGCCTCGAGGCCTACAGCTTAGCAGGGCCAGCGGCCAAACCAGTGGAGAGCAGACCAAGTTGCCAAGGGCGTGTCCTCGCTCCCTCATCAACTCGACTCCGATGCGTGAAGAGGCTTTGGCCTGACTTACCTCTGGCTCCGGCATCTTTGATCGACGCGAATGCCGATGCAGGATAGTCAAGATACTGCGGCTGCTTCTTGGCGAAGTACTTTCCATCAGCACCAGTCAGGCTCCCTCTCTCGGTATAAGTCAGAAAGGTGCCATTTGTACTGGCAGGGCCACCACGATCATCTCGGTAAATGTGACCAGAAGCATATGTCTTTCCAGTCAAATCACCGATACCTCGGTTGACGCCATTGAGCTTCAGCGTAGGCCCAGAGTTCTGCACTGCAATGTTCTCCAGCAATACGGAGCTAGTTCCATTGACCTGTTCAAACAATTTCAGCACATGGCGAGCATCCTGTTATTGACGACACTTACCACAACACCACAAGTATCGCATGAGCTATCAATCAAACTGACACTCCCCGAAACATCGATCCCTCCCATATCCACGCAGATCCCCACATTGGCACAGTCGATCTCCTGCAGCGTGACGACAAACGCATGCTTGATCGCAATAGCAGTCGCGACATCCCGGAACTTGCATCGAGAGATGGCGTACTGTTGGTTGCTGAAGAGAATCCCCACCAAACCACCAGTGAAGCTCAGATCTCCAAAATACAAGCCCGATCCGCCTCCAGAGCTGTCTCCGTCCATCTCAATTCCAATGTGCTGGCTGTCTACGGGCATCACAAACTCGACATTCATCAAGTTCGTAGCTTGGCTGACAGCCCAATTCAACGCGTAAATGGTGTAATCCTTAGACACGGCCGTGGTATCGATAATGATGTTCCTCACGCCAATGTAAAAGTTCGTGGTAGATGGCTGTCCGAAATCATATCCATCAATGATAACCGTGTTGTTTCTGGCGACTGAGGAAGCCTTGATCGTCGGAGGGTTGATGGCATCGCCAATGATTTGTGTATCGATGTAAAGTTGGATGCTGGRGGAAATCATGTAGGTCCCTGAAGGCACGTATATGAGCGCTGGCTGACCTGTCGAGCCACCAGCACCTTTGCCGCCGCCGATGCGACTTTCATCTGAGATGGCTCTGTTGAAGGCATCGGTGTCGTCGGTTTCACCATCGCCTACAGCTCCAAAGTCCTTTACGTTTCGGAATACGTTGTAGTTCTCGCCGTTTACGAGAAATGGACTGCTGCCTTCATGCCTGATGTTCGACAGCCAGAAATCGGTCTGAGTGCTTGGACTTTCAATGCCGCAAGTTAATGGTCTTGGGTAGTCCGCGGGCTTCTGCAGAGGATTTGGCGTCCAAGGTGTGACAGAAGAGTTCTTGTCGCGGAAGAGTCCATGACCGGGGTTGTTTGGAAGCCAGTTCAAGTATGCTGTTGGATCTGGTTGGATAATGTATGCAGGTGCTGGCTGTCTATACTGTTGCTGACCTAAGACAAGAAGAACGCATGATGAAGCAATAATGACAGACGATAAGAGAGAGCGCATCTTGAAAACCTTCCCGCGGCAGCGACGTTGTGATGCAAGAGTTGTCTTCTCTCGTAAAGAGTCGAGAGGAAAAGRGGACCTGTTTGGAGATTAAAGGCATGTCTAACGCGCCGCGACGCTCTCCCGGAGTAGCTACGCGCCAATCGTGGTGAAATTTGTCGACCGGGTTTATACATTTTGTTAGAGGCGATCCTAGTATAGTACGTATTGATCCGCAAGCCGCCGATGTTCCCGTCTCCTATACATGTGCAGATCTTGTTCGAGATCTTGGAGAAGGTGGTGTGATGACTGTTCCTTCCGAGCCGATCCTGCATCTCACTGTTGGAGTGCAAGGTGACTTGGAGCGCGCAGACAAGTCATGTCGAATCTGAGAGATTGCTGTCTTGAACATGGATGCCGGTAAGTGACCCTCAAGGTTCAGGCATGCTTGTCTCGGGTTGTGGAGGCCGCGAACCGCGGACGTGATTCACATTTCGACGTGATCAACCGTCAAGCGACGCGACAGACACGTGCGACTTCGAAAGGATCCTCATGTTTGAATGGTACACGCCGACTGTGGGAACAGCGTACGCTTTCGCAGTATGATTATGCTCAGCAATCGAGGAAGTGAAGACTGAAGAGAGAGTGAGAGAGAAAAGATGATCATCGTCGAAGCTTTTGCTTGGCTTCGTACACGATCCGACCCCTGGTATCTTCACCTCCTATTTTCTTCTCCATTCCGATCATAACAAAACCCCCCATGTTGCAGTATTCGTACATGCGGCCATTGCACAATGTGAGTATCAAACCGCCGCCATCCCATTGCTGGAAAACATTTACTCCTCCTTCACCAAAGATACTGGTGCAACATATAGTCGCCGACCTTGGAGGGCGTAGTATGCCGATGCCAATAAACAGGTCGCGCCGAAGATCACGATGGCCCAATTGAACTTCGCTGCCCACCCTGGATCCCCATGTGCTGGATCTGTGGGGAAGAAGGAGAAGATGAAGATGGTGACTAGAAAGACCAGCGAAATGTCGTTGATAAGGCCGCCCCATTTCCCCAATGACCATCGAGCAGGAAGTAACGGCTCGCCTCTTAGACGTTTCAATCTGAGGCAACCCACCGAGACAATGTAGGAGAAGCAGAGGGCGGCATTTGAAACACCAACGACGGCGTTGAAGGCCACGTCAGATCCGAAGTTGATGGCCGACATGACTGCAGACACGCCGAGGCAGACGAGCAGCTAACAAATAATCAGCATGGCAGCGAGTTGCGGACGATGTAACTACGTACAGCGTTGACAGGAATTTCGTAATCGGGTGCTACGTAGCGGATCCAGGCGGAGAATGGAAAGCCCTGCGCTGGTTAGAAATGATTCTATCATGGCGACGCTCCAGCCTATTACCTGATCTCTGCTGAATGCCCAGATCTGTCGGGAAGCACTGGCAACGGTGGTGACGGTCGAGAAGAAGATCAAGACGACCAGCAGTGCGCCAAGTACGCATGTGGCGGCGATTGAGCCCGTGGCGTTCTGGATCACTTGCACAATGGGGAAGCTTGATTCGCTCTCGAGGATCGTTTGGAGGTTGGTGATGCAGAAGCTATGCGAGTGTTAGAACTGTAGTGGGTGTTCTTCAAGAGGACCGTTCTTACCAGAAGGTGATGAGCATTGTGATTCCAAGGAAACCATTGAGGACTGTGGCCCACATCATCGCTCTGGGAAGCTGCAGGGATGCATCTCGGAGCTCCTCAGACATGTGAGCGCCTGCATCTGGACCGATAAAGCACCATACTGGCGTGGAGAGTCCAATCAGACACGAGAGGCCTATGTTGCCCCAGCCACCGCCGTCACTGGAGGATTGTCAGTCGAGAGTGGCGAGAAACAGAATTGTATTTACGGACTTGAACTGTGTGAAGACCTGTGACGCTGGTGCATGATCCGCCATGATCCAGAAGGTGAGTAGAAAAACGAAGAATCCGAACACATGGACGAAGAGAAGCACGCCTGAGCTTGTCAGTATGCATCTTGACAATTCGTATATGCCTCGACTCACCTTCGGCCAGGGGCAGATGCTGGGCACAAAAGATGTTGAATCCGACTGCCAACAGGATGAAAGCATACAGGATCAATGTCGTCTTCCACGGGTCTGACACGTTGGCGGCTGGATTGACCAGGACGACAAGGCCTTGGACCATGCCAGCGAGCTGAACGCAACACGATGGAACGCCCGCAATCCAACCCAGACAACAGCACCAACCGACAACATAGCTGAGCGGCTTCTGCAATGAAGGTGGTGCAAACTCGGAGACCCTGATTGATCGTCAACGTTGCTCAATGATGTTCTACTTTCATCAATTCGACTTACCAGTGGTATTGGCCGCCAGAAGTGGGAGCCATGCTCGCCCTGGACATGTTAGCATTGGTCCTTCATGGAAAGTGCACTCGCCCAGCGAAGTCATAGTCATGATCAGAGGCAGGCTCTTCGCCTGAGAAGGACGACTCAAGTTACCGAAGCAACTCCAACATTCGAGGACGCTGTACATCGTTGAAAGAGTGCTTTCGACTTACATCTCGGCCCTATCATCGTTAGCCTCGCACTCTGAAACGAGGTAGTGTAGACTTACAGCGAGGCGATCATGCACAGCATCAACAGCCATACAGCTATGGTACACCAGATGACACCTGCGGTCCCGCCGTTGTACAAGCCGAACCAGTTGGCAAGGAGTACATTCTCCCAGGTAGCCTGCAAGATGGTGACGAAACCAACGATGGAGACGAATTTGAATGTCCTCTGACTCGACGTCAGTGGAGAGATTGGAGAGTGAATGGAGAAGACGCCACTTGCCCGCAGCTCTTGCTTCTTGCCCATGCGCGACATTTCGACCTCGTCGCGGGTCGTGTTGCCCTTCTCGTGGGACACGGATCCATCAGAGCCATGCTCGCGGTCCTCGATCGACAAATGGTCGGAGTGCTGATGATCGGGCAGCTCAGTCGCGCCCATGGTGACGGCTCACGTGCTGTTGACGAACTGTTGTTGTCGTGGGAAGGAGCGAGGGGTGTGAGTGGTGGGCAGAGGAGATGCGCAGGGCGAAAGTAAGAGATGCAACGCAGTGGCCTTGAATAGGCAGAGTACAAAGCAGATGCCGAKCGCAAGGCGTGTAATGCAGCGTCGCACCAACGGCATGGCAAGTACATGTAATGGCAAGACCTACCTCTCTCCAAGACTTTTCAGCGCTCCTTTCACAAGATCGCGCGCACCAAACGGCTCCCTTTCCGTGGGCTGTCACTTTCTTCGAGGCGAGTGTACTTCACGAAATCTGATCGTCACCAGCATTCCGTCGCTCCGTGCTACTTCTACTGCAGGTTACCTCTTAGGGAGTCAATGCCAAGCCACGAATCTCCTCACTCTGACAGGTTACAGGTACCACGGCGGCCCAATGCCACCGAAAGCGTTTCATACGGCGTCTGCATGCCCCCTGGGTTCGTTAGAGGAAACTCTCCGACGAAGCTCTAACCGGGCTGGCGGGCTGCAACGCGGCAAATTTGAGTGCTGAGGTTGCACGGCATGGAAGCGTCGCACGAGTACCACTGCGCGCCCCGTATCCGCCCGAGGAAGGCCGTTGTACTTTTACGGCCGCACAAACGAGTGGAATAAGCAGGCAATCGGATCCTCAATGCACGTTGCCCTCGTTGCTGCACGGCGAATGGTTCTCCAGCGAGCCGGCCATAAGAGCGTGTACTCTTGGGCTGATATGATGACCTCGCACCGCATGGCCGCCGAGATCTGTTTGTGGTCGACGATGCCCACCAACTCGCCAAGGAGATCCGCATATCCGATGGTGTCGTAGGACAGGCACTTCTCAACGAAGCAAGGTTCGGTGCGCGCTTCGCTCGTCTCCCTCATGGCCGCTTCAATTTAAGTCATGCTGCACCCATCCGACAACCCCAGCTGGCTCTCTTGTGTGTACGTGWGAGGCTTCTGCGAGTATTTGGAGCATGTGGTAGCACATGCGCTCCCGCCTTCTCTCGGTGTCACCGCTGTTTGGCAGCCGTCTCAAGTAATGGGCTCTCTTCCAACACTGCGAATTCCATACTCTCATCATCTCCGTCTGCGGCGGCCCGCTCTCAGCCAGAAACCGCGTTTGCTCGAGTCCTGCGTCGAAAGGAGGTCTCCAAGTTCACTACATGACTGCATCACGCACATCAGTCTCTCCGCAATACTGAGACACCTGACGACAAATCAAGCCTCCAAGAATGCCTCGGCGCGAGGGCTACGTGAATCCACTCGCATTTACAATCTCGCTTTGTCTCTGCTTTACCGTCTGCGTCGCCTTACTCCGCGTGTGGATCCGTCGGAATGCGTACGGGCTGGACGATGCTGTCATCGGGGTGGCAACTTTGGTGTCGCTCGGCCATACTGCATCAGGTTATGCCGCGCTGATGGCAGGACTGGGCAGACCATGGTCCAAGATCCTTGCCGAGGAGGACTTGGCAAGACTCAACCAGGTTAGCTATAGCAGAGTGGCAGCTTAGAAGAACACTGACCATGATAGGCATCTGTTGCTAGTATCATACTGTTCTTCATCCCGCTTTACCTATCAAAATGTGCGATGCTATCGTTCCTTGGCCGCATCACCAAGACGCCATCGCAGATCCTTCTTTATCGCACGTGCAACATCGTGGTGGCCATCTTTGGCGTGGTATCGATCGTTCTCGTCACAGCAGGCTGTCCGACCAAACCACAGTCTGGCTGGTATTGGGCATTCAGTAACAATGCTTCCTCATGCCCATCTCAGGTAACACAATCGCATGCCTGAGCTAAACGTGGCTGACCAGACTTAGGACCTTCGTTGGCAAGTCGTGACCGCGTTCGATATCATCACGGAGTTGGTCTTGTTAGCCTTGCCGGTCCACCTCGTTTGGAACCTCCAAATGCCATGGACGAAGAAAGCAATGATAATTATTGCATTCTGGATCCGACTCCCGTATGTATTTCTCGACCTTGATTACGGTTCGTTCGCTAACATTCATCGGAAGAGCTCTGGGCTTTTCGCTCGCAAGGAACTACTACACGCTGCAGCTACGGCACCGTAATGCGGATGCAGGCCTCGACGGAGCTCTCATCTCCATCTGGTTAGAGATCGAGCTTTCCTACGCGCTTGCTGCCAGCACTCTGTCGGCACTCAAAGCATTCATGGAATCGTTTGATTCCGGTTTCGGTTTAGGATTTACGAGAGGCAAAGGCGACGACAGTTACGGCATGTCCAATGTCTCAGGCTCGTCCGGCGGCCAGTCATCCAAGACCGAGAAGAGCAAATCAGGCTCGCCAACATCGAGCGGCGCTCGCGGAGCGCCAACACCAGTACTACCCGGAAAGAAAGACCCCCAAACTCATGGTGCTGCTGCAACTCCAGTTCCCGGTAGAGACAACGCAATGAAGCTCAGACCAGAGCAGGATATTGCCTATCGCACAGCCATCTCAGCGGAGCCGTTTGGCGACATATCACTGTGGCGAGCCAACAGCAGCAGTGGAAGCGAGAGTTCGGATGACATGGTCATTCATCGCGATATGGCGTACGAAGTACAGCACGATGAGGCGCCCATGCTTCCCGATGCGGCCCATCATGCATGAGAAGGCATCTCTCAAGGCAAGGAATTATCTTGGATAGCGAGCATGCCATATGTAGAGCAGAGCGATAGCCGATCTGTCAGTAAGTCTCAGAACATTGTCTGCGTCGATGTGGATTTCGAGTCATTGAAATGCTACGTGTAGCACCTTGTAGCAACTAAGTTGCCAACCGAACATGGTCCAACCCAGAATTTGAGGCGGATTGCCAGTCTTCCCGTCATCTTTCTGTCTTTTCACTGTTCGGACAGATCTTTGCGGCCTTCCACGTGGCTGAAAGTGACAGCAACCTTGAAGGACGAAAAAGTCTTTCGCTCCTGCAGTAAATGTTGACTTCCAACACCGGGCTAGTTCGATCTGACTCGATCCAGACCCTCTTGTCGATCAAGCCACCACAACGTGGCACACTCGCGTATCTTTGGCGACGATCCAGACTCGCTAGAACATACCTCCCGAAAGTACATGCGTAAACCTATTAGAGAAGTCGCTACACTTCTGGCGCAATGGACAGGTCCTCTCGCAGGCTCGTCCAGAGAGAGTTCCATATCTGGTGGTTGAGGCGTCTGGGAAGACCTGATACGGTTTCGCGGACGGTGACTCCGTGTCGCGTGGCTCGCTCGAGGCCCGGAGCTGCATCTTCACAACTGCATACCGTCGGACGCGACTACCAAAGTAGTTGCAGCACCCTCATAATGAAGCAAAAGGCAGGCCGGGATGGCTGTCGCGCTCGCCGTATGATGAGGCTTGTAGCAAATTTCTCCTTCTGCGCCTACCTTGCATTTCTCAAACGCTTTAAGATGGAGCTTTCTTCCCAGTCTCACGTCATGTACCAACGCATCTCACGCCGTGTACCAACGCAACAATGCTGGCTTTCTGGCTCGTAACGCTTTGCTTTCTCAGCTCCACAGTGGCTGCATGGCCGCTTCAAGACATCTTTCGAAGGCAGACGGCCACTGCCCCAACGAAGTTCATGTTCATCTTGTATGTCTTACTTGCGGAGTACAGCTTCCACGTTATAAGTCCATGCTAACAAATCGATGCAGTGGAGACTCCTACACCGCTACTGGTTTTAGTATGTCGGGAACTCAGCCGTCAGTTAGCAATCCGTTGGGAAATCCTCCAGTGCCGGGCAGTGAGTTGAGATCACAATGGTAGAGTCTTCTACACATTCCTGACAAGGTGCGATGTTAGTCCGACTATCAGGAGGAGACATGTGGGTCGACACAGTCATGAAAAGCTACGCTCGGAACGGGACTGTAGCGTACGACTTTGCAGTCGCCCAGAACACCGTGAACTCTTCCCGCGTACAAAATCCTAATCCGCCCACCCCCAATGGTGATTTCCGTGGGCAGCTGGCGCTTTTTGAGAGTACGATCGGCGCCGCCGCTTCAAGTAAGCTGAAGTGGAAGGCCGCAAATACTCTCTTCATCAACTGGTTTGGCATCAACGATATTGTCATTCAGGCCTTCCAGGGACGAAACGGCAGCACCGCTCAGGCGATATTAGGGCCAGACGTTGCAGACTACTTCGGACGGCTGGAGAGACAGTGGCAGTTGGGTGGTCGCAACTTCATCACCATCCTAGTCCCTCGTGAGTACCCCCRAAGTCGTACTGGAGACGGAACACTTACTAAATTGTTGCCTTAGCAATCTCAAAAATTGGAGCATTCGGCTGGGGAACAGGACCAGATGCTGCAAATGTTGCTGCTCTTACGCAATACTGGAATGCCCAGATGCAAAGCGCAAACAGTCAATTTCAAAAATTGCATCCATACGCCAGCTCCAGAATCGTAGATCCGACTGCGACTTTCAATACCATCCTGAGCAATCCCCAGCAATATGGAGCCCCAAACGCCACATGTTGGAGTTTTCCTGAAGGCCAGCCCTGCTTGTGGCACGACTTCGGTCACCCCGGGATCGTTATTCAGACAGCGTTTGGAAAGCAAATGGGCAGTCTTATCCAAAGCATCGGGTTCTAAGTCCTTGGAAGGGAATGCGGTAGCGTTGCGGTTTCGATGGATTTTGCTGCATGATGTTCGCTCATTGATACCCCATATATAGAATAGATATAGATTGGACCTGCTCCAGGGACCCGAATGCTTCTGGCCTCTGCAAATGAAGAATACGTCAATTCTTCAAGGTCATCGTGTGAAACTCATCCCATCTCGGTCTTGCGATATGCATGGAGGACAATGCGTCCACTTCGCAAGTGCTTGTCCTCACCGGATTCGGCGGAGACTGTGAAAAGCTAGGAAGTCCTCGACCTCGAAGCTGACCGTGGCGTGGCGGAGGTTGAACGAATTCCTGAAGTTGAAAGAACAGAGGGAAAAGAGTAACAAAGATCCCGTCGCATGCAGGACGGACGCTAGCGGCGGGTAGCCTTTCCGCACTGACAGCACCTGCAGCCATTACTTCCGCATGCATCTGTGCCTGTCTGCGTCGACCTCTTGAGGCGGTCCATTCCTTTTCTTCCACCGTCGCCTTCGCCATCTTAGCCAGGATTCCATTGTAATCATCACCATCAGCATCGTGCTCACCGCGCTTCAAAAGATCGATTCAGCAGTTTGTCCGAGCAGCGCATACGCGCATTGTCATCGCCCATCGCTGGAGCATACCGCGTGCGCGACTTCATTTTTACATCCACCTGCCACCACCTCGTGACGCGAAATCCGCCGCAATGTTCTTCGTCAAGAACATGGACCGCGAGGTGACCATCCACCCTTCCTACTTCAACAGCGATGCCTCACGAATTGTCCTGGACCGTCTGCGATCAGATATCGAGGGCACGATCGAGGGCACGCTCATGGTGATCCGTATTGTGGATGTGGAGGAAATCAGCGAGCCGAAGCTCCAACCAGGAACGGGCATGGCGGTATATCATCTGAACTACCGGGCGATCGTCTGGCGGCCGTTCCGTGGTGAGGTGGTGGATGGATTGGTGTCAAGCGTAGTGAGCAATGGCTTCTTCGTGGACGTGGGTGCGCTCAGCGTGTTCGTCAGTAAGGCGGTAAGTGCTGCGGTGATTGTGCGTATGGACGGACCAGTGTGCTGATTGCATTGGGCAGATGATACCCAATYCACTCAAGTACAGCGTCGATGGCTCCACACCCCAGTTCACCGACAATGTGGATCAAAGCGTGGAACGAGGTACGCAGGTTCGATTACGCATCAAAGGTATCCGTGGTGAAATGGGTAGCATGTATGCCATTGGCAGCATCCGCGAGGATTATCTTGGGTGAGTTGTCTTGATCATACATCTGGCAATACGCTAACACGTGTGCTTCAGCCCGTTACTCCAGTAGAACTGGCAAAGCGAAGCGACTCTATCGCATGTTGGCGAGGCGCCGACTGACATGGTGACGGCATCGGTGATAAATTTGCTCTCCCAGGCAACGAACGAATTTCACGGCCGAGAGGCTGATGGATGATGATAACAAGAGCTACGTCGAATGAGACTGTTCGACAGCCTCTATCGCGAATGATGGCATCATCGCGAAGATCCACTGCAAGTGTGGTCTCCTTCCGGTGTGCTTCGCGTGGTCACAAGAACTCGCTCATTTCGGGACAGAATATCTCTAATTCAGGAGCGGTTTGCAGCGAGGCGTTTGGAAAGGTGATGATAAAAAATGGGATTGGTGAGGGCGGGAATGCACTCGATTGCATAGACTTAAGATACCCAAGATGCATCAAGTTGGTCTTATGCGTATCGTCCGTCTTCCCATCTCGTGTCTAATCTTTTGGTCGCCTGGCATTGATTTGCCGAGTACGCTGATGAGTAGGAACATCGAGAATCCCCACTAGATCGCTCTCTTGGCTGGCGTCTGCTTCGATGCTCGCTCTGGGGCTTGGTGTGTCCACTGCTTACCCAGCCGAATAGCAAGATCGTGTCTGTGGAGATACCAAACGCGGCCGGTTGTGCCTCGAGACAGCAAAAGTCGATCGAATCACCAGCACCGCATCTCCACCACATGCCTCAAATTTTTGGAATCACACCCGTGGCCGCTCAATCACGGCCAGTTCGGGCAGTCGTATCTTGATTTATATCCACATTGGGAGATTGCTCTCTGGGAGAAGATCCGGTGACACGACAAGATCGAAGCCAAAGGCCAAGCATTTGTATCACATTGATGAAGCATCAAATGGACGTAAGTCCACCACACYACTATATCTTCAAGAGTATTCTCACCTCATAGCTCTCATCATCATTCACTCGCTTCATTCTCTCGTTCTCGCCTGTTTCCACTTTCATTCCACATTCATCAGCCATTCCCTATTCAACAAACAAGCAACCAACCAATCAAGATGAAGAACTCCGCTGTGTTCCTGACTCTCGCCATCTCAGCTGCAGCTGCACCTGTTGATCGAACTATCAACAAGCGACAGTTCAGCCTCGGCTCCTTGGGTGGTGGTTCAAGCGGTTCCAGCGGCCTGGGTTCTTTGGGATCTCTCGGCTCTCTTGGTTCTCTCGGATCCAGCAGTGGCTCTTCATCAGGATCCTCTCTAGGCTCGTTGGGATCTCTGGGATCCTTTGGCGGTAGCTCTAGCGGTTCGAGCGGTTTAGGTTCCTTGGGATCTCTTGGATCTCTTGGATCTCTGGGCTCCAGCGGCTCTTCATCAGGTTCTTCTCTGGGCTCCTTGGGATCACTAGGATCACTAGGATCGCTCTCAGGATCTTCGACAACAGACTCTTCGACATCCGACTCTGTTTCAGCCGCATCTTCCTCGTCTACTCCGGCGGCTTCCAACTCGACCAGCTCGACACCTAGCACTTCATCGTCCGGATCCGGTGGCTCCTCTGGGAGCTGCAAAGATGTGACCCTTCTCTTTGCTCGTGGAACTGGCGAACTGGGTACTTGCATCTTTCCTCCTGCGCTCTACACGAATCCACTGACATTCACAGGCACCATGGGTACCATCATCGGGCCTCCACTTGCAGATGCTCTTGCTGCCGGCCTGGGTGATGACAGAGTGACGGTAAGGCGTATCCCATTTTCCGCGTAGATATCCATCTAACTTTTCACAGGCAGAGGGTGTTGACTACCCAGCCTCTGCTGCAGGCAATGCCAACATGGGAGCCACTGGCGGGGCTGTAAGCATCACCAACGATTCTCACATTGATAGTTCACAATAGACTGACGTTTTCCCCAGGCAATGGCGTCTCAGGCAGGAAACATCCTAAGCTCGTGCCCAGACACCAAACTTGTCCTTGCTGGCTACTCGCAAGGTGCCATGGCCGTTCATAATGCTCTCTCAGCCCAAGGCCTTGATGGAAGCAAAGTCGCCGCTGTGGTGGCTTTCGGTGATCCATTCAACGGTCAGGACTTTGAAGGCGTCGATGCGAGCAAGGTCATGGAGTTCTGTGGCTCGAGTGACTTCCTTTGCAGCCGTGGAGGCAGTAACGGAAGTGGAAGCAGTCATTTGAGCTATGGCGGCGATGCTGAGGCAGCTGCTGAGTTCATTGTTGGGGTTGTTGGGTAGTGCGACGGCTTGGAAGAACGGATCATAAGATGGTCTGCTGATCGATTTCGATTCACACTTGTGTTGATGTTGGAGTATTGGAAGAAGATGCCTTGATGGATTACTGATCCGGCTCGGTCCTGYAAAGTACCTATTGAACCAAACGAAATACACTCGCTCATACAGGCTTCCATCCCATCCCATCCCTGCAGTCTACAAGAGTGTCGCGCACTTGGGGAGGCTTCTCAACGAACCAATGAATGCAGGTGTTTTCTGTGAAAGAGACACTACTGTCCTCAGCTGTCACAAATTCAACCTGGCATCCCTCCCGAATTTGCAGCGGAGAGGAACTTTCCGGCCACATGGGTATGCCTGCAAGTCAAAGTCAATCGCATACCTTGCACCCACCTGGCAAGCGGTCTGACACAGGCTTCCCTTACCTCCATCGTACCACTGACCTTGCCACCACAATCTGACGGAGACTTTTAGAAGCGAGGAGCTACGCGTCCAGACTCCAGAACATGCCGTCCAAGTAGCCAACCAGCAGAACGAACGCTCAAGCGAAACATGATCCTACCTCGTCACCACCTAGAGCATTGTCCCAGCACGCAAATCTATCACGATTCCTCCTACCTTGCGGAGAACTATGCCATGGCAGCCATATCCGTCGTGGCATTTGCGGCCAGATACTGTGTACGGCTTCGCATCTTACCAATACGAAATCTGCAAGGCGATGACTGGATGGGCATTGCAGTCTTACTGTTCTTCCTTTATCTGACATGCTGCAGGCTGGTAGTATATCACCTTGGAAGCAATACAGATTATAATGTGACGGAAATTGGGAAACTGAGCGATTGTCAGATTGAACGGCTGGTATTTGGAAGCAAGTTTCAAGTCAGTCACCTAGATAACCATACACAAAGTTCTTTGGTTGACTTGTCTTTAGATCAGCGCCTGGTATGCCTACGTCTGCTTCCTTTGGGGGCTGAAAGCCATGGTCATTTTCCTGTTCAACCGGCTACCGTTCTTTGAATATCAACGACGACTCCTCAAGATCTTTAGCGTTGTCGTCGCCCTCACCGCGGTCGCTGTCATTCTCACCATTTCCTTTGGCTGCAGACCCTTTCACCAAAATTGGGGCACAATACCCTACCCACCACTCAGTTGTACATCCCGAACCCAAAACTTCTACACCACCGCAATCGCAAACATCCTCACCGATGCTGGCTTGCTTCTAATAGCTATCCCCATGCTTTGGAATCTTCGAGTGCCCCTGAAACGAAAGATTGCGTTGACTTTGCTGCTCTGCTCCGGGATCTTCATCATCTCCGCGGCGATTATTGCCGTCCTGATGTCGTTGCTGGATGCCCACTCAACACTCAATACGAATCGCTGGGCCACGAGAGAAGAGATTGCCGGTATATTGGCAGTGAATGCACCGATGATTAAGCCAATGTTTCATCGAAGTTTCTGGAGGAAGGACTTTAATCCACACCGCGCTAGGAGGCCGCCGGTTAAAGGCGTGAGAGTTCCGCATGTGAGTGAGCCGACCTTGGTGGAGGAGATCACGCGGCCTGCACCGGCAAGAAGATTAGGAGTACTGAGCTCGGTGAAGAGTGGCCTTCTTGGCAAAAGTTCAAGAGGGACCGCAGAGCGCAGCTCTCGTGGGCATGGAGCGCAGTCCGAGAGTGGGAAAGAGATCAAGGAGATGGAAGAGGCTTGGGATGTGGGAGAAAGGAATGGGGGAATGGTGGCTTATGCGCCCTATGCTTCCACAGACGGGCCGGAACTCATGCTGCCGGAGAGTATGAGAGGAGACAGTTTTCTATGGCCAGAAGTGCAAGCTGTTCATGTGGTTCAGAACGAAAAGGAAGGAGAAGACAAGTCCCGGGGCGTGTAGAGTGGCTTGAAGATTGTTCTTGTCGTGCGTGTCGAAGGTGCAGTACAGTACCTAGTAATGTTCACTCGTCTCTGTAGTTTGGAATGACACCCAGGTCGTGGAGAGGACTTTCTGTGCATCACCTGTGGTTCCTTTTCTCTCGTCGGAAGTAGCAGGAGAAACCAAGTTGTCGACTGCCACGATCATGATGTGATCAACGTCGGGCTGTGCAAATCCCAGCGGTGTGGTTTCGATCGCTTGAGGTGCGAACATGCCACACGGCAGATGAGCCGCGATAAGTTATGATGAAGTTGGACGTCACTCAGAGGTGCATGTATTCATCTCTGTCGACTGTGTTTTGGCCGTGACGTTGCGGCGCCGTCTCTGGACCTCGCATACCGTTCCGCTTGGCTGTGTCGAGATCAGGGAACATTGACATGGATCTGCTCTGCCTCCGAGCGATGGACGCAAAGTAAAGTAGTTTCTTAGCAAACGGCTTTAAGGTCGGATTAAACGCCGGGACTTAGATATGCAGTATCCGTGGGACTTTGCAGATGTCCGGTAGGATAACGAGGAAAAGCCTAGTTTCTGCAATTGTATTGGACGCTGTATTGAATGAGTCACAGTCGTTTGATCGTCGAATCGATTGGCTGTACGTGTAGCAATGATGATGGTTGAAGACTGAAGKATTGTTCGCCAAGCTTCTCATGACGGTACCGTACCTACCTTAGCTAAGTAGTTCTAAGTTTACTGTGCATTCGAGCCGACGACAACAGGATCAGCAGCAACGACACCTTCATACCCAGGCATATCAGATCATCTCTATCCCGAGCATTCAAGACTGTGCCACGTCCTCGGAGATTGTACGACCGTCAGCAAGCGCGACGACGGAGAGCAACATTCGTAGCGGCGCGTGCCTCGCATCGTGAGCAAGTGTTGCGCCGGGAGGAAACACAGCGACATGCCAGGTCCTACCCAACCCACTCCGCCATCGTCGACGTCTTCTGCTAATGGACTATCTCCGGAGGATCAACCGTATCGCGTGGTGCGGAAGCGTAACCGAGTTCCACTGTCGTGTGCGCCATGCAGACACCGCAAGCTGAAGTGAGCAAGCAACCACAAGGCCTGCAGGCATGACTCGAGAGATGTAGCATCTCACCACACCGTAATACCTCTCCGCAGGTTTGGCCCGCAAAGACGTCTCGCGACAGTGTCCAGTCCCTGTTGCTTGAAGCATTATGCTGTGCCAATCAAGAGTCGGCGCTGGGCGGGGAGTCGCGCGGGTCAAAATCGAAGGAGAGGACGAGGCTGTGGTTATATGCCGTARCAATGGTGGTCATGCTTTGCTTGCCTGAAATTTTACCATCCAACGTTTTGATTGACGCTGACAGTCGATCGGCAGGTGTAATCGTGGACATCCATGCGACAATTGCTCGAAGCGTGGCGATACTGGAGCCTGCAGCTATGCCACTCCTGGAAGCCGGAAGAAGGGAGGCAGCAGTGGCGCAAGTACTACGCCGGACGACATGCAAAACCGAATCGATCGTCTGGAAGGTCTTGTGCTTTCCCTCATGACCAACGGCGGCTCACAACCCGGAGCAACGGCGGCAGCACAGGCGGCCATCAGTGGTAGTAGGAGCGACAGCATAGGAGTCGCATCAGATTTGAGGCTAGACGCAAACGGTGCGGATATGATTCCAGAGGAAAGTGAAGAGCGAGGCGAGGATGAAAGCGAAGTCGGCGATCTCTCACAAAGCATTGGTATCATGAAGATGAACGATGGCAAAGCCATCTTTGCTTCCGATGCCCACTGGTATGCCATCCTTGGAGAAATCTCAGAAGTGAAGAAGTACTTCGACAATCACAAGGAGGACTATATGCAGCACTTGGCCAAAGTGAAGGGAGCATCGGCATCCACCGCTGGGACCTCTTTCCTTCTGCAAGGCACGTCCGCAAAAGATAAGGGCGAGGTCATGGCGGCGTATCCATCCAAAGCAGACGCGGATCGACTGATTGCGAGGTACTTCAACGCCTATGATCCGTCCGTACACATTATCCACGGTCCCTCCTTCCAGAAGCAGTACGATAAACACTGGCTGAACCCTAACGAGACATCAGTCGTCTGGCTCGGCATGTGCTTTGCGATGATGACGCTAGCGTTGCAGTCATACAATCGAGCCGGCGACGAGCCACCGGAGTATCGTGGGAGGTCGCTAGAGCTCTCGCATGAGTTCCGAAAACTCACAGCACAATGCCTACTACTTAGCGACATCACACAAGGCAATCCGCAAACTCTGGAAACTCTGGTCTTACATGTCCAGGCAGAGTATGGACGCAGCAGAGATGCTGAGCCTGCAGTCCTGCTAATGACAGGGATATGCGTGCGGTTGGCAATGCGTATGGGCTACCACCGAGACCCAGGTCCTTTCCCCGGTATATCTCCATTTGAGGGCGAGATGCGGCGGCGAGTCTGGACTTTTGTCCGGCAATGCGATTTGCTCATATCTTTCCAATTCGGGTTGCCCGCAATGATCAGATGCGACCATGTCGACACTCAGATTCCTCGGAATCTCTACGATGATGAGCTTTACGAGGATATGAAAAGTCTGCCACCCTCACGAGCGGTGTTTGAGGCAACTCCCATGTCGTACATGATTACAAAATCGAAAATGGCATACCTGTTCGGCCGGATCGTAGAGCGGGCTCAATCAGTATCAAATCCTCCGTCGTATGATGAGACGTTGAAGTTCGATGCTGAGTTGAGAGAGGCGAGGTCCTCACACCCTCCATTGCTACAGATGCGTTCTTTCCAGGAGTCCGCTCGCGACCCTGCGAACCTCATCATGCAACGTTTTGGCCTGGAAATGGTCTACTTGCGCTCATTATTCGTGCTTCACAGGAAGTTCATCGCGAAGGGACGAGAGAATCCGCGTTTCAGCTATTCGAGACGAACATGTTTGAATGCATCGATGGAGCTTCTAGACCACCAAGCGACCTTACACCGTGAGGCTCAGCCCGGCGGTCGTCTGAGATCGGTGAAGTGGTACATATCCTCATTGACCACACACGACTTCCTTCTAGCTGCCATGCTGGTCTGCCTGGATCTGTATCACACAGCCGAAAGTGAGCGTGCGGGTCGCCGATCCACTTCCGATCCGTCCTCACCACTAGTACCAGACCTTTGCGATGGTGATCGGCGGGAGCAGATGATGCAAGCTGTTGCACACTGTATCACCATCTGGGAATCTGTGCGTGACCACAGCATGGAAGCATTCAAAGCATCAACCACGCTGCGAGTCATGATGGAGAAGCTCAAAGCACACACCGAAAAGCACAAGAACTTGAATAGAGAAAACTCAGGGGGGTCCTACAGTTCTGGCTCTTCTCAACAGCAGCCGCAGAGTATGTCAAACGCTTACCCGCAGCGGGCACCCAACTACAGCATGTATTCGAATGGCCACGTAGGAGAGGTTAACACAGACGATCTTCCACCTGAGCAAAGCGCGGCAATGACACTTGGTATGCTTTCCAGCGGTGGCATCTCACCCGGCCCTGGCTTTGGAATGAACATGTCATCTGTACCGGAGAAGACTACCTCCCAGCCATATCCCGCTAGCATGGCGGCCTTGTTGAATGACCCCATGACGACCGAGCAGCCGCGGACGGGTCTGATACCACAGTACGCTGGACCTGACGCTTTGAATGCCGGCCCAGCAAGTCCCATGAGTCAGATGATGGCGAATGCGGGATTCATTGGAATGGACGGTGCTGATATCGACTGGGTGAGTACAATGAGATAGATCAGGCCTAATGAGGGCTCAATACTAACAACATCTGCAGGGCGCTTGGGACTCTTATATTCAAGGCACCAACACGGGCATGGATCCCAATCTTTCGTGGCCCATGAATATGGACATGGCCAACGATGCTACCGGGTCATCACAAGGTCAGCAGCAGAGTCCACAGCAGCAAAACGGCAGTAATGGCTTCGGTGTGTTTATGGGCGCTCCAGGAGGAGGAATGATGTAGATGGGGCGGTTACGGTAACGACCTGGTATGACTGTGATGAGTTCAACGAGAGCAAGCAAGGCCGGTGGAATTGAGCTTCCCATGTAGTGGATCGACGAAAACGCTCGCGATCATGTAGCTATTAGCATACAAGGGAGCAGCCTTCCCGACAGTTAAATGTCTATTAGAGGTTGCCAGCTCTCCGCGTGGTGAATCGGCGACCATGCTCGCGAACGGGTGTCTGTAAGCATAGAATGGAGCAGACTTGCGGAGAGTCAAATATCTCATCGGATAATGTGCTTTATGATACAAGCTTCTATGGCACTTCTTCCACTCTCACGCCTGTGATACGTGAGAGCTCATACAATACAGCGATACAAAGTTGGTCGTCCCATGGCGTAGAGACCTTACTTCTTCCCACCCTCGTTCTCGACGGTCTTTTTGACGCCCTTGACAAACGCCTCAACCGCATCTCCACCTCCAAGAGGCATACTTCCATGCTTAATCATGCCACCGTTCTCCACCTCCAATCCCAACGCCTCTCCAATCATCGGTAACCCGCCATCCCGCAATGCCACCGTCAGACTCGCAAGACTCTGCTGCAACTGTGGTGATCTGAGAACTCTGGTGATGATGGACTTCTTCTGCTGAAGGGAGAGTGATTCGATGGCTGCTTGGCCTGCCGTGGGCGTAACTTCCGCAGCGGAGTCTGAAGTAGAGGATTCTTGTGCTAGAACGAAGAGTTCTGGGGGGAGAAGGGAGCAGAGATTATCAATTTGAGATGGGGTTGCTGTGGAAATGAAGGCTGTTGTGGTGGATGACGGGAGGAGATCGGGAAGTGTGGTGAATGGTCTGTCTGCGCGTTGCTGTTGATTTGGTTGCTGTTGGTGAGATGGGCCGCCTTTGAGAGATTTGAGGAAGTTCTGAACGATGGCGGAGGTGTCGCTGTCTTGTTGTCCTTGTTTACTGTCTGGGTGAAGTTCGGTTAGCGATGCATTCCTCGGATTTATAATCGGCGATATGGAAAGGAACCAGCAATGCGAAAGGCAACGCGTGAGGGCCAAGCAGTGGGAACGGATAATATCGCAAGAGATTTGAAGACTCTTCTACATGCGCCTTTCACACATTCAATGCGGTGCAATGCCTGCCAGTTAACGCCCCATGCCACGTCCATGCAAGTCGCCGCTTGCTTAGGCTACGCCCAGCTCCACGCTTGTAACAACAGAATCGAAGCCCAGACAACAGTGATGTGATGCAATGCAACTTACGCTCTGCCACCGTCAGCACCACCCTCTCTGCTGGACTCGCCCTCCAATCGAGGATCTCCGCCTGTAGCATCCTGACCAGCACCTCCAGTCTCCCGTCTCTCCAGACCAGGACCGCCATCCAGATCCATCAGATCTCCATCTCCGTCGGGACCAGCATCATCACCGCCACCACCTCTCGCCATGTCTTCAATCTCGCCCTGCACGTCGACATCATCACCCTGCAGCAATGCCTCGACGATCTGTCCCAAACGCTGATCCCGCTGACTGAACCAGCTGTTGTGACCCTCCCGCGACTGAGATTTGGATTGCATCCAGAAGAAGTACTTCTGGCTGCTGGAGGTGAACTTGAGCACAAAGATGCGGCCGTTGGTTGGGGAATGCAATTCTTCGGCGCCCTGTTCCTTGACGAGTGGGTAGAAGTGACCGTCCGAGGGAAACATGATCAGATCGAWCTCCGGATCGGTGGTGCGCGCCGAACGCGGTCTCCAGCAAAAGTGCATCAGCTCATCTTCGGTGTAGAGGTAGATGTAGCCAGGAGTGGCCTGTGGCTTGACCTTGCGGCCGTGGAAATCGCAGCGGCCGGCTTTGAATGTGATGAGCGGAGAATCGGCCATGATGATCGATTGACTGGTTGATTGATTGATTATTGAAGTGATGTCTTGTGCAAGTGAAGTGTGATGTGATGCAATGCGATGTTCAGCAGCTGCTCGAGAGATTCAACGCTAATGCCAATTCGTACTAGCGTCGACGTTGTCGCCAAGCACACTGAACACTCGCCGAATGGAATTGTGCACCTCACAAGCCGACGTCAACTTCTAATACTAACCACACAGCTCAACGACGTCTTTGGTATGCGCAATACATCTCCGGCGGCCGTCTTGATTTGTTTCTAATTGTCTGCAGTCCACGATGTCTCAAGTTCAGACCAAGAAGTTCCAGAAGGGTGAGCGGACCATCACACCCGCCGACCAAAAGGCCAGCAGATACTACCCGGCCGAGGATGAGTCTGCACCACGCAAGGTACGGATATCTCAGTAGATGGAACTGGAGCGAAATGGCCGGAGTCGGAGGATATGGGCGCGAAATGGAGGCAATGGATAATAGCAAGACACTAACACGTGCAAAAACAGACCCGCAAGACTCTCCACCCATACAAGCCCCGCGCATCCCTCACACCCGGTACTGTTTTGATCCTCCTCGCTGGCCGCTTCCGGGGCAAGCGTGTGGTCCTCCTCAAGGTCCTTGACCAGGGTGTTCTCCTCGTAACTGGCCCATTCAAGGTCAACGGTGTCCCTCTTCGCCGCGTCAACGCCCGCTACGTTATTGCCACCAAGACCTCCATCCCAATCGAGGGCATCGACTCCGAGACCATCTCCAAGGTCAGCGGCGAGAAGTACTTCGCTCGCGACAAGAAGGCCGACAAGAAGGGCTCCGAGGAGGCTTTCTTCAAGCAGGGCGAGGCACCAGCGAAGAAGGAGGTCGCTACCGAGCGCGCAGAGGACCAGAAGAAGGTTGACAAGGCCCTTTTGWCCGCAATCAAGAAGGAGCCTCTGCTCCAGGGATACCTCAGCACCAACTTCAGCTTGAGGAAGGGTGACCGGCCGCACGAGATGGTCTTCTAGATGCACAACAGGAAAAGGCTGTGTCTGTGTGTACGGAAGACTGATGATTGGGCTCGTGGCGATGGCGATGGAGGTCCTGGGGCGTTTGTGTGTTGAGTTTTAGCACTGGCACCGCATAAAAGTGTGGTCGCAGTACCATCCCACCGGAATTGAAAAACTTCATAAACGCAGGGACAGCCCGCCAGCCTTTCATACCTGTGGATATGCGCAATGAACCGATACCATTTGAGATGAACAAACGATGGACAATGACACATTGTAGCGCTATGATGGCGACAGGTGAGGATAGGACGATGGAGTGCATCTGACTGCGACTCGAGCATACACCCACCATACCTCAGTCTTTCCGAGAACGAGCGTCGTTTATCCACCCACGCTTCAACGAAGTGGTAACCGGAATTTTGACTCTACCTGGCGCCAATTTCATTGCAGGAGTGACTTTCTCATTCATTCACGCCATGTTTCCCTCATCTCAAATCGAAATCAGGAAGCAAGGTAAGCATGAAATGCATCACATTTTCAAGATTCCCGCCGATCATTTCCCCCTACGCGCCGTGCCTCTCCACGTTATTTCGTTCGTGCCTTCTTTTCGATTTCGCTTTCACTGCTCTCTTTCTCCACGCATCCTCGGCCAATCTAACATCGTACTCTAAAAGCTTTTGACTGTTTTTCGATCAAAAAGGACTTGAGTGCGTTGTTCCCGTTCCACCAACGAAGCGCCATACAACATCAAGGCGCTTGCGCTTGCTCGTGCAATGGCCGTGCGGATTCGTCCCAATGGCAGTGGCCCACCACAACTCCAAGCTCTAGCCGAGGGTGAAATGAACGACACAGAAGAGAACATCTTCCTCTTCGTCCCAAACCTCATAGGTACAGCTACCTTATTTCAAGTCCTCTTGAACCGATCCGACTAATGTCCTCCAGGATACCTTCGCGTCATTCTAGCAACAGGATCCTTGTACTTCATGCCTCTACACCCCCGACGATGCAGTCTGCTCTACTCAGTCAGCTGTCTGCTCGACGCACTGGATGGTCTTGCGGCTCGAGCATTTCAACAATCCACTCGATTCGGTGCAGTCTTGGACATGGTGACCGATCGATGCACCACATCCTGCCTGCTGGTCTTTCTCGCTCTCGCTATGCCCGGTTATGCAGTCATCTTCCAAGCTCTGATTACACTGGATTTTGCAAGTCACTACATGCACATGTATGCGACCCTGGCAATGGGCGGACAGAGTGAGAGTCACAAGAACGTCTCTGCCAGTCGGAGTCGTATCATGAATTTGTACTACAAAAAGGTAAGTTGTCCCGACCGGGGTATCGATCTCCTTAACTAACGATTGTAGTGGGTGCTGTTCACTGCATGTACCTTCAACGAACTCTTCTTCATCGGGCTGTACCTTCTATGCTTCTCTTCGCCGAGTAGTAGCAAACCTCTCCTGCCGATCAACGCCGCGAGCATAGCTGGAAGAGATGTGTTCCCTTTGACCTTTTCGGCTGCAGCTATGGAGGTTGCGAGATTGAACAAGATCAACGATGCGGTACCTTTCTGGATCACAGTCTGTAGTATTCCGGGTATGCTTTTCAAGCAAAGTGTCAATGTGCTGCAGTTGTGGCATGCTAGTCGATGGCTGGCTGAGGGAGATCGAAAGGAAAGGATGAAGGCGAGATTGGAGAGAGCTAGGTAGTCGAGACTGCTTGAAGTGAGAGTTGGGTCATCTACGGATCTAGATGATGGTGTTATAAATGCTTCTGTGTAGGCGGAAGAGGCAATGTCACAGTCCAGTAGAGTTATGAGTGTTGCAGCTCGTGCGCTCGCATGCGAGGGCTGGGGAATTGAAGCTTGCCGGTTCTCCTTGCAGTGAGGCAACGACCACGCTCGCGGATAGGGAGCTACGACTACTAAAGCAAGCAATGTTACTTAGAGCTAAATGTTTTTGTCGTACAATGTCTTCTAAATTGCATTTTGACTCTTGTGGAGAGGACAAGTCATTGATTGCAGCAGATAGGTCGGCAAACTTCATGTCCCTTGCCCTTGGTCTAACGTTGTGGTCATTGTATGGTTCGGCATTAATTGTGGGGCGGCCGGCTGAATTCGAAGTGAAGGTACCTGGTACAAGCGAGCTTGCCTAACTAATGTTGACAGTTTGCTCTTTCGCCGATGCAATCAACACGTCCAGAACACCAACATACTTCGATGCCAATCGATCATCAATCGCATACCTAAAAGGACCGAGGGTCGCAACACCATGAGGCACTTCCTTACGTTACCAGCGGTATTACGAACGGCTGCTCTCTTAGCTTCGGCATCGCAACACAGCTTCAGTGTCCACGATGATGTCCTCGCCTTTCCACAATATGAAATCCGCTTTATCGAGGAAGAATGGGTTTCAGAAGAACAAGCGCGCACAAGACTAGCAACCAGCGGCAGAGTCGAGGAACTTCGGGAACCACAATATGAACTCCAGCAGCGATTGCGAAAAGGTGAAGATGAAGGCCCAGTTCGTGGCGAAACAGAGCCGGTGGATTACGAGCAACTCAAGCTTGACGGACACGACTGGCTATGTCGAGTCCCGCGGATCAAGAAGCGTGACAACGCGGCGGGCAGTAATGAAACAATGTCCAAGGCAGAAGAGGAGAAGGAGCTGGCACGTGCAAGCGATCGCGGGTGGGAGCTTCTGTCTGGCATGCAAGACAACTGCATCTATTTCATAGGTGGATGGTGGAGCTATCAATTTTGCTACAATCAKGGCGTGAGGCAATTCCATCAATTGCCTCCTTCGAGAGGCATACCCAGTTGGCCGCCTCAGGAAGACCCAGGTGTGCCAGGCTACGTGTTGGGATCATATAGCAGCAAGGTCGCTGATGTTGAGGACGATCATCAGGAGGAATCCAAATGGGAAGGTAGCAGCGGATTGGACAAGTCTGAAGATGCGAAGCGGACACGTGGTGGGTCGGGAGAGCTTGTCCAGCGTGGTGAGAGCAGGTACTTGACACAGACACTTGGAGGAGGCACGCGCTGTGATTTGACTGGAAAGCATCGGAAGATTGAGATTCAGGTATGAGTTGAAGGCACCCACATGGACTTATGGCTGACAAGTGAGTAGTACCATTGCAACCCGCAAGGCGGCGAACGAATCTCTCTGATCAAGGAGATGGCAACATGCACGTACTTGATGGTCATTCAGACCCCACGCCTTTGCAACGATGTTGCATTTCAGCCACCCCGGAAGGACCAACCGAACACTGTTTCCTGCTACCCTGTCGTCGCAGAGGATGACATTGAGGACTACAAGCGTGAGCTCGCGGACGTTCAAGAAGCAGAACGCCTGTTCAGGCAGGAGGCGTCTGCGAATTTGGATGGCTCATCGTATGGCCTTCCTCCAGCTCCAGTCGGAGACATAATCGTTGGTATGCACAGATTGGTCCCTGAAGGTCAGAAGATTGAGAAGTCTGCCATAGTCGGTAAGTTACGAGATCGACCCGCGCGAGGAAACGAACAAACATCTAAACTTGGAGGCAGGTGGAGGCAAGGAAGTGTACGTTGATACACTCGCATCCTCGGATGGTAAGACTATTACCAAAGAGGACCTTAAGCGACTGGGTTTGGGTGATGCGAAGGCCATTGAGAACTTGAAGAAACAGATAGAAAAGGTTGCTCAGGGTGAACAGTGGAAATTGGATGTTGTCGATACAGCACGTGGAAGGGAGTACAGGGGCATTGTCGGAAGTGATGAGGAGGAAGAAGCTGAGAAGAAGGCTGAACCTGACAAGAAGGCTGAACCTGACAAGAAGGCAAAGGCAAATGAGGAAAGCAAAGCCAAAGAAGAAGGCCAGAAGAAGCAGCAGAAAGACAAGAAACAGCAGAAGGGTAGTGAAGAAGAGTACTACAAGGAGGAGCTATAGCTATAGCTATGCGTTGATTGAAGCGACTCTATTCACATCATCTGGTCTTGCTTCTTCTTCTCCTCCCAATCAAGATGTAAACACCGATTCTATGCTCGCGCTCATGCTGATGCAATTTCACTCAAAACTCGAACACCCTTCCATCTGTTCTGGAACACGCCTCACCCAAAGGTCTTCCTCAAAGCTTCATAAATCGTGAAAATCAACGCCGAACTGGGCGCACTCCTGGCGACGGTAATGCCACAACCTGAATACAATCCCCTCAAACCACGAGCTTTGTAGAGTTCTTTCCCGACATTCAYAAACGTAGGCCGAGTGTTCAGCTCTCCCGTTTGGATCTTGCTTTTGATCGTGTCCGCGGGGAAGAACATGAAATTGTACATCATGCCTGCCAATGCTCCCGAGGCCATTTGTTGCCAAAGAGGCAGAGATTCATGCTGAGGATCTCGAAGACTGCTCTTGAAATATAGAGTCATCATCTCGTAGCTTCCAAACCATGCTGCACTACCTCCAGTCTCTCTAAACAGCGTCCCGAGCTGCCCTCTCCAGAACCCTTTGATCCCCTCTCGTCTATGCACATCCCGTATAACAGCCAATGGACCAAGAGACTTGGCCGCCAGCCCTGAGCGTGCTAGACTCGGGTCCATGGAGGATTGTAGAGGTACTTGCATGCGACACTTTACCAGTTCGATTGGCGTGAGCACAACGGATGTGACACCGCCTGACATGGCGCCTGCCATGACCAACGCAGGAAGTGGGAGCTTCTCGACTCCATGTTTGGGATACACTGTGCTTCGGAGGATATCCTGYGCTATGCGGTATGCGAAGAAGAGACAAGCTGTTTCGGCAGCTGCTCCAAAGAGCGGAGCACTCACCCCGCGGTAGAGGCTTCCGATGCCGCCCTGCCGCAGGCTTTGGCGGAAACAGTCGAGAGGTCCGGTGTATTGGAGAGGGAGGTGATCGGGCTGAGACTGCAGCCTCACCTTGACGGTGTCGAAGGGGTATTCGACAATCTTGCCCACGGTTCCAGCGAAGGAGCCGTATGCTATGTCCCTCAGCGCCTCGAGGCCCTGGTGGGTAGCTTCCTGCTGTACAGGAACCACGGCGGTGGAGGACGCATCGAAGGTCGCCTCCTTGGCGTCCATGGCAGGTGTGAGGTCGAGGTGGAAGGAATGTTACCGTGGGAGCATCRTTTTATCGAGCGCGAGAATCAGTGGAACTGCGGCAATTGAGTGATTGCGTATGGCTTTCACAAGCGTGGATGAGGCTTTTACGAGCACATGTTCGCGCGGGTTTCAAAGCGGTACCTGATGAGCCCCCACCGTCGGGCTAAGCAGGCGGTGTATGAAAATTCTCATGCACTCCTTCAACCTATCGCGAGGGACACAGAGGGATGTGTAATGGATCCTCGGCGGGGATAAGGTAGTTCTACGACGGGTGGAGGCCATCGGGGGCTCGGAGTTAATTTCTAGAATTTATTCTGCTCCAAGCTCTCTCTCGAGATCCGAAGCAACGACATTCACGATTTCCACATCAACGCAATGGCTACTACTAGCACCACCGCGCCGACTGCCGTGCCTGAGACAAAGACTGCGTCCGTGGCAGGTATCCGTAAGAACGGGAAGCAGTGGCACGAACCAAAAAAGGCCTTTCGCCGAACAACGGGACAATCAAGCTATGCGAAGCGTGTTGCGCGGGAGTCGCAGACTGCGGAGGTGAAGCAGATCGAGAAGGAGATGAAGCAAGAAAAAGAGGAAGAGCGACAGGTCAGTGGATTTGGCAGACTCGATTGTGAGACGCGCCGAACAATTGCTGACAACCTGCGTAGAGGAGAATACAGGGCATCAAGGATCGACGCGCCGCCAAGGAGGAGAAGGAGCGTTACGAGAAGATGGCCGAGAAGATGCACAAGAAGCGAGTTGAGCGACTGAAGCGAAGAGAGAAGCGCAACAAGATGTTGAAGTCTTGAGGCGGCCGAGATTGTGCTTGAGCTATGCTATCAGCTTTCCCATGAAGCACATCCAGCGTTATGGAGCTTTGTGACTTCCGAAAATCTTCCCCATTGCATGGAGCAAGCTGTCCGCTTGGAGAAGTCCAATTGCGCTGTTCATGAGCGCGAGAAACGCTGGAGCGCCAGGCCTGCGCCGGACAGCCATCTATTCTTCTGTCTGCTGAGAAGGACGTCAAACACAACACCGCAAGAGCTGTCCCAATCAACGCGAACAGTACGCGCAATCTCATCGCATGAGACATCACTCGCGCAGGAATCGCGCAGGAATCGCAAATTTACCGCGACCAAGCTGCAATCCGATGATCTGGTCCCGAAGGATTTACACGAGCGTTCGAATTCTTCTCGATGTTGGCAGTACATATGCTGCCAACAGCAGGTCATTCTGTGTGCACACCCGGTCGATACTACGGAAGGCGGAAAGGCCATCTGCGGTCACAGTAGATATGTCACTAGACTAGCGACTGACATGGTCCACGATTGAGCCAGGCGAATTCACATCAACGAAGACGCCTAACAGCTGACCAATTCCAAAGAACCGCAGAATAACCACACTAAATCTCATCATCGCCTTCGTGGCATGTTTCAGTCAGGTCAACCCGCAATTGCTGTTCGAACTGTGGTTGGACATGAGCTAGCTTCCACGCCACAGACATTTCTCCACTCCGGCACTCTGTTCAAACATGCCACGAACCGTTCGCACTGCGGGGTGTCTCACCACCATACACACTTACCTGCTCTACGTGGGTGTGAACCACGGTCGTACAGACCGGAGAATTGGCTAACGCCAGCGCTGAGGAACGCCCATGAACCATTGATGGCTCCGTTCAGAACTATTACCTCGCTAAAAAATCTCAACAGTACAAACCTTTACAATCTTTCGGTCAAAAAGTGCTCGTCCACTATTCCGCATTCCTGTTCTCTCATGCAAGGCAGTCTCTTCTGTTGAAATTCGGCACCGAAAGCAGTTCGAGAGAGTCTAGATCGCAACCTCATAAGTCGAGTTAGTGCGTCGCCACATATGGCTGATGCAAGGATGGCGAGACCTCCTGCCACGAATTTCAGGCTCGACATAGAAAAGGTTCCGGTGCTTGGCGATTGACTCGATTATTTTTCAGCCAAAACACTTGCGAAGAGGATCTGCCAAAGGATCGATTCATGGCTTACTTCGTACACTCATCTTACCAGTTACCAGACGGCCAAGTCTCGACCCAGCATGGAGCAAGTGAGACAAATGAGGCTATCACAGATACGTCTTACCAGAAAGCGAAAGTCTGAACAGGATCGGTCCGGCACATGCCAACCTTCTTGCACAGCGGGACGTTGGGGACAAGCGGTGACATCGCATTCGGCTCACGTGTGTAAAGCAAAGCGGTTGGCGGAAAGACCGGGTGGCGTTCTCCAGACTTTGTGCTTTTAACTTTCCAATATCTGACCCTGACCCAGACTTCCATTTACGTTCGGGATCCGTCATGGACATCCAGGTTTGGAACAGCGTCTGAACCATCGACGRGCGAGAATGCAAGCAACGGAGAGGAGAGCACAAGTTGTTGTTTGAGKCAGGAGTGAAAGTCTTGACATCTGGTGTGCCGGTAAATCGGCCTCGAATCTCGTTGAGGGCATCGCGTGATGTACAACATCCGCATTCGTCCCAGATTCGCGAATCGTGCACCGCTGCAGCTCATCACACGCAGCTTGCAGCGACAACTTTTGGGACCCAGCAGATCGGCCTAGTCCCCGAAGCGTGCGCCATCCAAAGGACGTTAGACTTTCGTGGTCAGCTTGGAACGTTAGATACCACATCTCCGCAGGCCCTGTATTCTCCTTGAAACGTGAGACTCATCGACGAGCTGGCGGTCACAATCGAACTGCTGCGTACGGTCGTGTACGATTGCAAGTGTCATCTCAAGACGAACAACGCGGCGGTACAGGCGGACTCACACTTCCGGTGCAGCACAAGAGATCGGCATGTGGCTTCATACTTCGCGTCTTGGGGGACGTATCCTGCGGCGCTAGTGCATTGTTCGATCAGAGCAAGGAGAAGGTTCAGCGACGGCCAAGCTCGTGTTAGTGTAAGGTTAACACAGRGCGATGATTAAATGCAAGCAGCGACTCGTGTGAGGAAGTACACCCGACTCCCAGTTTGATTCGTGCTTTTACCATAGCTGCCAACCACTCCAACTGTCCTACCTCACTGGCCGAGCAAGCACCTTGCCTTGTCATTCGTGCTGACCACTGACTTCCGTCCGTCGGTGACAATGGGCTTCTTCTCTTTTCTCGACGCGTTCCGCAGCACACCWCGGTCAAAGGATCAAACCATTCCGCTCGAATCGCCTCCTCGACAACGCAAGGTCTTCCAGGAATCAAGCAGCAGACACCATGGTGGTCATGGATCAAGGGCAGCAATTGTGACTTCACCGACCTCGAATGATGCATCAACCAAGCGGAGAAGCATGTCCAGGCGACGCAGTTGGTTTGGAGGGAAGCCGGACGCCGACGAGGACGTCCMTGCGATGCCTACACTCGTTCGTACCGACTACAACCACACCGGAGGTATCAAAGCCCCCACCATCGGCCGAGCCACTCGAACAAATGGTTCAGACTATGTCCAACTACAAGACGATAAACGAGATAGACGGACATCCACCTTCGTGTCCCGACAAAACGTCAGGACAATCGGAGCCCTACCACCAATGCCAACGACCGCCAACTTAGCAATGGCGCCAGCAACATCAACCCTGCCTGCTGAACAACGACGGAGCAGGAGGCAATCGACTGCGAGGTCACACCACCGAAGCAACAGTCAATGCAGCACAAAGTCAAGAAGAAAGTCTCGAGGGTTCTGGGCGTCTTCCAACCCGGATGATGAGGGAGAAGATGTGCCTCCAGTTCCAGCACTCTATCATGGTGGCTCTCCTGCTTCGACCCATAACGATCCTTTCGACGATGAACCCAGAGGTAGAGTTCGAACTTATACAAATGGAGAGGGCCCCAAACAACCCAGACCAGTCAGTACAGCTTCCAGGAGATCATATGTGCCAAGATCCGCTGCATCAGGGTTTTTGAAGTCCACGAACGGCGCATCTGAGAACCAGCGCAAGAGCTRTCGAAGATCGTTCAACCTGGGAGAAGGTGTTGAACTTGTTTGCGTGACTGACGAGCACCGAGTCGAGTGGGAAAAGCTCATGAACAAACACGCMAAGATGGACGACAGTGTGTTTGATTCTAATGATTCAGACGAGCCAGACAATAAAAACCGCTTCTCGAATGCACAGGCTTTGGCGGCTTTGGAGTTCGGCACTCGCCCTTGATGGAGGAAGGCAAAGTTTTCTTATATTACGACAGTTACGACGATTCATTTGTGCCACGTGCTATTGATTGAGTTGGATCAAATCAGCTTTAAAAGCGGCGTTTCTATGTGCGCTTGTATAGATATCAGAACAGCAATGCATCATCGAATGACAACCTCACCTTGTCTTTATTAAAGTCGTTGACCTCCACTCTTGCTGCCCTTTCAGCCACCAAGTCACTATTTACCCGGCTTCTCCACCTCTGGATTCTTCCATGTCTTTTCATCCCGGCACGTACCTGCATATGCGGGACACAACACGACCTACCAACGATTTGACCAAGATCTTGAAGAACATACAAAGGAGAACTAACTATTCTAGCAACCGAAAGAAATGGGCCGCGACAACGACCTCCAAGGTAAAGTCTTTGCCATCAGCGGCGGAGCAAGCGGCATCGGACTCGCCTGTGCCCAGATCCTCATCGGTCGAGGAGCAAGCATAGGAATTGGAGATATCGATGATGAGGCCATAGCGTCCGCATCAAAGATCCTTGAACCCGCCGAACGAGTGTCGTTTTCGAAATTGGATGTTAGTAAACGAGAATCCGTACACTCCTGGATTGAGGGAGTTGTGCAGAGATTTGGAAAGTTGTCTGGAGCAGCGAATTGTGCGGGTGTTATTGGGAAGCATCATGGGACGAGGAGAGTGGAGGAGTTGGAGGATGACCAGTGGGATTTGATCATGGGTGTTAATCTTACGGGTGAGTTCGATCGAGCATGGTGAGTTGGCTTGGGAGACAAAGCTGATGTGTGGTTTTTGCAGGAATGATRTACTGCTTGCGAGCACAGCTTCAACATATGCCTTTGGGGCCTGGCAGCATTGTATGCGTGAGCTCTGTAAGTTGTTCACAAAGCCTTCATTCTTTCGGAGTGGACGAACTGATCGACCAAAAGGTGCAAGGAACAATGGGGTTCGCAAAACATGCTGCATACGCCGCGAGTAAACACGGCGTCATTGGCCTAGTTCGAAGTGCCGCAAAAGAAGTAGGCGAGAGAGCGATTCGAGTGAATGCTGTAACGCCGTATGTTTATCTCTCGAAAGCGCTCAAGTACCTTTTACTGACACGAAGAAACACAGAGGCAGCATCCAAACACCACTAATGGACAAGCGAAATGCTCTCGAAGGCGTCGACATGAGCGTCCAGCCTACTCCTATCAATAGAATCGGCACGTCCGAAGAATGCGGCAATCTGATCGCATGGCTTTTGAGCGACGAGTCCACCTTTGTGACCGGCGCAACATATGCAGTCGATGGAGGATGGGCTTGTTGATCATTGCAACCCCTATTGTACAAAACAATCAACACTGTGGCTCAGCCAACTTGATACAACCCTCCTCATCATATACCAACTCCCGAATCTTCGCGGACCGCAAGTTATCACGTCCCGAAATCGAGTTGTCATGATAGCAAAGCCACCACTTGCCATCAAACTCTACAATCGAATGATGCGTACTCCAGCCTTGCACGGGTTCTAGAATCCGCCCTGCATATGTGAAAGGGCCGAGAGGGCTGTCGCCGATGGCATACACGATATAGTGCGTATCACCAGTACTGTAGCTGAAGTAGTACTTGTCGCCCTTGCGATGCATCCARGCGGCTTCGAAGAATCTCTTATCGTGTTTGCTGGAGTGGATAGGCTTGCCATCTGTATCGTTGATGATCAAATCTTGCACGGGCCCATTGAATGACTTCATATCCTCCGATAGCTTGGCAACTCGAGGGAAAAGAGCAGGTTCATCTCCACTGGATTCCATGCTGGAATAGGCTTCTTTGTCAAAGGTACCAGAGCGCCAGCATTGTAGCTGTCCTCCCCAAAGCCCTCCGAAGTAAAGATATGCCTGTAGTGGTTGTCAGCCATTGGATAGCTCTTCGACTTGCATTCTCGAGAGCACATACTTGACCATCATCATCAACCAGCACAGCAGGATCGATCGAATAGCTCCCCTCGATAGCCTCCGGCTCAGGTACAAAGGGACCCTCAGGTTTGTCACCAACAGCAACACCAATCCGAAAAACACCCTCATGGTCCTTCGCCGGGAAGTAAAAGTAATACGTTCCATTCTTGAATCCACAATCAGGTGCCTAAACACTCTCACCCAGTCAGACACATCTCTCATATCCCATTCGAGCAAACGTTCATGGATCTCACATACCCAAAGCTGTTTCTCCGCCCAAGGCACATCCTCCAACCCAAAAGCGACCCCATGATCGACTACCTTGCCTCCAATCTTCTCCATGGACAAGACATGGTAATCCGCCATGTCATACTGACTACCATTGTCGTCATCTGCAATATCATTCTTTCGATCATGGGAAGGGTAAATGTAAAGTTTATTGTTGAAAACACGACCGCTTGGGTCCGCGAAGAAGTCGTTCTCAATCAAAGGCTTGGAGTCGGACATGATTGCTGCTGGAGTTGGTTTGAGATTCCATGTTGTTAGATCGTTTGACTATATGTGTGAGAGCGTAGACATTAGCCTAACGAGGAAGGAGGAAAATTAGCCTAAATCTTGAGAGGGTGTGAGCCATCGCTGGACCCAAGCCGCCTCCTCATGACAGGCGATGCAGACTACCGACTTGGATGCTTRGCTTGAGCATCAAATGATCCGTTCTATGAGAGGCCATTGTAAAGAGGCGGGAAGTTTTGGGGCGATGTTGCAGAGAGAAGTAAAGCTGAAACTTGACCAATCCTGAGGCTCATCCTGGAAGTTGAATCGAATCCCTACCGCTTCCTTTCTCTCGTCTTCTCTCTCACAACACTGCCAAACGACCTCGACAGCTCCAACAACGATGAAGGACATGGAAAACAACAGCTGAGTGAATGTCTCTAATTCGGCAAGTCATTATGTACACCCCAGGCTTGCCACATCTGGGTATCCATACCATATCTCATTCCTGGAACTCCTGATCGCTCAGACCAGCCTCTGTGCGTAAATCTCGCATGGACTCATGGTATCGCATTAAAACATCCTCATACAGTATCGTTGACATCAACGCCGTGTGTGCCGACTGTCCCTCGTTCTTCGGTCATCTGAGCTGGCGGAACCTACGATCAACAGTTAGTGTGAACCTGCTCAAATCGCAATCGAGCTCAACTTACTAGCACTGGTGTAATAGTCGCTCGAGTACGAGTACTCGCTGTACTTTTCATCGTTCTTCCTTCCGTCATGCTTTCGCTTCAGCCCTAGGACGGCCCACAACGCAGCGAGGCCAGCGCCAGCACCAAGCAATTCCTTTCCTTTCTTGTGGCTATCTCTGCGGTCGATTCGCGTCGGAGGTTTCGCAGCAGCGCCGTACCATGTCCGRCCTCCACTACCGCCATGACGAGAATGGTGTGAGTGGCGCTCATACTCCTCAACCTCCACCCGGCTTCTCCTCTTCTTTCTGCAGCCGAAGCACGCCAGGAAGGTGTCGAGGAGTGCCTTGAAGCAGCAGCATGCAATGAGGAGAAAGAGGAGGAACAGACCCGCAAGCACGCCAATGACGATTCCTGCAATGGCTCCGCCCGAAAGACCGTTCCCTCCCTTTTGGTCTTCCGTCAGAGTGATGTTGGCGCCAGTTGCAACGGGTGCGATGAAAGGAACGGTTGTTGTTGGGCCGGACGTTGTGGTAACGGTCTTGCCGGCAGAGGTGGTTGGACGGATCGGCGCGCCTGCTGTTGCACCGTTCGTTGCGGTTGCAGTGTAGGAACTGTAGTAGCCGGAACTCCCACCACCCGCCGCTGCTGCACACTGGCCTATGGCTTCTCCTGTGTTGGCGCAGTACTGACCGCTAGCGCAACATATGTTGCCGCAGGGCTGCTCGTTCAAGGCGAAATTGCAAACTGGTCCAGATGCCCCCGTCGCTGATGCTGGTGCGACGCCGCCAAAGTAGGTACTCATTGTCGTCGTTCGAGTCACAAGATCCGTCTCGACGAAGGTTGAGGTGTAGTATTGCCAGTAGCCGCCACCGCTTGTGATTGCAGCACCTTCTGCACTGGGTGTGCACTGTGCTATGTTGGCGGCATCGGTGTAGCATGCTTGTCCAGTCCCGCAGCAGTATTGGCTCTCGGATCCACATGGTGTGCCGGCGCAGTCATATCGCGCAAAAAGCTCGTTGAAACTGAAGCCAGCCTGTTCGGAGGGATGGGGCTGGGGTTTCGCAGCGATGTGTGGTGTGAGTAGGATGGCAGTGAGCAGCGAGAGCAGCGCTCGAGGCGCATGATTGAAGCGCGGCATGCTTCGTCGTTGGTGGATGGTTCGTGTGGAATGCAGTGTCGTCGTTCGTGGAATGCAATGCAATGCAATGCCCCGCTTCACTGTGAAGCTCTCTTCTTCTTCCGCCCTTCACTTTCTTCCTCCCCTGTACTTCAAACTCTCGTCGGTCGTTTGGCGCGTGAACGGAGGCGGTATCAACGATGGTCGAGTAACACTGCAGCAGTCAGAAAGTGTGCGAAAAAAGTATGTGGTCGGGCAATTGGCGAGGATAATTCGAATGGTTGTCTGCTTCCCAACCTCGTCCAGCCACAGCTTTTCCCAGCCTCCACCTGCAGACTTCGACAATTGCTCAGGGTCAACGCAAGTCCCCCGCTCGTTCGGTCTGTCGTAAGTTATGGTTCGGTGGTAACGATTTGGCAACTGTTTGTCTCGGGTTTCCTTGTCGCTTCCAAGATCGTTGACAACTGCAAGGAACCGTTCCATCGCCGTCATTGWATACCGGTGCTTCGGCGGAAAATCGCCACGGCAACGGCGGGTGATCGACATGGGAGATCCTGGTGCGTGCAATCAGAAGGAAAATCCTCACTCTTCCATTCTCCGATACGACTCGACTCGTACGGAATTGTGTGACGGAGTCAATCATCGAGTCTATGCTCTTCTCTTATGACCATGACTTTTATAAAACCAAAAATATCGCTCTTCTTACTTCACGCCTTTGTAAGACTGGAGCGTCTCCACGAGGGTTAGGGTTGGGGTAGTAAGTTATCACGTCGAGAAGCTTGATACGCATCGAGCTCCTACGATTCCATGTGGAATTCTTCCAATGATACGAAAAGCATGCTTAACGATGCAAGCTATATGTGTTATGACCGTGTGGAGACGCCACAGTAGATGGTTAGATATTTATTTCATCAAAGAGGTCGAACTCTAGTGACATTATGAGTGCCGGGGAAATTTCATTAAATGAAAGCGTAGGTATGCACGACAGAACACCAGCTCTCGCCAGGTCTTCATAAAGTAGATAGCTACAGATGACATGCTACTCGACGCATGTCGTCGTCGTACACTATATCCAGCTGATTGTACCAATGCCTTTAGCATATGTAACATGAAAGTCGATGTAGCCCGACAAAAAAAGAACACCCCGAGAGACCGCATCGCCGGCGTAATACTCTCTGAATGCGAACATCCTCAATCCTAACTCATGTCCTCTCTCATAGCAGTGTTTTCAAAATCCCCACAGATTACAGCACTCCGCTCCCAAAACAATCCTCTCGCTTGAGAGCTTCTGTCAGCCATAGTGTATGCTGAGCGACAGTAGACACCTGCGCCGTGTACGCCTTGCTTCGAATTCCAACGTCTCTTGTTGTACGCTTTTTCTAGAGTATTGGGAACATTTCGATTTCCGATCAAACAATCAAATTCGAGGCAGTTGTTGACCCTTTTGCTGGACATTATGTGGTTGCCTCTATGCCATCATCTCTTCTTGTGGCTCACTAGACCTTCTCGTCGCCAGGCTCTGCTCCATTGGACTCCTTGGACTCGCTGGTCGCCTTGACCGGTTCAGGCTCGGACCCCTCAGTCGCCTGCTCAGACTTGATAGGCGGCTGCGCCGCATCCACCTTCACCTGCTCGTCCTTGGGTGGTGCCTCTGGCTTGGTGGACTCCGCTTTGGTGGACTCCGTCTTGGGAGCCAAGTCAGCCTGCGGACTGTGAATATCCATGCCAGCAGCCTCCGCCTTGACGGACGCTACACCATTCGATGGCGCAGCTGCAGATGATGGTCCAGCCTCGACCGGCGTCGGCTTCGGCTTGGTCGGACTCGTCTTTGAAGCAGCGCTGTCTTTCCCAGAAATCTTCTTGTACATGTCGCGGAGCTTTCGACCAGACACACGCTTGTCACTCTGCTTCGACTGTGGCCAATGGTGCTCTGACACGTAATCCCACATCTTGTCCTCGACCGACGCTTGGCCATTGTTGGTAACTTGCGCGTTGATGTGACTGCCAATCGTAACCAGACCCATCTTAATCATTTTGAGACGAGCGTCATCTTCGGGCATCTTCTTCTTAGTCGCGCCTGTAACCTTGATCAAAGTGCTGTGAATAGGTTCAAAGATCTTGCGAACATGTTCGTCCGCCTCGGACAGGGGCGGCCTGGACACTCCTCCATTGGGAGAGCTGTGGTTGCGATGATGGCCTCCCTTTCGTTCTTCCGAATAGCGGTGCTTGCCGCGATCATCCTTGCCACGATGATGCCCATTGGGAGATCCATGCTGTCGACGGTCCATGCTGTTTCGAATGTCGGACTGGTGAAGACTTCTACCATCAGTGGAGTTGAGTTTGCGGTGGCCGTYGGGGCCTGGGCTCCCCGCATGGCCGGGCGTGCCTGTGCGACCATGTGATCCCAAGTGTTTGCGGTTATTCCGGTGGTGATTGTCCAAAGCCCGTTTAGCAGCCTGGTTGGTGCCGTTGCTGATCTTGTCCTTCAGCACGCTGATCAGGTAATTTGCTCGCCGCACAAGGTGAACTGCCCCCGGAGACTTGGCCTGCTTAGACTCATCTCCTGCGGTGTTTCTAGCCTCCTTGGCACCGACACGATGCTCCTCCAAGTAGAACTTTTCACTCAAACCAAGCTCGACATCGTCGCGGATTGGTATCCAGGCGCCGTAGCCATGGCGAGCTAGACCGACACAAAGCATGCCGTCTTCTTTGGCGCCCCACTCGGCAGTGTACGAAGCTGGCTTTTGAGCCTCTGGCACCCGGAAGTTCCGCCAGTCAGAAATCGAGTCCACACAGTTGCGTATCATGCGCATCTCTTCCGGACGATCGGTCAATGTCTGAGCATTCAGCCGCTTGACACCGCGGAAGTCGAACAGGACTGCCTTGCGTTCCTTTTTGGTGATTGGCTTGTTTGTCGTGCGCTCAATCTCCTTGAGCTGTTCGGCCTGTTCCTGTTGCAGACGGATGGCCGTGTCGATGATCTCCTTGAGAGTATCGCGGACCACATTCACGTCGCGTCCCAGAAGTCGGGCTTCCCTGATGATCTCATCTTGCTTCTCGTCAATCGCTCCAAATCGTTCGTATGCGCGCACCAGATGGCGACACTCCTTCTCACCCAGAGCTCGCTTAGGATCACTCCCGTGGTCGGAATCATCATCGCCGGAGTCGGCATCCATCTCAGCAGTGGCGTTGAGGTCGCGAGCACGCTTCTTCGCAGCACGCTGATCTCGGCCGTCATCCGCAGCTGCTTTCCGCTTTCGTGGCTGGCTGTCCTCGATGACAGACGCGAGGTAGGCTTCTTCTTGCTTCTTGCGCTCCGCCTCTTTAAGCTTATCAATCTCGTGCTTGGGTATAATCTCATCCCACTCAAGATCGACTTTGACGTCGGTGTATTCGAAACTCTTCAAGAACTCCTCGCCACCGTCAGTAGTCATGCCCTCAGGCTGCTCCGTCCGGTGCTCTTCGGCGTTTTCAAGTACAGCATCAATATCCAGCTCCTCAAGCTTGCGCTGATTGCCAGACTGCTCAAACATCTTTTGTCCACGCTTCTTGAGGATGCGTGAGATATCGTCCGAAGAATTTGGCTCGGCGGTGCTAGCACCAACCCGGGCCATGCGATCGCCAAGTTCACGAGCGTCCTTGTCGGTGACGCCGCGCTGAATGGTAATGAACTCGAGCATCAATTTGTTGCGCGCACGCTCGAGCACTTCTTCTTCAACTGTGTCCTTCGAGACAAGACGGTAGATGGTGACAGGCTTCTTCTGGCCAATGCGATGCGCACGAGCCATGGCCTGCAAGTCAGCCTGAGGATTCCAGTCCGAGTCGAAGATGATGACCGTGTCGGCGGTCATGAGGTTGATCCCAAGACCACCAGCACGAGTGGAGAGCAAAAAGCAAAAGTCATTGCTGTCTTTTGCATTGAAGTGGTCAATCGCCATGCGTCTGGGACCCGCCGCGATGGTACCATCCAGTCTCTGGAACTGATGTCCACGAAGTTGGAGATAATCGCCGAGGATATCAAGCATCTTGACCATTTGACTAAAGATCAGAACTCTGTGTCCATCTTTCTTCATCTTCGTGAGCAATTGATCAAGAAGCATCATCTTGCCACTGGACGTGATGAGGGCTTTCAATTGGTCATCGCGAGCGTCGCTGCCGTCCAGAATGCGATCTTCAGCGTTCGGGAACATGAAGGGGTGATTGCTAGCCTTCTTCAGCTCCATCATGATGTTCAGTAAAGAAGTCTTGCCCGCCTTGCTGCCAGCATTCAGCGCCGCATAGTTACGCGTGAGGATGTTCTTGTAGTATTCCAACTGAACATCGGAAAGTTCGACTCGAATAATCTTCTCCGTCTTTGGTGGCAGATCATTTTCAACCTTTTGCTTGGTCCGTCTGATCATGTACGGCGAAATGGCATCGGTAAGTTCAGCAAGCTTCCTGCTGGCATGCTCTGATGTGAGGTCGATGTGCTCATCAACAAAGATCTTGCCTGGCATGAGGAAGTCCATGAGTGCAGAGAGCTCACTTAGAGTATTCTGCATAGGCGTGCCGGTGATGAGGAGGCGGCTTGGAGCACCAAAGTCCRTCAACTTCGCGTAAAGCTGCGACTCGCGATTCTTCAATCGGTGAGCCTCATCGACGGCCATGAATTGCCACTTGAGCGAGGAGAGAAAGGCCGAATCATGCAGGATGTACTCGTAGGTTGTGAGGAGCACGTTGAACTTGATCTTCTTGGGATTGCCGTCCACGAGCAGCTCGTACTCCCTGATGATCTTGCGCGATGCTTCGTTACCGTTGTAGACGACATAGTTCAGGTCGGGTGTCCAGAAGTCAAAAGTGTCGGCCCATGCCGGCATAGTTGATAGGGGAACAACCACGATGAATGGTCCGTGTTGTCGGCGGTCATGCCGGAGCCAGTTCATGAACGAGACGGTCTGGACAGTCTTTCCGAGACCCATCTCATCTGCGAGGATGACATTGTTGCCTTTGCACCAATGATGAGCCAGGAAGTTGACGCCGGCGATCTGGAACTCTCGTAGCTCCCCTCCTTTGATGTATGAAGGCTGTGAGCGGAACGGCTTGTATGGCGATCGCGTGTTGATGCTTRCCTCAGCCTTGTCCGATGATGGTAGTTTCGCAGAGCGGTCGAGATAGCGATCGATTTCCGTCTGTGCCTCTTGACTCACGAGGCTCGCAGACTCCCATGTGCAACAGTCATAGTAGAGTCCCTTCCACTTGACGTAGTATTCCGTTCCATCATCACCATCTCTTGCACCAATAACACGTTCAACCTTTTTGTAGTCGCGGAGGGTGTCGATGAAGGCTTCGCGGTCCAAGTTCCACTTCTCTCGGTCCTCGGCCGCAATGTCCGGATCTTGCGCCAGGCCGATTTCAACCTTTACGGTCTTGCGGAAGTAGTTCTCGAGTCGACGGAAACCTTTGTATGCCACAAGATCTGCCCATGGATGCCATGTGGCGTGATAATGTGCTTGACCCTGCCATTTGATCTGGTGGAGGTGTCAGTGAGTGTGGTCGAGTAGAGGAGATGAGGGCGGCACTTACGTAGAACTCGTAATCTTGCTTGTCGGAGTTGCTTGCTTCTACAGTGCACGGGTCAGCGCTGTGTGACAAGCCATGTCGCGCAATACCAATCATACCTATGCCTTCCTTGAGCCTGTGGTTGAGGATTGCATCAATGGCTGGCGTGTTGTCCTCCACGTAGTAGTAATTGGGCGTGGCGGTATCACTCTCGACCTCATCGCTGATTCCGAGGTCCTGATCATCGTCGTAATTGGTCACCTTGGCAGCTCGTCGTGTCGAGAAGCGTACTTCGCCAAGTTGCGGTGTGCCGCCGCCGGAGGCGATGGCCTGCATCTTTTGCCTGTGCTTTTTGGCAAATGTGCGTCCGCGCTGGCCGCCGTAGGTGCCACCTTCCTCGGATTCGGAGCCCGCGGATGTAATCTGACGAGAAGATTCCCTGTCGCCACGAGTAGATGCTGCGGGAAAATGTTAGTGATAAGTTGAGCCAGGGGTCAATATGGCGGTGGGTGACATACAGGGTCGGCCGCCGGCAAGTTTTTGGCGTTTCCGCCGCCTGCCAGTGTTCACTTCGCCCTCGTCATCCTCATCTTCGTCGGAACTATCGACCTGCATGTATAGTTAGCATTGGCCATGACCGGCATACAGGACGGTGGGCACGTACCACGCGACGGGTAGGTCTTGCTCGGCCCTGTAGAGATATGTCAACACCTGAATCGATCTGCCGGCAGCATCGGAACTTACACTACGCCGTAAGCCATACAACTCTGGATTCTGCTTCATGAGTTCCTCGTCGTCAACCTCCGTCTTCCGCTTCCTWGGTCTTGAACCGGACTCGGACGACGATCCGTCAACGTCCATCCGATCGGGGTGTGCGGGAGGAGGTGTCTCCTCGTCAAAGTCTGCGTCCTCTTCACCTGGAGCATCTTCATCTTCATCGAGTTCAGACGTCGCCATGTCGTGGATGGCATCGTCGTCCGAAGGCGCCTCGTCCCCGGCTCCGGTTGATGATATAGTGGTGGTAGGAATATCGTTTATATCCGAAAGATCGCTGTCGCTGCGCGTGCGTGGCAGTGGTACCTTGGGAAGCTCCGCGCTCGCCTCGATCGAATGTCCATTCGGTAACGCCATATCGTTGGCGTGGTGTGGTTGCGGTATGGCCGCTGTAGATGGAGCGGGTCAGCACGTATATATCAGAGTTCCGCAGGTTTCCGCGCGCTGAAATTTGGCAGGCACGTCCGCCAGTAGTACGCGATCACGTTCCCCGCGCAAACAGCATATGTTGCTCAAGTGATTCGAGAGATATCAAGTCTGATGGTCGAAGTGTAGGGTCGGGTGACGGGGAGTAGGTCGGCTCTTGTGCGCGACACGGGGTCACCGGGGAAGATACGCGAGCTCTGGGCGATCCGGTCGGTCGACGGGCACACAGCGAGGCTGCTATCGGGGTATCGGAGGCTCTCGAGTCGAAGCAATGATGGAATATGTTTGCCGGGCGCTCCTTTCGATGGAGATCTCGTGCGCACAATCGGGATGATGAAAGGCGAATTTTGATCGCAAAAAGCACGTCGAGTAAGAAAGCGTGTTCTACTCACAAGCCATGGTTCCGTGGGCCTCGCAGGCGGGCGGTGGAGTGCGCGGGTGCAAAGGTGATATCGAGATGGTCAAGATGGAAGCACGCTCGCCAAAGTGAAGCGCAGCGCAAGTGGAGTCGTGACAGGACGAACCCTCGCTTGACGAGTTGAAAGCTTAAAAGTCGTGGGATTTCTTGGCAATCATTTGACTTATTGAGGACAACACAACCTAGACTGTACGCCATAACTATGGGTGGTAGAGTAGGCAATGGAATGAGGCATCACGTATATGTCGCATCAAACAGCCCGCATACTGTTCACTGACCGACCTTCTTGGTCATATCTCAACACCACCCATCACCAGTCCATCCAGCATTCGTTCGAGGCCAACTCACAGCTCTCCCTTGTTCATTGATCTGCCTCTCAAGTGCTGGCAGTATCCTACCAATTGCGATCTTTCCTCGCTGGATATGGAATCCCGCTGTTCACACTATGTACCTTACTCTTCCTACAATTTGACAGATCGAACGATCGTCGGCGAGGTAAGAATGACTCTGCATATACTCGTGAAGCAACTGTGACTAGAAAGAGGAACTCAGAGGGCGGCATCATTTGCCCGACGTTTGGTCGCTAAGTGAATTGCCCTAAAAGGTAGCCATGACAATTTGCTTCGATGGAACGAGAGGCTGCGGCTGGGACACGCGGTTTCAAGGGAACAATTACAGCCTCAAGTCTGCGTCATCAGCAGATAAAGCATTAGGATTTCTGGACGATGTTGTGCTGTTAAGGGAGGAATATTGTCGATTGTGGAAATTCTGTCTGTAGGTATCGTTCCCATCATCCCGTCCTATCCTTCTCCCCCACCACAGAACGCCCCGCCAATTAAGAGAGATTTAATCAGCTTCCTCAAACATCTTCCATCCCCTCACCACATTTCTTGGAGTCACAACCTCCTTACACGACAAAGCGATCGGGCGCTTTTTGAGGACAAAGCCAAGGACGTTTCCGGAATCTGCATTTCGCGCTCCTCAAAGTCCTTGACGTTCTTCACCAGCGCACCGAATATTGGAATTAACAACGACACACCGCAAAGATGTCGGACAAGTTGACTCGGTGCGAATGACCTCCCTGTGTAGGTATATCGGCAGCGCATGCTAATACAATCGCAGTATCGCCATTGTCAACACGGACAAGTGCAAGCCGAAGAAATGCAGGCAGGAGTGCAAGAAATCGTGTCCCGTGGTGCGCACAGGCAAGCTCTGCATTGAAGTCGACCCTACCAGCAAAATCGCCTTCATCTCCGAGCGACTATGTATCGGATGCGGTATCTGCCCCAAGAAGTGCCCCTTCGACGCCATCAACATCATCAACTTGCCCACCAACCTCGAAACGCAGGTCTCTCACCGCTACAGCGCCAATAGCTTCAAGGTCCATAGACTTCCACTTCCACGACCCGGTCAGGTGCTAGGATTGGTCGGAACAAACGGTATCGGAAAGAGTACGGCGCTGAAGATCCTGGCGGGCAAGCTGAAGCCCAACTTGGGCCGGTATGACAACCCACCTGATTGGGAGGAGATCCTCAAGCATTTCAGAGGCTCTGAGCTGCAGAACTACTTCACCAAGATTCTGGAGGATGACCTGAAGGCTGTGACCAAGCCTCAGTACGTGGATCAGATTCCCAAGGCAATCAAGGCAAAGGGCGCAGAACGCAGTGTTGGCCATCAGCTCAAATCTAGGTGCCAGGTTGATGAGGCGAGACTGGAGGAGATCTGTCAGGCTCTTGGTGAGGACATTCAAGCACGCTCTAATCTCTCATTCCGCTAACAATCCACAGAGCTCAAGCAAGTCTGGGACCGTGATGTTGACCTCCTCTCAGGAGGAGAGCTGCAGCGTTTTGCCATTGCCGCAGTGTGTGTGCAAAAGGCCGATGTCTACATGTTCGACGAGCCGTCTTCCTTCTTGGATGTCAAGCAGCGTCTGGCTGCCGGTCAGATCATTCGAAGTCTCCTGCGCCCCGACTGCTTCGTTATTGTCGTCGAGCACGATTTGTCCATTCTGGATTATCTCTCAGACTACATCTGCGTGCTCTACGGAAAGCCAGCAGTGTATGGTGTTGTGACCGCGCCCTTCTCCGTCCGTGAAGGTATCAACATCTTCCTTGACGGTAACATTCCCACCGAGAACTTGCGCTTCCGTGAGGAAAGCTTGCAGTTCCGCATGACGGAAGCCGGAGATGAATTTCTCACTGAGCAGACTCTGGATTTCTCCTACCCTTCGATGACCAAGACCCTTGACAAGTTCCACCTAACCATTGAGGCGGGTGAGTTCACCAACTCTGAAATCATCGTCATGATGGGAGAGAACGGAACGGGCAAGACGACCTTTTGTAAGATGCTTGCTGGTGCCTTGAAGCCAGACGGCGACCAGAAGGTCCCAACCATGAGCATCAGCATGAAGCCTCAGAAGATCACTCCCAAGTTCACCGGAACTGTGCGCCAGCTCTTCTTCAAGAAGATCAAGCTTGCTTTCTTGAGCCCACAGTTCCAGACGGATGTCTACCGACCTCTCAAGATGGACGACTTCATCGACCAAGAAGTCCAGAACCTGTCCGGAGGAGAATTGCAGCGTGTCGCCATTGTGCTTGCTCTGGGTCTCCCAGCCGACATTTACCTCATTGACGAGCCTTCCGCCTACCTCGACTCCGAGCAGCGCATCGTCGCAGCGCGCGTGATCAAGCGCTTCATCATGCACTCGAAGAAGACCGCCTTTGTCGTCGAGCACGATTTCATCATGGCCACCTACCTCGCCGACCGCGTCATCGTCTTCGACGGCCAGCCTTCGATCAAGTCTCGCGCCAACACTCCTCAGAGCTTGCTGACAGGCTGCAACAAATTCTTGAAGAACTTGAACGTCACCTTCCGTCGTGACCCCAACACCTACCGCCCACGTATCAACAAGCTCAACTCGCAGCTGGATACCGAGCAAAAGGCCAATGGGAACTACTTCTTCATGGAGGAGGAAAGTTAAGGCGTCCCTGTGTTCAATTACGATTTCAATGCCGCGCCTACCATTGCCGCATGCCCTACCTCCGTCGATGGTACAGCGCGCCGGCGCAGCATTAAGAGCGGCGCCGATGAGGCGCTAGAGCTGGAGTCCGACGAGACCGAAGACCAAGACGAGGAAATTCTTACTTACTGTTGGGATTGACCATATTGCTTGATGTCATGGGCCATGGACTTGTCAGCTCAACCTCGCCATGAACTGGTCATGATACAGACCGCTGCGCAATGAACCACGCGACTATTGCGTTTCAGTCGCAGGAGACCGTTGACACGGTCGAGTGTGCTAACCGCTCCCGCTACTGCTTACCGCAGGCTTGAGCGCAGACGAATGAAAAGGAGAAAATGAACAGCAGTGGGTGAAACGTAGACTGATGAATGCAAAGAAACGCTCTTTTATGATTCCATGAGTAGTGAGACCACATCAGAAGTTTAAACCACGACGTACCGACATCCTTGTGTAACCCTTTCTTCTGATTGTCCTTCCAGTCCAGAAAGTATTGAAGGAGCTGTAGTCAAGTTCGCCTCAGTCAACCCTCCATTGCTGGAAGTATTTGTGYGATGATGATTGACGTACTCCATCAAAGTAGGTAATCCACCGCGTCTCATCCGCATCGACTCTCACGTCCCTCCGCGCTTGTCGTTCGCCCAGGGTCCTTTCGGACGAGGTCGTCTGCCAGTGCTCAGGAAAGAATCCCGGAAGTGATCACTCCTCGAGGATCATATCATCCGGTCCTCTTTGTTAGTGGAGGACCCATGAGTCTGAATGGAAGCTTTGGGCTCGAACCCTTCGTGTTGGTGGCATCGCCCTTCTCCTTCTTCACAGCCGCTCCGAGAACAGCGTCGATAGATGCAGAGTTCTTCTAAACCTCTTCAATTTCGCCTTCTTCGGATCCGCTCTGCAGTGCTGGAGGCTCCTCTTTTGGGAGAGAAGGATCGGCAATCGGCGAGCGTGTTTGGCGTGGGCGCTGTATTCATTAGTACAACATATGAGTGAAAGGGGGGAAATGCATACCTTGCTCTCGCGTCTGGAGACGTTACTAACGTCCGACTCGCGCCTCTTCCGGACACTACCCGGCCTGCTTCCCACAGCATCTTCGTCACCGTAGTCAAGGGTACGTCCCTTGTCGCGAGGATCCGCACGACTGACATAATGTCTCTCTCGCTCCAAGTCACGTTCGCGCCTCTCGCGGTCATAGACTGGAACGGAACCGCGCTCGGATCTACGCTCTCGTCCATCGTAGCGGTCACTACCCCTGCGCTCACGGTAATCGCGATCACGAGGGTCACGGACGTCCCGCATATCGCGCACATCACGCGGAGGAGTAAGACCAAAGGAAGCCTTCTCAACTCTTCTCTCGCGAATTTCCGAGGCCTTGCGCCTGTCTGCTTGGTAGGCGTCCACTTCGGGCGTGTGAGTGCGATGGCGGCGATCCCTATCGTCTCGGCGATCCCGCTCACGATCGTCACGTCGAGATTCATTGCGATGATGTCGGCCCCTCTCACGATCGCGGTGGTCCCTCCGCTCGTCTTCCTTTTCCTTGAGACGCTTGATGAATTTGGTGTATGCCGTGATGCGAGTCTCGTGGTCAGCCGAGGCAAAGTCTCTCTGATTCTCGAGCATCGAAGAAACGTGGTCGAAGGAGTCGCTTGCCCGAATCGGCGGGTTGACTTTCCTCATTGCGTATCTGATGTTCTCAACAGCCTCCCTCTGATCGCGCTCGGCTTGGTCTTTTTTCTTCTCGATGCGCTCCTTGACCTTGTCCATGATCTTTGCAAACACCATGCTCAAGTCGTCTTCTGAGAATGAACCCGTTCTTGGATCAGAGCGCATGACGTCCTTGAAGTCTTCAAAGGAAGAGCTCGGCACCATTTCCCATCTATTCTCATCCATCACGTCCATGGCATCGTTGCGCTTGGAGCGAAGTCGGCGCTCTTCCTCCTCCACGATGTCCCAGAAAAGCTCAATTGGATCACTGCCCGGCTGACCCATGTACGCTTGAAAGCGCTCATCATCAACAACCAGTGGATGGACATCCTGCCATTTGGATCCTGCTTTGATTTTGCCTTCTTGCACCTTTTCGTGTAGCATCTGCTTGAAGCCGTCCCGTGCTTGACGCTCGTGACGTCTACGAGATGATTTCTCCTTCTGTGCGACATCGTTGGCAATGCGCTCCAGAGATTTCATGTGTGAGTCGAAAGCGTAAAAGACATCGAGCTTGTGCAGTCCCTGGAAGGTGTCCTCGGAAACGAAGCGTTCACTATTCATGATGATGTCCTCGGCGTCAGTCCAACGTGTGTCCGGGTCAACAACAAGCGCCTTGAGCATGGTGTTGAGTTCCCGCATGGCATGGGCGCGGCGTGAGGCCTCATCCTCCGCGTGTTGCTTCTTTAGCTCCACAATGTACTCATCGAACATGCGCCGCCGCTCGTCATCGTCTCCAGCACTCTTGAAGACATGCTCTCGTTCAATCAGCGGTCGCGCCGTCTTCCAGCGCGTGTAGTGCTTGATCTCGTCGTGAGTGGACAGCATTTTGCGAAAGTCCACACGCAGCCTCTCCCTACGTTCCTTTTCCTTGCCCTTTTCCTGCTCGCGTAATTCRCGACAGTACTTGTCAAACGCCTTTCTACGATCGGCCGGATCCTTGATCGCGCGGTAGTCGCGCTCGCGAACCACCAGGCGCACAGCTTCGTGCCATTCCATATCATGACGAACATTGTGCCTCTTCAAAGTCTTGAAGAACGCCTCCTCCGCCTGCTCCAAGTTGTTGAACTCGGGCTCTTCGGTCTTGATGGGCATTGGTCCGCGGAACCCCGCGCCCTCCTGCCGCGAATCTCGTCCTTCCCACCTGTCCCCGCCGCCTCGAGGGCCATCAAAGCTCGGTTTCTGTGGCAGGCCTGCATCGCGGTTGTCTCTCCGCGAGAGCTGTCGATCCGAGTTGTTGTAGTCGCGACCGCCAAATCCTGCTCCTCCACCGCCGCCGGCCACAAAGTCCGGTGCTGGCCGCTCAATTTGCGGCGCCTGAAACCCTTCGGGCTTTTCCCAGCTCGTCTCTCTGGAGACGCGGTTGTAGTAGTATGATCGTCCGTCCGCTGTTTTTGTCTCGGTCCAGGCTGCCGGGTTGCTGGCGGCGAGTGCGGCGGCAGGCGCGGGCGTCGCGGGCTCATCAACGAAACCCTCTGGCTTCGCCCATGTCGTTTCCTTGGTGACCTTGTGCCAGTAATAGGTTCGGCCATCAGGCATCTTCGTCGCGCCCCATTCGCTCATTTTGGTGGTGTCGCAGTGGGCACCTAGAAAATGGTCAGTGAGTTCCTGGTGATGTCGAGGAGAAGGTCTGGAGGAACTTGTGAAATGAAATGAAATGAAGCTTACCTCTAGCTTCTTCAGGCACACGACAAACCGATCTTCGTTTCCAACCCAACAACATCACACCTCGACAATATTCACAGTCGCGGCCATGTCACTCAACAGCTATCTCAACAGTGAGTCTCCCTCTGTATTCCTACGCGCGCTTTTGCGTGGCTCACAACCCAGACAAAGTACACTAGCTAACATACCTCTGTTTCTTAGAGAAAGTGTGTTTGATACTCGTGGATGGGCGCTGCATGGTCGGCAATCTCATTTCCTGCGACCACGTAACAAATCTTGCCCTGGAAAACTGTACCGAACGGGTCATACGGTCTCCGGACGATGATGAACCTAGTTTGGAAGAGGAGAGAGGACTGTTCATGGTGAGAGGAGACAATGTCGTTGTTTGTGGACTGGTGGACGAGGAGTTGGATGGCAGCATCGATTGGACAAAGGTCAAAGGCGCAGAAATTGGGACGACGAAGCACGTGTGAACGAGGATCGAGGATTGGACTCGAGACTTGACGGCATGATATGATGAGAGGGACCACAGAGGATGCAAGCAGGGGGGAATAGAGCCGCAACACGCCGCCACAGCGGGCGCGCACCAGAGACTTCCGCACTGCGTAAGATCGCGATACAGGTGCCACAGAAGCTCAGTGAGACCAAAAGCGGTCTGTCAACCGCTCGAGGAATGGCCTTGAGAGAGTATGTATCACTGCAAAACGCCGGCCTCGCATCTCAATGTTAACATTTCTCTCCAAAAGGTAGCGACACATGCTCGATAGGATGACCGTCGAGATAAGATACAGACCAGATTCGATTCTCTAAGTGGAATAAATCTGACACCCGGCCTTGGAGATTTGAGATTTGAATGCAGGCAAGGCAGAAGAATTGGAGCGGTTACTTATGATCGGCTGCCTGAATTTCATGCACCTGTCTCCCCAAGAGGCTTCGCAGCATACCTCCTCATGCATTCCCTCACGTTCGTGCCCTTTCCCTCTTTCTCAACAGACTCCTCCCATCTACCGTACTCCTCCCACCACCACTTATGCGTAGGTCCATCTCTGCCTTGATACCCTCCAATGCCATCTTGACCAATTCTCTTCGCCCATGGCTTGTCAACAATGTAATGCAAAGCCCTCACCTCCTCATCTCTCCACGCCTCACTATGCCAATAACGATGTGTCTTGAAGGSATTATACTGCCAACCAATCGCAACCCATCTATCCCGAAAGAAGACATCAAGAAAGTTCTGATCAGGAAACGCAAAGTCTTTGACTCGAGGATCTTCAGTGCGGAATTTCTCAATCTGTTCCCAGAGTTCCTGGTAGGGACGACAGACGAAGACGCCAGAGTTGAGAAGACGGTAGGTTTCCTGCTTTTCGGAATCTAAAGCTTTCAACTCGGATGTCGTACTCGGCACCAGACCTTGTAGAGCTTCGGGGTGCTTGAGCGGAGTCATCGGACAATTCTCCTTCTTCCACTCAGGCGGCGCCCAGGGATCGTTGTCGATGTTACAGATGCAGGCGTGGTGTGCTGCGATCCAATCATTTCCAGGTAGAAGAATGTCGAAGATGTCGTCGAGGTTCTTGAAGATCATAATGTCGGCGTCGAGGAAACATAGTGTCTCTGGTGCCTTTTTTAATCCCAGTGTCTTGAGAGTTGAAGGCGAGGATAAAGGTTCAAAAGCCCGGAGTTTGGTCAAGGTATCGTCGAAGCGAGAGGCTATGGAATTGGAATAATCTTTAGGAAGGAGGATTGGTTCAACCAATTGTGGTCGGAGAAGGGGATAGATGGAAGTGAGGTCTTGGAGGCAGGTGACGCAGTCCTGAGGGAGCGTTGAGGTGTATTGGACGATGATAGGGTGTATGGACTTGTGCTTGTGTAAAGTGTGGATCAGGAGAATCACGCCGGGTAAATACGAGGCCCGAGTTATTAGGGTGATCCAGGCTCGTGACTGGGGATCTGCTGGAGGCGTGGCATTGGAGTCAGGTCCGGCCATGATRCGACTTGTGAAGTCTGAATGTGTTCGTGCAGCTCGCTCCTGTTGGAACAATATCTGAGTATTTGCTGCCGATGTKTGGAACTTGGCTCCATCTTATTTTGAAGAGGGTCAAATCGTCATAGATACGCACCCCATCTTATCGGGAGTCTTGGGACGAGCGGAATCCACCATTCGAGAATGTGAGACTGTTCGTGGTGGTCTGGCGGAGGAGGCGTACGCCATCAATTTCGGGGAGAATGAAAAACAAGGATTGATCGAAATGACCATCAACCTCAAGATTGACTTGCATTTGGGATGGGCATGATTGATGGGAAGGTCGAAGGTTGTTTATACCTACCACCAAGCAAAGTTGCTTTCTTACAAGATCCTGTAAAACATGATGCCGGAGCGCTCCAGCGTGGGAGATTCCGGACGCGTGTTGAGAGGAGATGTAATCTCACGTGTCAGAAGAGCGGACCGTAAGGTAATCTGTCCTTCCCTGTGGAAGATGAGCGATTCGATAGAAATATTCGACCAATACAAGAATATTCATGTAATAGTCGATGGCAAGCAATGTATTTCTTCGAAGACCCTCTGCAAGTCAATCGGATATTGTTGCTGTGAAACTTAAGTCGTGCTACGAGTCGTGACAAACGCAGTGTTTGCAGCCACACATGCCGTCTCCTTAGCCTTTCAAGATTTTGGTAATCGCAAGATAATAAGGGGMAATGTTCAAGACATGGCCAGTCGGGCGTCCACGCAGCTGAGACCGAGGAACTCGGCGGTGATGCTTCGAGGCAACGTAGGAGATAGCTCCGCGTCTTGCATCAATGCCCACGATACACATGGAGGCCTCGCTCGACCCTGTTTGGGCCAAACCATTACGACWSAGATAGAGGCAGATCATTAGGCTGTGGATYGTAAGACCGAGCAGTCGTCACATGGACCAAAGCAGCAATGGTGGTGAGAAAGTGACTTCAGGATCAGGAGCGATATGCCAGGGTTGGCTCGTATTGCGGGGTGAACGGCAGTAGTGGCGGCGCCGTGAGCCTCGTGGCTTGCAAGGCCTGTGAGACGGACGATGAGCACTGCTTGATCGTTCTCGAAGCTTGCAAAGGTTGCATGCGGTCCGATTATGGACGAAGATCATTCGGATTCTATTCTCATCTCTCTAAGCAGTTTCAGAATGTGATTGATCAAGGTACCTCGTACGGTAGGTACAACTGCACTGTCTTGGCGCACTCGGTTTACCGGCACGCTAGGGGCTAGACCCCGGATTCTCAGGATTTTAGCTCCGCGTGCTTCCTCAGGACTTCGTCACGCAAGCACTTTGCGAGAGTTCCTTATTAATCTCGCCTTCTCCATCAATTTACTTTGCAAGGCCCAATCCAGTGCGCCCACATCACCCGGGAGGAATAACCTCATCCAGAAGATCACGAAGCCACCACGAAGCCACCGCAAAGCTTGCGACTCCCTCGACATGCCGTCCGGTCGACAATTCAAAGTGATCGGCTTCGTGACGCTCATTGCCATTTTAGTAATTTATTACGTCTCCAATGGCGCACGAGAAACATACGAATCGGAATTTTACCAACGGACGGTAGCGGCGATTGAGCAGACCAAAAATGCTGCATCACGACAGGTTGTGGCCGACAATGAAAGACAACGAGCAGAGCGCGTGGAAAGGCTGCGGAAAGAACACGATATAGCGACCGGGACCGCGGAGGYAGAGGGTGTTGCTGTACCACCTGTAGCAAAGCAACAACCGATTGTGGAGGAGAAGCCCGTTGCAGGGAGGAAAAAGACCAGCGACAAGGTCGTCAAGGCCAAACCTGCGAAAGGCGACGATGGTGTGGCCAAGGTCGGCAATGTGAGGGCAAACTCGCATGCCGCGAAAGAGGCCAGCGAAACAGAGGAGGAGCACGAAGTCGAGCAGCTGTTGAATGACATTCTGAAGAAGGGACCCATCATCGTCTTCTCGAAATCATACTGCCCTCACAGCAAAAAGGCAAAGGTGAGAATCTCCATGTCTCAATCATCCCATCACTTTACTAACGACGGCTAGCACATCCTCCAAGATCTTTACGACATTACACCTCCGCCGTATGTTGTGGAACTGGACCACGAGGAGCTTGGACCTGGTCTTCAAGACGCTCTACTTAAATCCACGGGGAGAAGGACGGTGCCTAACGTGCTGATCAACGGCAAATCGATTGGAGGCGGAGACGACATCCAGGCCCTACATGACACAGGCAAACTCATCGACAAATTCCAGGCCATGGGCGGGAAGCGCATCATGTCGATTGTAGAACATGCCAAGGCAGCTGTGAAGTTCAAAGCGTAGGGGGTGGTAATAGCGGTATATCATACCAGCCAAGCAAAGGGACGTTCTTCACAACAGCTATCGACCTTTGGCGGTAGTTGTTCATTTGGTGGCAGGCTATCGAAGTAATTTGAGTCGAGCGTCATCTTCTACGGCGTCCGGGCGTTCGGGGGAAGCGTGGGAAGCGTGGTTGATACCCCAGGATTGTCAGATAATGAACACAGAATGCCGATGTGTCGGCACTATCAATAGTGCAAATCAAATGGACATACACATCTACGACACCAAGGTGGAATAGAGTTTTTGACTTTGCATTCCATTCTGGGACTTCTGTATGTAGTCGCTGACTCTGAGTTCCTTGCACTTCAGTCCGAGGTAGAGGTATCGGTGGATCATTGAGCTCAGAACTTCATTCACTGAGGCTATCTGCCATATGCACCCTCGCTCAAAGGAAGAAGACAGCACCGCAGCTGCCCGTACCCACTCGAATGCGCCGTCAACAAAAAGCCCGGGAGGATTTTTAACGAATCGTGTCTTTTGTATCTCCGAATCCGCTTACTCTGCATCCTCGATGTTGCCACGCTCACTTACGTACAGACCGTCCAAGAACTTTCGGATATCCTTGTTACGGACTCTGCACTTCTGCTGGATGTCTGCAGCAGACTGTGAGACGGCCTCGAGGGAGTTACCCGTAAGCTCGAGCTGGTCCTTGACGTTCTTGCTGGCCTCAACGTCGACACCTGGCTGCATCTTGACCTTACGCACAATCTTCTCGCCCAAGAAGTTTCTAGTCCACATGTCAGTATTTCTGACCACATCCTGCATCTCATCACGGCTGTGTGCCTCCAACTAACCTGATCTCAACCTCCCAGAGTCCGGTCTCGTTGTCCTTGTCGAGGTTGACGTTGATGGGGAAATGGGCGTAGACGTATCGCATCTTGTAGCGGAAACCCTTGGTGACACCGATGATCAAGTTGTTGATGAGCGTGCGAACAGTTCGGAGTGTGGCGACGTTCTTGCGGGATCCGTGGTGAAGCTCAATGTTGATCTTGTTCTTCTCGGGGTGGGAAAATGCGACTGCCAAATGTCCCAGGTCCTTTGTGAGCTTGCCACGAGGTCCCTCGACGGTGACATTGCGGGTCTTGATGGTGACCTTGACTGTGAGGCAAGAAGGATTAGTATTTGCAGTCTGTGGGTGTTCAATCCCGCGCATTGCCCTCCACCACCGCCGTTTCCACTATTTCTCCAATTTTGATCTCCTTCGTTGCCATTTCTCGCGCGCAATATTGTGCAAGGGCGTACATACCGCCCTCTGGGATGTCCAGCGATTCCTGGGAGTAGATGTACCTCATTTTGGCGGCGGGTCCGGTGTTGTCGTGGAGGGTAAGTTCGGTCGAAGGTGAGGTCAAGATCGGAATTCGTGTGAGCCAAGCCTTTTTTCAAATGGAAGGTGCGACCTTGAACGCGGGAACATCCGCTCTTCTCACAATTCGATTAGTACTCCTCCTCCTTCTTGACAAGATTCCCTGCTTTGCATCTTACGCACTGTCAGGACATCTGATCTAGGACATTCTGACTTTCCGCTGCAAGTCGACCTCCGGGGTAGAACAGGCAGGGGAATATTTACAACGAGGCCCTGATAGAATAGTCTGAAGGGAGCTGTCGACCTCGATTGAGCCAACTCAGGCGCTGCTCTGTGCTGTGTGATACCGTATGTCAAGAACATATCTGAAGTCGATACCCATTTTGCCAGACCACACACTGGTGCATTCCTATATAACACTATCTCACAGTCTATGCTCCCGCAATCTCTCACTTCGAGTCAAAGCTATACCTCAGCCACTCGCCAACTGCCCGCAAACTCTCCCATCGCACACTTTCATTCTCATCCTGCATCAAAGCCATCACCCGTGATTTCAGACCCATTCTCTCCAATTGTTGCCTCTTCTGCGGGCACTCCTTGACCAGGAACGCAACATCATTACATCCAATAGCAAGCACTTGCTTGTCGTTCTGCCAGTCTTTGCTGAGGATCTCCGCTAGCTTCTTGCACAGCGCACCCTGATCATCTTCAATGATGCGCTGTGCGTTCTCACTCCAAAAGGTTGCGTCTTTGTGAGGCGGTGACCATCGCAGATGTCCCGACTTGACTTCACCAGCATACTCATCCAGTGTGGTCTGAGTTTTGGTGTAATCGTCAACCATGGTTGTGAGATTCTCAAGATCCTCGAGCAAGTCTTCGTCGGTGAGATGGCGACTCTTGAGGTTCTTGAGGACTGAAGGAAGCTTTGCAGGGAGGGCTGCAGGCATAAGAGTGGTCTTGTTAGATGCGAGAAGGTTGTTGAGTGTACCGAGGAGCAATCGAGTGGTCTTCTCTTTGGGTGAGACTCGGAGGAGCTGAGTATAAAGTGGCACAATGTCATGTTCCTCATCGAGGCCTTGCCCTACCAACTCGCCCTCGAATGAAAGCTGCCAGACTACCATCAGGATGTGGTAGAGAAGCTGCAGGCTGACACCACTGATCTTGATGTTCGCTTCCGTAGCAGACCGTATGCTGGTACCTGCGGAGCTGCCATACGCCGTGCTGTCTGTATCCTTGCCGCCAGTTGCGTTTCGTAGGATTTCGATCAGAGGACCCAGTGTCTCTTTCCGCTGTTGCCAGAATTGCTTTCTCGATTTTGTGGTACGCAAGAGTGCGCTGTACTCCTGCACTGCGATGTCTTGTAGATTGGAGTCTGATGTTTTGGCCAGTTCGGCAATGTATGAGTAGAGCTTTGGGAGTGCCTCATCAATCTCGGGAGTTGACTTGGGCTGTGCGGTGACTGCATGCGAGAGCAACGATGACAGTACCGAGGACGTCAATAGCGGGATGGGATCTTCTGGATTTGACGATTGCTTCAGGAGCGGCAGTAGAGGCTTGAATGGCTTTGGGTGACTGATGAGAGCCTCGGTCAGGGATGGTATGTCTGCAAATTGTCAGTTCATGCATCAAGTACTAGAGCTTCCTGTTGAGTACCATCTACCAAGTCTCCGGTCAAGACCAGCATATACTGGAGGATGTCTGTCCTCTTCGCTGCACTCTCAAATATGCTCTTAGTCTCTCCGCTACCCAGCAAGAGAGCAGTGTACGTCTTGACATCTCCCTCAATCGTCTGCTTGCGCTGCTCTTTCCGCACCTTGTCAATCGCCTTGATCTTCTTCAGATCCTCATCGGTGATCGTCTTGGCCCGGACAGCTCCCTCCCATGATATTGGCCGTGCTCGAATGTTGTTCTGGAGCGACACAATGTATGCTGGAGGGTCGATGGACATTGTGGCGGTCAGACTGTAGCTGTGATAGCTATGATGATGTTGGCTGAGAAGGTGCTGCAAGCTGTCGAAGCTCCCTGACAGTGACGTTGGCTGGTCGATGGTCTCAGCATTGATTAATTCCCAGTTCGGGGACGTAGGCCGCCGCATTGCACCTCAACTTCACTCTCCTTCCATCGTTCCACTTTCACGTAATGTCCGGATCTCCAACAGAGTCGTTGTCCCGTCTTCGTTCCAGCTTTTCTTTCGATCAACAGACCGTATGAAAAGCGAGCGTAATCTTCACAACGATGCTTTTAATAGAACGGAAGAATATCTACTTCAGCCAAACTCCTGAACCTTCTGGATAAATGTCAGAGGGAGGCATTGCGACCATGCTCTGGTATCTCTTGTCTCCGATTCGCGGGACGACGGCACCTCCGCGTCTGCCTGCAAGTCATCCCATCCGCCGAGCTTTCTATCGACATGGCAAGACTACAGCACAACACTGGCTAGCGGTCATGTTGATCAGCGTTGCAATCGCCATGGGATTCTCGTATCCATCAATTTTCCTTGCAGAGAATCCTGCAGCGGGCCAGTCAGCGTTTCCAAATCAAGCCTGGACCACGGCCAAACCTATTGAAGACGGAAATACTCCCATCGATGTCGAGCTTCGTCAGATCTGGATACATGGAAGCTACATGGAAGCACTCGACAAGCAAGTTCTGCAAAGGGCATTGAAAGTCCAACAAAGCTTGATTGTCGACGACCACCTCAGCAACGCCCTTCCAGCCTTGAGTGACAACCTGCGATCAGGGACATTGGAGTGGGGCTATCACTCTCCACTGATGTACTGGAACAGCTCTGCGCAGATCCTGGAAGCCGATTTAGATGTCTTGAAGACGATCAACACCCAGAAACTCGGCTACTCGTCTCTCAACGTCGCACTTCGGCCAGCGTCTGTGCTTGCAGGCAAAAGATTCAATCGCAATGAGCTCCTCGCGGCAGACGCTCTAGTCATTACGCTGATCAACAAATTCGAAGAGGACATTGGCAGCCAGTGGCAGGAGAAAATGAAGTCACTGGCATTTGGAGCTTGTCGGGATTGCGCCATGTTCCCATCTGATGGGCATGTCACGAGTCACCGCGTCTACGAATTCAGCCTTACGCCGCTGAGCTTCAAAGAGCACATTGCCCTTGGCTTTGCGTACGGTTGCATGGCGGTCTATGTCTTGGTGAGCTTCCGGCGAATGAAGGCCTTCCACAGCCGCTTCGGACTCGTGGTCACTGCCATCACACAGATGACGTGCTCAATTCTTGCCAGTTTCACCATATGTGGGATGCTCAAGATCAACCTGGCCACGATTCCCCAAAATGCATACCCTTTTGTGGTACTGGTCCTCGGCGTTGAAAACATGTTCCGTCTGATCAATGCCGTGCTCGCCTATCCGCCGACAATGGCAACAGAATTGCGCATTGCCAACGCTCTTGGAGATATTGGGCCTTTATCTGTTGCCGCTGCTGCTCAGAACCTGACGATACTGTCCTTATTGTCAACTTTAGTGTCTCCAGGTAGGTCTCGCCTGATTGGTCTCACAGAAATATTCTCCCAGAATTCGTCAACCATTCTACCCCTGGCTTCCCTCGGGTAGCATCGATTGTGAAGCATCTGTTTGAGCGAATTAAACAGCTGACCAATACGTTAGGTGTTGCTGCTTTCTGTGCTTTTGCAGCAATTGCGACTCTTTTTGACGCCTTCTTTCTCCTAACATTCTTCGTTGCGGTCCTGAATGTCGATATAACACGTCTTGAGCTGCAAGATGCCCTCACAGCGAGACATACGCAAGTCCGGACCCGTCATCGCCGGAAACACTCACCAACGCATCCCGGCTTCGTCGATGCCATGCTCCATGGGCGACTTCCCTTCAGCACACGGATGGCCGGCACTCTAGTAACGACTACATTCATTCTGTCACTAAACTTCCACTTCTTCRAGCACAGCGAGCAGGGTACCAGTTTCGGGCAGCTTCTGGGGATGGTTCCAGCTTCCAACGCCGCAAGTGATCCCTTTGTGTTGCCGTCGGTGAATGCCACATTGTCACCAAACGAGTGGATGCAAATGCAAGATTTCAGTACTGCGAAGGAAGTCATGGCCCTCGCAAAACCAGGCGCCGCCAGCTTTGTTATCAGCGTTTACGCTCCTCTGGTCATTGTCCTCGGCGGTGCCGATCGAACTGGAGCTACCAGTGGACCCAAGGAAGCCTGGACGCAGGCAATGCGCAGCTTTGCTATTCACCATTTCTATCCAGTCGCAGTGGCGATTGTTTTCATCGTTGCATTTGGTAAGTTACGCCCATTCCGTTCATCACTCCGGATAGCCGTGCGGAGCATCCCCAACAGCTCTCTCCGTCACTTGCTGGGCAACTTTGCCGCTTGAGAGGGTTCTACCAAGCTAGAATTGGCGATTCTTGAGAGCGGTCATTGGCAATTTTTGTTCTCATTTCGACGGCCATACAGCTGTGCACATTTCAAGTACCGACGGCAGCACTGACAGTTTTTAGTTGTGGTTCTTATGAATTTTCTGCTCTACAATCAAGCAGGAGATGAGGATAATGATATCGCTCTCGAGCAACTTGAAGACTTTCTGTCTGTTCAAGAGGTCTCTCTGCCTCTTAAACTTGACATCGTTAAGATGGCAGCTAGCAACGAGAGTGGACATTTCGTTACCATATCGTTAGACCGCATTGTTGCAATCTCGGTCTTGGACAGACAACAGCAGGCCTACCATACGGTAGCAGTGCCATCAGAGGTTCTTAATAACATTAGCTGGCCCGTTCACCATCTCGCTATCGGCGATAATGGGGACTGGATCGCCTGCCATTGCGCCGATGATCGCATCTTGGTATACAACTCTGTAACCGGATCGTCCATATCCAGACTTGTCCAGTACCCGGATGACCACCCAGCAATCCTGTTCGATTTTTATACACTACCATGCGAAGGCGGAGCCAAGCTCCACTTCATCGCGCTGACTTCCGGCGCACGGCTGGCCATGAGTTGTATGGAAAGCGGAGCATCGAGCGGCGCAGATTTATACAGCATGCCGTTGATAGCAGCCGACATCATCGACACAAAATCAGGAGGTCGTCAACTTGTCATTGTGATTGAGGACTCTACTGTCATTTCTCATAGCTGGAATGGCGAGAAATGGGTACAGAGTGCAAGCCGGAAACTTGGSGCCGAAAATCCGCATGGAGGCCTGAATGGTGCGGTCTCCTTGCAGTTGTGGTCCGACCTCGAAATGGAACGATTGATCCTAACGACATCAACATCGGCATACTTTCTGGACAGCAGTACACTGGACGAATTGCACCATGTGGACATCTCCGAAGCAGGTACTCATGGCAATAGACTTCTAGTAGGCTCTTCGCGGACGTGCAAATGCGGGCACACTGCGTTTCGGAAATTTGCCGTCTCAGGCGAGGTGCCTGGGAAAGATGAATGCACCCTCACGGTGTGGACACCAGAAGATGAGCACGGTGCGAGCTTATGCCTGACATGTCGGCCACTTTCTAGAGCGATGTACGAGAAGCATACTGTCAGTAGGCCTGGCGCCTGGGTTGGTGTAAGTAAATTCGAGAGCGAAATGCATCTGACGCCGGATGGGCAAGACCATACCGACGGGGAGGTCTGCACGTCTGAAAACTTGAAAGTTCTCATCGTGGTCTGAGACATTGCTAATCTTTCTACCCTCTGCTTTAGGTACGCTCGCAAGCCATTCTTGGTCTACGGAGGCGTAGGCAGCCACCGACCGACCAGGAAGCAGGCAGCAATCGACGACCCAACGCCTCTCAGCTGCGACAACGCCGACACGCGCGTAAAGCCACGAATGACGAGTCAAGTGAGGAGCAATGGGAAGCCTACAAGCTTTTGGCTGACGGTGACATGGAAACGCTTGATGTTCTCTCGGACACGGCTTCCGGTCTTGGCTGCGCCGCGAGCTTGCACGTCAACAACCCTGGACCGGTAGCCGTACTTAGTCCTCATGCTATTGCCGTTGCTTTTGGCAATGTTGTCATAGTCGTCAGGATTGCTCGACGTGGAAGGGCTGCAAGCACTTCGTTGGAGAGACAGTCATCGTTGGCCGGACGTGGCAATGCCGTTCGAAGAGCGCGATGAGTACTACAGCGTCTCTTTGCATCGGAGAGTATTCCTGCTGGCCAAAGATCTGCTTTCGCCATGGCTTTGCGAGAGTTGGTTCGCTGCCAACGTACCAGAGCTGGGATGCTCGAGAGGACTTCGTAGACATGAAGAACCTCCCATGCAAAGAGATGATGTACGAGGTTGATCATATTCAACACAGTCATTTCACGGCCGACAGCATCTCATCCTCGATCGCAAAGACTGGAAAGACATCGGTGCTGGCCAACGCGTGCGACGTGTTATTTTGCCGACCGTCTAACCTCTCCGAGAGCAAATGGTGCATCCTCAAAGAGGTGAGATGTGGTTGAGGTTCGCTTCCGGACGGGTCGACGGTCGAATTGAGGCGGAGAATCCCTGCACACAATGCGCTCAAGTTTCCGCGACCCTGGAGCGATCTGCGCAATTGGAAACATTGGGCCCTGGCGAGGGTGGGGACTGTGGGACGAACTTCCCAGTTGAGAACCACGGTTGGTGCTTTCAGCAAACAGTGGAGAGAGCATTGTGGTGTACGCGGACGATAAGTGGCATACCTACCTAGTCATGCGCTGGCCACGTCAGCTTCAGTCGTCCATTTCTGAGCAAAAGCAGCGACATGTCGAACAATCCCAGCTGAGCTGATTGGTGAACGCCGCCTCCAGTCTCGGAACGCGTGTCGTGCAACAACGCGGCTGACTTGCGACCCACCTGTAGAGGCGTAAATTTAGAAGCCTTCCACGATCAGACCTGGCGGCGTTCGTACATTGTGGTGACGGGGCGGGCCTGCGTCAATAAGGTAGCAAACCTTTGTATATAGACACTCTCGCATCTGCTGTCGCCGTTTCACCTTTTCATCCACTCTCTCGGTGTGTCATTCTGTATAACAAACGTCGAACGCGTTTTCAAGACTTCAAATCACTTTCGTTCACCATGCAGTATCAGATTCTTGCTCTCGCTTTCGCTGCCACGGCTTCCGCACAGACCGATCTGTCAGTACTACTGATCAACTTACACCTGGCGTGAACGCTTCACTAACACCTCCCAGAGCAAGTGTCGTCTCAGTCTTGGCGACAGCATTACCATCTTCGCTGATTTCCGAATACGCAACGAATTCTGCCGCAGTCGCCAGCGAGATCTCCTCGGCCTTTGACGCTGGCAACACTCCTTCATGGTTTGAAGCGCTGCCCAGTGCAGTTCAGACCTACCTCATCCCAGTCGATGATAGCGCCAACGTCACCGGCACATTATTGTCCTCTTCCTCTTCCATGGTCTCATCATCCTTGATCTCTGGCGCACCTACCGTCATCGTCAGCCCAACAGGAAACTCCACTCTCGCGACCACTCGCAGGAATCCAACTGCCACGAGGACCACCAGCAGTTCCGATAGTGAGAACACCGATAGCAGCTCCGGTGACGACTCATCAAGCAGCGATAGCAGCAGCGAAACTTCGTCGGGCGGTGCTTCTGTGCCAACTGCGATTATGGGTATGGGTTTTGCTGGTGCGGCTGGCTTGGTCGGTCTTTTGGCTTTGTAGGCGCCTTCAATTACTCTTGCTCTTGCCGACAGTTGTACGCCTGTTCATCTGCAGGCTTCGTCTACAAACAGTATTGCAGGGTGATACAGTACGTCCAGATCTGACTCGAGGAGTCTTGCGAGGAGGAATTTCGTGGGGATAGGTCGGTCGAGAAGAGAGAAGTTTTGGGCGGTCTACCGAGAGCAGGAAGTAATGCGACTAGTACATGTTGTAATGGCAGTGCAGAGACCAAAATGCTTCGCTTTGTCTTGTGCAAGGATGGGACGTTGGAGCTTGACTGAACGCTCGGGGATGGCGGAATGGAACTCTCCTCGTAGTGTGTTCATGGCCAGGCTCGTGAAGGATAAGGTACCAATGTTGTAATCACAAAAATAACCGGCCCTACGGAGAGTCATTCCTTCATGATTAATCGTGTTGTGGACGTCAAAGAGGGAAGCCCGCAGGTCGGCCATCTTCAATGTCACCGGCCCAAGCCCTTGGCCTTCTCCCGGGATTCAATGAAGGTTGAACGGCTCCACGGCAATTGAGAACTTCATTTCTACGTCACAAGACATCATCATCAAGTCGGACAGCTCGAAGGGATACTGCACCTTGATGCAATAATCAGGTCTACGTGCTCCATCATAGTCAAGGCCCACCTAAGCTTCACAATATAGCTTCACCAAAAAGTCTACTAGGTAGCTTCTCTTGCTCAATGTCTTCCCGAACACTTACATCTGCGATCTCACGAGCTTCTTCTATATCTCAACACATCGTCTCAAGAACCGGACAACTCAGAATGGCTAGCACAACCCAACTCAAGCTCAACACTGGAGCTTCAATCCCCGCCGTGGGCTTCGGAACCTGGCAGGACAAGGATGAACAGCAGGACGCTGTTCTTACTGCATTGAAGGCTGGCTACAGACATATTGATACCGTAAGTCAATGCTCTCTAAGCACACGCATCACTTCTGACCATCCAGGCTCGTATCTATGGGACCGAACCTGCTGTCGGTGCCGGTATCAAGGCATCTGGTGTACCACGATCTGAGATCTTCCTTGTGACGAAGCTCTGGAACAATAGCCACGACCCAAAGGATGTCGAGCCAGCATTGGATGCTAGCTTGAAGGACCTTGGCACCGACTATGTTGATCTCTACCTGATGCATTGGCCATCGCCTTTCAAGTCTGGCGACAACATGTTCCCCAAGGACAAGGATGGCAAGGTTGAGACCGGTACTGCTGACTACGTCGAGACTTACAAGGCTATGGAGGAGTGCTTCAAGAAGGGCAAGGCAAAGGCCATTGGTGTCAGCAACTTCTCCCAGAAGGAGATGGAACGTTTGTTGAAGGAGACCAGTGTGGTGAGTTGTGCTCATGCTTCGAGAAGCAGGTGCGGGACTAACATTTCGTGCAAAGGTCCCAGCAGCTCACCAGCTCGAGTGTCACCCATGGCTCCAACAGAAGAGTTTCGATGAGTGGCACAAGTCTAAGGGTAAGTCAACGATTGGGTGTTCTGAGCGTCCTTGAAGAAGAAGCTGCTAAACAGGATCATAGGCATTCACGTCACCCAGTACTCTCCATTTGGAAATCAGAACACTATCTACTCCAAGGGTGAAGAACTTGGAAAGCTGATGGAGGACCCTGTTCTGGTTGAGATCGGCAAGAAGCACAACAAGACTGGAGCACAGGTTGCTCTTGCTTGGGGCATTGCTCACGGTAAGTTTCCATGGAGATCGCACGCAGCGACGATATTGACCATCACGCAGGTCGATCGGTTATCCCAAAGAGCAAGACCGAGAGCAGAATCAAGGCAAACTTGGAGGGCGACTTCAAGCTGGACTCTGATGATCTCAAGAAGATCGAGTCCATTGACAAGAAGTTCAGATTCAACGACCCATCTGGTACGTTTGGCTGGGACTTCTACACGGATCTTGATGGTAAGAAGTAGATGGCAGGTGGCCACTTTCAATCTGAACAGACCTTAAGATTGAAGACTGGCATTTTTCCCGCTCGCGAAACTTGTGAAGCGCCGTGAATTGGCCTGGATCCGGACGGAAAGTAGGCGATCTGTGTCATTATCTCGACCCGGCATATTGTCCGCCATATCACCCTGACGCCCTCCAAGTACTTCACACTACGACTACAGGTTGGGATACTTTACATCTTCTGGCGCAAGAGAAGGTCGTGGTAAGTGATAGAGCTCATATTAGCAGCTGATCCCAACTAGTACCTTTATGTATGCTGCCTCAACACTGCACGCTGCCGTTACGCCGGAACAAACGAATTCAGCACGCTKCTAGCAACTACCAACCGCCCAAGAGCAAAATCTCTGTTTCTTTGTGGTGTCAAAACAGCTTCAGTCGCTTTACTTGCTCCAATCTTCTCCAAAACGAMCACCTTCTCTTCTCGTCTCCAGAACCCAAACCTCAAGTACTAATTTTCGATGGAACGACCAAAGCTAGGCCGATGAGAGCTGTACAAGGCAGCACAAGAGCAGGTGTTGAACTGGCTGACAGAGACAGCGGGATACGCTGCGGGCGGCAAGGTGACCTTGAGAGCTCAACAACTCCTCGACTTGGCGAAAGCAGTCGCGAACTCCGCCACTGCCGTCCCGCAGACAATCGTTGCGCTTCTCCAAGATGTAGGTCATGTTTTTGCCCGCGGGGATCGTTCTTCCGAGTGTATGCTAACGCAATACCTTACTGCACTGCAGGTTATTGATGGTCGCCAGTCACAGGCCAAATGGCACAGTCAACGATCAAATGCCAAGGACAACGAGTCTCACCAATGGTTCATCGAGCTGCTGATCAAAGTCCGCGATACGTTGCTGCCATCTGTCAGAAGTGGCAAACAGTCAGAGGCGAAAGTTCCAGAATCTGACGCGCAGTCCGTGAAAGATCATCTCACCAACGTCTTCTCCTTACTCGCAGTCGAGGAGCCGTCTACCGCCCCACTGGGTAAACCGCCTTCCGCAAAAGCGAAGTTGGGTCCTACCAAACACCCCAAGCTCGAAGATGACGGAATGGGTGCGGACTTTGCTCTYTGGTGCCACCTCCAAGACATGCATGACGTGCGGGAGTTCATCAAGCACGCGTGGCTCCAGTACGCTGCCGGTGAATTGAGCATTACGCTGGTGTCACAGCTTTCAGAGATTGGTCTCGGCCTCATGCGTCTCGAGGATGGGAAGTTCACCGCGAAGTATCCCGAATTCGACGACTGGTGGAAGCTGCTGTCCTACTTTGGCCTGGATGTTTACGGCAAGGGCAAGACCTTGTAAGTCATTGAGATGGTCTCACGACTGATGATTGCTTACCATGACATTCGAAGGTGTGTTGTGCCGTTAGACAAAACTTCCACATCTGAAGCTCGAAACGAAGAGCTCATCGAGCTCATCTGTCCAGCGGCGGCTGTGCTTCTGCGAGACACCCGAGAYCAGATGAAGAAGCTGGCAGAAACAGCAGAAGGTAGGAAGATGCTGCGCAAAGACAAATCACGGGATCCTCCTTCGTGTGGGATCCTCAGCCCCGAGGCCTATGACTTCAGTTCAATATTGAAGGTCCAGGCTCCTGAGCTTCTGGTATGGATCCATAACTACAAAGCCAAAGCGCAGCGTCCATCAAAACAAATTTTAGAACGAAGCGAGTGGTTGTGTGGTATGGCAGACTACTACGATGCCAAAGCCACGCCCACATGGTTGGTCATGGCTTGTGCTATCCATATTGATCTGTAAGTCAGACCGTCTAAGCATTGGCCTATCTCAAAGGTCAGCAGCCGGTCCTTCACTGCTCAGGCGGTCGCCAAGGCAATGGCTATTCGTGGTCTTGGGAGAGAGGAGGCTTTGAGACTTGAAAACGGCCAATGATTCTTTCCCATTTTCTAGGAGACTAGCTGACACTCATGCTCTTTTGTCTAGGTACGATATCATCGGCGACAAGCCTGGTGTCGCTGCAAAAGCCTGGCTTGACACCACCCAGAGAATGTACCATAGACTTGACACAACCTGCAACCACTTTGCGGATTTGGAGCATCCTTCTGCAAAATGGAGAGCAGAACTTGCACCGATCTTCAACAGACACGAAAATTGGAAGAACCAACTCTTCGTTACTCAGGAGACCATTGACTTTCAGATATCCAGAGGCCTCGATCACAACACGTCTCCTGATATGCTCGGAAAGGCAACATCCTGTATGATGGGCTCACCTTGCATTGCCGGCGCTGCTCTCTGGAGCGATCGCATGGCGTACCACAAGATCGGTATTCGCTTTGCAAACTTGGATTTGACCGTCTTTGCTTTAGCCAGCTTGTACACTGCCATCACCAAATCTGGTCTTCTCAAACCGACATGGGAAGATATGCATTTCCTGATCAGCACGCATAAGTCACATACGCCTTTGGTGCCGAAGACATCCGGTGCGTATGATGCTGAGAGCTTTCTAAAACAGTACCTCCTGTCTCTCGGTCTTCCCATCGCCCAAGCCTCAAAGTACATGTCTGCAGGTGTGCCCACGAATAAATTTGTCATGCGCAATCATCGGAGAGCCTTGGCACCTACGTCTGAGTATGTAGTGGCGATTACCGAGTCCTGGCATGCCAACGACCGTCTTGGGACCTTTGAAAGAGGCGATCTAATCCAGACAGTGTTGATGAAGCTCACGGCGAAGTCAAAGGGCCTGAAGCAAGGAAGGAAGGGAACATGGCACCAGCCGCAGTTTACCGTCAAGGAAGTTCTCTCGACTTTCAAAAGCCACATGATCGCCGACGAGCCCCATCTCAACTTCGACTATGCGGCCTTCCACTTGCTGAGCGAGAAGATCCGGCGAGATCTTCACGCACTCTTCCCAGAATGCAAAAATCGTCCTCTCGGAGTGGCACTCTGGGAAATTGTCTTCCACATCCTGAGAGACGCGATCAGTGGCCCCAAAGAGCAGTCTCTCCTCAGCAAAGCCGCAGTCATCTTGAGCGACATCATCAGCGCTCCTGGAGTTGGCAACAAGTTCTCCAAGGAGGCTCGCAATGCTTCTTCCGGAAGCATACCCAAGAATCTCGCGCCAAATATCAAGCCATACAATCCTGCGTGGACTGCCGAACTGTGGGAGTACTTTGCACGCCACCATCATGGCGTGAGCACTTTACACATGCTCGTCGCTTCATCCAGCGCTTCGCACATTACATTCTACGATCCGGATGGCAAGAAGGCAAACTTCTATCGCATTGCTGCTGCTGCTGAGCGATTTTGGCACATATGGCTCACAGGGAATATCAGAGTGAGCGAGCAGATTGAGACGCTCTATCATCGGCTGGAAGATGGCAGAACAGCTGCAGTTCCGATGCCTGCTTCGTTTAGGTCGCTGGGCTTGAGGGGCTCTGAGGGTGTTGGGATTGCTCTACTGGAGCAGTTGGACAGTCCGATGGAGATGATGGCTAATGGTGATATTGGAGCCGAGGCAGGTAGTCGATGAGATTCTCCAGATGAGGCTAGAGGATCTCTTCTCAAAGGCGAAGCAGATCATGAAAAGGAGACGCGTGGAGCGATCCAAGTGAGTGTCTTAGTAGTCCCGCAGAGGTGAAGTCGCTCGAGTGAATCATTCTAGACGGGCCAAGAGCCCTGGCCTATTTCTTCTCGATTAAGTTGACCACCTCCCTTGCTAGCCCGACAAGTGCTACACGCCGTGTGTATGAGGCGTCGTTGGCCAAGCCTCCTATCGAGTCGGTGTAGCGGATGGTCTGTACACGATCCTCAGCAGTATCAGCAAAACATCGTGGATCGTGAAGATCTGCTTGCTTGGGACGCTCTAGACTTTGACATGTCGCATCCCCCCTCCAGTGCCTTTACCGTTGCCAGTTTGATCATTGATATCTGCAGGTGTGAAGACAAAACGGTCGAGACATACGAATTGATCTTGCGCTAGATGTGCCAGAGTTGCTTCCTGACTCGCGTCGGAGTTGCGAAGCGTCAAGTGGGCTGTGGTGGAACATGATAGATTTCCTTGTGAAAATCATCGTGTCTTGCCCGTACAGTCCAATCATCTGCATAGTATCTTCGGCAAACGTCACGCCTGAAAGTCGGTCTTCATTTCCTCGATGCAACCCCGTCTATCATCATCAGTGGAGACGCTGAGAGGACGGGAGTGRGGTGGAGACTCAAAGAGAGGGGTCTGCGGCTCCCCCTTTCGGCTCGCGCGCGTTGGTCAAAACTCTGTTCCTGGCGGCTAGCTGATCTCTCGGGACGAGCCTTGAATGAGAGAGGGAGTGCCTGACGTCCAAACAACGCCTGCCCAGATGTGGGTTTTAACGCTGTCGCCGGCGAGTAATGCTGCGACGTTTCGTGCGCACAGCGGGCGTGATGTGTACGGGCTCGCGCGTACATATCATGCGCTCCCTCCATTCCCGASGCCTCATTAAAGGGACGAACCGGAGTGGACTTGCGCGAGATTGTTTCGATATCCAAGATTGGCCCAAGCGTCTACTTTGCCTGGACCGGGTCTAGCTTCTCAGGTACTGTACCTCCTTTCATCACGAACGAGGCACGAGCGCGCCGAGCGCCGAGCGGACAATTCGCTGACACCATGCCTATCACAGCGCCTTGGTGAGCTACTTGGACGCGAGTGACGACCTTCCCGCGCCCGTTTTTAGCCCGATTTGCCGCTGAGAGTGAGCTGGTCCGCTGGAGGCAACTTTTGGCTTTGCGCTGGTCAACATTGGAGATCAGATCCAGGAAGGGCCTATGAGAGGCACGCCGACATGTCCCACGCACCATCCCTACAGTCCCTGGCGGGCACTCGTCGCGAACTTGACCCATTCGAACTCCAGGCCCGTCCGCTGCAGCAGCAACAACAGCAGCGGCGACAGCCCTTCGACTACGACCAACACCACCGCCCCACCTCGCCAGCACAGCGAAGGGCAATACCGGCCTCGCTTGCGCAGATCCAAGTACCATCCTTCTCGGTCTTTCGCTCGCAGCTACCCATCWCCCCATCCGGTGCTCCACTTAAACCTGCACATCATCAAGCCCTCCAGCCTGCCAGAGCCTCGTTCTCCCGCTCCGAGAAGGCCTCGCCGCGGTTATTCGACCCTACCGCGCGACCAGTCTCCGTCGACAGTCCGCAGCTGTTACAACCACAACAATTTAGCAGTAGAGTGGCTACACAGGCTTGGGAGAGTGGATTGGAATCACCGCCGGAGAATAGGTGAGATATGGCACTATACCAACACCAGACCACATACTTACGGCTGTTAGATCTTCCTACACTAACCCGAGATCTCAACCATCCCACGATCGCAGTGCCTCGATCGACTCCCGCATAGTCAGCACGGCTGCCTCCTCGATATACAGCCAGTCGCAGCGACGGTCCAGCATACCCATTCTCTCGAGATATGCGCCAGGACGACAACAAGACCTTTACAGTACATACGACGATCGCGAACGGTTTCTCTCAAGACAGCCTGACGAACGCTACTTAATGAACACTGCGCAGCCAGCACCAACAATGACTCTGCAGCTTGACGGAATTCAACGGACTTTGACAGAGGAATCGCTATACGCAGAGTCGTTTGACTCGCAATCCAGAAGACCCAAGTCGCCTGGAGGGCTTGGGATTGGGTCTTTCTTTGGCTGGAATGCGTCTGGGAAGTCAGCGAGCGATTCACCTACAACCACCTTTTCCGAACGCTCTCTTTCGCCGCTGCCGTCGCCTGGACTAGGAATGTCTCGGTCAGGCACCGATGCGAATGGCAGACCACGGCTGACATCCCCTGGTCTGGACATGGCAAAGGCCAACATGCCCAATGCATACTTTCACAATCCAGAGACACCTCTACTTCTCGGCAATGGCCCGAACAATGTGCACGTCAGGGAGCTGGAACGCGAGCTTTCTCACGTCAGTCAGGAATTGGCCGAGTCTATTCGGAGGGAAATGGAGCTAGAAGATGAGATGGATCGCCTACGAGCTGAGCTACCTTCAATGCCTTCCTCCGATCCAAACCAGCGGAGAACCAGCGATTACTTCTCGGATAGCGGCGCGAGCTCCACTCGATTTCCCATCTCAGACTTTGACGCCAAGCTGGAACAGATGGAAAGGCAACTACGGAAAGTTGAGCAAGAAAAGGCGAATCTCCAAGTAGAGACGGCAGCCCGACTACAAACCGAGCTCGGTCGGAGGAGAGATTTAGAGGAGCTCGTTCGTGATCTTGAAGACCAACTAGATAAGCGAGGCGAGGAAGAAACGCCCGCGGAGAAGCTCGATGAGCTGACGACAAGTCTGGAAGAGACCAAGAGACGTCTAGGACAGGAGAAGATGACCAAGGAAAACTTTGAGGACCTCTACAGTGCCACCCGAGAAGAGTTGGAAAGGTTGAGGAACGAGGCAGATAACTTGCGGGATGAGGTCGTACCGCAATTGAAGGCACGGGTCGAGGGTCTGGAGTCTCAGGCCGCGGATACACAGGGTTTGGTGTACGAGAACACTCGCATGCAACAAGAGCTGGCTACACTGCGAGCAGGCAACGACGGCAATCACTCGAGATTTAACAGCATCGCTGAAGATGGTGTAGCATCTGCAATTGGCCATCGTATGAGCCTCYACAGGTCAGCGACGGGGTCTCTGACAAGGAGTACCAGTCTGCGACGGGGCGGCTCCATCAAAGATGGCCGTGAAGGAGGACGTCAGCGATCTGGTTCTATCGGACAAGGATTAGTTCCGGAGGTTTTCAAAGAAATGGAAGACCAGAGGGATGCTCTGCACAAAGCCCTCAAATTACTGATCAGACGCTACGAGAGACAGCATCGGGAGCATGAACGCGCAGTCAAGCAGCTCACCATTGCGAAGAACAAAGCCGAGGCCACCACTCCCAAACGGACCGCCTTCACCAAAGAAGTTGCCTTTTTGAAGGAAGAAGTCACGACTTTGAGGAAACGAACAGAGGACGCTCTCGAGACAAAATGGCAGTATGAGAAGAGCCTTTCTGGTCTGAAGATGGACCTGGACCGGGCGGAACAGGAGACTCGTGGATTGCGTGTCATTCTCCAAGGAGCCGACATGAGTGGTTCTGAGTCTGTAGACGCCAATGCCGAGGACGAACAGCTCAAAGTCAGCATCACCCGAGCTGAGACTGAGAGGGATCATGCACGGCAGGTCGCAGAAGACTACCGCCAACGAGCACGCACCGCGACGGATGAAAGCTCCGAAGAACTGATGGCATCCGCCAAACGTATGGACGAGCTGGCGGAGCAGTTGGAAAGCCAGGTGCAATCTCACACCGGGCTCCGCAACCGTCTGTCGGCTGCAATTGCGAAAGGTGAGCGGGAGCAGCGGGAGTCGACCCTTCAGATTGAGGAGATGCAGAAGCGTCTCGCGGGTATGGAGGACAGTGTGCTCGCAGCGCAGCAACACTCGGAGACTACGCTCGCCAATCACGACGCGGAAGTGCGCCGGATTGAAGACTCTACAACTCCCCAGCTTTCCCGACTCCGGATTTCCATCCCAGAGCCCAGTAAGCTTGGACCTCCGTCACCCATGATGAAGAGGAGCCCAAAGCTTGGTGGGAGATTGAGCGAGACGAGTCTGCTCGAGATGAGCCGCACCCAGATTCTAGAGCGCAAGGTGAAGGAGCTCGAGGCTCTCCTCCGTGAGGCCGAGGAGGATGTCCAGACTGTCGTCCAGCGCGTCAATCGAAGCCAGCTCGAAGTCGCGGAGCTGCAGACGGAGCGGGACGTCGCATTGAACCAGATGCGGAAGCTACAGGGTCTTGTCGTTCAAGAACGCCAAAAGGCCGATGCTCTGATGCAGTAATGAAGTTAGAGATGAACTGACATCTTGATGGACGAACGGCCTCCCGACATGATCTAAAAAAACCTCCTGCGCTTGGACACACAGCATGCGAGGCACATTCTTATGGCATTGAYATTTAATTCTCGCCTGATTTGCGCACTTAGCGGATGAATTCATCACTATCGACAGAACTGTAGGGCATAGATGTAGTAATGTAGGATACTAGACTGGGGACATTTATGATGATAATACTCGTCAGCCATCTCTCCATGATGTGCCGCGATCGATCCGTGAGGAATATCTGACACGTTGCAGGCTTGCATCCATGCAACGTCGAAGAGTCGCATCCACTGTCAAGAACCTTACCCTTCATATCACCACCGGGAAACGCGGGAAATCTCGCGACCAGAGCGTAAAGTGGCGAATGCCTGTTTCGTCTTTGCAACATGGAATGCTCTCACTGCGAGAGCTCCGTCGAATTGGGCGGGCCGGTGCCTGTCCCGGTGCTGTTTCAAGAGTGCAGGTGCTTACTACGAAGCGTGACGGCAGGTAGGTACTAGGTATGGTCCTTCCGTCTCTTGAATCTATCGCAGAGGCCCGTGGCACACGAGACTGTGTGCTGGTCAAATTTCGTTCTTCACCACGACTGGGATTGCACTCCGGACAGTCGTCCAGGTCATCTGCTCGTCCATTCCCTTCTCCATTCCCTTTGTCTTGGGCTCTCTTCTCTCTCTCTCTCGCTCGCTCTCTTCTCTGCTGTTCTCCAAACAGGCGCTGCGATCACACTCTTTATCTTTGTACAGTCTTTACCTGCATCACCACACAGACGCCCTCAGTCTACAAAGGCACTGAAGAGTGGCTTCTCTTCGTGTCTCCTTACACATCGCCCTGCCCTGCACGCAGACTTTCGCCGCCGGGCCTTCCAACTCATATCGAACACGCCACGACCACAACTTCACTCCAAGTCTCCGGCAACACTTCCTGAATGTGGTCGAGTGCAACACAGTCATTACCATTGTCAACATCCAGCACTATACGAGAGTCGRGAGTCGATCCTAACGTGGTCGCCATATTTGGAACAGCCTGCAGCCAGCACCCCTGCTATAACAGAACTTTAACATCCACCACGACACCTGCGACACTTCGAATTTCCACCAACGCGACGCCGTACTTGAATACGGGCTGGTCGCCGTCCTGGCATTGTTGTCTCCATGGCTGCAGACCTGGTGATAGCCGTCATCCTCGGCGTGATAATATGCGGCGCAGCATGTGCACTCGTGGTGGTGCTCTTCTGGATGTTATGGCGAAGGAAGGATTCCACCGGATCATTCTATATGGCTGCCAGGAGGTCCACCATGTTGATCGATAATGACGCTTCCGAACGTTCCTGGAAGAACAGCTCGGAGCCGGCTATCAATCGATATCAATCGAATTCGTCCGAAAAGGAGACTCACGCGTCCGGATCGCAGACACGAACTTCCTCGCAGAATGCACATCTTCGCAGTACGAGTCTTCAAAGTAGTAATCGGCCTGATGTGACTCCGTACGCTCCAAGAAGGCAGGCGTCGGATGGAAGACAGAACATGGAGATTGCTGATCCTTCGGGGATTCTGCAGCCTCATGAGTTGGAAGCATGCATCCCATCCGAACTCGATGGCGAAGCACTTGAGCCGGCACATGCGTCGCCTTGGACAGGGCGTACGTTGAATTCGGAATCCAATGCTCCGGGTTTCTTGCGCAAACTCTCGCTCAGGACAAGGAGGGCGACGAAACAGTCGCGGGATTCCGGATTTTTTGTGCCACGACCGTCGGCGTTGGGCATGAGAAGGTTGGATAGATCAGCGGTGAATGCTGAGCTGGAAGCTGTTCGAGCTTCTATGGAGGAGGAGAAGCGTATCATCAACCCATCYCCGGCCACGATCAACATTTCGCCCATGACCTCTTCATCAACTCGACATGATCCACATGGCGATCGGACACCACTGAGAGCGAGCATCTCACACGAGTCCATGGAACTTGATGCGGAATCTCCAACACGAAGAGCATCACTCTCCTCGTGGAGACAGAGCAGGGTTGATTCCTCATGGAGACAAAGCAGGGCCGATTCTTCTTGGAGGCAAAGTAGAGTCGATTCTACTTGGAGACAAAGCAGACCCGAGGTCAGAGCGCCGCCCGCTGCACATCCCGCGCGAAACTCCTCCCTCGGACCCGAGTGGTTCCCCAGATCAAGCATCAATGCCCGTCCCGACGGACTCAGTCGACATCCCTCAGAACTAAGCGGAGAATCCATCCTTCGCAGATCATCCGTTTGGATTGAAAGGGAATCCTTCCCACCAAGACTGACACAAAGTCTCGACATTCCCCGGAACAGCTTTCAGCCTTGGGTAAGACCCGTCGTAGTCATGAACAGCCCCACCGAATCCTCGGCGTACGACACTACAAACGACAGCAAAGCAAACAGCGACGACGACGACGAAGACGATGAAGCAGAAGGGGAAGAAGATGGCTCAAGAAACGCAACCGCTTCCTGGGCTCTCCCACCAATGACCCTCTACTCCCCAGCCTTGTCCCGCGACCGCTTCATCTCCCCCTTAATTTCTCCCGCAGTCTTCAGCAACGCAGATTCCTCTCCCGCATCAACTCCTCGCCTCAATGGAATTTCACCGCTTCCCTCACCATTCTTGCAAAGCAACAATAGCAGAACTTCGCCTTTACCTTCCCCATATCTCCCAGCCAAAAAGCAGAATCTCGCGAGCGCCGAATTGCTCGCGCCGACTACATATATGCCTCCACCACCAAAGGGAGCAAAGGAACCTTCTTCTACAGTCCATTATCCCAGCTGGTCGGAAATCTCGGGATTCGATTTTGTGAAACGGGAGAAGAAAGCCGCAACGGCAACGGCAATGGCAACGGCGGAGGAAGGTGATGGCGAGGATGGTGAGGGTGATGATGGGCAAGGGGATGAGGAAGGGGAAGGGCAAGGCGACGATGGATGGAAACCTGTACCAGACAGTGCGGCGGGACGATAYGAGTTGGCGACTTGAAAATGTCTTGATGGCATTATGATCTATAATGTCGAAGAATAGTAGTTCTTTATATCAGTAATTTCGCCCAACCAGTGGCATCATCTTCYTTTCCTCGCTTCAGCGGTAGTTCTTTTTTCTTTTCCCACCCGTAGGATTGATTGATTGGTGATGCCTGCGGTTACTTCTACAGCGCCCCAAATCAAGTCAGGATTCCTTTCCCTCCTTTTCAACAAGGTTCACCGGCTCTGCCATGCGAGCGGCTCTTGGCCCCATCAAACGTAACATGGAACAGGAGAGTGGACCCCACAAAGCGAAACAAAAGTATCACAATAATAGCATCATCATGGCATCAAAGTCTTTCATTCCATTTTCCGGACACTGACCGAGGCTCAGGTTACATCTTTCAGGTCGTACGATCCTAGGCACCTACTTTGACGCTTCCAGCGCCAGTAGCGAACATCAGTAAGCCAGCAGCGRCCTCCCTCCGATTCGCCTCCTCCAAAGCCATCCGACTCTTCCTCGCGGCCGCCCCTCGCTCCGCAAAGCGACTCGCGGGTCCCYCATCTACAAACTCAATACCGTGTATCATGTACGACATGCCATCATGCGTCTTCTCCCAATCTCGTGACCAGATGTGGTGCTGATGAGTGGATGTGTACTTTTCCAGAGGTGGCAGGATGAGAATGGTGATGTGGGCGTCATACCCTTCGGGGACCCTAACAGGCTTCTTGGGCCGAGCGCTCAGCGACATCACAACCTCCTCTTCACCACCATGCTCGGAGGTGTTGTCGCAATAGTCATGCAGATCTTGGTTCAGTTCTCCAAAGTCGCCCTTGATCCAGCCAGAGTGCACAGCAGCAGYGACAACATCAGAGTCGTCCGTGTAGATGTCTGTTCCCCACAGCTGCCGGCGTTTACATATCTCCTCGAGACTGTAATTCTCCTCCTCGCCGGACTCGCTCGAGGCGAGGTAGTACCGTGGTACGCGAATGGTAAAAGTCGAATTCTCTCTGCCTTCAAAGACTGGGATGGGCTTCATTCTACTGCTGAACTTGATTTTAGCATCAATGTTGGTCTCCGCTGCGGGAGCCATGGAGACTTCGGCCGTGTAAAGTTGTGAGCCGAGATGCTTTCGCGGTTTCGTCGCGCTCTCGTCTAGAACTCGCTTGCTCAATACCGTGACCGATGGCTTGCGAGGAGGCGGTATTGCTCGTGGGGTATGATGGTGATGATGTCCGACCGGGTGCGCATGATGGTGGTGATGGTGGTGCTGCGCCTGGCTGGCCGCAAGATTTGCCTGTGAGAGAGGATTCGAAGGCGCTCGCGTCACGACTTCAGGTTCGTGACGGTGATGGTGGTGATGAATCGGATGAGCTGTATGGTGGTGATGATGGTGGTGGTGCTGATGCGCAGCCTTTGCACGTTTTACTCCACGAATGTCGGGAGTGTTCCTCCCATCGGCGTCCATCTCTTCTCTTGACCTTCGCCCATTTTTCTTGCCACCCCTCGACCCTGCTTTTGAGCTGCTTCTGGTATCCTCCATCTCCATCATAACTCCTCGCATGCCCTCGACTGGTTCACCTGCCTGTCGTGCAGGGCTATTACGAGACGGCGTGTGTGTCCCATTGATCGGATGGCTTGCATGAGGTGTAGCACTTCCAGCACCAGATCCAAGACCAGAGAACATCCTGCCAAATTCCATCTTGATTCCAGGATTGTCTCCACCAGGACCTACATGTCTAGGTTGAGCTCCCTGCACCGCTTGCGGTAGTGGTGAATTGCGGCCACGACGATTCAGCTCAGGGCTTAGGTTGAGAACAGCCCTGTGAACGGAGCCTTCTCCTTCTCGGTATTGCTGCTCTCGCGGCATCATTTCCATACGCTGATGCTCTTCCTGCGTCATTGGTCGCTCAATTCCGGGCCGACCTCGCTCAATCCCGGCGTACTCGGCATGTGGTGGTGGGCTTTGACGAGACATTTGGCGGCGCATGTCCGGCGCTCGCCCTTCGATGGATTCTCTCGGCTGGTCAGGTGCCGGATGCGAGGTCGGGGGGAAGGCCGGTCTGAACAGCGATGCCTGCTCTTCACGCATGGGTGCGCCAAATGTCCCAGGCTGATATCGCATATGAGGTCCTTGCTGCGGTTGTGGAGGAGGCGGTTGCTGCACGCGATTCTCCATTTGAGGACTGTTATACGCAGCCCGCTCATGCGGGTGTGAGGTGATTCCGTTTTGGAACGGAGGCCGTTCGTGCATTTGCATCATCTCGGTTCGGGGCGGGGCTGGCGATTCTCCGTAGTGCCTCATCATGTTTGCGCGATTGTCATCTGGTCGCATCATCTCCTCCATGTGCCGCCGGGGCCCCGAAAGCTCCACAGGTTGGCTGTTCGGTCGCGTAGGCGCACCGTGTCCGTTCATGTGATGCATATGCTCCTGCGATGGGGCTTGAAAGGCTCGAAAATTATGTTGCGGCTCGCGAGGGTATGTTGGCGAACCAAGTATTCCATCTTTGCGTGGCTCGGAAGCCATTCGTCCCGACTCTCGAAATGGCCCACCTTGGGATGGACTGTAACCTTTCTGACCGCGGTCGCTCCCTTCTCGCATGCTCGAAGCCCTTGCTCTTCCAGGCGATGGCGGTTGCATCGATCTGGTGATTGGCGCTGGGGCAGCTGCAGAGCTGTGTGGTGACCCAACCGGCCGACGATCGTCGCCACCTAGCATCGCTGAAATAGACATGCCAGGGCGTTGGCTTGTGTACTCGCGGGGCCCGCCAAACGGTGCAGACGAAGGTGGACCACGCATACCTGGTCCAACATGTTGTCCCGCAGACGAGGGTGTGCTGCTGGTAGGCGAGGGAGGCGGCATGTTTCGCGTGGGAAAGGAGGGTTGTGGTGGAGGACCTGTAAGCAGTTTGGTGAGCTCTCCCCACTGTCAACACGCCGTGTCGGTATACCTACCTCCTGGGTACTGCGGTGGGCTTCCTGCTGTGCCGAGAGAGCGTCGCCGCGGATCGTCAAAAGGGTGAGACATGGCCAAGCCACTCGAAGGCGGTGGAGGGAGCCCTTGACTGTGCGATGGAGGCTGCTGTTGCGGGGGTTGGTGGTGGTGATGTGTTGGAGGCGGTGGCTGCTGAGAAAGGTTACCTGAGGAGAGTTCGTTAGCGATCTTTAGCTAAGCTGTTTGAGTTTGCGGAAGCGGCGGGCGCCAGTGGCATCGGGCCACGGTCCCGGGATTTTCGTGGCTCCCGAAATGGAGCAACAAAAGAATGGTTCAGAGGTCGAAGACTTGCGCCGCGACTCTATGGTTATTGTGTCTCACCACTCCGCACGCTCATGCCATGGCAAATGTTTCGGCTCAGTCGTTGGCCACTGACGGGCAATCGTCGGCCAGGCAGGGGGAGGCAAAACGCAAACCAGTTGTGCGCTCAGCAGACACTGTATGCTGTACACCCGCTGCCGTGCAAAAACGGACACCTGGAGGAGTGTCGCAAGTTTTGCATCGGCTGTGCGACTGGGCGCCCGCGTAGATCCCACCCAAGCGCCACCTCATCCTCGAGCTTGTGTGACCAAGTAAAACGTACCTTGTGTCGGCTGCCATGCTCTTGACGCCAGCCCCAGGCTGCCGCGTCGACTGCCACCGGGGTAGAATGGATCTCTGTTGGTTTGGAAGGGGTCGGCGAATGGTGTTATGGCCGGCGGCTGAGCGGCGGGCRGTAGGAAGGGCGATGCATGACTGGAAGGCGGCGGCGCGGTCTGGTTGTGAGCAGACTGACGATCCGGGACACGGTCGAATGGGTGGCGATCCATATTCCTGCTCGATGAGCTAGCTAGCTATCGCGTGTCGTGATGCGTTCGCAAGGTCGTTGTCGATGTCGTTGTCGATTGGGTGTCGATCGGGGCGGCAGCGCGGTTCGATCGCGTGAGGTGTGTGGCAGCCAAGGTCCATGGTGATTTTATTGACAGTCCATGATGGTCAATGTCTCGGGAGCGATAGAAACGTTGGGGCGTTGCAAATGCTTCCCGTGCCTTGTAGGAGTTGGAGGTGTCGAGGGGAGATCTGGACGAGACTTGTCGGGTGGGAGATCTCGAGGCGCTTGTCGATCGTTCCCGGGTAGGCGTAAGGTACAGGACGGGGAACCTATTCCTTGAACCCTGTGCTGACGATAAGCATCACGTTTCAAAAATCCTGCCCTGCGGCACTTGACGGTCCCTGTCACAACATCACCTACGTTGCTTGCTGCCGCATATAGCCCTGATCTGCTCTGCTCAGCATCACCTCGGGAATGCTGGCCAGCATCGCCGTGACACGCTACTGCCCATGCCTGGATCGCCCTCAGCAACATGGCGTGTGTACGTCGAGCGGCTCCGATCGGTGTTCCAAGGCGCTGATCCGCGCGTCGCCGTGGCTTTCTGGCTCTTTGGGTTGATCAACAATAGTCAGTATCGCAAGCGCACGCCAGGCGTTCCTCACGGCTTATCCCCTCGGACACAGTCTTCTACGTGATCATTCTCACCGCCGCGTTGGATCTCGTCGGTCCAAGCGTGCCGAAAGCGACGGTGCTGCTCGCGTGCATCGTCCCGGGTCTTGCGACCAAAGTCGTTGCGCCGTATGTGATTCATTGGATCCCATACTCACTGCGAGTCTTGATCTTCGCGGGATTGTCGACATGCGGTATGCTGGCAGTTGCTCTCTCGCCCAACAATACAGATGCCAGCAGCATATCGAGTAAGATTGCCGGTATCGTCCTGGCAAACATTAGCAGTGGGTTTGGAGAAGTCAGCTTCCTCGGTCTGACACACTACTATGGTCCCTTCAGTCTTGCGGCTTGGGTGAGCAGAGCTGCCGTGCTTGTGAGGGAGAACTATTTTGACACGTGACAGGGGAGCGGAACTGGTGGTGCTGGTCTCATCGGTGCTGGTAGGCTATCTACTCTGATGCATGTCCTCTCAGCTGCTAATGCTCATGGATTAGGAGCGTATGCGCTTGCCACAACACAGCTGGGCTTCAGTGTACACGCGACATTGGTATCGAGTACTKTGCTGCCGCTGGTCATGCTATTCAGCTACTTCATTTTGCTACCCCTCGGGCCTCTCCGAGGTGCACGCAAGGATGAACGTCAATATCAGTCTGTAGATACCGAGGAAGACGACTTTGATCCCTCTCAGGTTGACCCTCCCGATACAGCTGGCTTACTCGCTCGGCCTGAAGGAAGATCGGTCTCGCCTGCATACATCAACAAGCAGAGCTGGGCTAGACAAGCCTGGATAGATCTCAGAAGCAAACTGGTCCGCGCAAAAGCACTTGTCATACCGTACGTCAAAATCAGAAGTGCAAGCTTGTCTATCCTCGGGATGACCTTCAAACCTCCTTCACTTCATCATGGCACTTCTTCACATATACTAAGAGAATATGACCCTTTTTAGTTACATGGTACCGTTGTTCCTCGTTTACCTCGCTGAGTACACCATTAACCAGGGTGTGGCACCAACTCTGCTGTTTCCTCTGGCAGAATCACCATTCAAGCATTTTGTGAGTTGCTCCAACCATACCTCGACTGAGCGCAATCACTGATACCACCCAGCGAGCATTCTACCCAACCTATGGCGCGATCTATCAAGTCGGCGTCTTCATCTCTCGGTCCTCTCTTCCCTTCATTCGCATCCGCAGCCTCTACATCCCGACGTTCCTGCAAGTCCTCAATCTCGTGATTCTCGTCGCGCACGCTCTCTGGCCATTCATCCCGACTGTCTGGTTTGTGTTCGCGATCATCTTCTGGGAAGGACTGCTAGGAGGTCTGGTCTATGTATCAACCTTTGCAGCTATTCGGGAAGACATAGCCGATGATGAGAGGGAGTTCAGTCTAGGCGCTGTAACTGTCAGCGATAGTGGAGGGATCTTTCTGGCTGGACTGCTGGGCGCTTTCATGGAGACTGCTCTCTGTCRGTGGCAAGTGGACCATGGGAGAGATTGGTGTCGGTCTCTTTGAGGGCGTTGCGCTTGTTCTCTGACTGCAGTATTCACGCAACACTGCCTCAGTACCGACACCTGCTGCCGTCGAAAGTATGTGTTGCCATTTGATGACCCTTGGGGCCTTTCCAATGCGGTTCCACCACCCTGTTAGGCGGTTTTGGCATGATTCTGTCAAGTTCGCAGACAGGTGGAGATGGATCTGCGGGCCACAGTACTGCATTAGCTTCGCCTAGCGTTGACAGATCCAGATGGAAGTGAATGAAAGGACCCTGTCAGGCCAGCCAGCTTACCTACCTTAGGTCGCGTTCCCATCGCGCGGCAAGTCCATTCACATCAGGGTCTGCTGCCTACAACCAGTGCGTCGCGTCACCCGTCACGCGACTTCGGCTTTACACCTTGAGTCACTGCAAACAACAACACCTCCATCTCGCAATTGGAACATCGGCTGATCAATAACCCATCCACCTCCATCYCAAGCTCAAGCTCACGGCCATGTTCGTGTCTATCATCTCGCCGTCGGCGCTCATCAAGGAGGAAGATGATGATATGGGCGTCGAAATCATGGACTTTGAGCAGGGCGATCATGACACCAGTCCGATTGACGCAGAAACTGACACCCTACTCCCCACAAAGAAAGCCCGTCGTCTCCCAATGAGCGCTCAGCAACAGAGGGAGCGTGTATGTTCTCCCACAATTGCTTGATGGATACATCGGCCACTCCACTGACCAATTCTGCCATTCAGATCGATGAGATTGAACAAGCTCTCAAGACCTTCGAAAATACCAAGCACCCTCCACCGCGTACGACCAAGAAACGCAAGACTATCACTCCAGAACCCTCCTCGCCCATGGAGACGGATGTCGTGAACTTGGCCACGCCACCGGCTGAAGAAGCACCAGAGAAGCCGTCCAACGACACTCGGACCACTTCGAGAACTTCGAAGTCGACAAGAAAGGAAAAGGACTCTCTGCTGAACAACATACCCCCGAAGATTGTTGAATTGATGAAGACGCTGGATACCTTTGGTAGTCCATTCGAAAAGGTAGCCGTTGCCCTCTCCTGCGATCGCACCAAGCTAATGCTCCAGCCTCAAGGTCCTTTCGCGTACTGTTAAGGCTGCTCTGACCGAATTACGCCGCATGAACGATACCGAGACATTGGTCACTGAGCTGGAAGCCATCGAGCGGGAATGGAAGCTCAACAACAGGGCTTCTTTGCAGAAGGTGGAGGCCCTGCTGTCCCGCAATGGCGTGGTGGCAATCGGGGGAGTAGAGATTCCCTCCGGATCGTTATGATTTGGTAGCTTGGAGACCGGCCGGCTTGTTGGAAAACAACCCTCACACCAGAGAAGACATCTGAAGCGGGAATTGAGTCATGGACAGGGTTGGCTTTCGACAAGATGGAATCGGGACGCCTGAGTCTTCGGTGCTGAGGATGTTGTTCWAGACGCTTGCCATGAGGTGTTGCGTAATATACCACAGATAGTGGTCGTTGACGTTTAAAGTACTGAGTAAATGAATGACGATCCGGTTAACGTGTTTGCAGGTACGCTTCCGTGCGCTGTCGGCGTCCTCGTCTGTTGTCTCACGAAGCTCATCTTGTCATATTCATTCTCACGACATACTGTTAGGAGTCTACTGTCGGAAGGTCTTGGTAATGTAAGTGCTCAAAATCCTCAGAAGTAGGAGAGCTGGCTCAAGGTCACAGTGTTATAGTGGTCTTCTCCGAGACGAGTGATAAAAAAGGCCACAATCAAAATTTCCGTCGTGGGACATTCAAGCGTCGGAGTCACAGTCGATCGAAGTTGCCTTCGCTGGATGTACTAAAACGATACAAATGGACAAGGTAGGGATACCGGACGTGAAATGACCAAGCTTGGGGAAAGATCCATAAAAGCCTGCTAGGTGGCTACATGTAGGTTCCATTGTCTATTTGCGCATACATAATAGACTAACGATAAGGTCCGCACAAATGATAGCAGCGACTGAAAAAAGCATCAACTCCAACAACACTAGATCGAGCCACATAAGCTTCAGACTCGACATAATTCATGGCGCCCAATGCGTTATCAATCTCCTGCCCTGCACTGGAGGAGACGTTACCTCGCAGCACTCCGAATCGGCGTCTCCAGAAGCACCATCTTTCCAGAGACAAGCCTGGATCACCTTGGAAGAGTTCTCCGGCGGCCAAAATCTGTTTCTCGCCATCGCCAATAGGATGTTCGTTGGCTAGTAGAGCTTTTGCAAGCAAGGGACTCGCACACTTATTCATCCAATCGCTAGCAACAGCGACAGCTGCATCGGCGTCAGGCCCAGAAGGATGCTCCGTTTCAAGGGCATGCCTCAATGACCAAATCGCAAAGGGAATCCCAGGGATCAGTCCAACGCGCACTATTGCCGCAACGAAGGAATTGAGGTTCACCCATTGGTTAAGTGTGTAAGAACGCTGCTCATCGGCCTTGAAGGTCGGATCTGGTCGGTGTTAGCATTGGCTCTCTTTCTCACAATTCGCAATCTAGTTGACACTTACCAGTCAGACTATCCCTCACGACAGGACCCAGACTTGCCAGCGACTTTCTCCAGGACGCTGCAGAATCGTCCTGGGTCAATTCGGTATATTTATCTCCAGTTCCAGGCATCCCGATGCATTGCATCACGTAGAAAAGAAAGCGACGTTCTTCATTTTTAGCGCTTGGCACTTGAGCCCCGATATCAAGCATGAGATGCCAGAAATCGTCCTGGAGGGCCGCTACATTCTGGTATCCCTCATCCTGGGGATCGAGGTGAATGATGGCGATAGCAGCTTTCTGAGCACTTTTTTTTGCCCGGCGCCCGTCGGTTTGATCAACATCGACGAGCGATTTGATGAGAATGTCGATGATCTTCTTGTGTGTATCGACTGTTCTGGTGTCTCGCAGACTCTTCAAGTCATCGAGCAGACTGCTGAATAACTCCGTGTTGAAGGGGGCCGCGTCGTCGAATATCATGATAACTGCGTTTGTCGAGTTACAAATTGATGTTTCTCACTCAGAGGCTGAAGAAGGTTGAAGATAAGCTGGTGATACATATAGGTTTCTTGAAGTGAACGGCAAACAACGACCGCAAACAAAGGCCTGAATGCGAACTTTGCATGCTACATGCCGTCAAGGACCAGCACCTTCACCTCATCGCCGGATGAGGCTAGCGGAATGATCCAACCTGGAATGCACAAATGGACGAAACTCCGCCAAGCTACGTAAGAGTTCACGTTAGCGACGATTGCTTGATGCCGCAAACAAAGACCCGAATGCATACTGCATCAACTTATTCCCGGGAAGGCTAGCGAGATAATACGAGCTGTGAATGAAACCTCCCGTCAAGCTACGTAAGGGGTTCACGTTAGCGGCGATTGCTTGATGAATGACAACGGAAGCTGCTTGGCTTGGTCAAGACTTCACTTCTTTCACACACTCACGCTACGTCACTTGATTCTAAGAGATTGAGCTCGCAGAATTTTGAGATCTCGTAACGACATCCCTCTCTCTCTCACTTGCTTTGTGTCTTTGTCTCTCACAAACATCCGATCTAGCACCTGAGCTAGTCTCGTCTTCCGACACATACTCGTTAAGCAATCTCCGTTTGGGACAGTTGGTGTACACCTATACTGAGTTTGCTGCATATACATGTCTTTCCTGTTCCCAAACATAGCAAACATGGCTGAGTCGACATCTCCTGAGCAACAGCCTTCACGAAAAGGCGTACACATTCTTGCGAGACACATCACTGTAATTTCCAACGCCTCATCTCCTGATTAATAGTAATGATTACACTTCATGACATGTCTCGAACGATGGCTGAATCTGCACATACCAATCCTTCAGCTGTCGAAGAGCTATAAGGAAGAGACTCCCACCGCTCATGCAGTCTCTTTCATTCCCATTCCCATTCTTCCACATCTCTACACTCGGGCCGGTTCCCAGCATACACTTCACTTCCAGCATACAATTCGTTTCCACAATACACTTCTTCATTTTCCAGCAACCACTCGATTCCCAGCCAATAAAAAAGCATCCAAAAGAGCAGCATGTCTTCCAACTCTAGCAGCTCCCAAGACTCTCACGTAAGTTACCTTTGACCCTTTGCAGACTCTTCCCAATGGATTGCTAAGAAATGAAACAGTACTCATGCTCTAACCTGGACGACGACGACTCTTCCCGAAGAGTGAATGCCCAAAAAGCAAGAGACCAAGTACAACGCGCACCTACCATGAGAAACAAGGGAGATTCCAGATACCCTGAGCATCACAACAACTACGAGGGGCACGATTTTAAGCTGCAAGGCGTAAGTTGGTTCCAACTTCATCGATTAGATTGCTCTGTACAATAGCCCCACTAACTCTTGAACCAAGCCTCTCACCTCCTTTCCTGTCAACGACGAGGCCTGGCAACCTAGGAGTCAACCTCCTGCCACCCGAGCAATTTATAACGAGAATGATAAGGATAATATCGAGGTTGTGTACCATGACAAAAGTCAGGGGAGTACGGGTAACTTCTCTGCATTCTCCCTGGCCATATACAGGGAGAGGAAGTCTCGGGACCATGACTCGAAAGATCATTCAGAATAGACAGCTGACGACAACCGCTGGCTGGGGATTGTTGTAATCGTATTGAAGTAATAGCTCAGTGAGGATGTAATCGAGATGTTTGCTGTGAAATTGGAGTTGTCGTTGTGTTCTGAGGACTCGGTTGTTTCACTTTGTTGTAGTATTCTTCATGCCAGTCCCATCGACGAAGTCGCAACGTCAGTGAGAAACAAACATGTATTGGTTGATGCTTGCTCGCTGAGCTTTGCGAGAAAGATTCCCAACACAAGTTGTCCAGAAGCAGGCAAGCTCATTCGATTCGTCGCTGGGAGGGTTGCAATAGAATTGGTTCTAGCCTCTGTGTGTCTTGGCTCGGATCTATACTGACTGCTGCGGCTGGGAKCTAGCTAGCCTTGGTGGCTTGCTTGTGCAAGATTCAAGCGCATGAGATCAATCCTGGTGTCCCGACGATGTGTGGCTGATTTCCAATGCTGAAAGTCTTGAGGCACTTTTCCGCAAAGCAGTATTCCTGGATTCGAAACCTGAAAGACAGTCAGATGCATTCTCCGACCGGAATTCGTGTTTTCGTTGCAGCAAGGTTGAAGAGGCTGAGCTCAAACTCGTGAGTAACATACGTGTACCATGGTCTGAGCGACCTCGCTGCATGTATTGAGCGTATAAAATCCATGACGGATTGTCAGTTTTCTCCTCCTGAGCACTCGCGCATCAAAGCAATTCGTCTTGCGGGTAGAGTCGCTCACAGAACAGACCATTCAAAAGACGGAATACCATTATGGCCACCACGGTCTAGGATACCGACACCCTTTTAGGCTTCTCAAGGCGGCCAATGATATGGTGTGCTAACAACATAATCTGCAGATGACCACTGTCACCACAATTGCACATCCTTGGTCATCAGAACATGCACTCTGACGGTATGGTTCGCACTTGGGGATTGTCAAATATGATGGTCGCCTCATGGTCGTTACCGGCTGAGCAAGACGCTGCCCGTACAGCATCTCGACGCATCGGAGCGGAATTGAGCGGCCTAGAGGACGACAGCTCAGCAAGGGTTCTGTCCACTTCACTCGAGAGCRACATGTATAGGGCGTCAGCCCGCTTTTGGCCGATTCCACTCCCATGCGTGAAGAGAGGCTGTACGCTTGTAGCGATGGCTCTTCCCGGTCTTTGTGTGCTGGAACGCGGTCTATGTCGGGCTGCTATGTGTTGACGGGTTTCCTCGGTCATCTCAATGAGCAGAGGCTTGCGAAGAGTTTCTGAGTCCTCGTCACACTTGCATTGATGTGCTGTCTTTGTGTTTGATCTCAGTGCAGGATGGTAAAGGATCTGATCGGTACCATAATGTATCCTTGTGTTGGCACAGTCGCGCTTGCAAATCAAACAGGAAGTGATATCTCGTCGCAAGCCGTACGATTGATAGAGTGAATGATGAAGATGGCGCCTCCGAATGAAGTTCGGTCCACGAGAAGTCTCGAACTTGTCTATTTATAGTTAAAGCGAGCGGCCACTAGCGACCGCGGACTTCTGCCGAGCATCACAACTTTCCTCCTTGCATACACCACATCACTATGTAGTGGTGGTCGGGCCATCGTGCTTGACAAGAGAACAGCCGGGCTGCGGTCAAGTCGCTGGGTCTTGAGGGCCCATGCATACTCTCAGGTCTAGGCCAGTCCTCCGCCCTCCATCACTGATCAGCCTTGGGCCGGAATGTGGGCAGCTTCCAGTTCTCATCCATGTCGATGCGGTAACCGTACCTCGATAATACTCTTGACGAGGGCACTATAGGATTAAAGGCAAGGTCCAAATTCCACAGTACATGGTCCTACCTTCGCCTTCTGCGACTATCTTCGGGAGAACTGCACACAAAGATTCGGTGTCAGCTGCATGTTGCCTAGAGAGATGGAGCAGGACGGGCGAACAATTCGTCCGATTCTGATATGTGGATGACATACATGCGCACATCCCTGTCCACAAGTTGGACACACTCGAAGCCTCGTATTCCATCATCACTGACCTTAGTACACTGATATTACAATAGTGAAGAATAAACCCCCACGAGGATGAGGGACTTCAGCCTGGACAGTTTGCCGGATMAGACCGCCCGCCATATCCTTATCACTGGCGGTATGCTTGGGTGCTTCCACTCTCCGCAACGCAGTAGCTGAACAGTACAGGCACGACTGGTCTCGGCCGTCAAATGGTGCTAGCTTTCGCCGCTTGCAACCCTGCTTTGATAGCTTTCACCGGTCGGAACCAAGCTCGCGCCGACGATGTTATTGTAACGCTGCGGCAGAAGCACCCTCAGGTTCGCGCTGAGTTCCTACACATGGATCTCGCCTCACTTGACGCCACCAAATATGCCGTTTCTTCCTTCTGGACGAAGCTGAATGGCCGCTTGGATATCCTCGTCTGCAATGCAGGTATTATGGCGACACCATTAGGACTGAGTGTCGATGGGTATGAAATACAATTTGCTACAAACCATCTCGGACATGCCTTGCTAGTCAAGCTCCTGCTGCCAATCCTTGTTGCCACCCAAGCCCGCTTTGGAGATTCCCGCGTTGTTACGCTCACTTCGGAGGGCATGATGCTTGCGCCCAGTGGAGGCATCGTATTTGAAGATCTCAAGACGATGCAAGATTTGGGTTTTGGGGGTCGTTGGAAGCGATATGGTCAGAGCAAGCTCGCAAACGTCCTGTACGCCGCTCAATTGGCCAAGCACTACCCGAACTTGACTTCCATCGCTATTCATCCCGGCGTTGTCGGTACGGAACTAGTAGGCGGTCTTGGATTCGCCGATCGTCTTCTCGTCTACGCGACGTCGAAAGTGATCAAACCAGAAGATGGTTGCAAGAATTCGCTGTGGGGAGCAACAGCGTCGCGGGACTCGATCGATAATGGCGCCTATTACGCACCCATTGCGGAGCCTGGCAAGCGCACAAACTTCAGTCATGACGAGAAGCTGGCAGCAAAGCTTTGGGAGTGGACAGAGCAGGCGTTGCAGCCATATACCTTGGATACTTAGAAGTATGTGGCACGCTCTTGAGCGGAACGGCTACCGAGCATGTCTCTCTGCTATGCATCCTCTAGCTTTAGACTGATTGGGTGCCGTTGAGTGCCGTGTTCGACCAGCAATTTAATGGTTCACATCTTGCGCTTTTCGCACAGTGGAATGKCAATGGCTTCCATGTGCCCCGGACGAGAGAAAAACGAGTAGTAGAGTCAGAGTCAGGATGTCAGCAATTCTTGGGCGCGTACACCTCTGGAGGCAGTATAAGTTTCTGTCAGCGCGTCCTATGAGGTCGTCACGTATCTCGATCGAGTTGCGCTGAAGCGAATGGAGAAAGAAGACCTGTTGCTGATGCAACACGTCGAGTACTTTAMGTCGACGAGATAGATAACCTCCTGATACACGCACGCGAGTGCAATTTTGTAATTTCTATCAATCATGTTATGCAATAGTGTAGAAGCGATTGGAACTTGTAGTCCTCATGTCAATATTACTCCTTCTTGTTGAACGATGATAGCTTATCCATCCGCTGCCTACTTATTGTACTTGAGTTTCCACATACCTACTTAGAGCACTAGCATTTACTCGCAAGAACGCATACAAATAGAAACACTATTAAGCGTATTAACAAATCCATTACCCAACCCCAACAATAACCACCAAAAGCCAACTATCAAAAAGAAAACCATAAACGAAGAAGAGTTGTTTCCATAGCTGACGACAGAGTTAGGGTTAGGGTTTATGTAGCAACCAAACATCCACCATGCATGCATGCATGCAAAACCCGATCGCCTCATCCAATTCTCATCAACTCCCAAAAAGACAATCATTTACCCTACCTTACTCATGGAACCAAATGAAAGATTCAAAGGACGAGAACTCATAAAAATCAACGATTCAAGACACCTATAATCCATCATCATCATCATCAATGGAGGGAACATTTCGTTTCGTTTCGTATGTCGTTCCTACCTTAGGTACTGTACTTTACTTTTTAAGCTTCCTGACCAGTAAACTCTTCGAAAAAGGACACGACAAAGGTACATTTTTACTTTAACCTCGCTAACTACCTTACTCCTACCGCGGAAGCTCTTTTCTTGGCTCGTTGGCTCGTTTGTGATGTACTCACTGCGGAGTACCTACCTACCTCCCGCTTCTCGCTTGTACCGTGGACGGATCATTGGCCAGTTCTAAAGGCCGATCGCGTGCGGCGACATCCACGCATTGCAATCCCCACGATGGTGGCGGAGAACAGTGGACAGGGTGGGTCGCTCAACGAAAAAGCCCCTTGGCTCGGCGCTTGGACGCGCGGCGCCCCAGGTCATGGCGTGTGATTGAAGGACCTTCCTGATGCGGTCAATGTCAGCGGACGAGTCAGTCATGCAGGACCTAAAGAGACAGCGACTTCACGTAGGAATGAATGCAAGTGAGATGGGAGTTCCGTTGATGTTTTTTTTGAAGTGATTGATTGTATTTGACCGCCTGCTAAACAACTATCCTTTACGGATGGTTGAACTGCTAATGGATACGCTATGCAACATGATGCCAGCAATGACAGACTGCAGCCATCTTTCCTGTAATACTAAACATTACYATGACCAGTGAGTGCCATGTCTCCCCCCCGCTGGGTGCTGTGATCCCGTTACGTCGCGGGCCCAAAGACGACTGAGAGAATGTTCGTCATATGCACAATGTAAATCGTAGCCAAAACCATGTGGACAGCCGTCAAATGATAGCGCCGYCGTGAAATGTCGTTGCCCGTCTTTCAACTAGGCTCTGAAGCGAACTTCAAGAAGTGAAGTGAGCTTCTTAAAGCATGGCAACAGCGACGAGACCAGCGACACCGAAGAGACCAGCGCTGAGCTGGGAAGCGGCGCCGGAGTACTCAGCTGGGGCAGAGTAGGTGGCAGATGGGGTCATTGGCATGGTGCCGTTGCCGGTAGGAGCCTGGATCTGGCCGTCGGCGATCTGAGAGACAGGTGCGCCAGTTGGGGCCTGGATCTGACCGTCGGCGATCTGGGAGACGGGAGCGCCAGTTGGGGCCTGAATCTGGCCGTCGGCGATCTGAGAGACAGGAGAGCCGGTAGGGGCCTGGATCTGGCCATCACCAATCTGGGAGACGGGAGCGCCGGTAGGGGCCTGGATCTGACCATCACCAATCTGGGTGACGGGAGAGCCGGTAGGGGCCTGGATCTGACCATCGCCAATCTGGGTGATTGGGTTGCCGGTTGGCTNTCACCAATCTGGGTGACGGGAGAGCCGGTAGGGGCCTGGATCTGACCATCGCCAATCTGGGTGATTGGGTTGCCGGTTGGCTGCTGGATCTGACCGTCACCAATCTGGGAGACGGGAGAGCCGGTGACCTGGCCGTCGGGGATCTGGGACACGGGCATGGATGGGGTAGCACCGCCCATGGCGTTGATGACCTGGATGTAGACTGGGCTGCACTGCTCGGCGGTGGCCTCGTCGTAGAGGTTGTAGAAGGTGCCGCTCAAGCACTGGTAGAACGTGGAGTCACCACTGACGGAGAGAGAGCCGTTATTGCAGACGGAGAAGCCAGAGGTGAACTTGGCGTCAGGCTGGACGGGGTTGTCGAACTGGAACTGCTCGTTGGCGACGATGGAACCGGTGCGTCCCTGGTCGTCGGTGAGGACACCGTTCTCGAGGGTGATGGTGAGAGCCTTGGATTGACGCTGTTTCATGTGTCAGTGTTTGTACGGAAGGCGCTGCGCCGCGACGACAGCGGCGGTTCGGTGATCAGCGGAGACTCACCTTCTCGAATGCCATGCGCTTGGTTGGGGTGGTCTGGTTCACAACCTGGATCTGGAAAGTTCCTGGGTAGTTCTCAGAGCACTCGCCGGAGCTGGCCTGAGGCATTGGGTTGGCGGCGACAATGGCCGCGAGGGCGAGAGGTGCAATGGCGTAAAGCATTTTGATTGGTGATGTGGGTTTGGTGGTGATTAGAGTGGTGGTATTAGTGCTTCTGGTAATATATGCAAGTTGAAGCGTTGATGGCGGATGGAGATGTTGATGTCGACGGAAAGCGAATGTGAGTCGGATGATGGGAGAAGTGTTATTGCTCGCGGAGGGTCGGAATGATATATGGGAAGGTGGACTCCAAGCAACCCCTTGTGTGGCAGGAGAAGACCCACACAAACAACACTAATGCAACTAGCTCCGTCGCGCCCCAGTAGCAACAGCGATGAAATCTGCCCGCTAAAAGCTTAACAAAGCCCTGACCAATTGCCGCGAACGGTTGCTCTCATGAAAACAGACAGCGAGTTGATGTGCACGCGTCCGGAGCTTCGATTTCCTCGTATCTACCACTGCGACTTCCAACCTCGTCGTCACAGCTGCGCGTACTTGCTGCAAGCTTTCAATGCGTCACCTTTCATGCTCCTGCCATCAGGACAGGACATGCTCGCCTGATCATGGCCCGTCCGAGTCGCTCCTGGGATTATGCTTTGATGCACGTGCGTTTGGCCGCCAACGCTCCTGAGGTGTTCTCTCCTCGGGCCAATTGTCAAGCCTCCGATCAGGCGGGAAACGGTCTCCCGTCCCAAAATCACTCAACGCTGTAGTCTCTCGAGTAGTCTCCGGTCGTTCATGACGTTACCCGTTCTAACGTCGTTTGGATGGTACAAGATTCGATCTCACTGTACAAGGTTTCTGCAAAGGTGGCTAGCCGCTGTCCGCATGCAGCTTTGGCGCTGTGTCCACCGAGCTCAAAGAGCTCTCGGGTCGTCTTCCTGCATACAGGTGTCTCCAACCTCGCCAGCCTCTCTCTTGCGTTGTTCATCAGCTGTGTCGTATCGCAATGCTACATGCGTCCAAAGTGACTGCCGTGCCKTACCCCCAGCAACATCTGGTAACGCCTCCCCTTCGAGTCAAGATCGCACTAATTGCCCGCTTTCCAACGGTGATGCACTAGATCGCTCTTCGCCGCCGCCCCGTTTGCCACTCGAAACGACTGTGCCTGCGCAGGGCGGTTCGTCGCATGTCCCAACTTCCAACACYCAAGGCCGGTGCGCCCGTTGTGCAACCCAATTTCTCCTGCATTGCTCGCTGAATTCTATTGAAATTTGGCCAACTACTGACAATTTCCTCCACATACCCACCACGTGCGGGGATCAACACATTGGAAACACATGGTCGCAGACTCTGTTCTTGTTACAGGCCTCCTGAGTCTTGAAAAAGTCCTTGTCTCTACTCCTTCCTTTTGCGATAACAAATCCCACTTATGCACTAGCATCCCACTCACAGGACCACCGGCACCGATCTGTTGATGGGTGAGTACAGCCAAGACGGGACAACCTCAATCCGCACACGTTCAGCGTCATCGTTGCGCGGCTACATCTTTCTGGTGCTGTGCGGTGCAGATTTCTTCTGTTGGACGCCTAGGTACCGACAGAACATTGCTGCAACAGGCGACGCCACGCTCGTGTCGTGACCAATGCTATGCCATCTCCCGGCGCTACCAGTCATGCAACCTCGCGGGCACACATCTCGTTGAGGATCCTCCAATACATCTAACGAACTCTATCCAAAATTGGAAGAACGCACCATGCGATTGAGCAACGGCTCACGGCATACTCGCTTACATCTCAAAAGACTGGGATCTGACAACCACATTGCAGCCGTTTGTATAGAAGAGAGGAATGTTCCATGCCATAGCTGTTTCACATTGCTCGAATCGGAAAAGAGGCATTCCACGGTTTTTTCAATTAGGATGTTACATTCCTTGCTTCTTGGAGGAGAACGCCCAGCCGGGTATACACCTGATGAAACCCACCCATCCAAACCCACCGCCCAAATGACTCCGACATGTAATGCCAACTGGTAGACACAGCAACCGTGTACCAGACTCACAGAGCGCTATATCCTGCGCCAAATATCGCTTCCAAAATCAAAAACAGCACTCGCTGAAAACGCTTCATCATGGGCGTTGCTCATCGTCGGCATTTCCAAAGCTCAGTACCGAGGTACAGAACTCGGGACGTTGGCAGAACGACGTTGCACAGCACCGAAAATCCGATCTCCCAAACGGCTCCCGTGGAGCGACGATCTGAAACACAGGCGGGCATGCACGAAMAAGTTCGTTATTGCCCAAACGCACCCGCCTGGTGAGGTAGCTTCAAGGATCCTTCTTTGCCAACTGGTGCAATGGGTTTGATATTGCCATAAGTATCAACAATGGGAAAACGCGCACGCCGCTCCAGGTCGTCGAGGTCCATGTGACTGCGAATGTACTTGTCCTGACTGTTGTCTGGAACCTGGTAGTCCCAGCTGGTCCACTTGCCCTTCTTGAGGGCAGATTGACAGAGACGTCTCTGGCGCTGACGTCGCTTGCAGTCTTTGGTGATGGCTGGCATGTCCCACTTGGCTTTCGCCTCTGCGACAAAGGCGTCATACTGCTTCTTGATTGCCTCATCGTTGCTGGTTGCCAGATTGACCAACTCGTGAGGGTCGTCTGCTAGGTTGTACAGCTGATCTGGGTCTTCGGGGCAGGTAATGTATTTCCACGAACCCCGGCGGATCATCATCAGTGGAGCAATGGTACCCTCGCCCATGTACTCCGCGAAGACGGTATCGTGGGTGTCTTTGCCCTTCAAGTGAGGAACAATGGACACGCCATCCATTGGAAGATCCTTCTCGAGACGGGAACCGACAATGTCGACGAGAGTGGGGAGAATGTCGAGAGTGCTGACGTTCTGGGGAACGCGGTGTGGCGCCCAAAGCTTTGGGTAGCTGAAGAGCATGGGAACTCGAACCGACGACTCAAAATACGACATCTTGTACCACAACCCACGCTCGCCGAGCATGTCGCCGTGGTCTCCCGAGAAGATGATGATGGTGTTGTCAGCCAAGCCGCACTCCTTGAGGGTCTCCATGAGCTTGCCAATGTTGTCGTCAACATAGCTGACGGAGCCATAGTATGCTCGTTTGGCACGCTTAATCTGCTCGGGAGTGAAGTCATAATCCTTGAGGTCGCAGACGTGCTGGAGACGCTTGCTGTGAGGGTCAAGCTGGTCTTTGGGCATTTGGACGGTGGGCATGTCGATGTCTACATCCTCGTACATGTTCCAATACTTGTGCTCGATGGTGTATGGGTCATGAGGGTGCGTGAGAGAGACTGTCAGACAGAATGGGCGGCTGCCTTGCGGCTGGCGGACGTGATTGTAAAGGAATTGCTTGGCCCTGTACATGACCTCTTCATCGTAATCCAACTGGTTGCTCCGCACACATGGTCCGGCCTGGAGGATGGAAGAGCTGTTGTGGTACCACTCAAGACGAGTGTCCGGCTCATCCCAATTCACGGACCAACCCAAATCGGCTGGATAGATGTCTGCCGTCAGACGATACTCGTAGCCATGCAATTGGTCTCCGATGAAGTGCATTTTGCCTCCCAGGACGGTCTCGTAGCCGGCATTCCGCATGTAGTGCGCGTATGTTGGAGTGTCCTCGGGGATTGGTGATGCATTGTCATAGGCACCAATCTTGCTGGGGAGCTGTCCGGTGATCATTGCCATGCGGCTGGGTGCACACAACGGTGAGTTGCAGTATGCGGAGTCAAACACGACCGATTGTTCCGCCAGCTTGTCAAGGTTGGGAGTCTTGATTTGTGAGTTCTTGTTGTAGATTTTGAGTTGCGGTGCTGCCAGTTGATCTGCCATGATGTACAGGATGTTTGGCTGCTGGGGGAACAGCGGAGTGCTGAATCCATTCTGGCCAGCAAATCCCGCTGGTGGAGACTCTGGTGGAGAGGCAGGCAGCTGCGTGCGCAGACGCTCCATGTTATCCATGTTGTTGCGAATGTTGGAGCTGGTAAATTGAGTGTTGGTTGAGGAAAGCCTTTGGAGCAGTCCACAGCTCAGAGGGATGTTGTTATATATCTTCAATCCGGGGCTGGGCGGAAGGAGATTACTCAAGTGCAAGGACGAATTGAGAAGACGGTGATGGGATTGGTAGCAAGTCAGGATGGTTGGTAAGATGGGGAAGGAAGAAGAAAAGTGATCATGAAAGGAATGCCAGACAAATACACCGAGCACGCCTTGTCTATGCGTTTCCTCCCAAACGATCGCGTGCTTTGGTTAATGTGATCACGCAAGTTAAGCTTTTGCCGCCAGGGGGGTTGATCCGGGGTGCGTAGGCGGGGACTTGGTCGGTTTCCGGGCAGAAAAGGGAGACTTCCTCTTTAGCAGAGTGCACGAAAATTGAACTCGCCAGTTGGTTCGCGGACTTCGCTGCTGAGTTCAGGATTTGTGCGGATTGCAAGGGCGGAAGGGGTTGTTGCTGAAGCTCTTTGTTGTTCGGGTGCGCAGAAACCGTAGGTTGTTCAAATCTGCCCTTTRTGCGCTAGAGGGAGGTTGCGAGGCGTCACATGCGCACAGCTGCTAAAAAAGATTTCGCCGCCGTTTCCCAAGACTCCCGATAACATTACTCAGCGCGCTTGCTTGCTTCACCGCAGTTCTTGTGGAATCGCAAATTTGCCAAAATGGCCAATGTCCAGGACCGTGGGCCTCCGTCCGCCGCGGCCATCGCTATTGGTACGGCCATTGTCGCGGGCATTACTGGCTACTTTCTTGGCACCGCCAGGTCCATCGGCGTCTTTGGTGGGCCTCCTCCGTCCGCGCAGCAGCAGGTCGACGACCATTCCGACGACGATGACGGTGGCGACGGCAGCGATGCAGCTTCTGAAACGCACACCGATGATCTCGGCGAGTTGAAGACGTTCCCCGGCAGCACAGAGGAATGCAAGCTGGTGCTCGCCGTCAGGACAGACTTGGGCATGACCAAAGGTGGGTAGATTCTCCTCTTCGAGCAAGCTCATATCACTGCATGTGACCAGAACAGTCAAGTCTTGCTCTCTTATCATCTCTCGCTCCTACATCTGGTCCTAGATCCTGGGCCTGCAGACTGATGATCCGCTGGTAGGTAAAATGTGTGCGCAGTGCGGCCACGCCACCCTGGCCTGCTACAAGTCTTTGCTTCGCGCAGATCCAGCTCATCCTCTCTTACAACAATGGGAGACATTGGGCCAGGCCAAAGTAGCGCTCAAGGTCGATAGTGAGGACGCTATGCTGATGCTGCAGGCGCAAGCCGTCAGTCTTGGCGTATGCGCCCAAGTCATCCACGATGCCGGCCGCACACAGATTGTAAGTCTTTCTCCCCTGTAGCCTGCTTTCATTGAAGCGTGACATGGTTGGATGACCTGACTTACACGACTGCACCAGGCAAGCGGCTCAGCGACCGTGCTTGGAATCGGCCCAGCACCCAAGAGCGTTATCGACCAGATCACGGGACATCTCAAGCTGCTTTGAAAACAAAACTATCTTGACCTGCCTTGACTCTCCATCAAGGCTGCCGCATTGGAGCGGCCGGACGCTTGGGCATTCCATCTTGCGTACTTATTGTCAGCAAGGATCATCACGTCAAGCACCGAGAACGACCAACATTTGCCAGCAACGATATAGCTTGGATKGTGATGTTGGTGAAGCGAACCGCGTCCAAGATCTATGTATGCGCTGCCACGGAACCTCGTCCTGCATGTCAGCACACAATTCAATAGTCCGATCCACGAGCCCATCTTCGATCCAAGAGCCCATCTTCGGAAGAATGACCATGACAACACCCAATAGAAATACAGCCATAACAATCAGACCAATATCCTTTCAACCTTAGTCAGAAAATAGGCAGAAACATTCCGATCCATCATCCTCCAAAAGCCGTCCAAAAGCGAACCTTTTCCAATGGAACCATRAACCTCCCAACTCAAACCATCAAATTCRCCGAAAGTGGTACAGTATCTCTCTCCCTCTCTCCCCAATCGATACTCTCACGCAAACCGCCAAGAAAAAGTCTAGAACCTATCAAAAAAGCAAATCGTAACGACGACTTTGAGACCTCCTCTCAATAAACCTACCCCAAACGAGCCTAAATGCTGACGCGGTTAACACAAAACGGCCCGGATAGGTAAGACAAAAGAAAATCCACGCACCATATTTTCTCCGACGACTACCAATCGCCTAACAAGTGGTAATCAATAATATTAATAATGTAAAACTTCCTATTCTTCCTCGGAGGAGGCGATGCGATGCGGCTCGATCCTACCCTGCATAGAAGAATCAATCACACACCAGATTTGGGAAAGTTTCCTTTTTTGGACGACACAATGACGGCCGCCTTCTCACCGCTTGACGCGTGGCGGAAGGGTCTGTCTGACCAATACATTGATTCTTGCTGAGTTGAAACTATTGATTTTCTCTTGGTTGAATCGAATCGAATCGAATCGAATCGAATTGGATTGAATCGAATTGAATGTATGCATGCGTCGTCGTTTGACGCGCGGCGAGATGGGTTGTTTAGTCTAGAGTTGGGCAGGGCATCCATGCATGTGAAGAATTCCAAGTGTGGAATCCGATTGATACGTGCGTGAAATATCGTGACCTTTGTTTGTACTCTCATGTTGCATACATGCTGCATCAAGTGAATGTAATGTAGAATGCAATCAAAGTTGTCGTATCGTAGGGTAAAAGAACTTTTTTTCTATATAGAATGGAAAGTATGTACTGGGGATATCTAAAGTTTGAAGCCTGTGGAGCTCCAGTGTCCATCAACGGTTTGTCCTTTGTTGAGTTAAAACCGTATCTCCATCGTTTGATCGTAGCGGTCATGTCCATTTCGACGGCGGCAGCGGCACAGCGCGCTCGTCCGGGAGGGAGGGAGGGATAGTAAAGATGACGGATTTTTGGTGGCGAAACAGGTCTATGTTCGCGCGGCAAAACGAGACGACTTCGTTTCGAACGAATGGCCGAAAGCTTCTTTTTCTTTTCCTGGGGGGGTGGTGGTATCATGCAAAGGGTAATGCCTGAATATGATTCGCTGCCGGCGCGAATGAGTGGAGCGTCCAGCCAGCTCGTTAGAATTGAAGAAGTCGTGAGTGTAAAAGGGAAATGGATGCTACAGCAGCATCTAGGCGTGCTGGTGAGCGCCGCGAGGGTGGTGCTGATGCCTCTTGACGTACTGGGTCGCGGTGGCGATCTCAGTAACGACTTGGGTGATGGTAACAGCGCCGCCGCCGTATGCGGGTGCAACGGTAGTCTTGGTCGCAAAGGTGGTGGCGGTAGGTGATGGACCATCGAAGTTGTAGACTGGAGCCCAAACAGCGCTGGAGGAGGATGGTGATGGGCCGTCGAAGTTGTAGACTGGAGCCCAAACCGCGCTGGTGGAGGATGGTGCAGCGTGGCTGGCTGGCGCGACTTGAGAAGATGCAGGGGCGTAGCTTGCTGGGGAGTCGACAGAAGATGCAGAGGAGTAGCCTGCCGGGGAGTCATCACCGGCCTCGCCAGAGCAGAGGGTGACGGTGATGGAATCCGAAGCCGCGCAGGACTGCATGCCATAGGCATCATCAGTCGCGTATCGGTAGGCCTGCTGCTTGGGGTTGCAAGAGTCGCTGTCCGAGGTGATTTCCCAGTTACCGTCCCATGGGTTGCCGTCCACACAGCTCAGGTCGTACCAGATCATGTTGTCGTTCTGGTAGGTGTACTCGTACTGCAAGATGTTGCCGCCGAATGCGCCTTCGGTCTTGGAGAGCTTGATGGACCAGCCAGCGCCATTGGACAAGGAAGTGTACTGCTGGTCCCAGGATTCGCCAGGCTGGAGAGTCTTGTCGACAGTCTGTTGCCCGCCGCCACTGGCGGGGGTCTCGCACATGAAGACTTCATAGGAGCACTTGTTGACAACGTGCGCGCGACCAAGGGCGGAGACCGAGGCGCCGAAGAGGGCAAGCGATGTAAGAGCTGCGTTAACCATGGCTGCGGTTGAAGTCGTTTGGGTGGATGTAAAAGTTGACTGTCCTGCAGGTAGAGCGATAAAAGCAACTATCTGGAGATCCCAATCGTTCGTAGAGACAGTGTACTAAGCAGTAAAAGAGTGATGACCGCAAAGGAATCGTGAAGCGTTCAGCGCGTCCGTAGGGATGAAAAGAGATCGTGGTAGTCAGATCCAAGGGAGGGTGCGCGGCAGTCCCTCTTCTTTAACCATCCCGCAAACTCTGTTGCCAGGTTGAGCGCTGCTTTGCAACAATAGTGGGTCCGATTTGATATGTCAGTGACCTCTTAGGAGTCGGTGCTGACGGCGGCAATTCCTGAGGTCTGAGTTTTCGGGTGGGATTATCCCTGCGATGGGAGTACCCTAAGAAACGATCCGTCGTTCTTGATTCGTTAGCTGCCATGGCGATTTGGCCGTTCCTGCAGATGCAACCAGTAATCAGAAATTTCTCCTTTTAGCGGCCTCGGGCCACGAGGCACAAGATTTGCTGGGCAGGTCCAATCGCGGACGATCGACCGTTGCCGAGTCTCGGTTAGGAGCTTATTCGCCTGAAATATTATCTGCGATGCGACAGACTTTGCGATTTCTGTTCCATGAGCCGGTGCGACTTTTTTGCATGTGCGTCTTGCCGTGGGCAACATCCGCGCAGAGAAATTCCGGCCTCGAGGTTGCCGGGCGCCACATTTCAGCCTTGCGCGTGTACTTAACAAGGGTACAAGGGTACGGCATGCGGCGAGAAAGAAGCGCAACGGTCGAGGCAAACTCGGGAGGTTGCATACTCTGCACACTCATCCGACCCCAATTGGCGTTGTAGCAATGGCTAAGTGGAATCGCAACCGGGTTGTCTTTTGCCATCGCACGTAAGCTCGCCGCATGCGAAGTAAGGCGAGTACGAAAATGGAAGGACGGCTGAACGGAGGGCAGCGGCCGCGGCCGCGAAATGATTTCTGCAGGATGTCGTGTGCCTAGACGTGGATGACCATTGTGGATTGTGAAAAGTGGGAAATGTTGAGAGCGCACACAGCACCGAGGCCTTCACATGCTGCCCAGTCGGCGGCGGATTCCACCTGCTGCCCAATCGGTGCCGAACGCAGTGCCATTCATCATCAATCATCAGAGGCTCAAACAAGGCATTGTTCTGTGGGTTCTGTTGGTGTAACATCTTTGCTCGCTATCCCGGCTGTGACAGGTGATGATCGATCAACCCGGTTGTATGGGCTCGTGCTGGCCACGTTCGCGTCAAAGTCGTGAAACCGTGGCACAAAGTGTTGGTTCCTGTACAGGCGACCGAGGGGGCGTGGACATGTGTCAACGTTACACGACATGCCGAACAACTCGCGAAGAGAATGGATGCTCTTGGTTAATATGTGCTGGCTGCATGTACCTGCAGCGTTCGTTTCAGAACGACAAAAGTTGTCAGTTGGCTGATTATGTGCGTCTGCTGTGTATAACAGCCCTGGGCAGGCTGAATCGCTTGCGGATCGGCCATGGTGCAACAGATCGTCGAGCGGTGCTTAGACATGACCTTGTTAGTATCGTCTTTTTGTGTGTACGTCTGTTCTGCGCAAACGTTGTACTGTTGTGCCGCAGCAAGGTTTCGCAACGGATCGGAGGTGCATGCAAAGCCGAACTTTGGTCCCGAAAGCGAGTGAACTCCGCTGCAAAGTAGTCAACACGGCGCTGACTGCAGTCGTCTTCTTTCGAGAGGGCAGTCAGCTTTCAGGATTGTCAATTCATCCAATTTGCGGATCACTTCCGGACGGCCTTGCGGAGGAAGAATCCAAGATGTCGACGTGCTCTAGTCCGAGGTTCCGCGGAAGGATGCGCTCAGCCACAATGACTCCTTTCACACGCGACCTTTCCATTCGTCTGCTCACACCCACTGTCAAGAAAGCGAGCCATCACACCGTGAAGAATGGAGACACCAGAAGAGCAGCCAGAAGACGGTGTCATTGTACATTTGAGCGATGGTGTTGCTGTTAGGGCGCTCGTACGTTCATCAACTGTCCATATAAACGTGTGAGATGATTGCACATATCCCTGACACGCGTTGTCTAGAGACATGGCGACATTGCATCGCTTTCCAGGCATGCGAGTAGCAGAAACGTCTGGTTGAACTTGAGAGATCGTTTCCCACATCCATATACCGAGGTAGATCTCAGTTGTGAGAGCGCAAGATTCGGGCTGGCAGATGTTGACCTTTCCGTAGAGCGACGCTCAGATGTGGATCGAGCGAGTTTCTGCTCCCGAAAATCAGATGCGTTCGGGAGTGTATTTGGCAGCTGGCGGGAACGGACCATTGCTCCCTGCTCATTATGCCATTACCGTCGAGGACGAATGCGTTGGGGGTATAGGCATCGACTTTGGCTCAGGTACGTCACGTCGACATGGCATCTTGCCGGCTGGCTGCTGATTTCGAGTGTGTGTAGACATCTACTTTCGCACTGGCGAGATTGGGTATTGGCTCTCTGAGGACCACTGGGGAAAAGGTGTGAGTAAACTCAATGTTAACTGGCGACCAGAGCGCAAATCTCCAATCCTCGCGCTGTGTTGCATTCCTAGAGTCTTCTCAAGGAGGATATGTCATGCTCACAGGATTTTTTTGCGGGTGAAAATGATTGCGTCTGCTGAAGAAAATGGGCTAGAGATCGAGACCGTCTGCTCTACCCTTATTTCTGGGACATTGCTGACATTTGTTTCTTCATCACTAGATCATGGGAAAGGTAGTCCCAGCATTTGTACAGTGGACTTGGAAGGCTTTCGGCATCCTAATCAGGCTGAATGGAAGTTGCAACGAGGGGAACACGGGGTCTGCCAGGTGCTTGGAGAAGGCCGGGTTCGTGTTTGAAGGCCGCCGTGAGGCAATGAGTTGCAAGTGTGGCCAGGTGCAAGCTGAACTCATGTACGGAGCGCTTCGACCGGAGTGAAAACATCTGCTCGAAACTTCAGTCTTGATGAGCCACGGGGTCGAATAGCTGTGCGCTCGTGGAGTCAGTTGTCCAGGGGTGTTAGCTATGACATGATTAAAGACTCGATGACAACTTCCACCAATCTTTTAGTTGATGTCCGTCTTGATGGCGTCGAAAGACTGTAGGAATTGTAGGCCAAGAAACGCTTGTACAGCATGTCGACCGAGCCGATTGAATTTCCTAAAATACAGGGCCATGTCAAACAAAGTCGCCGATTCAGGTGACAAGCAGGCGCAGTCAAGACGAACGTGTGCAGGAAATGTATCGCGAGGCTGTACTTGAAGGGCCGTCAAGCGTGGTATGGCCACTCTAGACGTAATTGGCTGTAAAACAAGACGGGGTTCGAACGGATAGTACCTAGGTAAGCAGTGGAAGGAGTGTCTTCGAGTTATCAGTCAATAATAATGTGCCAACATACAACCTCTGGCCCGCAGATTCTCTCGGCCAAGTTCAGAGAGGGATGGCTGAACATGTGAAAACAGTGCTGGCGTCTGGTGCTCCACTCTTCCTCGAGTATGATCTCACGATGCGTAAATGACTGAAACGCTCAAGGACATGGCGAAGAACATCAATATGTTGTCGGCGGATGATGGCGGAAGGAGAGGTCGAAGCGGAGAGTTCGAAATAACGCATCACGCGCTTTCCAAAAAGAAAGGACGTGATGATTTGAACAGGGCACCCGCGTAGTTATTTCTTGGCTGACGTCATGCAAATCAGCACTGCACTGATGTGTTCGGTCTCTTTGCTCGTACAGGCGTAGAACCGCCAGTGGGCCCCATACGCTTCTTGTGCCTTTACGGCCGTGATATGCACGCGGTATTCACATTTCTCCGAGAGAGCGGTCTTCATGCCGCTCATATCAGGCGCAACGACCTCCTCTTGCATTGCTTGCTCTCCGGCGCATGATGTTGCTACCCCCGCTTTCTCCCAACTTCATCCACCGCCGTGTCCACCAGAAGCGGCAGCGACAAGCCTCCGGATCCGGTGTAGGCCAGCGTCTCCTCCATTTCGAAATGCCCGTTTCGTTCATGAAGACAAGTGTGACGCTTCGCATGACGGCGGCCGATCCACGAAAGTTGGCAGCGGAGGTGTGATGGCATCTGCTCCCTACTCCCTACTTAGGTGGCATCGCATCACAGACATTGCCTCCAAGACCATGTCTCACAAGAATCTGATGACCTCAAGCATCTAGTTTGCCGCCTAGAATGGCATTCGGACTTCAATTCTTGGTCTATGACGCGAGACCATTCCTGATATGATCGAGGCAATGCCAACGTCCATTGCTGCCGTCGTTGCACGTGTTTCAATTGCTTCTCTGGAGAGGTCTGCGGGTATACTCCTTGGAGGCAACACGACTTCGCCCTGGAATTAACCTCCACAAGGGCGCCAATAAGCTGTGCTCAGTCGAAAGCTTCCCAGCGCCATGCCATTCACTGAGACCACACTACTGGGATGTGCCATGCCGGTGGCGTTTTTTCATGGCAAGAAGAGACGGCATGCATAGCGCATGTTTTGCTCTACACACTGCCTCAATATCAACACTGGTCTCGGAGAATGCCACGATTTGCCACGGGAGATGCAAACAAGGCGTGCCATGATCTTCCCTATCCAGACAGAGGAGACAGGAGCATGAGCAGCGAGCTGTAGTCGACTTCTTGGACTGCTGACGATCTTCTGCCATCTCCGGTAACTGCAAGAAGCAGAGTTTACAATTCAGCCCGGTGTGCTCACCGGCTGAGGCACAGAYGCGCGCGTCACAGCCTCGTGCACGCCTTGTGTTCCAATTGCCACGATAGCCGGCTTTGCTGCTGCTGCTCATGCAAATGAAGAACGCTTGCAAGCATACTTCACAGGACTTGCTCGGGGAATCTGCCCATAGACTCCTCGTCGAGACAAGTGAGCTTTTCGCGGCGAGCCAGGGTCCCCCGAGGTATTGTTCACAGCTCGTACCCGTCATGACTACGATAGAAAAACGAGAGAAATGCCACATGCGACCCGATCACCTGCCCAAACAAGAGCATTTACCGAACTCAGCCATCGTGGAATCGCACGAGATACGAGGGATCGCGTGCCCTTGCAAGATGCGGCCGAGGAACTTGAACCCCGCTTCGCTCCGAGGAAAATTTGAGTTGTGTCGATCGCTGTCAAGGAGCCACTTTCTTCCTGATCAAGTAAGATATCAATGCGATCTACAACGCGGAAGGAAATCGAAGGATTCCACCATCTCAAGGTCCGAACAAATGCAACGCCTGTGATTGGAGAACTATGACCCCATCTTCGATTGAAGGCGGTTAGGTCGGCCATGTCCGCCATACTCCGCCGCTATGATGATGTCGATTGGCTGTGAGTCTTTGGACGGACCAGACATCTACTCTTGCGCGGAACAGGAGGAACTTGCAAGACTAGCCTCGGGGTGTGAAGCATGTACAGTACGTGCACTGGTTTAACTGGCTTGCCCGTATACAAGTCTGCACCTGTGCGTAAGGCGCTATCGAGAGTTGCGAAGCCATGATGCCGCTTGTCGTCAAGGACTTGCCCCCGGACGAATGTTGAAGCTGATCCTCGAACTCGTGTGGGAGGGAAGGTGTTGGCGGAGGTACCTGTAAACCTCACATATATAAACGTTTCCATCAGCCCTATCTTTACAACGTACGCACMCAGCAACTCACGCGGCACTCACCCTCAAACCACTCCACAGGCCTACCATGAAGTTCTCCACGACGCAAGCCCWCCTGGGCGCGTTGCCCCTGGCAGCCGCCTTCCCAGCGCAGGTGAGTTGAGGAATGATGGTCCTTGAGATTGTTGCTGACTCTCTACAGATGCTGCAGGAGCTCCAGAACAACCCAAAGCTTGCTGCTCGTGCAAATGAGCTCATGGCGAGCAAGCGTCAGACCGGAGCCGATGCCGCGACTGCCCTCTTCGAAGCCGTTCCTACTTTCAACAGCGAGGCGCAGTATATCGATGTTAGCGAGGGAAGCGGACACGAGTTCGTTCCTCCAGGCCCAAACGATCTTCGTGGAGTCTGCCCTGGTTTGGTATGTTCTTCCAACATGTCAACCTCTGTCAAGAAGCCTTACTAATTTGGTTGCTATCATTTAGAACGCCTTCGCCAACCACAACTTCCTCCCACACAATGGCTATGCGACCGTCCAGCAGTACATCGACGTCACCGAGCAGGTCGTGGGTATGGGAGCTGACCTTTCCGCCTTCCTGGCCATTCTGGGAGGACTTCTTGACGGCGATCTCGTTTCCTGGTCCATGGGCGGAACCCCACCTCCAGGTGTCGGTGGCCCACTTGCTTCCGCTGGAACTGGTCTCATCGGCTCTCACAACAAGTACGAGAACGATGTCTCTCCAACCCGACCTGACTTGTACGAGTCCGGAAACAACTACATGACGGATGCTGCAGCCTTCCAGAAGTTGATTGATGTTTCCCCCGCTGGTGTCGTCACTCTGGACAGCTTGACCCAGCACCGATCGAACCGTTTCGACAGGTCGGTTGCCAACAACCCGTACTTCTTCAACGCACCCTTCCCAGGTCTTCTCGTCCAGTCCGCGGCTTTCACCTTCATCTACCGATTCATGGCAAACCACTCCGAGTCTGACCCAATTGGTGTTTTGTCTTATGACACCATCAAGAGCTGGTTCGGTATTGAGGGACGCAACGGCCACTACAAGGCGCGTCAAGGATATGAGCGCATCCCGGACAACTGGTGGAGACGCTCTACCACTGCTCCCTACACCATCCCATACTTCCTTGCGGACACTGTTGTGGCTGCTGGACTTCACCCCAAGTTCCTCGATGTCGGCGGGTGAGTTTAAATGTAATTCCCATATCAAAAACATCAGCTAACAAGAACATAGTAACCTCGACGGCAAGACCAACAACTTTGCTGGAGTGAACATCACAAGTTTGACAAATGGCGTGTTCAACGGCGCCGACCTCCTCAAGGGCAACAACTTGGGATGCTTCGGTTTCCAGACCGTCGCTCAGCTCAAGGGTGATCAGATCCAGCCTGTGGTCAATGGTATTCAGAACCTCTTGGGATCTGTGATTCCTCAGCTCGGATGCCCTCAGCTTAACGCTATTGATGAGTCGCAGTTGAGAATGTTCCCAGGTTACAAGAGGGGTAGCGCTACCGGCATTACCAACTAGACTATACACTTTATGATGGATTAATGTGCCCAAGATTCGGCATGATGATGATATGGGTTCTTGTAGATATTTGATCAAACTTGGTTTCAAGCTACGAGCTTGTTCTTCCAAACATGCATCAGAATCAATTCTCCTGACCTCTGTTCCTGTCAACAGTCACTAATGATGCCCAACGATCATTGTGAATCATAGATGGATGATCGATTCCTCGAAAAGAAGCTGCAAAGGGTCCGGTCCGGCAATCTTTCGAAGTGAACATGTTTCGTAGGTAGCTCCGCGGAATCAACTTCCCCGATGCCCTGCAGTGCTTGTCTCAGAACGGCAGATCGGGGCAGAAGAACATGATCAGGGCAAATGGGTTGGTTTCGTTTGTCCCCGATCGTCTCGATGGTCTATAACAACCTGGAGTCCCCGCCCAACGATCGGTCTTCGATAAGCGTTCACGAAGATGAGACTTGATGTGGTGGTGGAGGTGATGTGCTAACTTACGTCGATCACAAGATATCCACCCCAATCTGTTGATCCAACCCTAACCCTAAGGAAACAGTGAAACTCGGCGACATGGATGTACGTAGGAGTTCGCATTGCGTTCCCAATCCCGTCACCAGCTTTCAACAAGGTCTCCAGCATCAATCGGGCCTACCACCGTGCCGGGTCGATGATCTGCCCGACATGCAGCATACCATCTCCAAGCGAGCAGGTTCAGCTCCACTTGGTAGGATCAGCCGTACATCACGCAATCGCCATTGCTGCACCCCGTCGATAATGTGAAGATTGCACCGCGATATCCTTTCACTTTGATACTCCCCAACCTTGCATTCTCGGCGAACAGGTGACGCAACAGAGCCGCCGGGGAGGTCGACCCGTAAAGCTTGCATAGCACCATGGCACCTCTGTATGTCGCTCCGTCAAGATAGGTGTCCTGCTCTTCCAAACTCATCGAATAATTATCGCCAGACCTTGCTCACCAGTCTCCAATTCCACGGCTTCGGAGACATCGTCGGAACAGGAACAGTCTAGTCTGCGGGACTTCGACTCGGCGAACGACATCACCCCGCGACCAAGTCGATTCCATCCCGCAAAGGACACCCCGGTTCCACTGTCATGTCCAGCTGTTCCATCTGACTCGTTCTTTCCCGCTGAACAGCCAGTAAGGGATACAGACGTAACAGGACGTCGGCGGAATCCATCCACCTACGGCATCCTTCCGGGCGCTGGCGGGAAGAGGGAGCAGAAACAGCAGCAGCGGCGGTCGGTGAGCTTCCTCACCCACGCGCAGACGGAAACACCGACGACTGCTTCTTCGGAGGACAGCAGCAGCGACAATACCAACAGCGACGAGGCGCGCGCATTAGTCATGGACGTAAATAAGGCGATTTCGCGCAATTCGTCCAGTGGCAGCCCGCGCCGTGGTCTCGCCAACGGGCGTGGTCGGGGAGCGGATCACGAAGCCGGAGAGAGCAGCGCAGATGAGCAAACCGCGATTGTGCGACGCCGAAGCACCTCGCACCAGGCAAACTACGGCGCCGTGCCCGTTGACGAGGCGGATACTCATCAGCGCGACCAGGAAGTGCCGCAAGAACGCCCTTCCCGGCCGCGAAAAGTCAAGTCCAGTCTCAGGACCAGCAATAATCGCAATGGCAGGCGTCCAGGCCGAAATCAGCATGACTCTCCTCCCGCCACTGAACGCAACGGTCATGACAGTAATGGCTGGTTCAAAGGTTTGATTGAGAAGTATGGGACTGTCGAATTGGAAAATAAGGGATCCGTCGCCAGAGACCATCTCGCGCTTGGTGGGTTTCGTCTTCTTCTTCAAACATACTTTCGTCGCGCCTGTGCTGTTGGTAATCGCAACTGACTCTCCTCCCCTACCTAGAGAGAACCTTTCTTGCCTGGCTCCGAACGTAAGTCCTTCCTCCTCCACGGGTGACGATGATGCCATCTTCACCTTTGCATCCTGACTATTCACACCAACTCACACGACATTAGCTCGCTATCGTTCGCCTCTATTGGTATTGCTGTAACGCAACTCTTCCGCCTCAACACATCCATTGCGTCGCATCCCGATTCCGATCAAAGTACACCCGTTGTTGCAGGGAGTAGACTACGTTCAGTCGGCAAGCCACTCGGTGCTACCTTTCTTGGAATCTGYACGTTCTTCTTAATGAAATTCTGAATGCTTGCTARGAATTGCCAGCGATCCTCATTCTGCTGCTCGGCTTCCATCGTTATTTCGAAAGCCAACACTACGTTATCCGCGGAAAGTTTCCAGCGTCGCGAGGCACCATCATCGTCGTCTCGGCCGTTGCAGCCGCATTGATAGTCACAAGCTTGGTCGTGGTGGTTGTGGTCGCTCCCGAGGCTTTTGAGAAATGACGAGATACGACACCATGGATTCTCCATCTTCGGTGTACTCTCAAACAACTAATGGAGGTACTCCTCGGAGTAACGACAGCAGTCCTCGATCTCCCGCCGACAGCCTCCGGTCCTATGCTGATACCCCTCGATCAGCTCGCGAAAGCCCCCATCAAAAGCAGTGGCAGTTGATGCAATTATCACGACTTACCTCACGCAACTCTCAAGAATTCGCAAAACTTCGAGCGGAGCTTCACGAGCTTTCCGACCGTGTGGACGCAATAGACTCCCCGCGACTGCTCTCTCAAGGCAGATTCAATCCAAAATCTGATGAATTTGCGGTCCCTTCTGCCATGAGAACCCTACAGGTCAATCCGTTATTCAATACACCTACCCGTCCGCCTCGATCATCGTCTCTACCAACTGGAGTACTTTACTCTCCCACCACAGGTCCTCAAACAATAGGAAGGGTCCAACGACTCGCGATGCAGCGAGGATTGCAACCATTACGGACTTCGGAGGATGGTGTCGCCTCCTTGCAATCCAGAATTCCAAGGTTACGTCAGCCCGTCATCCTCCCTTCTCTGACGAACGAATAGGTTTCGAATTCGATGCAATCACCGCCTTTACCGGGCCAAGGTCTCGTGAATGCAGGACCTGAAGATGGAAGCCCCACATCGGACATGTCCATCCCAACGCCAACGTTGATGTGTGGTGGATCCAGCAATCCAGAAGAGCCCAGGGTTAACGGCATCCTGCAGCCTCAATCGGATATGCCCATCTCAAGGCTAAGGTATCTGTATGGACCCGGCGGCACTTCTACAGACCAAATTTCCGCGTCTTCCTTCCCTGCAGATCAGATGCGCCAAGATTACCATTCAGGTGGTCGAGGGGGGGTTAGATTCTCGAGGGACGAGCTTCTCGAAGTCCGAAGGAGGGTACTACAAACAACAGGCAGAGAAAGAACACTTGCTGAACCAGAAACTCCAACTTCGATTAGGATCTTGCGACATGGCGAAGCTCAGTCTCGCTTTGAAAGTGCAAGCTCTTCCGAAACTCCAGATGGGCAACAAGAGGACGAATACATGACTGCTGTCATGGACCTGGCCTGTGATGCTGAAATACCAGCTGCATCTCCTTCAAGCACGGATGATGATTTACCGACTTCAAGCACGGGACATCCCAGCAGCCGATTGCTGCGTATCGCACGACCTGATGCACTGGTGGTGACATACAGGTATTGCGGCGATGACAAGATAATCTTCGATTGGACCGATGCGCCCCGCCATGAGGATGTTTTCGTGGGCGACTATGGAAGTCGTCTGGAGGATGTGATTCGTGTTCCCGACAGCGGTCGCCTCAAGATTGAAACCGAGTATTACCTCGTCACGTTCGAGATTGCGGTTGCGCGTCGTAAGTCTATCCGCGCAAGAAAGAGAGTAAGCGCGCTGACATTTCGAACTTTTAGACGCAGGGATYCTTTCCGATACGGCAGCTGGRATTCTGTGGAATGAATACGTTGAATGGTATCATGAAGAACTGCAGATGGAGCTGTGAGACACTGAGGATAAGGTGTTGTGGAAGCGTCGAGAGCCTTTTTTAGGAGGGAGCCTTCATTTGTTGCACCTCTTTGAAATGTCAGAGTGGAGTGACTGGGGAATGGAGTGTTGTTCTTACTATGCTCGTCTTCGTTACATTCGTGCTAAACTCGAAATTGTATAGAAGTTGCGTTGCATTTCGATGCAAATAGACAATGTACAACGTATTGCCGCATCGGAGTAAAACTACCTACCAGTACCAAACCAACAAGGCAAGAGCCAGGGGTGGCAATCTCAATCTTCGCAACTATCTTCCTTGGTAGGTAATTGGTGTATGTATGTACTGAGGATTTTCGAAGAGTTCCCCTATTTGTGGTAATAAAGCGTTGGGATGAGGTGTTCGGAGATCTGCTCTGATGCGACAACACGACCATGGGCCGTAGGATGAAGTTCTAATGATCCATTCACCTCCGCCAAGTCGGCTAGAACTAGGGTCGGTGCCGCTCTCCCGCCCGCTGGCCATCTATATATTTACCTTATATGAGCTTCTTCCTCTCTCGTGGCAGATGGCGATGACGATTCCTCCTCTAATTGAACAACAGAGCCTGGGCAGATTATGAACATGGCGACGTTATCTGCGAGGCAAGCCTCCGCGTCCGCCTCCGAGAGTGGCGGTACTGCTGTCCAACCGACCGAGTCTGAAGCCGCGCATTTCAATCGGATAGTAATGAAGAAGCTGCAAAAGGMCATGGATGCGGATCCAGAGATAGACTTGAGCTCCAAGCTGCCGCGAAACTATTCCTCACGATTAGCTGATCGGAAGAGCCAAGGTTCGTGGAGTAGACATGCTCGTGGGCATTTCTTGAACCTGTAGACTAATAGAGTAAAGACAACCAACAGGCTGAAGGCCTGCCCTCTAAACTTATTAAGCGCGAAGAGCAGGAATTCGAGTTTCCTCCAGACGACGTCCGTAATAAGCTGGTAGGCATTACTGCAGCAAATATCGTCTTCCCTTTGGCGGAATCCGTCCAGAACATCCTCCACAGTGACTCTTCCAATCTGCATCTAGCGGATGATTTACACGCTCTCATCAGACGCAGCACGGTTATTTGGAAGCCACGAATAGGTTGCCACAAGATTGTGCTTTCCATTGGTTCAGATATCTGCCTGAAAATCATTCGCGATATGGATGATACCACCGAGTACACGACCCTTCAATATTTGGAGAAGAATTTGCCAGACATCCCGGCTCCTAGACCACTCGGTCTTGTGGCATTCGGGGACCGATATTCCCTCCTGTTCATGTCTCTCATGCCCGGGACGACGCTCGCGGTTGWTTGGCCAACTCTTGACCACTTACTAAAGTGCTCTGTCCGGGAACAGTTGAACGACATCTTCAAGTCTCTGCGCTCATTTCGTCCCTCTGAACAAGAAACTCCACTACCACTAGGAGGTATAGCGGGCGAAGGCTGCAAAGACCTCCGCAGGCACGTTCGTTCCACCAAAGAACCCATCTGGACAGTCCAACAATTCGACGACTGGCAATTCTCAAACCCTCATTTCGGAAGCTCAATCTCCATTAACGCTCTCCGCAGACTCTCCCCACCTCTTTCGCCTGATGTTGWACTCAGCCACAATGATTTAAGGCCAGACAACATCACGGTGGAAGTGAAAAATGGTGAGTGTCGGGTTACAGGCATCCTTGATTGGCAGTATAGCGGTTTCTATCCCACGTACTACGAATCTACCAAGGTTAWGAATGGTATGGAACCGAATGAAACGAATGATTGGTATTCCTATATCCCGGAGTGTATTTCCGCGGAACGAAATCCGTGGAAATTTCTACTTGATGCGATTTGGTGGAAGTTTGTTGAGTGAATGAATGGACAACTCTCTCGCTCTTTGCGTAATGGTTGTCGATGTTGCGTGGATACTGAATGTGTAGCTTTTCACTTCGATGTAGGTTGAATGGCCTTCTGTATGATGGTATGCTAGCTCTAGMGTTCTAGATCACTGTAATCGATACGGCGGGTTTTAATGAATATCTGTCCCCTTGAATTGTCGTGAGAAAAACATGTTTCTTCGTATGTCTGCTACTCTTCTTCGCTCGGATGGATTTTGAGATTCGAGGTATCCCTATTAGCACTTATATCCAAAAATCCAGACTTTCCATGAAATTGTCTCGATTGCTTACTTATCTACAAGTAAATGACAACCCCTATATGTACACATCCACCAGCCTGATTGCAAGAAGCTTCCGTAATATAAATCAAGTGAGTGAATCCTCTGAAGTGAATGTTCTCGAGTCTTTTACTGGGAATTCTCGCCTATTTTCTTCCCTAGTACTTTAATTCCCCGTTATGGTATTCTTTGGCTATAGCGCTAGTATCTTTAAGCTAGGCGGCTATGAATGTCTCCTAACGGGTAGTAGATACGCTGGTTTGTTGTAGGTTAAGTTATGGAGCTAGTGCGATTAGGTCTAGAGAGAGGAGAGGAGTGACTTATACCTAGCCGGGGGAGAAGAGTAGGAGTTAGGGGTTGGAATATGGAGCTAGAAAAGTGGTAAGGAGTGGGAATTTCTCTTGATTGCAACAGATATCGAAACATGTACGACGTGGATTGAGCAATGGTGCCCTCTCTCGTTCATCGATCAGGTCTCTGGATGGACCATATTCACATCCTGAATAGGGTTAGGGTTAGGGTTAGGCTTCTGCTGCAATATATCGCGGCACATAGGTTCGAAGTGTTTGTTGTCGTTTGAAAAGAAGAGAGAAGCTATCAGAGAGCTCCAAGAGGCCAAATAACACAACTCGCAACAGTTTTCGAAAAAAAAATGCGAAAATACCTTCGTTTATCCTAGCGGCCTATAAATATCACGAGTCGCATTCTATTTGTTCCGTTACTTCCTTTCGTATCTAGCTTTTCACCTTAGTATTTGAACTTTCCGTAGGTTATCATAGCTGTCTATAGAGCGCCGGCCTTAGGTCATAGGTAATAGGGACAAAAAAATCAAAGAAAGCCCATCCCGACGAAAAAAAGAAGAAGAACCCCCCTCCCCATTTCAACACAGCTCTTGAAGCAAATCAGCCGCGAGAAGAAGAAATCCCTTACATAAATTTGAGAGAGAGATGAGCATGAGCTTTTCACAAATACGCAGCGACCAGCTCCAAACACCACTCCCAAAATTCCCCCGCATGTCCATTTCCCCCCTGATCCCCCCTCGCCCTCCCAGCAACCCCCAAATCCTCCCTAATAACCCCCCATTTCCCCCAAGGAATCATCCAGCGTCCACTATCCTCCCTCTTAACTCTACAATCCACGCCCGCCGCGAGTTCCGTGTAAGCGCCATAGATGGCAGGATACAAGATTGTGCGATTCAACACCGCTTGTAGGAATTTCGGTTGTTCGCGATAGAGGTTTGATGCCAAGTGGCCCGGGTTCACGGGGATACTTGTTATCGAAGGGTTGAGGCGGGCGAATTCTGTGGCGTGCAGGTAGGAGGCTGCTTTGGAGATGCCGTATCTTTGTAAGGGGGAGATTGTGGGGTAGTAGGAGAGGTAGGATTTGGAGATTMCAGTGTGGGCTTCACCGAGGAGTTCTACTGAGAGGGAGCAGGTCCATACGACGCGGACATCGTTATCCTCCTCGGAGGAGGAGGAGGGGTTTGATTGGGCTGTGGATTGGAGGGTCGGGGTTAGGAGATTGGTGAGGAGGAATGGAGCGAGGACGTTTACGCCGAAATGGATTTCGTATCCTTGGGTTGTTTTGAGGGAGTTGCTGGCGGATTGGATGGCGGCGTTGTTGAAGAGGACATGTAATTTCTTTTCTCGACTGAGGAAGTGCTTCACTGCGGCGGGGAGGGTGGTTAAATCGGCAAAGTCCATGGGGAGGAAATGGAGGGTGCCTTGGGAAGTTGGAGAGCTGGTTTTTTGTATCTCTTTGATGGCTTGTGCAGCGCGTTCCTCGGATCGCGCACCGATGTAGCTATACATAAATGGGTGATTAATGAGAGTCTGCCTCCAAGATCGATTGCGTGACTATGAAGAGAGGGAAAGACTTACACGGTGGCATTCTTGGAATGGAGTATGCGAACTACTTCTTTTCCTACTCCACTACTTCCGCCTGTGACAATGTAGACCTGCACAAACGATCAGCAAAGCAACAACACAATACAAAYCCGCGGAGAACACAAGAAGAAGAAGAAGAAGAAGAAGAAGATGATCTTGATGCRTACTTTGCCCTGCAAATCCGGCACATCCTTCTCCGTAAAACCCGGCTTCGAAGGCCACATTTGCTTATAAACGCTCGATAGCGAAGGCATTGGACCTCTGCAATATGTTGCAGTATCATTGTTGTTGTTGTTGTTGTTGTTGTTGTTGACTGCCATAGTTTGCGAAGAAAAAAAAGTTCAACCTCGTAGATAGGATAGGGAAAGGGAAAATCGATGAGTTTCAAACACTGCTACCGGTTTCTTGGAACCGAGGAGGAGGGATTGAAAGAAAAAAAAATGGACATCTTCTGTGAATAAACAATCGACATGGAAGGAAAGAAATGAACCCAACATGACGTATTTCGAACAAACACACACACACGCATAGACTATCAATACTGCGGGCACAGTTAGTGGGGTGACTGACGCTCTCACGACTCAGACTGCTAGGTTTCTCGAAGAGTAGAAAGCATCGTCGATGAGGAAAGAAAACTTAAACTCAATTGCTTCTGTGGTTGTTGTTTCGGGGGAAAACCTTACAAGGTCGGTGTGTCAATGACTCTTTAAATGCAAAGCATGTATGTATGTAGCTGATTCAGAGCTAGGCTATCTCTTCATATGCATGCATGCACCTACCTACATGCMGATCATGAAACGACGTCACACGATCCCTAAACCCTCCATGTCTTGTGATGATGTGGGGGTTAGGAAGGACTACTGTGACGCTTTTTGTAACAAGTCTAAATTATTCAATCAAGGATTCCTTCGTTTCGGTCGAGTTGGAGCTCAAAGTGGAATTGAAACAGATTCAATGTAACTAGTTCCTGTAGTTCTATCAATTGAATGATGTTGATCTTCACGACTGGCTGAAAATTAGTGTCGCTTTCACAATCCACATTCCGTTCAACATTGATACCGCCCGAGTTACCTCAGTCTGGAAGAATCACCTACTTTGGCCAGTCCCGGTCAAAAAAGGGAAGGGAAGGGAAGGGAAGGGAAGGGAAGGAAAATCGACAATGAGATCGCCGGAATCGAGTTTCGACGCCAGAGATGGAGCACAACGAAGCGATACCAGGAACAATGATACCTCCCCCGAGAATCCAGCGGCAAACAATAGCGTTGAAAGGGAAGACAGACACAACGACAACGACGATCCAACTCCCCAAATCCCAGAACCCTCATCGAACATTACCGGCTGGCGATTAATCATCACCCTACTCCTCCTATCCCTAACAGCCTTCGTCGTATCCCTCGACGACACAATCGTCGCAACAGCCATACCACGCATCACAGATGACTTCCATTCCATAGCGGACGTGGCATGGTACGGTTCCGCATACCTGCTCACCCTAGGTGGTATGCAGCTCCTATTCGGAAAATTGTACGCAATACACTCGGACAAGAAGATTTACACCGGTTCATTGTGTATTTTCATCACGGGCTCCACGGTCTGCGGCACGGCGTCCAGCTCCGTCGTGATGATTTTCGGTCGTGCTTTGGCTGGAGTTGGAGCTGCTGGGCTTGTTACTGGTGCGCTGATCATTATTGCGCATTCCGCACCGTTGAGGTTGCGGCCTGTTTATACTAGTATTGTCGGCAGTATGACGGCCGTTGGAAGCGTGGCGGGTCCTCTTCTTGGAGGAGTCATTACCGATCGATTATCATGGCGATGGTGCTTCTACATCAATCTTCCTATTATTGGGACATTGCTTGCGCTGTTCTTATTCCTCTACCGTCCGCGAAGAAGACAACAGAGTCCATCATCATCTGGTCTGTTATGCGGGGGATCGAGATTGCAACGAGTGCTTCGATATGATCCGCTGGGGAATCTTGCGTTCTTGTTTGCGGTGGTTTGTTTTCAGATTGCTTTGCAATGGGGTGGTGCGCAATTCTCCTGGCATAGTCCGCGGGTGGTGGCGCTCTTTGTCTCCTCGGCTGTGCTGCTTATGATTTTCGCACCGGTCGAGTGGATGATGGGTCAGCATGCGACGCTTAATGTGCGGATTGCGAGACAGCGGACGGTAGCTTCCAGCGGTGCAGTGAGTCCACATTCCTGCAGTTATGTTCCACGGGAAAGGAAACTGACAATATTTCTTCACACCAGCTCATCGCCCTCTTAGGCGCATCCTACTACTCCGCAATCTATTATCTTCCCCTCTGGTTCCAAGGAGTCCAAGGAGCTTCACCTACCCACTCAGGCGTATTGAGCATCGCACTCCTCATATCGATGATTGTCTCGTCACTCCTCTCCGCCGGACTGGTCTCTAAAACCGGTTACTACAACCCCTTTGCACTTGCCGCCCCGATCCTCGCGGCCTGTGGGACTGGCTTGTTGACGACTTTGGAGCCGGACTCGGGACCTGGTGAGTATATTGGATATCAGGTTTTACTTGGGATTGGTATTGGCTGCGGATTCCATCAACCTTTCATCGCCGTGCAAGCCGTTCTCCCGGAAGCAGTAAGTACATTCCCCCCCCCCATGTCAAGCTTGAGGTAGTTTTACTGAAATGATCCCGCTGCAACAGGACGTCGCCAGCGGAATCGGCCTAATAATGTGTGCAGAAATGCTAGGTGGTGCCTTGGGAATCGCCGTGTCACAAAAAATCTTCGAGAACCAACTGGTAGCCTTTGTGAACAAATCCCGACCAGAGATTCATGCCTCTGCAATCTTACAGACGGGCGCAACAGGTCTCGCTGCGCTGTTGCCGGAAAAATCTAGTAAAGAGGTGGCAAAGGCTTATAGTGATGCCGTTACTGCTACTTTTTATTTGGCGGCGGGATTGGCGGCTGCTGGCTTTGTTGCGGCTTGCTTTATGGAGTGGAAGAATATTAAGAAGACGGAAGGTGATGATGATGATGATCGGAGCAAGGGTGAAGAAATCGAAATTGATGAGACGGTTAAGAGGCCGAGGGAATTGACTGTTTAGAAGGTTCAATAATATGTATATCTTGGCTGGCCAAGACTTTTGCTCCGCTAGGGTTAGAATAAGGGGTGGGGTGACAGGACCAACCTTGGACTACCTTACAAAAGCAAAGCTTTTAGAGAAATGGATGTCTAGGAAATACCGCATAGTAGATAAAAAATGTTGAAGTACTCTCTCAAAATCCATCCACTACTCCAACTCCCCACTCCCCCTCCTCGACTCGACTTGGAATACAATCCAACAGCATTACCTGATGATTTGAACAGCACCCCCTTGCCGATACGTTCACTGCATCCTAGGTTTAAGAAAGAGCCAAAAAGGCTTCTTATCCCACAAAACCCAAGCCCGCAAACCCTCCAACCAATCCTTACTCTCCTCCGCAATAGTAATATCAAAAGCCCACAATAAGCGTGCGATAATAACACTCATTTCCGCGTATCCAAGGCTATACACGCACGCACCATAATAGTTAGCAAGAGTTTCACAAAACACGCAACGGCTCGAAAAGAAGAGAGAGAGAGGGGGAGAGGGAGAGGGAGACGTACTTTCGAGCCGGACACATTCTCGCGCCCAGCGAAAAGGGATGAAAGGCATCCCGGCGATCCTTTGCGAAGTCGGGATAAGCTTCGCTGTGCGGCATCCAGCGCTCCGGGATGAATTCCTCGGCTCGGTGGAAGTTGTGTTCGGCGCGATACATGGCGCGATGATGGATGCTGAGGACCGTCTAGAGAATTTCAAACGTCAGCGTCAACGGAGCGGAAAAGATGATGATGCATGATGAACAAAGGTGGGAAGGGATGATGATTAACATACATTACCAGGAATCCAATCCCCAAACACTTTATTCCCACCACTTGGCGTAATACGCCACAAAGCATTAGGAGTAACGGGATGTAGACGAAGACCCTCCTGAATGACGGCGTTGAGAAAGGGAAGCGACATTGCTTTCCCACTGCTGATTTCGTCTTCATTCTGGAAATTGTCGTGGAGTTCTTGAAGTATTCTTTCCCGGAGAGTGGCGTTGTTCGCAATGCGATATACAAGAGATGCTGTGGCGTTGGCGGAACTTTCAGATCCTGCAAAAGTGAGGAGGTTCGTGTTGGCGAGGATTTCTTTTCGAGTCATGTACTGCAACGACTGTCAGTAAGGTATTGGCGAGTTCCGCAGTGAATGGTGGGACTAACGGCAGAATTCCTTCCCTTACGCATCAACTCCAGGATATCAGTTCTCTTGGGCGCCTCCTCGCTGGTGACTTCTCGACTCCTCACACGATGTTCAATAATCCCATCAAAATACTTGAATTTGGTCAAGAGAGTCCACACCTGTGCAGGCGGAAGAGCCAGCCAGAAAACCCAAATGCGCTTACACACAGCCACAACGTGGATGAGTTGCAAATTGCCAATGAGCACATCTTGCCAGGCCCGCATTTCGGCGTCCCCCGCCACGCAACCAAAGTCCTGTCCGAAGAGTAGGTCGCCGATGATATCAAAGGTGAGGTAATTCACCCATCTGATCAGATTGGCGGGTTTCTGACCGTCGTTTGTGGCTTGTCGGATCTGACGGATGAAGAGATCCAAATGTTTCTTAATGGTGGGTTCTTGCTCCATCAAAGCGGCATGAGAGAATCCAGGAGCCATGACACTCTTCATTCTCTTCTGATCACTCTCGTTCGCTCCAATGATGAAGTTCAGCTTCGAAGACACGAACCATTCCGGCCGGTGATTTTCAATTCTACCACTCCCACTGCTGTAAATCTCTTCCCATGCCTCGGGGATGTCATAGGACAATTCATCGGGAGCAACGCGGACTATGTGACCATATGTTTTGTGGAGCTGCAGGACTTTATCATGCCATAGACCCTTGCGATAATGATACCCCCAGGGCAGTTTGGAGGCTGCGTACAACTTGGGACCGGGAAATTTCCGTAGAGGATGGAAATAGAGGTTGTAAATGGGTGCTATAATGATCAGATAGAGACCAGCTACCAGAATGATGGGGGTAATGTCCAGAAATGACGGGAGCATCGAGTTGAGTTGATTGTATGCATTCATCTTGCTGAGGGATGCTGTGGCGAGGACAATTTTCCAAATGGGAATTCGTACGAGGATACTTTTCCAGAAGGGAATGCATTCGCCATCTCACCATCAACTCCTCGTTGCAGCACCTTCGCACTGGCTCGGATTGACTGACTCGAGCCCCTAGGATGACGTCCCAATGCCCCTCGTACATCGTGTCTGCGGGGTGGAGACAATATGTGTTGCACGACTCGTCTGATGCAGGTTGAGGTGGTTGATGCAGGTTGGAAGTTGGCTCCCATTTTCATGCAGACGTCTAGTCGAATGGCAAGTTCCTTACAGTCCACAATTTTGAGTGCGTTGAATCGAACCCAAATCATTCCCCCATGTCATTGACCCAAGTCATTGGACARCACGACCTATGCTCTCCGCAAGTCGTCTATAAAGCTCACATTTTCGCTAGCCAGGTAGACGACCGGGACGAAATCAACGCACACAGACACACCTTACTTTGAAGACGATTGATCTGCACTTGCTCTTCCCCTCCATCCAACGAGTCATGCCTGCACTCCCCTCTACGCAGACACTCGTCGTGCAGAACAAAGATGCAGGACAGGCAGGTCGGTTGCCTCTCGCCGTGGTCAGCGGAAGGCCACTACCTCAGCTACGAACCGATCACGATTTGTTGGTCCGAGTTCTGGCCGTCGGCTTGAATCCCGTCGACATGAAGATGGTCAAAAACTTCTTCATGGAAGATACACCGACTGGGTGTGATTTTTGCGGCATCGTGGAGCTAGCTGGACCCGCTTCGAGGATTTCCGCGGGTTCCCGCGTCGTTGCCGGAGAGCTCCCCTATCGTCCGGACAACCAGCACCATGGAGGTTTCGCCCAATACGCCGTAGCGGACAGTCGAAACGCCTTTGTCGTTCCAGAAGACTGGAGTGACACCCTTGCTGCTGGCCTGGGCAATCTCTCCTGGGGGACCGTTGGGTTGGCCATGTCAAAGATTGAAGCACTCGGCCTCACGGGCATCCCATCCGCTCCATCGGAGAAACCGCTGCCGGTCTTGGTGTATGGTGCGGGGACCGCGACGGGAGTGGTGGCCATCCAGATGCTGAAGCAGTACGTCTTGACGAGTCAGGCCCACATAGGGCATCGAAGTCACTAACAAGACGCTAGGTCTGGATACACTGTGATTGGCGTGTGTTCCGAGAAGTCGGCGGAGCGAGCGATAGCCTGTGGAGCCATTGGCACGGCCGACTACACCTCTCCGGACTGCATCTCGCGCATTCAGGAACTCGCGCACGGCATGCCGATCAAGCATGCGTTGGATTGCATCACCCAGCCGGACACGGTGGAAATCTGCTACTCCGTGCTTGCCCGACTTGGCGCTCGCTACGTGTGTTTAGAAAACTGTCCTGAATCGTGGCGACCGCGGAAATCCGTAAAGGTCAATGTGGTCATGGGCTATGAAATGCTTCCGTATGATATTGACCTGGGCAATTCCCTCTACACGCGGAAAAGCAATGCACAGTCGGTGCAAATCACACGGGTGTGGGTGGAGGAGGTTCAGAAGTTGGTCGATGCCGGCTCCATCAAGCCGTTGCCGATTGAAGAGCTCGAGGGAGGGTTTCATGGCATTATTGAGGGGTTGGAGATGATCCAGAAGGAGCAGGCGGGAGGAAGGAAACTAGTGGTTAGGGTTTCGGGAGGAGTTTGAGTGTGAGTCACGTGATGGAATATCAAGGTATGAGGTCCACTATCCTCAGAGAAACGAGAGTCACGTGATGGCGAGGCTAGCAAGGTATCTCTAGGAAGAGCGGGGAAGCATAAGGACGGTAGAACCTTGACCAATTTTCAACGTCAGAAGAAGTTTGGAATACATCCGAGTCTGTCATGCATAAGTTACAAGAATGTTTCGCTTTCCCCATCAACAAAGATAGGCCAGCCAATAGGAGCCTCAGATAGGTGAGCTTTTCACGCACATTGGCTACAAGATTCCCTGCATGTATTTCGGCCATTGCCGTATGCATGACAGACTCTGCCGTCTAACCTAACCATTGTCGTGGAATGCCCCACTTCTTCTCGAATGCTCAATGTCGGGAAGGTTTCAACTTTCTGCACGTCGCAAGGTTTACCTATGGAAGTCTTGCCATGCCAAGCCCTATAGGTCCACCTCAGCTCTCAAGCAAGCAATGATGACCATGCCTACCTAGTGATGACCGTACAGTGATGGATGGCCTGAAGCATGGACGACTCGACAGCAGGTACGACACTGCATTCCATCAAGACGATCCCTGCGGCGGTCAAGGCGACATGACTCTGTGCGAGGACCGATGCCGCACGAATTGTCCATATCTTTGAAAGGAAGGAGGGACGTGAAGATGGCCCATCCCAAGCAAGCCCCTCCAATCCATCCAAATTACACAGGATTGGTGCAGCCCTCGAATTATCATGTCTCAAGAACCTATTGCCGTCATTGGTACTGCTTGTCGTTTTGCCGGAGATGTCGATACACCCTCCAAGCTATGGGAAGTCCTGAAGGATCCGACAGATCTCCGCCAAGAGATCCCCAAGGAGAGGTTCAACACGGATGGCTTTTACCACCATGATCATGCCTACCATGGCCATACTAATGTCAAACACTCGTATCTTCTCTCCCAAGATCCGGCGACATTTGATGCCGAGTTCTTCAGCATCAACCCCATCGAAGCCAGATCCATGGATCCTCAACAACGACTGATCCTCGAGACGGTGTACGAGGCCATTGAATCCGCTGGCTTGACCATCGAGGGAATGTCCGGGAGCGATACGTGCGTCTATGCTGGATCCATGACTGCAGACTATGATGCTGCCGGAACTCGCGATCTTGATCAGCTCCCTACCTACGCTGCTGTGGGAACCTCTCGTGCCATCTTATCGAACCGAGTGTCGTATTTCTTCAACTGGAAGGGCGCATCCGTAACGATGGACACCGCTTGCTCCTCTTCGCTGGTTGCTCTCCACAACGCCATTCAGGATTTACGATTGGGTGATTCGGGTACAGCGGTCGTCTGTGGATCCAACTTGATATTGGGGTCAGTGTCTGTATGAAACATCCTTTTATTGCCACTAACAGTGAATCACATCAGTCCCGAATGTTACATCATTGAGAGCACTGTCAAGATGCTATCCCCAGACGGCTTAAGTCGGATGTGGGATAAGGTGAGCACTGTTGGAGATATTCCCACCATTATTCGCTGCTGACAGAGTACCCTCAAGGATGCCAATGGCTATGCACGTGGCGAGGGACTCGCCGCGCTCATCATCAAACCCTTGAGCGCTGCTTTGAGGGATAATGACAACATTGAATGCATTATTCGCGGGACAGGGACCAATCAGGATGGTAATACTGCCGGTCTCACCATGCCAAGTCCCCTCTCACAGAAAGCCTTGATCGAAAAGACCTATGCAAAGGCCGGTCTGGACTTGAGCAAAGTCGACGATCGACCGCAGTACTTTGAGGCTCATGGCACGGGCACGCCCGCGGGAGGTAAGTTCGTCCATGTCGGGTCAATCCCCAATCCCACCACTGACTTGACCTCTTTCCTACAGATCCAGTAGAGGCAGAAGCAATCCATTCTGCATTCATGACATCTGATACCCCAGCAGCCCCTCAACGTCTGTACGTCGGCTCCATCAAAACTGTCCTTGGCCATACCGAGGGTACCGCTGGGCTTGCTGGCGTGATGAAAGCCATGCTTGCTATTCAGAACTCGTGTATCCCTCCAAACTTGCATTTGAACGAATTGAACCCTGCGGTCAAACCATTCTACAAGAATCTAGAAATACCCCAAAACCACTGCCCATGGCCACAGCTAAATTCCGGTCAAGTGAGACGTGCGAGCGTGAACAGCTTCGGATTTGGAGGTAGCAACGCCCACGCCATCATCGAGAGCTACGACAACAACCAGGTGGCCACGAGTGATCATCGCACTATATTCGGTCCATTTGTATTTTCGGCCGCGTCCGAGAAAGCGCTGCGAAGCAATCTTGAAGCCTATGTCGAATACTTGGGATCAGCCCCGAGTCACATTGCTCCCGATCTGGCATACACCCTACGCAGCAGGCGTTCGCTACTTCAATACCGTCTTGCGGTTCCGGCAGCTGACGGTGAATCTTTGAGGGAGAAACTCGTCGAATTCATTGCAGGCAATGCTATTACAGCAAACAATGGAATCGTTAGGACCCTCTCAAAAATTGGCAGTGAGAGCACAAGCATCCTCGGAGTCTTCACCGGACAGGGAGCTCAGTATGCTGCCATGGGCGCTGAACTTGTTCGTGCTTCTCCTTGGGTTCGTCAGATCATCATGCGCCTGGAAGCATACCTGATGGATCTCCCCAAAGACGATCAACCCTCTTGGTCTCTCGAGGCTGAACTGTTGGCAGACGCAGCCACGTCTCGCAGTGGTGAGAGCGCACTTTCCCAACCACTGAACACCGCCGTCCAGATTATGCTCGTCGATGTCTTGCGAGCCGCTGGTGTGCATTTCGATGCCGTCGTTGGGCACAGCAGTGGAGAGATCGCAGCCGCGTACGCCGCCGGCTTCTTATCTGCAAGAGACGCCATATGCATATCTTACTATCGCGGGGTCTGCTGTCAGTATGCACAGAGCCCGAATGGAGATCTGCCTGGTGCCATGCTGGCTGTTGGTACCTCGATGGAAGATGCCTTGGAGCTCTGCAAAGACGAGACATTTGCCGGCCGAATATCTCTGGCTGCAGTCAATTCCCCCTCCAGCGTCACCATTTCGGGAGATTCAGATGCCATTGAAGAGCTCATGGTCGTCATGGAAGACGAAAAGAAGTTTCACCGCCGCCTGCGTGTAGACAAGGCATACCATTCCAGCCATATGAAAGCATGTGCCGAAATGTACCGCAATGGGATGATACGTGCCAAAGTTTCGGCAGAAAGGACGTCGCAAGCCCGCCTTTGCCAATGGTATTCCRGCGTATACGATGGAGAATTGGTCGATGAGTCTTTTGAACTTGCTGGAGAGTACTGGCTCAAAAATTTGATACAGCCAGTGATGTTTGCACCTGCCCTCTCTGCAGCCCTCAAGTCGTCCAGCAAGCGTTTCGATGCTGCTGTGGAAGTGGGACCACATCCAGCCCTACAGGGTCCTTCAGCACAGATCATGCAGGACGAGCTGTCCAGCTCTATACCATACAGCGGCACGCTTCAGCGCAATGGCAACGCCCTGACGAGCTTATCAGCAACTCTCGGGTTTCTATGGTCACATCTGGATACACACGCAATCAATCTTGACAGTTTTGAGAGGGAAATGGCAGGGGACGAGAAACTCACTTTCCACCTTCTCAAGCATCTTCCACGGTACCAATGGAACCACGCCACATCGTACYGGAGCGAGTCACGACGGTCCAAACATCTGCGTACACGATCCGAGGCCGTTCATGCATTGCTAGGCCACATCACGGCGGATAGTGGTTCTCATGCTTTGCGTTGGAAGCACCTTCTGAAACCGGCCGAGATGCCTTGGCTCAAGGGCCACGCGGTTCAGAATCAAATTGTTTTCCCTGCCGCGGGCTACATCTCAACGGCAATGGAGGCGGTGCGCTTCTTAGCCAAGGATGATGAGACAATCCAGCTGATCGATCTCGTCGACTTTGTCATACACCAAGCCATTCCATTCTCAGGCGAGGACAATGGTATTGAGGTGCTGGTGGAGATCTCACAAATCGTTCGGTCAAAAGACAATCAACAATTGACCGCAAACTTTTCTTACTCTGCTGCGCTTGGTGGGTCCGCAGGCAAGACGGATCTATCCCTCGTTGCGACCTCCCAAATCCAGGTCCGCTTTGGGGAGCCCTCCGTAGGTCTCCTTACCGAACGGCAGCCAGAGCTTCCACATATGATCGACATCAAGCCCCAGCGGCTATATGATTGGCTTGCAAGCTTGGAATACAACTTCTCTGATCCCTTCCGCGCTCTGACCAAGCTTCGGCGCAAACTGGGCTTCGCACGTTGTACGGGCCAATCAGCGCAGAGAGATGCTGATTCTGCTGGTCTTTGGGTCCATCCTGCGGATCTCGATGCTGCATTCCAAGCTGTGAATCTTGCATTCAGCTTCCCAGGTGACGAGCAGATCCGGCACTTGCATCTGCCCACGACCATTTCCAACATTCGCATCAACCCTGCTGCTTTGAGCATCTCAAGGAGCACTTCGGATGTCGATGAATTCAACGTGGATGCCGTTTGGAGTCCTTCTGATCCTTTGATTCCAACGACGGGAATCTCCGGTAACGCTTCCCTCTACTTTGGTCAGGCCGAGTCACAGTTCGCCGGCGTCCAGTTCGATAGTGTCGTCCTTCAACCCATTGGAGATGCCAACGACGAGCGAAAAATCTATCACGRTCTCGAATATGTTCCCACCCAGTTGAATGGTACCTTGGCTGCGGAGAAGCTCATAGTCACGGATGCAACCCTCAACCTCATGCAGACGCTTCGTCGTGTGGTCTTTTTCTATGCCCGACAGTTTGACCGCGAGGTGCCCGTCGATTCAGAGGTCAGGAAGGCGGAGGTCACCGGTAATTATCTCAATTACTGCCACCACATCACAAACGAGCTCAAGCAAGGCGTTAGCAAGTTTGGAAAGCCAGAGTACTTGCAAGACACCAAAGAAGATGTCATGAATGCTCTTCACGAGTTGGGCACGGATGCCGAGAACACGGCCGATGTCAAGCTCGTCCTCCTCGTTGGAGAGACCATGCCCCGAGTCCTCAGTGGGGAGGCAGACAACATGATGGAGGAGATGCGTCTCTCCGGACTCCTTGGCGATTTCTACCAATACGGTGCTGGCTTACAGCAAGCCACAATGTGGATCAAGGCTACCCTCAAGCAAATCACGGATCGTTCTCCTCACCTACGCATGGTCGAGCTTGGTGCGGGTACCGCTGCGGCATCCAAAGATATTCTGAATACGATTGGGCGAAACTTTGACGAGTACACGCTCACTGATATATCCTCGGGTTTCGCAGATGGTGCTTTGGAATCGCTTGCAGGGTGGAAAGATCAAACATCCTTCAAGGTTTGCAATGTCGAGGTGGATCCCATCGAGCAGGGGTTCATCGAAGGGGAATACGACGTGGCCATTGCCAGTCAAATTCTCCATGCCACCGCCGACCTAGGCCAGACGGTACGCAACGTTCGTCGCATGTTGAAGCCCGGCGGCTGGCTTCTCATGGGGGAATGCAGTCCGGACGGTGGGATGCGCGAGGTTGGGTCCTTTGTCTTTGGCACCTTCTCGGGATGGTGGAACGGAGTACATGAAGGAAGGGTTCTATCCCCTTTCGCTTCCTTCTCCCAGTGGGACACGATTCTGCGAGAGAACGGTTTCGGTGGGATTGAGGTGAGAAACCCTGATAATACCGCGGACGCGTTCGGAGTTGTGTGCATAGCAGCACAAGCGGTGGATACCCGCGTATCCATTTTGAGGTCGCCTCTGGCGGCTCCTGCCAACTCGGACGTGGACAGAGTCCTTCTCATCGGTGGGGGCCAGTCGACAATCATTGCCCCCATCGTCGAACAACTTCAACAGATCTTGAAGGATCTCGGAACCCCCGTCTCTTTCTACAACACCCTTGAAGACCTCGACGATCAGTTGGATACCCCTGGTGCCACTGTGATCAGCTTGGCAGATGTGGTCAATCCAGTCTTTGAGAATATGACGCCTGCCCGCTGGGAGAAGTTCCAGCAGCTTTTCATCGGACACAAATCTGTTCTTTGGGTATCTTGCGGACGACTCAAAGATGGTTTGTACAGTAACATGACCGTAGGATTCGGCCGCTGTGCACTCAATGAGGAAGCCGACCTACGCTTACAAAACCTGGACTTTGCTGACATTTCCCAACTCGATGCTCGTCGAATTGCAGAGGCTTTCATCCGCTTCACCAACAAGAGTGTTGTGGATGCTAGCAGTAAGAACCAGCTWCTTCATACTGATGAGAGGGAGATTATCTTTGATGGGCAAGGTCGTGAAATGGTGCCGCGGCTTTCCCATCAAACTCGACTCAACGATCGTCTTCGCTCCGTCCGTCGAGCTGCACCCTACGAGACGGACCTGCAAAGTCAAGAAGTATCTTTGGAGCAGAATTCAAGCGGAAGATATCTTCGCCAGCTTTCGCGATTCGACAAGACAAAGCTGCTGAAGGGCATAAAGTAAGTTATCCGAGCTTGAGCATGAAGACCTATCCTCTAACACTCCTTCTCCTCAGGCATGACTTCTTGCAGCTTCGCACGACATACTCCACCCTTGGCGCGATTCGAACGCCGCTAGGTTTCCAATCTCTTGTCATTGGGATTGACCATGATGCCCATAAATATCTAGCCCTCGCCGACTCGACGACGTCCACCCTGCGGATTGATGCGCAGTGCGCCGTGCGAGTAGAGCAAGAAGACAAGGATGACTCTACGCTTTTGAATTGGGCCGCAACTCGGCTGACTGCTCTCGCCATATTCGGGACAGCCCTCCCAGGACATCGAATGATTGTCCACAATGCATCCGCTGGCATGGCCGCAAGCATTTCTGCAGAAGCACAAAAGCGGGGAGTGCGACTGATCTTCACCACCTCTGTCGTTTCAGACGATAAAAAATTGCGGGCAGTCACCGACAGTACTCCATACATACGATTGCAGCCTTATGCTGGGATGTCGGAGATCCTCGCGGCGGTCAATGTAGATGTTGCCTGCTTGGTGGACTTCTCTCGCGAATCAAACGCTTTGTCGACTACTCTGGCAGCCGCGGTTCCAGCTGTTTGCCGGAGGGAAACCCTCGAGACGCTTTATGCTCCAGTGGCTGCTGGTAACATCTCCGCTKACTCGTCCAAGGAGCCTCTGAGACAGCTTCTATCGCAAGCTCTTCAGGAAACTATGCCAAGAGAGAATAAGGATGAACTCACCTGTGTCGCACTGGGTGATGTGGTCGGTGTCAATCAAGAGCATGCCAAAGATGCCCTCACGGTTGTGGATTGGACGAGGGCAACATCTCTCCCTGCTCGGATTTGCCGCCTCGATGTGTCCCCCATGTTCCAGCCCGACAAGACATACTGGCTTTGTGGACTTTCAGGAGCGCTTGGAATCTCAATCTGCGACTGGATGATTGATCGTGGGGTCCGGAATATGGTCATCAGCAGTCGCAATCCCCGAATGGACCAGCGTTGGGTGGAGCATCACAGCATCAAGGGGGCCACCATCAAGATCATGTCCTGGTAAGACTCACTCACTCACTCACAATCAACAAAACAAACAAAGCTAACATGACACAACACAGTGACGTGACCAACGAGAAGGAGATCCGCAACGTTCACCAAGACATCGTTCAATCCCTTCCTCCMATTGCGGGTGTCGTGAGCGCGGCCATGGTTTTACGTGATGTATCCGTCCGCAATATGCAATACGATCAGCTCCAAGATGTTATCCGGCCCAAAGTCATGGGCTCCATTCACCTGGACAGCATCTTCCACGACATCAACCTCGACTTCTTCATCGTCCTCTCCTCCACCAATGCCATCATCGGCAATCCCGGACAAGCAAACTACGCCGCGGCCAACATGGGAATGGCGGGTGTGGCAAATCGCCGTCGTCATCGAGGTCTGCGTGCCAGCGCCGCGCATGTCGGCGCCATCATGGGGGTAGGTTACGTGACGGACTCGATTGAGCGGCTGGAACTCGCAGTCACCATGACGAATATGATCCGTGTCGGCGAGCAGGAAGTCCATCAGATGATCGCCGAGGTATTTGAAGCTGGATTCGAAGACTCCTCCGTCCATCCAGAGTTGGTCATGGGTCTGAAGGAGGTCTCGCGCAGTGAACCCGGACAATCGAAATGGTCCGACGATCCTAAATTCTCCCGCCTCATCCTACCTTCTTCCGCTGGCAATGCCAACAAAGGAGCGGGCGGGACTACCGAAGAATCCGTCAAGGAGAAACTCGAGGCGTGTAAGACTGAGCAGGAGATTCATCGAGTTCTCCAGCAAGCTTTTGCGGCTCAGCTGCGTAGGATCCTCTTCATCAAACTCTCCGACGAGGAAATCATGGAGAGCGCGAGTAGTAATCTGGGACTGGACTCTTTAATCGCCGTGGACATTCGATCGTGGATCTTGAAGACCTTTGGCGTCAATGTGCCCGTGCTGAAGATCATGTCTGCGGATGCACGCATGTCGGATTTGGTGGCTGCGACGTTGGAAGACTTGCCACAACGCATGACACCTCTGTTCGATCGAAAGGGTGGTGAGAAGGAGGGTAGCAGTGAAGTGAGAGATTCCTCCACGACTGATAGTGATACCACCAAGAGTGATGGGGATTCCTCCTCCACAGCGGACGTCACTGGCGTCACGACCCCACAGGATTCCTCCATGCTCAAGGATAACAGCATCGCATCCGCCTCCTTTTGGGATCAAGAAGCTCTTGCACCAGCGGGACTCGTCGTGAATGAGGATGCACCAGCAAAAGGAAAAGTTCCCGAAATCGTCCTCCTCACCGGGTGCACTGGTCTTTTGGGTCATCATGTATTGAACGCCCTGCTCCAGCAGTCGTCCATTACAAAAGTCATCTGCATTGGTATCCGAAGACTCTCCCAACGACTCGCAGCCGCCGAGCTTCCACCCCCAAGCTCTCGAATTGAATACCACGAAGGCGATCTCGCCGTTCCAGGATTCGGCCTGGACGAAGCCACACGCACCCGCATCTTCAACGCAGTCGATGCCGTCATTCACAATGGTGCCGATACATCACACATGAAATCCTACGCAACCTTGCACGATACCAATGTGCAATCTACCCGCCAGTTAATCCGCTTGTGTGTACCCCGTCGCACATCCCTGCACTACATCTCCTCAGCAGGCATCGCGCTCGCCAGCTMCGTACATCCCTTCCCCTCGATAGCAGTAGACGGATCCTCGGAGAAGCTGGATGAAATCACTCGCAGTGGTGCGAGAGGCTACATGTGTAGCAAATGGGTATGCGAACGCATGTTGGAGAATGCGCATCGAGAATATGGCCTTCCGGTCTGTATTCAGCGTYCCTCGACTATTATCCGCCATGGCGAGGATGCGAAGACGCAACGAGCGGGTTTCGATTGGGTCAACACGCTTTTACAATACGCTCATGAGATTCATGCCGTGCCGCTCGTGAGACATAATAAAGGTGCTCTGGACCTTGTTTCTGTCCAGACTTGTTGCGAGGATATTCTCAGGGAAGTCATGTCTCGCCACAGTGCCGGAGATGGGATTACGTATCAGAATAATGTGGGAGATATGGTTATTCCCCTTGCGAATTTGGGGGATATCGCTATTCAGCAAGGAGGATTGAAAGAAGCATATCCGAAAATCTCTTGGGAGGAATGGGTTGCACAGGCGGTGGAGAAGGGGCTGCATCCTGCTGTTGCTGCTCTTATTGAAGCGATTGATGAGCCGGGCGGGTTTGATTATCCTTTACTGCTCCGGGCACAAGGCTGAGGCTGTGGCTGAGGCTGAGGCTGTGGCTGAGGTTGAAGGGTTCGCAAAGGTTGTGGAACCTGTCGGTTTCCTCACCGTTCCTGCAACATGCAATCAAGTACAGCAAGCGTCTAGAAGGGTTCCCGTCGACAATCGGAGCAGGGAATTGAACTGCCAGAGCTGGATTGAGAGAGCTATGAGGGCCTTGGTGCAGTATGGATATCTCCTCAGAGCGCGCCTATAATGCAGGTTTTGGACGGCATGGTCGACGCAATTGCGGACGCTGAGGACGAGGAATGWTGACGGCGCATGGTTGGTTGGATCACGGCCGCTGCCATCGTGCAATAGCTTGATGGATCAGAAGTTCTTGTGGGTAGAGAGTCTCGAATACTTCCCCCGCGAGGTCGTGCCAGCCTTTACAGCTAGTCGGGCAATCGAAGAAATTTGATGTAATTACTCCCGATAATGCTCAGGGTACGTACGTACCCATCCCGCAAAATTCCCCAGTCCAAGAGAGAGAGAGAGCGCCTGAATCTTGCCATTCTGGACAATGATGTTTTCCTGGGAGAGGGAAATCTGCATGGGGTAAACGACGATTCCATGTCCGGAATGCTACTTCTGTAGACTTCTCCACTAGTGTCTGTTCGCACGAGTACCTAGGTAATGGCGTTTCGTTTCGCTTTCCCAGGTTCTTGAAGATGAAGTCGTCGTCGTTTGAATATGMGTCTCGCTGGTTTTCAAAAAGGGCCCGTCGATGTAAGTTAGAACGCCAGCACTAACACCCTTACCACTCGGATCCTTTCCCGCGGGGAAGCTAGAGAGCCCTACTACTAATATTAGTACTGCACCGCCCTCTAGCACCCCTAAATTAAGACCAATTTAGTCCATTTCAGTCCTATATCGTTTATACTATGTCGGTAAGTAGTCCGTATAAAAGGTGTTGTTTTAGCTATTATTTTAACGCATTATAGGAACCTCTAAGGGCAACTAGCAAACGGCTAGATAACGCCCTTTACTACTAACTACGCATTGCCTTCGATACTACCGATAGYAGTAACCGCGCAATTAGTAAGGCCTATAGTGTTTCTYATCTAATAATTAGCAAGATACGCCTCTCTTACGAGCTGTTTAGTACGCCCTATCTACCTAGAGGTGTCCGTATTAGCCGTCCGCCGTTCCTTACGCTAGATTAAGAGGACTCTTTCCTATAGTATGTGTGTTCGTAGCCGGACGCCTACGCGGATAAGATAGCTTAGTAGATATTCGATAACACTAGCGTAGTGTTTAGCGACCGTAGCGTACACGCGCTATTAGTAAGGCGTAGATAGACTCGCAAGGTTGCTAGAAGCATCGCTAGAGAGCGTAATAAGGCATTACGGTCGCATTAGCGCGCGAAAAGCGCCGGTTAGAGGCGTAAGGACCTAGTGTTTATCGACGAGTTAGCTTATAACGAGCGGAATAGCTATAGGTAGGTTATTRTCGCTATAAGGATAAAGCTGTAGTAGTTACGAAAGTTAGTGTTTTAGCTTAACTAACAACACACTTAGGAAGTACTCCTAGTTACTAATTAGCTATCCTACAGATACACAATCGCTAACTAAACGCTCTAAACGGTAGTTACTAGTACCTACATTTACGATAAACGGCTACCTCGATAGGCCGTTATTAAAGCAGGGAGCTATTACCTCTAAAGACATCCTTAACTAGCTAATTTATGTTGTTTTGCCTTAACTGCTAACTAGTATAATCCTTATTATAGACAACGCTTTAATCTACCGTAATAAAACGATTAAACAGGCTATTCGATAGGCTAGTTGCTTCCTAGAGCT